CGACTGCTCTTCCGCCGACACGCAGGATGTGATGCTCACTACCCAAACCCTAACCCTACAGGTCATATCCAACTGAATCTTCTAGTCCCACGGATGCCCCGCAGCTATGGACGTTCTTCAATGACATGAAGTGGCTGGATCATACTTCGTCGCTAGGCAGGTCGGACGTGATCTCATCGGAGGAGAGCGCGACCAAATCACGTACATTTCATGCCTTTGATGAGGTGATGCACTTAAGCCTCTCATCCAGGAGGTATAGAAACCGTTTCACAGGTCGCGATCTTATCAGCATCTTCATGCAGTACGACTGCGCAAGTCACATCACGCCGAGAAAATTTCGCGTCATGGTCCAGTGTCACGTGATATACGCTAGCGCACAATGGGTGAATCATCCTCTGCCGAGCCCCACCCAAATGGTCTCTTGCCACGGCGGATATCTCATACTGGTCGCGCGAGCTGGATCACGCTAAACAAAGTGGTCCGAGCTCAATCGCGAGCATAAAACTTTGAATTTCGAGCAACTCTAGACTCTCTTCTTTAGCTCTCTTTGCCTTTTGGCTTAGATCAAGTGTAGTATCTGTTCTTTTCAGTTTGATATCTGAAACGTTCCTACGGGAACATTCAAAATCATACTTATTTTTTGACCTCGTCCTTCCACCGCTGGGCTTGCTCATGTGGTCGGGCATCGTGTCGCTGGTATTGCACTGCCTCCAGCTGACGCAACCCTTTTTCATCAGTCAGTCTCAGCTTCATGCTTGGACCTGAAGAAGAATATGCGCCCCATCGTCGTCCACTTCCCACGCTCACCACGGCTGTTCATTTGCGATGGAAGGCAATCGACGGCAGACTGCAGTTGTCATTCCATCAAAGCTCACTTGTCGAAAGCGTCACCAGCAGCATCACTTGCATCAACTGCCACGCCTAAATTTTTGATGCAATCACCACTGCCGGTTTCCCAGCCGCAAAAGACCACCATGCCATACCGCATCGCAGCTGTTGTTGAGAGAGCATATTCTCTTCTATCTGTACATTGTTGCTACATGGTCAATTACTGGAGTAGAGCTGTATCCTTTGCCTGGCGCTCCATCTATATTCTACAATGTCGCCGCGCCTCGATCTCGAGCAGTTCATTTTGGCTTTGGCTTCCCAATCTGAAATCCCCATCCGCGCAGCGTCTTGACCACCTTGGGCGTCACAGCTAATGTCAGAGGAACTCGGAGGAAGAATAGTGACTTGTGCACTCCGTACGCGAGGAGGAGCTGTGTCCAAATACCTTGGCATTTGATCAGCGTCTGCGGTTCGCGCGTCTACACATGGTATATAATTGTACTCACTTGCAGGCTCATGCTTTGCGTCCTTTTCAACGGCTTCGCTGGCCTCCTTCACTGCATCCTCGGCCTCTGCCAGCTGATTCTGTGCGCGTCGCTCTTTCAAACTGGGCACAACGCTCTCCAGCACGGCCCAGAAGCGACTCACGACCGCATGCTCCGCCGCCGCGATCCGATCTGTTCCAAGCCATCGCACCGCCAGGAAGCAAAAGGGAAAATCCAAGGCAGACAATCCAAGGTATATTCCGACGACAGTCCACCCATACTTGCGCGACATTGCCCTCATGCGATCCGAAAGCGACTGAGGCTCCTGGCCGCCCGGTTCATTTCTAGACGCATTGCTGCTGTTTTGGCGTGTCTGACGGCGCCATGCCTTTGAATGCGCTGGCCTTGCTGTCCGTAGCTTTGCAGTGACGAAGTCTCGCCGCTGGAAGCTTCCTGTCTTTGCTTGAGGCTTCGATACCAGACCGGTGAAATCTCGCCTCAGTGATGCTTTCAAAAAACCTTCTTGCGCTGGCACTTGGCGCAAGAGTTGGAGCAGCCGCGGACTTTTGAGCATGGCAGGTCCTAGTCGTTGATGCGATGCGATGCGATTCGATTCGATGATGCGATCGGCGTGGAAGAGTTACGGTCGGTACGGTGGTGGGTGGGTGGATGACACTGTTTGCGAAACTTGATCAAGTTACGTCTTGCGCTTGCATACGACTTGCGTGTGTCCGCAACTTTTTTGGCTTTGGCTCAGTCCATGTCAACTTTTACTCACCCATGCCGCTCGAATACAGTAAAAGGCCACGGGGGAAGGTCAGATCCGTTGATGGAACCCCGACGACTCATCACCGACGAGCCAACTCATCACCGACGAGCTATTCTTGCTACCAAGGTCGCCGAGCTCACCAGCTGCCTCGTGACTCTACTTGCAAAGCTCGGTCCTTCATCGCCACTTCGTTCTTCCGGTCCTGGCCATGAGTCTGCACGCGGCGGCGTCAAGCTTAACTTGGCCATCACCTCCAAAAGCCTAACCTCGTCTTTTGGTGCCCAAGAAAACATCGTCTGTTGGGCCGTGTGGGATTAAGAGCGACCACACTGTACATGACTTGGAGGTCGTCTCACAGACTTCCAAGATGAGCATCGGGAGATTGCTATTGCAAGCAATCGCAGAAGCCGTGGCGGACAGTTACACAACCGCTCCTTTGGCGAGCTCAGAAGCTTTTGGTTGATCCTCTTGGCCTTTCAGCTGTGGGGTGATCTGAGAGCTGTCATCGCTACCTGTGTCTTTCGCCTTCAGCCGCACGCACTGCTATGAACTCTGCTTAAGCGACGAGGGTCTGCACGCCGGACCCGAAACTCACTCTACAACCACCCATTCCATTGAGTACCCAAGGCTGCTGCGAACGATCAGCGGTAGAAATGTTCCCAGAGCTGGATGAGGTGAGACGAGAGCTCTCAGAATGCATAGAGGAGCACCCCGAACATTGGTGACGCATACTCMCATGTAGCACGACGCACGCGGCGCGGCAAGACAATACACATGCGGGTCTGCTCAGCGCCAGCACAGTGTCTCGCTTGGTGGAACAGATGACAACGATTCATTGCGTTGCCTCGTACATATGTAGTATACCAGTGTTGTTGTTTGTTTCGAAGCAGCCGGAGCAAGCGACGATTTCCATGCCAAATGAAATATGCCATGCTCTGCTTAGCATCGAGCTGCCAGATGGGTTCGCCCAAGACATTGCGATGGTCGTCAAGATTGGTGTCTACGAGGCTCACTCAGGCATCACTGGAGGCGTGAAAGGCTAAAGTAATATTGGATTTAGTGGCGGCCATGTGCAGCCATGAAATGAGCAAGGCAAGGCTCCATCGCCATTGGCGGTGATTCGGCTACAACCGCGTCACCCGAGCACTTCACACCTCCTCATGTGTGCTGCGTTAAACCTGACACGGCGCAGAAGGATTCTTGATGCAGACAGACTTCGGATCCGCAAGCCACCAATATTGAGTTCAGCAGCGCGCTTCGTCAACCCTGCCTTTGTGCCTCTGCATCCTTCCAACTACCCAAGACTGCTCCGGTGGGGAATAAGCTCTGCGACACCCTTTCGCCATAACTTCGCTGCGAAGGTCCTCGTTGACTTCGGCCCTAGCGTCGCTGCAGCCCGAAACGGGTCAAATCTGTCCACGACCGCAAGACCGCAAGGCTGCCAGAGAGCGCCGAGCGTAATGGTGCAAGCTACTCCCTCACGCGGCTCGAGGCTCGACGAGCTAGCCAGCTGTGGAACACATAAAAAGCCCAGCAACCCACTCATTCAAGGGTGAGCCCACACCTTGTTCCACTCTGCGTACCCGCCTGCATCGATACCTGTAGCATATTATTATCATTATTATTATCAACACCACGGGCAATTGTCATTACGTGCAGCAGCCGCCATCATGCTCGCAGAAACTGCATCCCTCCTTTCGTTCTACCCCAGCCCACCATCTTTGGAATCCTCAGACGCATCCAWCACTCTCTTGGACACCAACTACTTCAACATGGGTGCCAACACCAACACCGCCATGGATGGCATCGGTGTTCTCAACTATCAACGCGCCATTGACATTGCACGCAACACGGAAGGCGACCTTGATCYGACCGTTTCAGCCTATCTCGAAGGCGCTGTTGCAGACATATGGGCTCGCATCAATCTCGACTCTAGCTGCTATGTCATGACAAAGGACGAGTTCGCCGTCTTCAACTTTTACCGGATTCGATACCAGGACAACGATGTGGCAGAGCAAGCCGTTGCTCGATTCTGGGCCAACACCCACGAAGACGTTGGTACATCAGCCTGATGTCCTCATGGTCGTACAACGAATTGCGGCGCAATCCCGATCCCGATCACCGAAGGCCCAACGTTCGCTTGAGCGTGCCGATACTCCATATTGGCGCTTGGCATTTACAACTGGTGTGCCTGCTTCATGTTCGCCTGCATGACCAACTGCAGCCATGTCCGTGCTTAAGCGAGGATCGGTACTTCGACAACATGACATCGATCGAGGCCTTTCATCGCTGCGACGGGCACGCAATGCTGTTTTACGATTCACGATTCCACGGACAGCAAAGACCTGCAACGCAGACTCTACAAGCTCATCATACGCCCAGCTCAATGCCACTCCCGATCTTACCGTCGAATTCGACCTTTTTCCGGTTGAGCAACATGCTTGGGTTGCCACCATCGTAAATTACATCAACAGAAGAAGACGAAAGCTGTCGCTTTCGCGCAACACATCGACAGAGTCGTTTATACGCGATACCGCACAATCGAGAGATCTCGAGCTTCGATCAACAACATCCACAGTTCACCCGGGACTGGACCAGAACGTCGGTAATACGCATGCTTGTCCTGCTATCATTCGGCCAGAGACGGCACAACAACATCTGCGGGCGTGATAGCTGCAGGCGACAGTATCAATGGAGTACCATCTTGCACCAACAGGCCGGAATCTGCCATCATATCGGAACCATTCACCCTTTAATCTAGCGGAATGCAGAAGGATGTGCTCGGACCAACTGTTTTCCTTGCTGGTCCTGGCGGCGCTCACTCGGTGCATCTGTCGTGAGTGGATCCGCGAATGAACGGCCAAAGAGAAACACATTCGGACAATTGCCTTGAACGCAGAAGATGCAATGATACTGGGAGTCGGAGCTCGTTAGTAGGAAGTCTGCGTATTCGCTATTGGCAATCCGACTCGTTCCATTCTGGCGACTTGAAGCTTCCCGAATGAATGCTCCGAACCAAGGAAAATCGTTTCCACGGACATGCTTCGGGTATCGGAGCTCACGGTAAAATGCTGGCGGAAAGAATACGCCATCCTTATGGTCTGCACAGAAGATCCTACATTGACCAATAAGCAAGATCCGCTTTTGTCCCGTCTCGGGCGGCGTTAGTCTTTTACAACATGGTCGGAAAATAATAAAAATATGCAGCGAATACGCAAGCAGAAATCGCGCCAAGCCTATCCATGTAGCTGACGTGAAAAGTCATGATCACGGCGCGAACGGAATTCTAGTCTCTGCTCTCCAACAACTTCTCCATTAATTCCTGTGCCTCCGTCCCACAATCAATATCCATCTCCGCAATGTTTGGAGACGACGTATGTTCAAGGTTCACGCTAAAATTGCCAGCCTTGTCGGAGCCGAAGGGCCGGCCTTTAGTCTGGCGCACCATTAAATCCTACGCCATGCTGTCTTGAACTCTGGCAGGTCATCTCAACCATGATATCAAACCAGAGAGCATGACTCTCCTGCCCCTCACCCCCCGGGACAAGTACCGGAAGAGAAGTAGTCTCCGGTGAAGTGAGAGCTTCTCAGATCCCGTAAACTTTGTAGGAGAAGGCAGCGGAGCGTGAAATCGGTTCCGCTTCCGTTGTCATCACTGCCGCGGCTGACTCGGCCAGCCTCTAGAAATCGCAAGGCAGAACGGAAAAATCACAATCGATTTGTATTTGGATGTTGAATATGTTGGCGAGACCATCTTGTGTTTTGCCATCTACATGCGCTGCTGAAAGTGTGCACCTTCTGCTGCGTATTTGCTCGATTATGGTATGTACCCCAGTACCACGTCTGGAACAACACAATGTCTTGGAAGTGGGTTCTCAGTCGATTGATATGACTGGACTGGATCTGTATCGACCCACAGCAAGATTTCCTGGGCATCGATCGCGTAATAGGCTAATGATGGGTACCTCAGCTTGGGAGGTGTGGGGCCTATACTATTTCGGCAGCGAAAGTCCTGCCAGTCGAAATGCTTGAATTATCGCATCATAATCTGTATGCTGTATGATGACTCGCACATCGGATATGCTGCAGGTCAGACTTGTGCCATGATCAGAGTTCGATGGACAATCCTGGAGGATGACCAAGTGCTCCCACACATCACCGCAGTGCCGTGGCCGTGCAAGCTGATGGAGTTGATGTCCGTCAGACACCGTTCATTGCCGACTGTATCCACAATCCATGCCCATGACTTGTGCTCCGGAGCTGCTGCCGCGAGGCGAGCTTCCCACTCAGCCACGTCAGGCGAGTTCGAGGTCGATATCTGTGGAGTGCAGATTTCGAAAGAGCTTGCACGAGTGCCGTTGCTTTGCTGATTATGCGATGCCATCAATGTTCAGTTCAACCTGTTGTCTTCGTTTGAGCTTATTATAACGTCTCGCAGCTCAAATGCTAAAGGCTGCAAAACTCGCTTGTCAAACATCTGACTTGCCCATCAGCTAAAGAGGTGAGTAGAGCTTGGCTTTCGCAGCAATATCAATCGAATGATCGACTGCGACGAGATGATGTTGTGAGTTGGCTCTTGGCTTTTGCCGTTTTGCGTAGAAACTCGTTCTAAGAAACCCGTTGTTAAACGACCTGATGTGACAGAGCTAAGGTACGTGCTCAGAAAGGCAACATTTGAGTTTCTGATCCTCGACTTGGCAAAGGAGTTTAACTGGTTTGGATTCGGAGGCTTGTGCATCCGATTGATTAGGTAGTGTGGGAACAACGCTGGCTCCATTATGCCTGACCGCAACCCCATCCAGTGATGCGGCAGTGAAGGCGTAAAGATTCATGTAGGAGCGTGACTCGCACGCTCGTGATCCACTATACGGCGTCGCCGACAGAGCACTGATATGCTCAATCCGACGAGCAGTGCGCCATAGGTGCAGATGCAAGGTCGATCTTGAAATGCTGGTTGCAACCGATGAGGTTTTGTGTATGACTGGGCATCCTCGGCACGGTAAGCCATTAGGAAGGAGAATTGCCATCACGATCGAGACATCTCATGGATTGTTAGCATGGCAAGCCCACGCTCACGGCTGCCATCGCTTGACGCGATGGATCGCAGGCAGGAGATCCGTCATATGGAACGGTTTCGTGATCATCTCGTCCATCCCCACAGATCTTGCGTGTTCCAGTTGCTCGTGCCGGGCATTGGCTGCGAGTTGTGTTAGCCGTCTCCTCTTCGCCCATCTGGTTCTGGAGCAGCAGAGACACACCTGTGACGCCTAAGATGGGAAGCCGCACGGAATCTTTCTGTGATTGCTCGCGTGCTCTGATGGCTCGCGTGGCTGCTATGCCGTCAAGGACAGGCATTTCTATGTCCATGAGGACTRCGTCCAGAGGCGGCCTATCTTTGCTGTAGATGTAATCGAGCGCCTCTTGGCCATGATTTGCAACTGCAACATCGAGCCCTGCGCGTATGAGCTGCTTGCGCATGACCTTTTGGTTCAAAAGGTTGTCCTCAACAATCAATGCGGCAATGGGGCGATCTTTCTGTGCCTTGTTCGTTGGCGGGCTCAGGTTACCGATCGCTGCCGTCAGCTCCCGCTGAATGCTCTCTCTGGCCTCCCTGTGAGGTAGCAGCGGCAGTTCAGGTTGCTGCGAACAATGGCTCGTTCGAACATAGAAAGCGAAAGTTGAGCCTGAAGGACCTGAAGCAGCGCCTATTTGTCCTCCCATCTGTCCACAAAGCTCCTTGGATATCCATAGCCCAAGACCAGAGCCTCCGTAGGTTGCGTATGTCTTGTTGTTCTGGTTCGGAGCTTGTCTAAAGCGTTCGAAAAGACCTGCAAAGTCGTGACTGGATATGCCCGGACCCGTGTCTTGGATGGAGATGTATAGATACACAGGCTGGCTACCTGTGAAAGCGTCATTTACCTGCGCAGCAGAGACGAATGTCACTCCAAGATCTGCTTCGCCAGGGCATGTAGCACTAGCTTCCAGTCTCACAGTGATCTTACGCGAATCCTCAAACTTCGCGAATTTGATGGCATTGGTGAGTCTAGTAAGTCGCAGAGGGTTAGCGATGCGTGGCACGGAGGTGTCTGTAGAGCCGCGGAGAGCTTGATGCAGCGCGTCTTTGCATCGGAAGTTGTTCTGAATGACCAAAGATTCACTTTCGCTGCATGTTGGCGCGAAGTGGTTCGCTACCAATGCACCGACGCCGAGGTGCGAGTGCTTTGTGGATCTGAAACACCCCCGATGCAAAGATACGCTGTACACACTTCGTAGGCTCATTCCACTCACAGATTTAGTAGCCTAGTAAAGAGTAGAACATCAGCGATATGTTTGACTCCAGCGGGAGAACGAGCCTAAAACTTGCGATGCCTCACTCGTAATTCTTGAGCCTCTGCATCCGGATGTGCTTACACCTGTAGTAGTCTCGTAGAGTCCAAAAGAACGTATTGAACGTTGTAGTCCCGATACGACTGTCCGACTGTGTAATCGAGATCAACGCGACTCCTTTGAAATTCAGTCCTGAACATTTTCAGCGCCGATTCAATCACTTCTGTGACCTGTATGGGGGATGGAGACATGGTCAGTAGGCCAGACTCTAGCTTTGAAGCCACCAAAACATCCTCTATGATGCGCTTCTGATGCCGTGCGCAGGTGATGATAGTCTCGACGCTCTCTAGTAGAGTTGATGCAGTCTGCCGGCTAAGTGGGATGTTGAGCTCGCCCGGCGACTGCATTAGAGTGGATATTGTCGTGTACAGGTCGTCTGCGCAGAGAGTGATGGCTGCCAGTGGATTTCGAGCCTCGTGGTTAGTCTTGTCAATGAATGCTTCCTGGAATGGATCAGCGAATCAACCCAGGGGTAGCGTCCAGACTCGTCGACTCACCTGCTGTCGACGCCGGTGCTCCTGCTCTTTAACTTTCCTTACTTGAAAGCCTTCCATCCACTTCTGTCGTGATATGTCGACGAGACAGCCAAAGACACCTTTGACGCTGCTATCACCGCCATTGCTCTCGCTGTCATCCCGTAAACCGTACGCAGATATGAGGATCCATGTCTCACCCTGCAATCGCTCGCCATCGAAGATCTCGTCGGTTATAAATGGTCTTGAAACGTCAGCTTGATGTCGATGCAAGGTTCAAGCGTAATTCGACTTGCCTGCTGAGTCGAAACTCAAAATTCTCAACTTGCTCGCCCGCCAAAAGTCGATGCCAGTGAGCTTCGTAGGCATCACGATCAGCTTCTACAACAAGCCTGCCTCGTCTGATCTCCTCAGAAGGGACGCCACTGTTACCAGTGAGCTCAAGCCATCGCTGATTGGCGAACAACAGACGACCTGCACTGTCAAATTCGAAAATGGCGATAGGGGCAAGGTCCGCCATACTCCTGAAGCGCATCTCACTATCACGCAGCCCTTGCGTACTCGCAGCCAACTTCTCCACTAGTTGCATGCGATCCTGAGCTGCGAGTCTTGCAGAGATGCGGGCACGTCTTGCTTCATCTTCAGCCAATACCACAGATGACAGTGTCGTGGTCAGTTGATTTACGAGAAGTCGCACGAATCTTTGATACTCCTGATCGTACGTTCGTCTTGTATTGAGACCAAGCAACAGGAAGCCCGACCGATGCTCTTGGTGGGTGCTGTATAGCGGACATAGAATCGCAGTGTCGCATGTGTCACCCTCAAAAGCACGCGATTTCGCCATATCACGCAAGTGTTTGGGAAGTGAGCCATCTGAGGCGCGGAGCACTACCAGCGTCTTTGAAAGCATCGCTGAACGAAAGACAGGAGTTAGGAGATCATTTCCAGAGTCAAGATCCACGCGCGTGGGAAGCGGTGGGTCGTAACCGGTTGGCGCGAGGACACCTTCGAGCGTCCATTCCTTTCCAGCGAAAACCGAGCCAAAATCCGACTGAGCGAAACCAGCGCTCGCGTCCGAACTACCGCCAGCGAAAATTGTCTCCGCGGCGGAGATATCTTCCTGGGCAGGTCCGTATAGTGCCGCGAAGGGCACCTCGTTCGTGTTGCTCTCCAAGCCGCGAAGGACACATGTGTAGTAATCCTTCATGCTGGAGGCTTTGGACGTTTCGACCTCGAGTGCGTGGATGGTCAGCATGCGTCTTTCATGCAGCACCTCTCGAGTGTTCTCAAACACGCTGTTGTAATATCCCATGTTAGTCCCGGTAGACAGAGTCCCTGCGATGGGCCTGACAGTCCAGCCGGCATAGATTTCCTCATTGTAGCCATTGCGGTGGACGAAGAACAACACGCTATCCTGGAAAGATGGTTGCCCTGTGAGGTCCGCATGGTCGAAAGCTCTAGCGAATTCTGCATTGACCAGCTCAGGCCWTACTTCATCGGATGTCTTGCCATGCGCCCAAGGATGACGATTGCCCAGAGTGAAGTTGTAAGCCTCGTTGTAGATGACGCCTAGGGGGGAACAAGATCAGCGATGTTTTCAATGAATACCTTAGGCAGCAGAGGGCGGGCAGGCGCGTAACCATCGTTTTCACGCGTATGATGTCCACCCTCTTGCCAATGGTAGAAGTAGGTAGGGAAGGTATTGCTCACAGCGTCTCATCGGACCCCACCAGAGCACGGCCGACCTCCGGTCTTGGATGGTAAAGTTCACCATCCTGCGCAGCTCTATCGGCCATCCGGACATGGGACCCAGCTCTGTTTCATGCCACGGATAGTTCCTGAGCAAGGTCACATGCTCGTTATTGGCCCAGTCCGGTGGTACGTCTGCCGCGGTGACATCGTGAGGCCCGGCGAGCGACGTGTCCGCCTGAGGCTTGCCGGCCGTCGATGATGGTGGTGGAAGCGGGTGCTTGGAACCATTGGTCTGCCCCAGGTATCCCAGRCATTCGCACCTTTCTCGCAGCGTTCTGCCCAGCCATTCGCTATCGTGTTTCTTCAGGTATGCAAGCCAATCTTCCACTCCCTGCGGTTCCTCCTCGTCCCCCTGCTGTGCATTTACCATCACGGCGGCGGCGTCTTGTCCCGCGGTGCAGATTCAAATGCAGATTGACCGCCGACACCAAACGCAACGTGTCCGCCAACAACAAACAGCATTCATTGATCCACCGCCAATCGTGCGTATCGAAGGTCACATCATCGTCTGCTCTCTGCGACTGGTATACCGATGAAACCGTCCAGGCGAATAAACTTTACCTCGACATCATCACAAAGCCAATTTGCACGTGAACCAAACGGCGCGCCGCAAAAGAGGAAAGATTCTGCGGACGACATGTCTACCGTTTCCAACGACGATGTCATCACCGTCGCCAATCAGTTACTCGATCCCCTTGACCTCGAAGCAACATCCTACCATACTCTCCAGCAACTCTGGTCGGGATACGGGACCATAGCAAGATTGCAAACCGTGTCGAAAACATCGCCAATATCATCCGCACTGATCCTCAAACATGTTACGCCTCCATCAGATGCAGGCAAAGACGAGGGTCATCTACGCAAACTTATCTCCTATCAAGTCGAGCAGTACTTCTACACGACACTAGCACCCTTGATGCCAAAGTCGATTGGTGTTGCAATTTGTCTTACATCGCAGTGGAGCGATGCCGGTGGCATGGCCATGGTCTTGAGTGATCTTCGTAATCAATACCCGGTTCCCGGTGAGAAGCGCGGGAACCTGGATCAGAGCCAGGTGTACGCTGCTCTGCAATGGCTGGGCACATTCCATGGATTCTGGTGGCGGCGTACCAAGGATATTAAAGCAAAAGGTCTGCGACTGCCTCCTCTTGAAGAGGCCGACTGCTCGCCTTCTCGCAAAGATGGCGTGTGGAGGAATGGCGGGTATACGTACCTGGCAACCCGTCGAACAGAGTATGCCACTTTGAAGAACGACAAGACTTCAGAATGGTCTGAAAAGCTGTGCGCACCCGCTCTGGAGCGAAAGAGCAGCATTGCGGAACTCGTGGCAGATGTGCTCTCTCCCTCAACTTCGCACTCATCGGTTGCAGCGTATGAAACTTTGATCCACGGGGATGTAAAGTCTGAGAACCTCTTTGCAAACTCCATGGGCTCAAAGGTTGCATTCTTCGACTTCCAGTACGTTGGGCTTGGATTGGGAGTGTGTGATCTGGCAAAGCTCTTCACTTGCTCTGTTCCATCTGAGCTACTGGGTGCGAATGACGGAGACATGTCTGAGAGTGAGAGAGTGCTCTTAGATTACTACATGCGATTCCTCGAGGAAACTTCTGGAAAGACCTATCCGTGGGCGTTGCTCGAGATGCACTGGAAAACCGCTCTCGTCGACTGGTTGAGGTTTCAAGCCAGTTGGGGCTTTTGGGGCAACACAGCCTGGCTCGAAAGCCGGGTGCGGCACATCTTGGAAGATGCAGAATGGAATGCATGGTTGCTCAAGGAAGCAGACGCAGCGAAGAATTAGAAGTAACTGCATCCAATGTTATGTTAGAGTTTTAGAGCTGTGCCTTGATAAAAAATGGAAGCTGAAGTTTCCGATTGTTTTGGCGACCACAGTTGTAGAGTTCATTCGGTCGCGTTCTGGTCTGGCTGGATGAACGTTGGCTCACTCACATCTGAGTCGACGAACCTCCCGACTCAGGTGATGCCGTTGATCCCCACATGGTGCACGTCGATCCACGAGAAATGTATCGCAGCTGAGGTGGCGGATGATGACTTTTCTCGAAAGGTTCTCGAAAGGTGACGATCTTGCGTGAATGAAGTGCCGGCTCCGACTTTGCGGTGAGGTAGCTTTAAAGTTGCCGAAGAGTCGGAAGGGAAAGAAAACGGGGTATGTAGCCCCACGAACGGAACCTAGCCGAAGTGAAGTGAATGAAACCCAAGCTACCTTTTTACACTAGGGAGAATTCTCGACAACCGCTGAAAGCAGGAACATTGTTGACTAAATTATCGATCTTTGCCATAATGACGATCGCAAAGTCACCAGCGACCTTGTCGTTGCCGCAATCGAGTGTCTCATGGCGGATTCCACAACTGCGCWACAAATCATGTCATCGCGGGAAATGTCCGCTGATTACCTAGTCAATACAAGCGTTCAAAGTTAGGTACAGTCGGAATCTCACTTGCCTTGTTCCTACCTTTGCTACTCATGTTCCACTTCTTTAGGCCCCAAGCGCCGGGTAATTGCCTCGGATGGCTGGACTCATCAAGACTCGGAAGCCTTTTCTCTCCTCTACTCGGGCCTGCAATCTTTCATACCCACGCAATCCACTCAAGTGCCCTAGCTTTGACGGATCATAGCAAGATATGGCTCGCGCATGCAGCAGGAACGGGCCCTTCAATCGCGAGAAAAGATTGCCAGCATACTCACTCGCCGCACATTTACAGCATCTTCCCAGGCGTTGCAATTGAAGATAGAATTGTCGTTATTCTGGAAGTCTTCAACCTCGCGTTAATATATGCCTCCTTTCCCAAAGTGGGGCCTTCTAGTACGTACTCGCCAAGGGTATACTGTACAGATCATCCAAACCACCCCCGAAACGCCATGCTCGTCAAGTGGAGTCCGCTCGTACGCCAGCCAAATCCACCAAACTGTCGATACTCCCATGGTTTTCGCATGCCCACATGTTTCAATCCCGCTGGCATATTTCAATTGGCGAGAAGTCGAGGCTCTCGCTCCTCGAACATCTGTCTCACATACAGGAGGGAGGCAGACCAGTTGGACTTCCAAGACGGTTTTGTGCCCAGATCGTTGGTGTCCTAAACAGCGACCCACATGACACTCACTACGATGTCCATACCCTTGCCCTCACCACCGCCGTACTTGTAGCTCCACATGCCGTCCTTTTCGTTGTTCCAGAAGGCCCCGCTTGCACTGTGCATGCCTCGTCGTCCCACCTTCTTCTCTTTATCCCCGCCGAGACTCACGCTCTCCTCGCCGGCAGACCGCGGGTCGCTCAAGTGTTGAATGATGGTCGTGTTGACGACGAACTTGTACTGTGGCGGTTCATCGCCCGAGCTGCTCTCTGAGATGAGGGAGCGTAGAATGGAGTTGATGATATCCTGGTTCCATGTCTGGGTCTGGGCGTGCTCATAGACCGAGGCGCTCGAGATGGCAGCGTCGCAGGCGTCGGTGCAGATTTGGCGGAGACGAGTGGTGGGGATTGGTGGCTACGGAGAGCAGAGAAGAGTAAGCAGCGATTCAGGGATAATTKGAGGGACTGGGAGGGTAAAACGGGCAGATGAGAGAATTGTTGTCGGCTGTCCCTGCATGTGACAGCCAGCGGGCGCGGGCAGAGCTTACAGAAGATGCCATTGCAATGGCAGTCACAGATCTGCCGAATGAAGTTGCGTGATTTTCTGGGGGCGAAGTAGGCTTTTTTTCGTCGCTCACACGTTTATCAGAGGTCGCTTGGGATCGTTGGGAGGGCGGCTGTTTGGACTGCGATTTCGGCGTTGGTCTTGGTCTTGTTTGGAGATTGTGGATTCCAGACGTCGGGCCTTGTCTCTCGAACCCAAACTCGGCAGGAGCAGCGGGAACGGGTTCGCTTGCGAAAGTGGGGGGCGACGCAACTGCCAATCAAACGGAACCAGCCATCCACGACATCCCAGATACCTTAGCTCAGCTGTGGATAGCGACGCTTCTTTTCTTTTGAACAAACATTCGCCTGCGAATCATTGTGCRACAGAGCCATTGAACCTATCCCGACGGCAATTCCATCAGCAGAGCACCAGAATCACCGCACGACAGCCACAGCACGAAAACCACAGCACGACCATCATGTCCAGCCAACCTCTGCTCCAGACTGCCCCCGGTAAGTCAACATCATTCCAGCCCATGGCATCCCCCAATGCGTCAACACTTCAATGCTACCATATCACACCCCTATCTTGTAACACCATCCACTAACCCCGAGATCCCTTAGGCAAACGCATCGCCCTCCCCACCCGCGTTGAGCCCAAAGTCTTCTTCGCCAACGAGCGCACCTTCCTCTCATGGCTCAACTTCACCGTTATTCTCGGCGGACTTGCCATGGGCCTTCTCAACTTCGGTGATCGCACCGGCCGCATCGCTGCCATAATGTTCACCCTCGTCGCCGTTGCTGCCATGCTTTACGCCCTCATCACATTCCATTGGAGGGCGAAGTCGATCAGGATGAGAGGCCAGGGCGGGTTTGACGATAGATTCGGGCCCACGGTTCTGGCCATTGCTTTATTGGCCGCTGTGGTGGTCAACTTTGCGTTGAGGTTCAGCTCGTAGATGGGCTTCTGTTCATGGTTATATGGTCAGCTGAGATCGGGCGGCATGTCTGTATGTATGGATTGGGTCGGGGTTAATGGCGTAAGGGGCAGGGCACATAGAGATCGAAATGACAGCATAATCGAGACAACCACCTGCATTCACGACTTGCTAGGCTACACTACAGCGGGTGTGATATTGAGCCGCGTGGTGAACGAGAGGTTCACGTGCTTTCACTCCACTCAATTTCGCAACGGATTTCACGCCCCTTTGATCTCCTCGGACCACTGTTGTCCATTTCGAGCACTTCCGTTCAAACTTTAGGGGCTACATATCTCCCATTTTCTCTTCGCGTACTGACGCATCAGCGTCGACCAGCCACCCGACGTTGAAACCGTTTCGGGTCATCAGCTCTTTTCAGACTTCGTCTGAAGGTTGGTCGAGCGACGCGACGCTCGCACCGCCACCCGCTCCTGCATCGTTCGCGCCACACTTGGATGAAATGACATCTCGTCGGCGCCCCTTCCAGTGTGGATTCGTCGAGGTAGTGGAAGGGAGCTATTCAGCGTTGATGCTGACCGAAATCGTGGACTGGAATGTCATGGAATATTTCGTCTACTTCATTTGCCTTCGTCGCCTTGCACGGGAGCACCTCCCATACCTGGACTTGGGTGATTTGGTACTGCGGCCTGCTGGCGTGGAGTCATCTGTTGAAAGCTGCCCGACATAGCACGCTGTTGCTGCTGTAGATGATAGGGGTGCTGGCCGGGAGATGGCTGGAAGTGAGGCTGCATGGGCATGCCTGGTTGGAATCCTTGATGGGATCCTTGATGGGACATCATCGGCGGACGCGGACTTCCTTGAAATCCCTGATTCCCATGTTGCTGCATGTTGTGAGGCATGTGTGGCTGGGCATGCGGCGGCATTGGAGAAAAGTTTTGCGGCATTGGCCCATTGGCATATCCTCCCGACTGTTGCTGAACCATCATGTGGCCTCCCATTTGTGGTCCGTTGAATTGAGGTCCTGGTCCATAGTTCCCGGGCCGCATAGGCACTGTGTCTTGTGTTAGTGTTGCAAAAGATGTCGAACGTGCTGCAACCTACTTTGCCCTTGCGGCTGACCGGGCATCATCATCATTGGACCTTGCATGTGTGGTTGACGGTACTGCATGGAAGGACTCATTCCGTACCCGGGAGGCATTGGTTGCCCGGGAAAGTGCTGAGGCATTGGTGGCATCTGGTTGTTAAACGGCGCTACTGGCATGTGTTGCGCACGTGGCGAGTTCTGCACGGATCCGTTAGGTCCGAAATGCTGTTGCTGCAATCGCGGGTCGAAATGGCCGGGCTGTGGTGGAAAGAACGGTTGCTGACGGTGAGGCGGACCCTGCATTCCTTGTGCATGCATATGAGCGGGCAGTTGATGTGCGTGCGACATTTGGGGGTTCACGATTGGCGTTTGCATGGGAGACGGGCCCGGATTGGCGGCTAGAGACTGCGCTGTGGGATATGCCTGGAGATATGACACCCCTTCGTTGCTCTTAGGTGTCTGCCATGTGGGAATGGTGTTGTACGCCTGGGGCATGCCACCATTGCTAGCGTATTTCTTCTTCTCCGACGCGGTGTATTCCGCTTCAGCCACGCGCTTGAGAGGATCGTAGTCAGCTGGAAATGGTTTCGCAGTCTTAGGCTTGTTTTTGTCGAAAAAGACAGAAGTGGCCTCAGCAGGAGCGCGGCTAATTGCACGCTGAGGGCTGGGCGATGTTCCGGTGGGCGTGAATGCAGAGGCTACAGGACGGAATTCGAAAGCTTTCGCGTTTACGTTGAGGCGCGTAGCCGATTGTGGGCTCATCATGGGCTCGGACGGGGCACCCGACGGGCCACTTGGTGGCACGCGAATATCTGGAGGCATGCCTTGGCGGGCGAGATTGTTGTTGGCACCTATCCGCTGGCTGAGAGGTTGACGAGGTGATGGGACTTGGGCATGAGGTGGCATCTGGCCAGGGTGTAAAGGTGCAGGACCGCCAACACCTCCACGGCCTGAGTGAGAGGATCTTGCCGCGCGAGACTGGTTGAACTGCTGGCGAGAGTCAGGAGTGGAAGACCCGGCATGTGAGGTCTGAGTAGATGGAACGGGAGAAGCGGCATTGCTGGTAGTCCTGTCCGTGTCCCGTGATCTAAGCTCTTCTTCTCTGGCAGCTTCTTCTGCCTTGGACTGGATTTCGAGCTGCTTCTCGCGATCTTTGGCTAGAATCGGAACCAGGTCGTCTGGAACACGACTCTTCAACTTGAAGTTGGCCGCAAATTTCTTCAGATCGTTGAGCTTGACATTCTTTTCTTGACGCACAGTGTTCCGCTTGGCCTCCTGAGCGGCTTTGATGCGCAACTTCTCGTTGTTTGCGAAGAGCTTGAATGCGTCGGCAGTGTCACGCACTCGATCCTCCGTGGTGCCCTCTTTCCTCTTAGGTGGGGCGGTTTSGGGCTCGACAGCAACCTTGGGCGCTGGTGAAGATCCCGATGGTGGAGTTTGAGTGCTCGCGGACGGGGTAGCCCTGAGCTGGCTTGAAATGATGGCAGGGTCGAATGGAGCGCCGGACACGCTGGGAGCGCCAGTAATTGGGCGCTGTGATGGTGGTACGTATGCACCCTGTGCACGCTTCGGGAGCGCGGACTCCCGTCTGACTCCAGAGTATTTGTCCTCTTCGTCTCCACCATCGTCGCGGCTTGCATCTCTCCTTCTCTCCTCCGCAATGTGCGCATTTGCCGGTGCGGAGCCTTCGATTTCGCGAGCGATTCTGTCCGCTTCCGCTTGTTTCCGTCGGAACTCTGGTGTGTTGCGATCAATAGCGGTAGTGTACATATTCTCGTCGTAGGTGGTTTGTACGCCGTACAGACGTTCATTCGCGGCGAACTGGTCCCAACTACGATCGTTGGGATCACCCAGTGACATGTCAGCGGCGGATGATTCGGCGCCAGCCTCCCAGCGCTGTAGCTCACGTGCCCGTCCCGCATGTGCCTCTTTGTTTGAGATCTGTGTGTCCGTAAGGAACGATCCGGCAGAGCCTACAGTGATGTTAGCGCAAGCCATTGGCATTGGGTAGAACGGGATCATACCATTCTGCTGAGATGGTGCCGCCGCAGTCGTAACGTTCGACACGAATAGATCGGCCGTGTCCTGTATGTCAAAGCCCATGGCGTGGTCATCTCCTTCGCCGACGTATTCGCCAGCTTGATCGCTGGCACCGTTCGTTTGTGGCGGCCCTCCCGATTGTAAACGTCTCGTCATCTTCAAAATGTACTGCGGCTTTGGCGATTCAAGCGATGCGCCGCTCATTACGCCGGAGTATTGCTCGCCGTTCTTCACAGTGATGATAGCAACTTTACCCTGTGATTGATGTCAGCGCCGTAAGCCGCGTGTATGCGTCCACGTGGGATGGAAGACTTGAGGGTGGAGTTCTCGGCGATCTGCTGGGTATACGTACAACAAAGTGTGCTAGGAGAAACAGACTGCGGTCGTGTGCCTGTTCCTTGTGTACGTCGCCGGAGCTCTTCGGAAGCTGCTTTGGCGTGCTGTGCGTTGGCTTGTCCGTGCCATTGGTGTTGCTCGTCTTCGGGTTGAGACTTTTTCCCCAAGCATTCTTCGGCGGAGGAGGTGGCTGTTGCATCCTGAAATCGATATTAGCATTCGCCAAGAGCGTCATATGCAGATGGGGTCAGATCTGATGGTGGTAGATGATGGGTATAGCGGGCATGTCCATTGGAATGCACCAGAGGCAAGTGCGAGTCGCCTGAGTGCGAGAGAACGGGCAGCAGGGCAGATGAGCGCAGCGCAATGTCTCGCAGAGGGTAGAATATCCATAATGTGTGGGACCAACGGGAAGCTCACCTGGAGTCGCTCTTCAGCTGCTGCTTCGACGCGGTATCACCGCCGTTGGTGGTTGCGGCCGACATGACTGCAGCAGCAGGTCGGCACGGGAACGGCGGTTGATGGAGATGTTGTGGTGTGGTGCGGTCGAGGCGTGTCGAGATGCAATGTGCAGAGGTGTTGTGGAGTGTGAGAAGCTAAGGTGCTTTCAGGGTACTTCCTGCAATCGCGGCCTCGCGCGTGCTCGATGAATGACCTTCTGAATGCTGTCAAAATGTGTGTGCTCAAGAATAGAAGCGAAGCCGTTGCAGAGAGCGTCGAGGCGACGAGGGCCTGGTGGGGGAGGGTGAGGGTAAGGGCGGCGAGATGGGCTCACGCGAGAGTTGGCAAGCAGGCAGGGCAGGTTCGAGGTCCAGAGTTGWAACCCCGTACACAGCGGGCCGAGTTCACCTAACTAGTCCCGAGTTGCGCAACCTCGCGAAGGACGGTCCTTCGAGACGGATTGTTGAGCTGCCAGTGACGGCGACAATGACCGATGAGCATGAAGTTGACGCAGCAGGGTATGTAATCCTGGAGACTTTTGTTGGAGAAAAAATGTCCGCGGTGTTTATTATTATAGGGGAAAACGGGAGACACAGGCCATCCGTCCATGGAACGATCAGATGCACGCAAGCTGTTGGTGATCGACGGCGCCAAGGCAAGCTTTGGTTCTAGGGAGTCCCGTCAGCTTCTTTGATAGGGCGACTACATCATTCAACCGAGTCCGCCAGCACACGCACGCACGCACATGTATCAACAAGCCTGAAGACCRGGCCGACATTCCATGGCCGAATCCCATCGCTTGGACCACGCGTGCTGCTAAAGAAGACACCTCCGTCGACCTCCCATCGCCGGCGCTGAAAGTCAGGGTCAGGCGCATCGTCTCCACGCGACAACCCGAGTCTCCGGACCGGAGAGAGAGGGAACGCGATCTCGAAGCACTGAGGCACCGCTTCGACTGCGGCTCTGCCTGCCTCATCAATTGGGACACACTTGTGCGCACCTTCGCCTTGCAACGATGAGCGGCGCGCAGCAGCCCGCCGCGTCGATGCCCGTCCCGCCGGCCGACGATGGCGCCAATTCGAGAGGCAGCGGAGGCTCCGCACGGGCAGGCGGCGGTCGGTCTCGTCAGAATGTGGGTAGAGTATACGATGCAATGTGCACGGGGAGAGCGTGGCTTGCGGGATGAAATAGTCGAATGCGCTGACATGTGACAGCCGCAGCAACAGCTCTCGACCATCGAAAAGTCGGTCACACATCTGCTGGTCGCTACGAAGCAGCTGCTGGAAACACTGACCATGTGGTCCACTGCACGCGCCACAGAGGGCGAGGTGTCGGATGTCTACGTGCGTTTGGGCTATGAGTTCAACATTGCATGTCGTGCGTTCAATGCCATCGGGGTGGACACATCTGATCTGGGACCCGTGCCGGACATGCTGCGAACAATCTTGGAGGAGACGCWCAGCCAGGAGGCCAACCAGCAGAGCTTGGAAAAGTACTTGCCGCGGATACGAGACATCATCATCAACTTGCTGCATGGGTTGAAGAAGAAACAGCAGAGATTACGGCAGCGGAGCAATCGAGAAGGTGGTGAAGCCAGTCGCCCGCCGAGACAAGCTTCCACTGCGAGCACCATGAGCGTGAACTCCAATCTCACCGAGCAGCTGGAAGATGTTCCATCCAGACACATAAGCAACAGATCGTTTGCTCAACGACAAGGTAGTGGGGACATGGGAGCGCAGGATCATCTTCCTCCGCGAACGACCAGCGTGGCTGGTGGAAGGAGCTCGCCGCACAAGCCTGGGCTAAGCCCGCGAAATAGCATCGGCGCCTCGCGCCAAGACACTGCCAGCACCGATTCGGGCTCGTCAATGTCCAGTAGTACTGCACAAAGTATACCTGTGATTGCGCCCTATCCCGAAAACGAGACGATGCCATCGAATGGCGGATATGAACAGGACCAACCGCATCAATACGAGCGGCCTTCTGCCTCGCCAGAAGCACCCAAGCCCCCGCCAAAGGCGAACGACGCTTTGACTGCGCTGCAGCGCGGAGGAGAGCTGGAGCGAAGAGCATCCCGGCGTTTTTCTGCCTATCAAATTCAGAAGCACCTGGGCACGTCGATGAATGGGATTCCGGCGATACCGGCAGCTCAAAACTCACCCATCCCGAATAGGGGTCGAGACGTGCGTGAGTCTCTGAACGCTGTGCGATCACGAGGAAGTATCTTGCACAGTCGGGCTGGATCACGCATGCAGAAGAATGGTGTCGAAAGTTCCCCCAACAGAGATCTCGAAGTGAGACGCATTTCCGAGGAGAGTAGTATGCAACAGGAAGAGTTTGCGCCCCCAAGCAAACCATTCACTTCGCAACAGCCAGAAAGTCCTTTGGTGAAGACTCCCGAGGACAAACTTGGGCCATCTCCCTTCTTCCCACCCGCCGAGGAAACTATCGGCGCCACGGTGAACGGTCCCATCGAAGAGCCTTTCCATCCGGATCAAGGATATACGACCAACGATTCAACCCCCGCTTTGAAACGTCAATCAGCGCGAACAACCCGCGATCATACACCCCCAGTCTCGCAATATGTCTCAGAGGGCTCTCCGCAGCCAGGCAAGGAGCTCACTTTGTTTCTACAATATAAAAGCAAGATCAAGAAATTCGTGCTGTCCGATGGAGGCGACCTCAGCATACCTCGACTGCAGCTGGCCTTCATCGAGAAATTTGCTTGGAACACGCACAACAATGGCGTCGACTTGCCAGAGATATATATACAAGATGCCGTTTCTGGCGTGAGGCACGAATTGGAAGACTTGAGTGACATCAAGGAAAGGTCTGTGCTTGTGCTGAACGTGGAAGCGCTGGACGAGGTGAAACGACACTTCGACGATGGTATTGGGAGCTTGCGGCGAATCGTCGAAGGTATTCGCTCCAGCGTGGATGACCAGCACTCGACGATTCAAAGAGTGTCCGACAGACAGCAAGAAACAGCCCAGGAGCTGGCAAAGATCGCAGCGGCACCTCCATCAGCACCTGCACCTCCAATCGTCAATGGGTCAGCCCCTGCCAGCAAGGACATGACTGGTCAGCTCAAAGAGGTACAGTCACTCCGTCGCGATCTTGCTGTGGTACGGCAAACATATACCTCCTTTGTGTCCGACATGCAGGCTTCCATGTCCACGCTCAAGACGAAAGCTGCAAGTGTCAAGCAGGCCGCGACCATCACGCCTGTCCCAGTCATGGATAATAACACTGGCCGCGCCTACGTCAACACRGGCAAGAAGTCGCTTTCCGATGATAGTGAGAGCATCGTCAATCGCGTCGACGATCTCCAGGATCTTGTCGAGGACCTCCGTAAAGACGTTGTGACCCGCGGTGTGCGCCCGCTTCCCCGCCAGCTCGAAGACGTCAGCAGAGACATTAGTGTCGCCACTGCTGACCTCAAGAAACTGCAAGACTTTTTACGAAAAGAGAAACCGATCTGGACCAAGATTTGGGAGAAAGAGTTGCAGGTCGTTTGCGACGATCGTGATCTGTTGACCATGCAGGAAGAGCTTGCCGCAGATCTCGAAGACGATCTCAACAAAGCTGCGCAGACGTTCGAGCTCGTTGAGCAGGCCACGAAGCAACAGAACCTTGCGAGTCCGACGGGCGCTACGCATCCCGGATCTCGATCTAGCTCACGAACGCTCATGCCTATACCGTCTGCCGACCCTGCAAAGGCAAAGGATAGTGTTCTCGGAGAGGTCAGGGCTCTGCAGCCCAACCACGAGTCAAGGCTCGAAGCGATTGAGCGCGCGGAAAAGGCAAGACAAAAGGAGCTTGAGAGCCGCAAAGAAGGAGAGTTTCAAAAAGAGCTCGGCAACTTTGTCGAAGAGGGGAAGCTCAAGAAGTCTGGAGGCGTCGAGGAAGTCGAGCGCCAAAGGAAGCAACGCGAGGAGAGGACGAGAAGGGAAATTTGGGAAAGGCAGCAGGCAAGAGCGAAAGAAATGGCAGAGAAGCAAGCTGCCGCGGCTGCTGAAGCGCAAGCCCAGGCGGCGAGCGCAGGAGATAATGAGAACGACGCACCAGCTGAGGGCGATGACCAGCCGCCTCCAGTGCCTGAAAAGGATCCAGTGCCAGATAAAGATGATGCATCATCGAATGAGGAGGTGGCGTCTGAAGAGGCGAGCGAGGATGTCCCAGCGCCGAATCCATAGATTCCTGGTACTCCTCGATTTAATGAACTTTCTGGAGCTAAGGCGTTCGTTTCAGTGAGACGTGACTGTGGCTGGTCAGCCTGGCGAAGAGATCAAGTGAAACGTAGGCGTGGATGTTGGCTGCTCCCGATCTTGATAGGGGTAAAGGGCAGGACTCACTTATGACACCGCCCATACTGTAACTTCTGTTGGGTGTACGTTTGTTGTCTAGGTGATATATGCCGACAGTGACACCGGGCTATTGGTAGAACCAGGTTTGTAATTGCGGCTTCATGCCATGATCGTAAATGCCTTCTGATCGTTACAACTACCAGCATCTGTTGTCATTCTATGAGACTCATCCAAGACGACATTGATACGCGCCTCCAACGATCTGTCTCTTTAAAGATCGAATGTTGCTTGCAACGCAAGCCCCTGATCAACCCGCTTCATGCGGAGGTCGAACTCCTCCATGATATCCATAAAATGCGCAGTGTTGTCTACGGTTAGTAGGTTGGCGAGGAGATGAATGTGTTGGTGAATGAGGTTGAACTTGTCCCAGATATTCACTTCGTTCTCGGTGCACGTCTTCCGAGACTTCGACGTTCCTGCATTTACTTTCAATCGTAATTCAATGAGGAATGAGCTAGTAAGGAGCTATATGTCCAAAGCAAGTATGAAGATGACAGCTTGTAATGCAGATTCATCGATGTCGAGTAGATTGATCTGCATTTGATCGTCTGAAGAGGGACATACACATATGCAGGATGCCGATGGACACTTTCGGAAGCGAGTATTGGGTGCTAGGGGCTGCTTGAGTTGGGAAAGGGCTTCATCGCCCTGCATCATTGAGTCTCTATCTAGCCATGTCGTGGGAGCATCCGAGTATTTCTATGCAAGCTAAGTCCTACCAGGTAGCGGGTCAGTTGACATTAGGAAAAGTGAGCCGTTCTCAATGTCTCAGGTAGGTAGCATCTTTGATAGACGTGGTTGCGTTAGGTAGGCTTGTACTTCTGGACCAGTATGGCCATCACAAGGCTGCATTCGTCTGTGATATGCATTTGGGCGGAACAACAGTACAGAGGTTACTAGGTAGCGGATAGCTTCTGTAGAATTTTCAGGGCTCAAAGTATGAAGCAATCCAAACGTATTGAGCCTTCGTTGATCACCCGACACCAAAGACCGGGCCTAGGAAAGCAAGGTAGGACATTCCTCAACGCCTAGAGGGTTGCGTCTGGTGTGRTCCTCTAAGTTGGTAGAGAACTGATGTTGGGATACCGCGCAAGTCCGTTGCTCAGTTGCCCAGCATCACGAGGCTGCATAGAGATAGCTAACAGTGGCAGACTTTTTGAGGGAGCTCAAAACCACCACGCCGGTCGGATCTCAACGGTTTCACATATCGTATTGCTTCAGAACCCTCTATGCTACAAAAGTAGAACGACAATGAGAAGCCTTGCGTTGGAGCTGGTCAACGAGGTAGCTTCCCCATAGCGATATATCGATGCAGTGTGGAGGGAACCTGAAGCTCACTGAGCCTCGGGGTTCTGGAACATCGATCCGGGTATTGTAGTAGAAGTGGGAGGTAGTCAAACGTGTGGGGAATCTTGCACGCCGAGACTGTGCTGATACCTGACAATGGGTTCCGGACGGTCCGCCCATGTCGTCTTTAGCCATGTGTCTTCACCTCATCATTCGTCTGCTTCTTCCTCTTCTCCCTCATCGCCGTCGTCTGCATATCCTTCGCCATCACCATCCTCGTCCTCGCTGTATTCTCCTTCACCGTCGCTCTCACCACCCGATGCCTCGTAGTCTTCTTCCAGCTCATCCTCCTCGTCCTGCAACGTTTGTTCGGCCTTTGCCAGCTCAGATTCCTCTTCTCCCTCCGCAACGCCAGTATCACTGGCTTCCACTTTCTTGTTCACATTATACGCCTTTGCTCGCCGGTCTGCAGCCATTGAAGCATCGTTGAGACCGTGTCGCTTCACATACTCGTCAATGCCTCCAAAGTCTGCCTGGTCTATCATGCTGAATTCGGTCTCCCTGGCTTCGGTGCCGTCTCCTTCTGTGGCCGTGATTACGAGGTTGAAAGTTCGTTGCAGCACAGAGGTGTAGCTGATGGACTCAATGACCGAGAACGGGAAGAAGGCAAGAGGCTTCTTGAAGCCGAATACCACGCCGTTGGAGAGTAGGAAGAGGTAGCCTTGGATGGAAATTAGCAAATCGTCTCTCGCATGCATGCGTTGTTGTAACCAAACCTTCTTTCGACCCCTTGTGCACTTTGATGTGGTATGCCTTTTCTCCTTTTCGATGCGACTGCGGTATGCTGCTTGAGAACTCGACGTCTGTTGGTCGCACCACACGTTTGCCGTATGGTTGCAGAAAGGTGTTTAGTTCGGGCTCCGTGACCGAAACGTACGTATCTCCTTCTGCCGTGGCACGTGTGGAAGAGCTGGCGTCGTCTGGTTTCGTCTCGTTCATGGTGAAGACTATCTGTTCGCAAGGCGTTCCCTCCGCATTCGTAGCTCCAGCCTGAGGGAAGAGTACAAAGTTCCATTGTCGCTGCTGCTTCTCGGGGACAGGCAGACAAAACGCCTGATCGACCTGAGAGTTGGAAATGGCATATTCGACGTCGTCGCTCTGAGCATTTAACACCCTGACCTCTCTCCGGCTCGAATCAGCAGCGTCGGCGACCAGTTGTAACTTCAGCTTTTTTCGTKCTGGAACAGCGAAGCTAACATTTTTGCATTCGAAAGACACACTCGGGTTGGATATGGCATTGGTGTTGCCGTTGGTCTGGGTGGTGGGAGGTACATCGTCCAGCTTCCGCTTCTTGGAGTTCGTTGGTAGAGTGGTGCGGTGTGTGGCCAGCACGTGTTTGGCGATATCACCAAACAACTCGGGCAATTCTCCTTGATATCTCTGGCCTGCGTCAATTATGCGGGCCGAGAGCGCCGCGTCAAATGCATTTTGCACGTGTTGCGACCATGTCGTTGAGTTCGACATAGCTTGATGTAGAGTATAGTAGAGACATACCTTATATGCCTCCGAACTGGAGACCTTCAACTCAGACTAGTCCGTTTCTGGTTAGCGATTGAACGCAAGCTCCTTCGTAATGTCAGCAGCGTATCCTTGCCTCTCCTAGCCAAGGTCCCAAGAGCTAACAATGACTTTTGCCAACGGTATAGCTTCTTGGCAAGGCTCTCAGTGCACGTCTCGGACAACAACAAGCCTTTGCCGCAGCCATGCGCGTCGTCGACATCCTTGGGCTAGAACGGAGGTCGATGAGGGGAGCGTCCGCGAGCAGTTTGCTTTCTTCTGTACCGACCACTTGACCTACTGCCTCATCAATATCAACAAGGCCAAGCCGTCATGACCGGTCTCCCCGCGCTTCTCTTCTGCATGTTAGCGCATGCATTCGCTCAGACAACCACCTACGCGAGCACGACTTCTGGCCCGACGAGCGCTTCCACTATATCACTATGGCTGCCCATGGGCGGCATCCCAGAGAACTCTATACAAGCATCGATCTTGTTTGCGGTATACTTGTCTACCTACCGCCGTTTGCCGAAGTGAAACTGCTGATACTGCGACTGTAGTCACCAAACGCAACGGCATATGTTTTAGGATGTCCTGCCAACGCTACGCTTCGCTATTGTGACAGATCACCACCTATAWCAGTCACCGAAGGCGTGAGCACAATCTCTTACACCAATACCTTCTTCAGTAATTTGTAATAGAGTCTTCCTACATGATCTGGACGTTTGCTGACCACGGACACAGAGACACTGTGCGGACTGTTGAGCGGCCAGTCACCGTCAAGTGTGAGTTGGTGGGTGCAAAAGTGTCTATAGGCCGTGGCGCAACGTCTGCAGTCTGCTCCGTCTCGTCTGAGATATCAGGCTTGGGGGTTAAAGTGAGCACCACGCGTCTAGCGTCCAGCCAGATAAACTACATCCCGGTCACGATCACCGCTGGAGTGGAGAAAATCGGAGCGGCAGGCACAGCTACCAACACAGGAGAGCTCGCTGCGAGCACCGCAGCTGCTGCTGGTCCGCCTCAGATCACGCCTATGGCGAGGTTCGCTCTCGGCGGTGCAGCGCTCGGGATGATGGTACTGGCCAACGTGTGAAGGAGCATGTACACCCACTTCCCAGACTACGAGTTCTCTCCGCCCGCGGCTCTGATCAGCCGGTCCGCTTGTACGATGCACTCGTCTCATATCAGAGCTGAGGAACGGCGGACGAGGCTACTTGCATTGCAATACAACAGACTCCGAACGCTGGAGGCTGCAACAGAGTCCGGCCGCACAGCTACGTGCCAACTTTATTGGACTCCATGCTGCAAAGTCGTTCAGCACGATGCCTACCAGATTCTGCACTGCAATCTGCCGGCGCCACCGAGCAAAGTCAGATGCACGACATTACGCATGGACGGCCTGGCTCTCGGCTAACACCATTGTCACCACAGAAAAGCCGCCGCGCTCATCAGCGCAGACACATGGATCGCACAGTCTTGCTTTTGTGAGCAGCCATGCAACTGTCGTATCTTCCGAACGGCCAAAATCGGCGATGGATCCAAGGTCACAGGGGGTTTCCGAGGGTAAATTTCTCCTTTTCAAAACGACGTCGAAGGTCATAGGAATTGAGAAACGGCAATGTTGCAGCATACGCAAGACGGGAATGAAGACTGCGCAATTTGTGCTCATGGGGAGGCGCAGTGACATCAGATGCGTCTAGCCAAGTAGATAGGTGTTCAGAAATCATTACTTTAGAACATCTACCTATCCGGCTCCAGTCTCCGTAGTGCTGGCTTTCTCTGACCGCCGTACACCGCGGCTGAAGTCCCGACAGCCACTCCCAATACGCCAGTCAGTAGAAGAAAGTTGAATAACACGCTGCTACCATTCCCAGCCATTTCAGCACTCTCATACTGCGATGCCCTTTTCCGTCTGGTACGATGTCTGTTCTCTATCTCGCTATGCGTCTGCGTGTGTGATCTGTTGTCAAAGTGCGGTACGTCGCCATCAAAGCCCATTGTAAACCCTCCAGGTCCCATCCCTGGCCCAGCAGGACCGCTGGCGGATTGTCCACTCGTCTCATTCGTATGGGAAGCTCGATTCGCGTACTCGCCGCGTTTATCCGAGTGTTCGCCCCAGCCGCCATTGCGATAGAATGAAGGTGGCGGACCGCGAAACTGTGTTCGTCTGCGACTCAGTCCACTGGCTGGGCGACCACCAGGTCCCGTTGACGCGGAAGAGTAGCTGCCTCGAGGCACTGGGCCATGATTCGAAGAGTCTTGCTGCTGCTGTACGCGTATATGATCTCTGTCGTATCTCTGTCTCTTTTCTGCAGAGCCCAAAGTTGCGTATGCTTCGCTGATCTTCACGAATTTCTGAGAGGCGTTCGGGTCATTTGGATGGAGGTCAGGATGGTTGGATTTCGAGAGTTTGTAGAATTGCCTGCGAGTCTGTCAGGAATATCGTCCACTGAGATYGAAATGCGTCGTTTGGTACTTTTTGATCTCTGCCGGTGTTGCACTGGTCGGAACGTCCAAAGTCGTGTAGTGATTGCCATCTTCATCTCTTCGGCCAGTGGAGGAGTGAAAATGCCTTAAGGGCCGAGCAGTGACGAGTGAACATGGCAATGGCGTCCTCCACTTGAATATACATGATCGAACAATCATGCCTCATACAAATGAATGACACCAGCCAAAGTATTGCAGAGCCCAAATGTTCAGATGCGAAAGGAGCGCAATCGTGACGTCGATGTCGATCTTGGCCGATCCGGGAATGTGGGCGGACTAGCGTCCATTGGAGGAGGGCAGGTAGGTAGTTCGAGGGGAAAGTTGCATGTGAAGAGATGAACTGCCAGAGCTCGAGCTCCAAGAGTATGCTATTCTGTGTTGTAACACAAGGCTCCCTACGTCGAAAGTAGTCATTATTCATAGCTGGACGCTGTCTGACCAATGTGAGACAACACCGCTTGGATGGCACATAGCTTGCGCAAATCCAAGATGGCTGAGGCACTGATCAAACGCTCAGATCAATCATGATTTGCGACTGTTGCTGGCCTTCGCAACGTTGTACTGTAAGGAAGTGGCCCATGGAATTAAAGCCCACTCCCTTGCAAGAAGTGCGTTAGACGCAGTTGTTTGGAATTGATCCTTTCCTGCACTAGGCCTGGGCTTAGCAAAGGCAGTCTGACTGGCCCAATTAATTTGAATGTGTTACATCCGCCGAAGGGTTGAAGGGACAACAGAGGATGCAGCGAGCGTGACGCGATTATGATTGTGGTTCACTCTGCAACTTTTTCATTATTGAGTTGCTGTCGACACCAGGCTGTTTCAGCCAACTATCAAGGATTTCTACCTTGAGACAGGCTTCTTGCAGGAGCGAAGTTCGTGGGAGTCAATCTGCGAACCATGCAACAATGGTGGACGGGGATGGCTAGTCGCCTGGTGAAGACTCATCGACCACAGTCCTTCTGCTGCTCAATCACCTTGCAAACGACCCTTCTGGCCAAGCCGGAAGAAATCGGCCATGCATTCGGCAGAACGCGGTTGTTGACGAGAGTGCGAGATGTTGTTTCAAGAGGTCGGCGAGCTGGCCGCGCTAGGAAGAGCTGCGACGCTGCACGTGTTCCGTGTTCCGGCTTCCGCAAGGAGTCGTCAAACTTTAGAGAAACCGAGCACTACCAAACACCTTCACGACAATTGACAGCTCCACGCCAGTCACCCTCACATCGCCGACCCTCTTCGTCCCGTCGATCTCCATCACCAGACATCCTCATAGCACAACTTCGCCAACATGAGCGCATACACCCCAAACAAGGTCGAGACCGGCGTTGCAAAGTTCCTGCCCATCCCAGCATTTGGCGACCTCGCAAAATCTGCCAACGACGTACGCCCTGCGCCATGATCCCACGGAAAATAGAGGCAGTGTGCTGACAGATGCGCAGCTCATTAACAAGGACTTCTATCACACCAGCCAGGGTTTGTGAAAACCTGCCCAAAAGGGAACCCTCTGAGCGAGGCAATGGACAACAATAGCTGACACACAGCCCAGCTACACTCGATGTCAAGCTCAAGGCACCCAACGGTACTAACCTTACCGTCAAGGGCAAGCAGGGCTTTGACGGCGTGACCAGCGGTTCGGTAATTTCTGATGCAGTCCCAATGGCCAGTGAAGATTGACTGACGCGCCGCAACAGATCGAGGGAAAGCACACCCTCAAGCCTCAAGGTACGCAGCAACCATCTCCTTAACTTCGCAAACCCTCCTTATTCCGTGCAATTCAAGCAAACCAGCAGCAAAAGAAGAAGAAGCAGACGCGGATGCAAACGCAAGGTGGCAGGACAGTGAACAGCKGCTTCATGCGCGAATTCAGATTGTTTCATGCACTACCCTCGCCTCTACGCACCGCTCTATACCTGACAGTCATGAGCTCTCCCAATGGCGATGGATCAGATGGTGCAGTCGCGCTGACGTTTCGACATTACAAAGGTGTGACCATCACTCAGGCATGGACCACTGCATCTCTGCTCGACACCAAGGTCGAGCTTGCCGACGTGGCCGCACCCGGCGTCAAGGTTGATCTCCAGAACCTCTTCAACCCAGCCAAGGAGGGCTCCGCCGTCCAGAAGCTCAACCTGGCCTTCAAGAACCCCAACATCCACTCTCGCGCCTTCATCAACTACGGCACTGCTAAGGGCAACATCGATGCGATCGTCGACGTGACTGCTGGTCATGAAGGCTTCCTCGTCGGCGGTGAGGCTGGCTACGATGTCCAGAAGGCTGCCGTCACCAAGTACAGCCTGGGTCTCGGCTACCAGACCCCCAACTACACTGCTAGCATCGTCGGCACCCAGAACCTGAGCATCATCGCCGCCAGCTACTACCAGCGTGTCAACGCCTCCGTTGAGGTCGGCACCAAGGCTGGATACGATGTCAATGCCCAGAAGGCCAGCGGTCTCGAGCTCGCATCCAAGTACAAGCTTGACCCTCTTTCGTTCGCCAAGGTAGAGCATCCCAATCTACAGCACGCTATGAATTGTAAAGCTGACACCCACGCTAGGTCAAGATCAACGACCRCGGTATTGCTGCCCTTGCGTACAGCACCAAGCTCAACGCTGGCACCACCATCGGTCTGGGTCTGTCCCTCGACACCAACAAGCTCAACGAGGCAGGCCACAAAATCGGAACCTCGCTCACCTTCGAGGGTTAGACAGTGCGGTCAAAATTGTGTTTCTAGATGCATGGATAGCGTAGAGAGCCGAGTCGCGCCCCACTACCAGGGCCGTGGATGTATCAAACGTTRTGTAAAACAGCTGCATATACCAAATTCTTCGTCAACTCATCCTACGAGTTGGTATTCCCAGCTCTTGGCAGATGACGGAATCCGCTGGGATTGCCTCGTCACGCGGCTCCGAAATGCGGGAGGATTTGACTAACAATTGCGAGGATCCCCGGACTAGATTTCATCCGCTCCCCTCACACGCTATTCTCCACCTACCACTTTGGCCGCTTTCGCGTGCTCTCTTCGGCTGTCTCACAGCGCATTCACATCGACAGGTGGATGCTTTCCGCGGAAATGCGTGCGTGATATCGGGGGTAGAGCAACACTGCGACCTTGCTGACCGGGCCAGGTACCTCCACACAGCTTCGCTTCACTTATGTTCTATGCTTCCACAATCATCATCATGGTAGTTGCCCGCCCTTTGCCGTTTGTCTCGTGTATGATGAGGGGCTCGTGCCTTTACCTCCTAGCGTCGATTGACTTGCTTGCAGATCTGCCAATGGGCACGTGGAGGTAGTAGTGTAAGTGAAATGAGGCTACAGTGCTTTCATCCGCCGCGTTCTTCTTCTTTTCTCTACATCACTTTCGAGCGCTATCTTGAGCATGCGTTTCCCACAATTTCTGGTCGGCAGCGCGCTGCTGGGCACCGCCATCGCTGTATCGTCGCTAGTCGAACTGGACTACGCATCTTACCAGGGCGAATCACTACAAAATGGCGTCTCCCAGTGGTTGGGAGTCAGATATGCGGCAGCACCTATTGGCGATCTGAGATTCTCCGCTCCCCAAGACCCGCCCCATTACAACGAGACGCAATCTGCCACTGCGCACGGAAAGCTATGCCTCGCGACAACGGCTGGCCCGCCTTCGAACACGACTGATGAGGATTGCCTTTTCCTGGAAGTCTTTGCTCCAACCAATGCTACAGCCGAGTCGAGTCTGCCAGTGTACTTTTGGATTCAGGTACAAATTTGGCCGAACGATGTCGATAATCACATAGCTGACTAGTGATAGGGCGGTGGCTTCAACCAACTGAGCAATGCAAACTACGACGGCTCGGGGCTGATCATAGCGAGCGACTTCAATATTGTGGTGGTCACTCTCAACTATCGCGTTGGACCATACGGCTTTCTTGCGAGCTCGGAGATCGTCGAAGGAGGCAGCATCAACAATGGACTCAAGGACCAGCGCAAAGCTCTTGAATGGGTCCAGAAGCATATCARATCGTTTGGCGGCAATCCCCACCATGTGACTCTCGGAGGTGCTTCTGCAGGCGCTCAGAGCGTTGCACTCCATGTGACGGCATACGGAGGACGAGACGATGGTCTTTTCCATGCATCTGCCGCCGAGTCACAGTCCTTCCCTCCTTTGCGCTCTGTAAACGAAAGCCAGTTTGCTTACAATAACCTGGTAATTCGAGCCGAGTGTGCTTCTGAGACGGATACTCTCGCCTGCCTGCGATCTCGCTCTGCAGCTCAGCTACAAGCGGTGAACATCAACACTCCCTATCCAGGAGCACAACAAGCACCGATCTACAACTATGGTCCGGTTCTTGACTACGACTTTGTGAGCGACTACACCTTCCGCGCATACGCAGAGGGGAAGTATGTGAAGGTTCCAGCCATCTATGGCGACGATACCAACGAAGGCACTGTCTTTACCCCCAGAAACACCTCCAGCATCGCCCAGAGCAATACTTTCATTCAGAATCAATTCCCAGATGTCACTCTCCAGCAATTCAAGAGGATGAACGAGCTGTACCCGGTCGAGAGCACTCCTGAATTCCCCAATACTGGCAGATATTGGCGGCAAGTATCCGATGTGTATGGCGACCTTCGCTACACATGTCCAGGAATCTTCGTCAGCGGCATCTACGCAAACGACAGTATCCCCAACTGGAWCTACCGCTGGAACGTCATCGACCCAACTGCTGCAGCAGATGGAACGGGTGTCACTCATACGAGTGAGGTGAATGCCATATTTGGGCCAGAGTATGTTCTTGGTAACGCGCCCAAGTCTTACCAAATGGGCGGCGTGAACTATCCCAGTGTGGCTGTGATCCAAGGCTACTGGACGAGCTTCATCCGCTGCTTCGACCCCAACACCCACAAGAAGCCTGGCACACCGGAGTGGGATCAGTGGACTCAGGACAACTACAACCGCAGATTGATGTTTCAGACCAACAACACCAAGATGGAGACCGTCCCGTCTGACCAGCAGGAGAAGTGTGAATATTTAGCTTCTATTGCCATCRGTCTGAAGCAATGATAGATTGGCATCGTTCAGGGATTGGATGCTGGTGGAGTCTTGGTAAGAAAAGGAGATTATGGTCTGATTTTGGACGTTCTCTCCCTTGGTAGACTCCTATAGCAGAAATGCAGCATGGCTTCTGTCCACGGCCCCTCGTCTTGGACATGTGCGATTCAGCCCGGTATCATTTCAGAGCGCTGCAAACCGAAAGTTGACCATGGGCTGCGATTGTCATCATTTCTGCATTTCACTGCAATCTCGTCGTGCGTATGGATAGATGTCATTGAAGCCACGATGTCAGCAATATGTGTTGTTTATGATATTAGCCTACAGTACAATTGCCCGCCCTCGTAGTGGCATGGTTGTAGATGAATAAACAAATGGAAGCAGGGGGTCTACAGGTCCAGTAAGGACTGGCCCGGAAATCGAATCTGTGTCGCGCTCGCCGGCGACGAATCAATATGTTCATTCCAAAAGTAATAAAAGAACGCCAGCGCCATGCTTCATCGCCGCGTTACTCGGGCACGTCGGTCGACGGACAGAAGTTCCGCCAGGTGGTATCAAATTCTGAACATGCAGCTCGTGTGCCGCAGTGAAAAAAAGGGGTTGTATGTCGCAATCAACGCTTTTTGCAAACAGTCACAGATGCATCATCAAAAGTTTTGTGCAATGCCTCCTTGCTGGTAGTTCCCGGCTTGTTGTATTCGGGTGTTCCGGCGAGCGCTGACATCCCGGACCACCGGCATGCCAGCTTCTTGACCAGTGCCACCGTACGAGCCGTCTCCATACGGGCCATGCTGGCTGTAGCCGTAGCCGCCGTTAGGGTTATAGGCTTCGTAATGCTGGGGAGCGCTGCCGACCCCAGGTCCATCATCCGATATGTCTGTGTGACCTGCTGCCGAGTATGTAGAAGAAGCGTTGGAAGGTCCTCGTCGTACACCAGCTGCGTTTGCCCCTGCAAGAGGTGCGGCTCCTAGCGCACCAATATCATCGCTGTTCATGGTTTCCCTCCGCGCGTGCATCAAAGGATCTCCGCTGTGGCCATCCGAAGTGCCGCCAAGGTTGGGGGAAGCGCGGCTTGGGTAGGCGGCGCTGCTGCCCGCATCGGATAGCTGGCCCTGCGTGTGCCCGCCAGACAGGGTGGTGGACATCTTTCTACTCGCTGCGCCCGCTGCGCCCGCCGCTCCCCATCCTCGGTAGCCATTGCTAGAATCTTCGGCCATTTCGTGCCCGCTTTCAGAAGCGACGACCGGCAGTGTTGGATCATTGTTTGGGTTGAAGCCGTAGTCCTCCACTTCGACGCGCCTTGCCTCCTCGGCAGCTTTCTTCTGCTTGCGCCTTCGCCAGAAGAAGAGACCAGCGACCACAAGCAACGCTACGACAACTACGGGCACGACCACGGCAACCGCAGTGGTGCCTGCAGTGCTGAGGCCGCCGTTGCCCCCATTGCCATTGCCTGTATTCGCTAGTGACGCGGGAGTAGAAGAACTGCTGGTGGAGGAGCTTGTGGTGGATGAAGAAGCAGGGCCGCCCGGTGATGTGGAAGTGATGACCACGACCGTGGTCTGGAGGTTTGTAGAGTCGGCACCAGTGGGAGTTTGCGTCWCAACTGAGGTCGTGACTATCGTCGTCGGCGGCACGGAAGACTGGGAGAGGGTAGATGTGGCTACTGCCGACGATTCACTAGGAGTAGTCGGCGGAGGGGTGGAGGAAGTAGTAGGCGCAGCAGATGTCGTGGGTTCCGACGTGGTTGGTGGTGCAGAAGTGGTGGTCGAAGTGATGGGGACCGCCGACGTGGTGTCAACGACGGACGAGGTTATGCTGGTGGCCGGCGCGGAAGTGCTCTCCGTGCTCGGGACTGCAGATGTGTCAGACATGGCGACGTCGGTATAGAGCGGGGCGACGACGACGTCGATGGCAGGGGCGGCAGCAGGAGGGTGACCGGGATGTCAGGGATTGCGATGCGGTGCGCCAGGGCGAAAACGAAGGGCAGAAGGACGGGAAGGGAGTGGGGAGAGGGAACGCGTGACGAAGGGTCAGCGATGCGATTCTTTGAAAACGTACCTGTGGAATTGAACGACGAAGCCATGATGGCCGGGTGCTTTCTTTGCGTGCTCCCCTGCCTTCCGTCCTCTCTGCTTCTCGTCGCTTGTTGGCTGGTCTTCTTTCGCGCGGGAAAAAAGGGTTGGGGCTAGCCCAATAAGAGGCCTCTGTCCGTGGCTTTGGAATGGCTGTGGTGACAGCCTTCTCCCACACAAAGCTCGTCGGACTGTCACTGCCTGCTGCTCTCGCGGATGAATGAATGAGTGTATATCGTTGCGACCAAGAGAAGGAGTGTGTCGTGAATCGCGGCAGGAACCCCCAAAACCTAATGAATGGAATAGCCCGTTAGGAGCACAGCACAGCTCGTGTTCCTCCGCTCCGGTTGGGTCTGGTGTGGGCCTTGAAACTCTGTTGACAAGAAAGCGTCGTTCTCATAGGTCGAGAGAGTTCTTGTGCAGCGCGGCGGCTCCCAAAACACTCCGCTCACCCTGGGTAAGAATCGTCGAGGTAAAGACTGTGGTGGTTACGATGAGACTCGATAAAGCACAACAAAGAACCTCTCACCATGGCCGCCCGATCCCTGTTTCACACGTTGTCGCGGCCTCATTTCCATACCGTTCGTCCCCCGCCCGGGCCTGCTAGCTGAACTTTGAAGTTGCCGACCATACTGCAATAGTCTTAAACCGATGCATGAGTTCATCTCACAGATCCTGATTCGGGCTTGGTATACGAGCGTTGCATCGTCGTTTTCTGGTTGACGAGGTTGCAGATTCCAGCTTTGGACGAACACTGCGTTGAAAGCATTGGCGGCCCGCGATTTGCCAGACAGACATCGCTGGTCAAGGCCTCGTGCCCCGTCGCTCAAATTTCTCACATCGATCTTGACAGCCACTGTACTTTCAACGCTGACAAGGCTCGCCCACGCCCCCGATCTTGGCAGCACATTCACTTACGTAGCATTGGTTCCTGATCGATTCCACGACAGATGTTTCGGCTCTATTGTTCTCGAAAATGCGACATATCGTCCAAGCGACATGTCATGGCTCGTCGCCTGGAACACGTTAGCTCTGCCACGGCGACAAACGCTCCCACGTGGATGTCAGCATCACCATGTCTTGGAGAGATGGGTAGAGGCCAGCGATCCTGGACAACATCAAATGAACATCAGAACCTTGAAAGGGGGCGTGATACTTTATGAACTGCACAACAACAAAACATCAGACTTGTTCAAGCTTGTTGTCGCATGGTTACGAATTTATAAAATTTTCCCGTCTGCACAAAGTGTTCTACGCATGCTCAAGCGCGCATATCAATAAACATCAGCATAGCGCCGTCTGGTCGGAGGATACAGACATCATAATACCTGCAAAACCTACGGACAATGAGAAGTGCACAATGGATAACGACTCAAGACACCGTGGCACGGCGGAAACGCATGTGCAAAAGTTTTGTGTTGCAAAAAAGTATGGACAAGAAGCGGAAGGCTATCGACATGTGCTTCGATTCTTGTTCAATCGTGTCTTGTACGTGGTCTGCAGATGCACCAGGCCTGCCATCACCAAAAGGGACTCCCTTTTGTTTTTAAACCACTTCCCGTGTCTTTTCATAACCTCGTAAATGCGCACCCGAGAATGTCGAGCGCCGTGTGCTCATGTGTTGGCGGAACATTGAATTTCAACTCCAACTAGAGACGCCGTGTCTTGATGGTTGTGGCATTACTGTAGCATTTAGCCAAAGCACCACTCAATCCCGCCGACACGGCCATCACCGTTACCGGTGATCTTGTTGAAGTAGGCCTGAGGCAAGTCGAGACTGCCCTTGTCACATCCAGGGCAGGTATCGACAATCTTTGCTGGATACTTGTTGCCGTCTTTGCCAGTGATGGTGATGTAGGTGCCGCAGAGCGGGTTTGCGTTGGGGTTCGCTCCGTTGTAAGCGCTCATGATCTCGTGTGAAACAGCCACGACCTTCTCGTCTTCCGTGCTAGTAAAGCCGCAGGAGCCCATTCCGACTGCGTAGTAAGTGACGTCGCCCGTGTAGCTCTTGCCTGGAGCAGCCATACCCGTCACACCAGATCCACCGCTGCCGGAATCAGCGGGAGGGGAATCAGATGGAGGAGGTGTGGCAGAAGTCGCAATCGGAGCAGCAGAACTAGAAGGAGTTGGAGCAACATATGGAGCTACAAATGTTGATGTCGGGGTAGGCGCAACGTATACGCTAGGGGGAGGCGCAGAGTACACTGGTGGTGCCACATACGTGCTGGTTGGAACTGGTGCAACGTAGGTGCTGGTTGGGACTGGCGCAACGTGACTCGATGTTGGCGCAACAGGGGAAGGCTGTCGGCTGCTCTCGGCCGGGCTGCTGTATACTGGAGCAACGTACGCAGCAGGTGATGATGGGGAGGCAGCTGGAGTGTACGCTGCGGGTTTGACCTTCTCCGCCGAGGAGTAGGCGGTAGGAATGGTTTCGCCAGGCTCCACCCAGACGGTTTTGGTGACGGGAACAGTTTGAATGACCTCCTCGGTTTCCGTGACCCAAACATAGTCGCGTTTGTGTTGGGGGTGATGACGGTGATGGTGGTGAGGCTCCGCCATGGGCACAGCAGCTACTGCGGTCAACAGAGCGCCAGAGACGACAAGGATAGATTTGGTGAACATCTTGAAGCTGTGATTCGTAGATTCGTCCGTTTGCGGATGGCTTGTGATAATCGACTAGCGATTGAGATCTTGCTGGATCCGAGAGAGTGGCGCTTTCTGAATCGTCGAACAGAGAACGTGCAGATCTATCAAAGATCAAGGAGTGACGGGTTAAGGAATGTGTGGACGTTTCTTCAGACCTGTGAAGCGTGTGAGGGAAAACCGCTGCAAGATGCGAGCGACTTTGGGTTCTTGTAGGGCAACTAGGGGCCACAAACAACGCCAAGGCAGCTGCTGGCCGAACCTTTCGCGCTACTGGATCCATGTTTAGTGGGTCACGGCTGTGCCTACGCTCGGGGCAGGCGACCAGTCAGAATAGCAACAGAGGCGGTGCGCGCCAGAAACAAGCGACGTCCTGTCAATACGGGTCCTCCGTTGCGGGCAAAGCCCCTGGTCCTTCGAAACTTCAGCATTGCCTCTGACACACCAATTATCTCTCCATGCACCGCTCCGCACATRAGCGCTAGCATCATCCTGCACGAGGAACCCACGCAAATGTCTAGGCGCCCACGACGTCTTCCCCAACCATATTTCATCACGTCAAGGGTATTGTCGCTATTGTGCTCTGCGACTTGTGCAACGCTGCACCAAGCTCCTTCCAACAACACCTCAGGGTCGGAGGAGCTAAGGTTTGTTTCAGGTCACACTCCCGTGGTTGTTCCCGGTGCTCGGGAGATCTGACCGAGCAAGGCGATTGGCAAAGCACATCTCTCGCATCCAAGATTGCCATCAGGGATCAACTCATCGCGCACGCGTGCGCTCGGGGAAGACGCATTTGCGGTGCAACTTGACAGCCCGCCATCGATCCAGCGAGGTAGAGTATCCATCACACGATTCATCATTTCCCCCGGCCGTCCACAACTTTAGACGAGGTCATAGGCGTGGAATATTGGTGCGAGGACACTCCACAGTCGATCTGTCGCCGTTTCTACCATCACGCTACACAGCTACATACGCGTACAGCATGGAATCGAGCTTTTGGGTCCCTGAGTACGTCATAGTAGCAAAGATAGCCTTGCCTAGTCGAGGTGGATGCTAGGAGTAGAGCTGAGCCGAAATTGCAGTGGAGCTGGTGAAACCTTTTGCCATGCGTCGGGCGGCGCCGTGGCTGCCGCTCGGCACGTTGGAACGTTGGACCTTGAAGAAACCTCAAGCGCATCCTCCGGATAGTTAGTACTCTCTTTGCCAGAGTCAACAACAGCAGTTTCAGAAAGGTTCTCCACGAGCGAGGATGCGAACAATCGATACAGCCTGTCAATGAATGGCAAAACACGTCTCGTTGGTCTGGGAGGGCCTCCATGGTACCTCCACTCATGTTGAGAAAGCCTCCACCCGTTGGGCAACGCTTGGCCGCAAGAACAAACACATTCGGCCGGAGCTGACACTGCTTGCTTCCACACCTGCAGTCGGTCGGTCCGGAAGGCATACTGGCGAGACGCGTGTGGTAAGCTGATTCGCGCCAGCACGTTGGCACGTTGCGTCTCTCTTCACTGGCGTCTGTCAAGTGTTTGGCACCGAGGCGTCAGCGGTGTCACTGACCACGAGCACGCTGTCTTGTCTGGGACAATTGCACAGGGTACATGCAAGCCATCAATCTTTGCTTACTGGACAGAAGCCATGTTTACGTATTTCAGGTCTTGGAGAGCACATGTTTACCGTTCAAAGGTCACAGCGTATGCAGCGCTGGCTTGCAAGAGCGGGTTGTCGTTTCGTGTGTGGGTTACCACATTAACATATCAGCTTCAACACCGTACAGCGCAAGCGACCTCCCACGTCCGCAACAGTGAGCCGCGAAGGTCAGTGTCCTCGGAAATGAACCATGTGTGTCGGCTGTGCGGACTCGCATGGACGATCCGGATTACATCGAATTTCCGGAGACCCTTTTCGCTCCACGGATCTTACAAGGCAACAACGGTTATTCAACCGTTATTGAAAGGTCCACCTTCAACGGTAAGCTTTTCCGGGTGCGGACCGGCCGTCAAACTACCTCCAGGGACAACGGGTGTTCCTAGAGTAGTACCAACAATAACAGTTCGGCTGAGATATGCCGAGACCGTCATAGCGTGGTCTTGACCCGTTCCAGTCTATTAAAATGTGCCTACGGTGATCCTCGGACGCCAGGAGGAATGTTTTGAGAAGGTACTTACAACCAACACAGGCGGTGAAGACCTTTCGACAAACGGCGAAGACTTCTAGGCTTGCTGCTAAACTCCTTTGGCTTTCGATGATCAGGGCCGCCTTTATCACCTTCAAACGCTGACGAGGTGTCTGCTATGCGAGGCTACGTCCCACATTTACGAGCTCCGTCGTCGTCTGAAGYACGATCAACACGACTTGACTTCTTTCATGACGGCCTTGCTAGAAGGCACAAATACCGAAGACGTAGCATATGCTGCTGGACTTCTGAGGACTATTCACAAACGCGATCAAGTAGTCTCTGTCGGAATCAGGCATCCCTGGTCGCGATGACTGCAATGTCAACGCATTGAGCCACAAAGGAGCCTTTCCGTCTTTTTGATCCCTATGATCGGGGAAGCAAGGCGCCTGGACTATCGACCGCTCACTTTCCTGCGTAGTTAGTCCTCGTCACTTCGTTGTGACACTGGCAGGCGGTTGGGTACGCTCAAGGAAGCTCACTGTGCTCGTTCGCATCAGCGGAGAGCTAGGCAATAATTTTGTGGAATTTTCTGTGCTTTGGGACTCTTCCATGAAGCTGAAGCCCAGCTTTGGTCGGGTCCGAGGAGTGAGTGTTGGGATGGCAGGGTAGGCTTGCTGAGTTACGACTTCTACGTGTGAGCTCACTACGATTGTCACGTCCACGTTGCAACACACAAATAAAGCAACTTACACTCCTCCTGCTGCATGTCGCTTGCGTTCACAGAAACACATATGTGCCCCTACCCCTACTATATCACTTTCACTTCAGACATGACAGTGTCAACTGCCAAGCCACTAACGAATGCAAACCACATTCACCAAGCACAAGCGCACCCACTTGGCGGAGCTCACAACAATCCAACTCATTGCAATGTCTTTCCTGGCCGTCGAAGGATGTCATGCTTTCGTGACAGGTGCTCAGGGAGGCATCGGTCGAGAAATCGTGAAAGAGCTACTTGGTGACATCCTCAAAGCTAGAATGGGTACCTTTCTCMTGCTGACCTACTTACTGCACAGCGGCGGGTTGCAAAGTCACGGCACATGATCTCCGACCTGCTGCATCGGCTGCAGAGACAAATGTGTTCAATGTTGAAGGAGACATTAGCGACGAGCAGTCCATCTCACAATCGWTACAAGCCGCAGTGGAGAAGTTCGGCCCGATAAACATTCTCTCTGCCACGGCCGGTATTACCAACGAACAGAGTCATCCGAATATCTGGGAGATGCCTCTGGAGACTTGGGAGAATGTCTATCGGGTAAATGTCCGTGGTACATTTCTGACTATCAAGCACTTTCTGCTTGCGGCGATCAAAGCTCAAGAAGAATCTGGCCAGGAACTTGAGAATCTCTCTATCGTTGTGATTGGCAGTGAGTGTGGCAAGTTTGGACAGGCTGGGCATTCAGAATACGCAAGTGGTAAAGCAGGTCTACAGTATGGACTCGTCCCAACCGTGAAGAACGAGATTGTACGAATCAACTCAAAGGCACGAATCAATGCGGTGGCGCCAGGTTGGGTCAACACGGAGCTTATTGGCGATCGACTTGATGATCCAAGAGAATTGTATCTTGAAGCCCAGGGGACTGTCCCGTTGCGGAAGATTGCTCAGCCAGAGGATGTGGCCAGGACAGTGGCGTTTCTCGCAAGTCATCGTGCAGCAGGACACATATCCGGGCAGTGCTTGAGTGTCGATGGGGGCATGGAGGGGCGGATCGTTTGGCGAGAAGATGAGATCTTGGGGAAGAAGTAGAGCACAGAACCATTGTATGAAGACGAAGGTGCGAGACAGCAAGACGCGGCTACCTGGTCCTGATCAATACGAATGCTCCTCTTTGAGCATCTTCGCCCCACATTTTCCATATCCGCAGAGGGTTGACCATACATGCATGGTTGCAGCATTGGAGGAGTATAGGCGAACGCCTTGGCATTACTGTACCTCGTCATCGGCCTCTCTTCGAATGGTTTATCTACCTCATCTTCATAATTCTCACATTATCCATCTCTCGCACATACAAGATGCATCCACACAAGAACAAGATCAAGATAGCGTGGTCCATTGACTTTGACGCCGTCTCTGGATGGCTAGGAACAGGGAAACATGACAACAACAGCACCGCAGACTATAGCGCCGGTTATTTCAGTGCCACAGTTGGTGTGGGTCGGCTCTTGAAGTTGTTCAAGAAGCTTGATATAGCGGATAAAGTGACTTGGTGTATCCCCGGCCATTCCATTGAAACATTTCCAACGCAGACCCGAGATATCATCGATTCCGGTGCAGAAATCGCATTACATGGCTACGCCCATGAGAGTGCCAGCCAGATGACAGCCGAGCAGGAAAGAGATGTGCTGCTCAAGTGCATCAAACTCGTGGAAGACTTGACTGGGAAACGGCCTCGAGGATACCGAGCTCCTCTTTACCAGCTCAAGGAGCGGACGATTTCTCTCTTGCAGGAATATGAATTCCTCTGGGATTCTTCCTTGTCGCACTTTGATAGTGTGCCGTACTTCTTACCAAAAGATCCAGCGCCGATAGCTCCGATTGACTTCAACCCGTCTGCGAAAGCAGCAGATTGGATGAAGCCAAGTCCCGACTTCAATGCATTGCCAAAATCGGACCTGGTCGAGGTGCCTGCGAATTGGTAGTAAGTTCTGCTATGTATAGCCCCTTTGATGGTCCAGTGATTATGCTGATCGGTTCTCTAGTATGGAAGATGCTACGCCTTTACAATTCTTTCCCAACACCCCCAACTCGCAGGGATATGTGGACGTCCGGGTTGTCGAACGCATGTGGATGGATCGTTTTGAGTGGTTGCGGTCCGAGATTGCGGATGGGAGAGAAGACATGACTATTTTCAGTATCATCCTGCATCCCGAGACCAGCGGAATGGCTCATGTCATTGGTATGATTCAGCGTTTCTTGATCTGGGTGCAAAGCTTTGGGGAGAACGAGGTAGAGTTCCTGACATACGAGCAGATCGCCCTGGAATGGAAAAGAGGCCGGCAGGAGAAGGATGTCTCGTCGACAGTGTAGCCGAAGATTCAATTTTGTACAGCGCATATCTTACATATTTTATTGTGATTGTGATTGCTCCTGTGCGAGCGCCTTGGCGAAGGTGTCCGTCCTCTCCTGCTCCTGCGCAATGACCTCGCCAATTTTCGCGAGCTGCTCGTTTGTGAGCTCCTTGGCCTCTGCCGCTTTTTGCTGTGCCCGCGACTCTGCCAGCTCCTGCAGCGGCGTCCGCATGGTCCTAATAAGACCCTTCCTGCCCTCTGTAGCTGCAGCTTCGGCCTCTTTCCTGGCCCGATAGTCATAGTCATGCCGTGTTCTGAATTTGCTGTACTTCCCTCGTAACTCATCAATGACTGACATGGGCATCGGAGCACGAATCAGGGTGGGTCTGAACGTCTGCTCCTCAACCGAAATACGCATGGTGTCACTCTCGTTGTCGGGCCAATCCTCTTCGGCGGACACAGGCCATGGAATGATAGTGTTGGTGCCGGGTATCATACGCCTGGCAGGGCCGCCCTTGTGATCGCTGACCGAAACAACCCGCTCGATGATGACATCTCGGTAGATGCCCGTCTCGGGGTCTGGTAGAGGATAGACCAGTTTGACGTGGTCGTGTGGGATCATCTGTGCGACGGTGAATACATCGCGCGCCTCGCCATTCTGCTCCTTCATCCAGTTTGGAATGTGAACGTCGATCATGTTGAGGTCCTTGACTTGCACCCCGCCCTTGTCGTAGTCCACATCGCCGACAACCCCAATCCTGCCCTTGTCGCGGCCATGAGTGATGACAACGCGGTCGCCAGGCTTGTAACCAATGAATGTGGGCCGCAACTTGGGATCAAGCTCGGTCATCTGGATGTTGTAGACCGAGACCGAACCGTATCTCGTCGCCTGCTCGCCCACATCGCGCCGTGGCGCCAGAGCGCCTCTCTGCCAGTCCTCCTGCCGATTGAGTCGTGCCTGCATCATGCGACGGCTCTCATCGCGTCTCACCCGCTCCTGGTTTTGTCGCCGCTCCCATGCTGCTCCCCACTCCTCCAGTGCCTTTTCCCTGGCCTTGACCTTGGAAACGTATCGCGACGCCCGCTCGGCACGTCGAATGACCTTCTCCATCGCTGTTCCGGGGGCGTGATGTTGCAGGTGTTGGCAGGGAGAAGATTGACCAACATCGGCGACAGGTAATCTATTCGTGGGACAACACTAGTTCGCGGACTCGTCTCCGCCCGCCCTTCTCCCGCCTCTCCGGGCTACCTTACCTTATACCTATATATACGTATTAACCTACATTTCCCACAACCTTGAAGGCTTCGGTTGTCTTCCACAGTCCCTCAACATGATCGCGCCTCAAGTATCATGGAGGTATAGACCCTTGCTGCCTGCAGAGATGGCTCCGGACTTCTGCATCCTTGCAGTCACCCTGGCGGCTACAGCAGCTTCCTAGTGGACGGTCTTCAGTGTTGTCGCCAGGACATGCAGCTGTCCGCTCAACTTCCAATGAGCACTGCCATTAGCCATGGTCGCTGTCCCGATCTAGGCAAAGCTGGCAATGGCGAGGTGTTTGCACTTTGCACATATCCACTTCTACTGTGCCATTCGAATACGCTGGCGCTTCCTACACTCGACATCTTGACTCGGTCTTAAACGCCATGGCCCCTTCATTGGGAGATTCTGTCATTGTTGAAGCTGCTCTCGGGTTGGTCGCCAATTCATGATTCGCAGACCTTGCATTTCTCCTTGTTCGATTATATAACCATGCATGTCTCGCCGCTTCTCCCTTTGCTGTTGGCGAGCAAAGTGACTGCGTTGACTTGTACGACCATCAATATCAACCACGGAGTTTTTCGCTAATGGGAGCACAGTGTACACAAATACACCCCTTTCAACGGGCTCGCCATCAACAGATTTGACAGCGAGTGCATCGACACTAACGCAGGATGCTTTCAATGCTTTCATCCTCCAAGGCCTAGGACCACATATCACTGAGATGGGCGAACCTCGAGTCTCCGCCCGGCCAAGAGATACAACATTTTCCACATTGCCCCGAGCTTCAGATGCGTCACACTACACGGCGTCGTTGACATCGAACTATCCACTACACAACAATGTTTTCACCGCCACTCCGAGAGTCAGCACAGCAGCACAGGCAATGAGCCAGGCCATGCAATGCTGGTCGGAGATTGCTACCTGGCGCAATCAATCAGCATCGTTTTGGAATGCCCAAGTTGCGGGTCGAACGTGGTCCATCACGTCGAGCTGGAGCTCGTTGAGTACGGACTGGACTAGGACCTCGACGATCTATCCTTCGAGCGTTATTACATATTCATTGTGCGACGGTACGCCCCGCACGAACGTCCGCCCGAAAATAGCTACATTCACTGGGGTCTCTACACTCTCGGGTAGTATAACTGCGACATTAACGCCCACCTTCACAGCCCGGCCCTGTACCCTCCGGCCTAGCGACTGCAGAATACTGTACCAGGATACCAATATCGAAGATATTGATGATCGTGAGATTCTTCGACAATGCGGCAGTTCTGTGCACGTCGTCGGCGACGCTCAATGGCTTGTGGGGGGAGGGCCTGTGGAGATCATCGACTTTCCCATTATTCCAGACGATACGAAGCTATGCCAAAGCAACAACGCAACGATATCTAGAGGACCTCTCATTCCAGGAATGTCCGAGATATCAACCCTTGGCGCGTCAGTGTCCRGCATGCAGCTTAGTGTAAACCCTGAGAGTCTCGTCGTAGGAGATGCCACTTTGACCGCATCTACTCTACGGAAGCCAACCGCAACCAGGACAGCATATGTCGTAGCCTCTGGCAGCTTTACTCTATCCGCGACATCGGTCAAGGGGCATTCTGAAGCAGTACAAATCGGTACCGCAACTCTGTCAATCGGAGGTCCTGTTGCAACTGTCAGCGGTCCGGTTCTCACAAAGGGCACAAAAGGGGTCGTGCTCGCCTCCCAGGAAAGCAGGACATCACTTGAGACGGCCCTTCCATCTGTCGTTATCGCCAACGAGAAGCCAGGTCAAGCAGTTGTGTTGGCAGCTGGGAGCCACACGGTCACTGCTGTCATGCTTACGGGCGAGCACACTGCAATCAGCGTGGGCGGAACTACGCTTTCGATGGGTGGCGATGCGGCCGTCATACAAAACGCTACATTCACGGTCGGACCAGGCGGACTTGGCGTTGTCAGACCTCATACAGCTCGAGTGCGGACGAGTTCGACACTCCCCTCAGTCGTGTTGTCGAGTGCATCAACCTCATCCAGATGGTCGTCATCCGCTCCTGGCCCAACGACTTTATCTGGTGCTAGTCGAGAGAAGCAAAATTCGGCCCTCGTACTGCTTTCTGCAAGCAGTCTGATCTTGTTGCTGTGTATGTAGTTACATAATTGAGGATAATGCTCCAAGTTGCAATCAATACGATGCTTGACTTGATTCATTTCGCGTGTCTCCCTGCGAAACTCTAACAGTGACCTGAGTCTCTTTAGCCGATATCATTTGTGGCGGTTGCTCTCAAGGCTGGCATCATCCGTGTCCCGTATAAGGGCATTAGATGGAAATGACGTCTTACTTAGTCAACTTTCCCTCTCAGTTGGAGGGCGTATTCGCAGCAGTCTACGACGGAGGGGGGATGCACAGCCTCCATGCACCGGTCTCGGATCTATCCTTCTGGCGGGCGAAGAGTTGAATGAACGTCCTAGTCGTAATCCGTCTTCTTCTGGAACGGATCTCTGCCCTCGTTTTCAAGCAATGAGATCTTTTTACCACCTTCGGGCTCCAGACTCCATTCTACCGTCTCAAACTGTTGAACCATTAGCCATTGCCGATTCTGTCCCAAGGCAACCCATCACTCACAATTCCCATCCTTGTTTTCCTCTCACTTTTAAACCGCATCTTTCCCTTGCCCTTTGTCCCCTTGACCCAAAAACTAATGTCGATTCTCCCCTGCATCTGATTCAACTCTCCAGCTATCCAAGGAATCTGACTTGCAAAGTAGATCTCATCTCCCAGAATCGCGCGTGCCTCGGGATTCGTGCGTACAGCATATAGTGTACTGCTCACCACCGAGCTGCTGGTCTTTTGGTAGTTGAAGATGGCAAGTGCGGATCCCACGACGATGAGGGCGAAGAGCGGGATCGTGCGTATCCAGCCGTTGCGGTTGGTGTTTGCAATAGTCGGTAGTTCGCGATCGGATCGTCGTTCCATTAGAGGTCCGGAGTTGGGTCTGGGCGCAGCGACGATTGTTCGGCGGGGGACATGTTGCCGATGGAGGAGACTGCGCACGTTGGCGATTTGTAGGCGAGGTCGTGGAAGCATTGTGAGCGTGTTGTGGATCGAAAGATGAAGTTTGGTGCGATCCAAAGTTACGAAGTGTTGACGGCTGCAACTGCTGGCTGACATAAGATGATCGACAGAAACATGGATTGAACTTTGAAGTCACTACCTAGATAAAGTACGTATCAAGGGCCAGTGAAACTGTGGAAGGTTGCCGTTGTCTCTACAAGCACGACAGCGAGAATGGTAACCTGGTTCGACAAGACATCCAACTCTTATAATCCAACGAGAAATGTGAGTCTCTGCAGCCAGAGCTTATTCTGATGGTTACAGCTACCCGTCCACGAGCATAGTCGTCACTTGAGTATGAGGAGAGCCGGCAAGCTTCAATTTGCCTGTCCTTGTACACAACGAAGCAGCAGTCGAACCTCTCAACGACTTGAATGACCGAGTGAATGTCGTGTGGAGATGATTCGGGTATTTCATAGTCTCATATCAAGATACGTAAAAATTACAGTGTACTTTCGAACTCCTAGATTGGTTACTCGAACCCATCTCATCCCATGGAACGTCTGCTAGACGATCCTACTAAAGCTATCAGAACGGCGTTGTTCTGTGCAAGGAACCTGAGAGTCCAATGGACACCGGGCGCATTGCTATTAGTGCATTATGCGAATTCAGCTATTGTGCATGCTACGTGCATGTCGTCGACAGGTCGCTGTCTTGCTCGTCTCGAGAGCTTTGCCGTGTATGTCGATGAAGCGGTCGCGATAGATGACAGCGCACCGATGCGTGGGCCAGCGTGGCACGTCCCCACCATCGATCAACAAGGATGGGTTTCCGGTCGAATTCAGGCCACCCTGATTCAACGCGATTCCTCGATTCGCGTCAGGTAGAGCCGCCGGTCCTGTTCTATAGAACTACCTAAGTTGTGGGATCGTGGCTAGCTCGTACCATGGGTGAATATCGGCATCGGGTATGCGCGACCGTTTAGGCAGAACCAAACAGCGCGATCATCGTAGGAGGCTCTGTGCCTCAACTCAACTGCCGGTGGCGTCGGCATCGTCGTAATTAGTGATTTCTTCGTGGGTTCTCCCTTTGTGGTGGGACGACAGCATCGTATTGGCCAAGCCTTTCAGTCCAACCGTCATCGCAAGAATTGGTTGGGGAACGAGGCAAGACATGACGAGAGGTTGGTTTTGCCCGCAAACTGGGTAGTGCCGACATCGCGATTTCGCTTTGCTGTATTGAGTACAGCCAGCGCGTTGGACAGATCTGTGTCGTGTTGACGAGAGCCAGAGTGACATTCCAAAGCCTGAGCTTGGTGGAGAACATGGCGAACGTCTTTCACCCGATCATGTCGACGCCTCCGAGGAAGATTGAATCCTTGCTGGTGCCAATGTGGGATGGTCGGCGTCCAGTCCTTTCGTACTCGGCAGTCCTGCCTCGCACAGCTCGCGCGTAATCTTCTGCCGACTTGGACATGTCAACCTCAAGGTCGTAGAAGACCGGAAAGTTCTTCCAGTCGCGGCAGCCCTTGTTCTCCTTCATTGATTGCACTATGTCCGAATAGACGCCCGGCCGACTCAACCGCATACACTTGCTGGGTCTGGGCTCTTCCGGTAAGGCCATCATGAGTGATTCGATCTTGGGGTCGCCCATTCCTTTGCAGGGTGGGAGCCTCGAAATGCTGGCATTCGAAGCAGTGCTACAACGTGATACGGCTGACTGGCCGCTGGCGCTGCGCCGAACATACTTCTTGGTTGGCGCTCTTGGAGCAGGCTCATCATCGGGGTCGCTCTTGCCGGAGCTGGCACGGAAGCAGTTGATCCGCATCGTTGCGACGGTTTCTGGTGTCTCGAGAGGTCGGTTCAAATCTTACAGAGTAGTAAGAGAGCGGCGGAGTATTGTGAGTGTTGATTGTAAGGAAACGGGTGCGGCCTTGGCAACCTTGATGCTTGCTCGGGCTGTGCACGAGCAGGGCAAGGTGATGTGGAGGAGGCTCAGTGGCTGAGAAGCTTGTGTGAGCAAGGACTTCGTCCGCACATGGACTTGGTCTGGGAATCCATGGTATATGGTGGTGACAGTTGGGAGAGATGAAGGAAGTGGGGAGGGGCCAGGCTTAAAGACGATGTCGGATGCACACCTCAGCGAACTCAAAAGATTAGCGGCGGCGCGCCCAGAAAGTCCAAGCCGACGCCGAGGGAACCGAGAAAGCAACCTTGAAAGTCGAGCATCGAGGCGCTCCACGCTCCAAGACACCCCGTAGGCCCGCGCTTTATCAGCTGCAGCTAAGAAACAAGCGGGCGCACTCAAAGACCAACTCGAAGCTTGGCCTTTGCTCTTTGACGATGATCGCCGCAATCACAAAGGACGCCTTGTTGATCACTCCGGTGCGATCAATGCGGCTTTGTAATTCCGCGTAGGAGCATTCGTCATTTGCGACTCGCAGAGTTTCACGAGGCAGCGCAAGTCACGGATAGCACGGCACACGGCGTGGTCCCTAGACAAGCTGCGCTTACGGATTGCGAGATCGCTTGGGCAAATGCCGGCCACGCTCGTCCGCGCGATCCGTTGGTCAATCACGTCTAGAGTTCCCCGGTAGGTATACATAGACAACAGTACACAGTGCCTCGCAGGGTAAATGCACAGTCTTCGTTCCCCGTCTCACGCGAGTGCACACGACGGCTAGTGCTCGGGTCACTCCTTCGCGCAAGAGCGCGGTTTTCATGGCAGAGATTCGTCCCGGTGTCTGATCAATCACGATTCACACGGACTCCGGTCGACGATCACTCCCATCCCACGTCTTCCTTCCCACCTCGAGCACATGTCACCAGTGGTAACGCACATCCGTGAACGTGCTGCCGCGCGTAAATGTAACATGATCAGCTCCGCATTACATGGAGTGGCGCGAGGGTAAGCAGATGGGAGATACGTGTTGGCAGATGAGGCCCATCCCTTTTGCATGATGGCCTCAAAGATAACGATCAGGTACCTCTACACGAAGAAAGAAAAGTCGGTCACTACTGTTACCGCGCCGCCCGCGTACAGCATTGCCACAATGCAGTGCCCCTGTAGAGTTGGCCGGCAACGCCCTGAGACCTCAGCGTTCAGGCTTACGCCGGATTGTGAACCTGGAGTCGCGTCAGCATTTGAACCCTCGCGCCGGGACGCCGTCTTACAAGTAGATGTTTTCGCGAGCGTAACTCGGCTGATCTGGGTCGTCTTTCACATCCTCCACTTGGAACTGCTTCTTGATGGCCTTGAGAAAGTGCATATCGGCTCTTCTCCGCCGCTTGAAACAGAAGTAGCACACTGTCGATGGGCCAATCAAATCTCGCAGTGTCTGTTGCAGGAGAGGGAACGCCGGCTCAAAATATACACAATCCGCAGCAAGGACTACGTCCGGCGGCGAAGGGAGCTCGCTATCGGGTTGCTCGCCCCAGTTGTAAACGCAAGCTTTCACCTTGTCTCCCAGGTTGTTGAGATCTATGTTGCGCTGCATCAGAGGAATCATTGTTTGTTGATCGGTGATGTAAATGGCGTTTTCGGGTTGGCACCCCACGGCTATGGCCAGCCTGGAACACCTCAGCGCGGGAACACTTTTGKACGTGATCCTAACGTGCTTACCCACAGAATCCCACCCCGGAGCCCAACTCTACGCTGCAAACATAACTATCAGCCGTTTGCGATGGCGAATGTGCCAGAGAGAGAGTCAGGTGAACAAACATAGAAGCCTTACGGAGCGTCTCGCGTTTTGTACGTAGGAGCCACTTTGTGAGTATCTCTCCAGCCTGCCACACTCTACCACCATTTCCACTTTTCAGGTCTTGGTGGAGTATCAACTTTGTCTCGATCAGTCCATCGAAGTCATGCGCACTTGTTGAAGGGGTCGAGAGCGTTGGGCTTTGTACGAGATCTTCGTCCACGGTAAATGTGTCCTGCTCAGACTCGGCCATTTGGAGGTTGTCGGTGATCGGCGCCTGACGAGGAGGGAGCTGCTGTCGTCGAGATCATCGAGATCGGCGCTGATAACAGAGTTTGGCAAACGGCCTACCAAGCACGCGCCGAGAGCGTGCCAACACGTGCCCAGGCGCGATATTGCTTGGAAATTGCTTGGATTAAACGGCAAAATCGAAGCTAAATATGCACTCCGTGCCAGATGCGGTTGGCGTGAGCCTGGAGGAAGAGGCTCACGTCAAATGGCAAGTCCGACCACTCGAAGGTGACACCAGCCAACAAATTGACAGTGATCCGCTTTTTCCAATACTCCTCTGCAATCTTGTAGTCTGCTTCGAACAGTCGAATACAGCATGAGGGCGAACACATTTCTCTACACGTCGGCTCACAAAGTACCAGACAGCGCGTGCCTCACTGGCTGGAAGCGCTGCATCTCACGAACCATCCAGGATTCCAGGACACCAATGCCTGAAGCTCTTGAGGGATCGACAAAGCAACACGACACAGTATTCCCACGGAGTTTTGCCGAGCCACCTCGGTCCTCTGGTGTGATTCAACGAACAGCGCAATCCTCCGCCACCAAGGGGCCTCCTGCTTACACGCAACTAATGTCATTTCGAAGCGCACGCTGGCGGCCGTGTGTGCATGGAGTCGACAAGGCGTCGTGAGGGTGTATCCGCATCACACAGCCGAAGATCTGGACATGATGGTGGTGGTTTGTAGGACTGTCCCGGGGCTTCACGCAATCTTCAATCGCGTATGGCACACAGAGTGTAAGCTTCAGTGCAACTCAAAGTCCGAGCCATATCTGGATCTTTCAGCATGAGGCGGCGTTCTGAAGAGTACCTTATCTTCCCACGGCGACTGCTCTGCCTCGAAGCATGCATTTCTTGTTGCAAGCTGGAATCGGTTCTCAGACTACAAGGACTTTGTGCCACACGTAGAGAAGCGTCACGTCTATGCCATGGGCACTCAAATGTAGGTGGTAGAGTGAGATTTCATACTTTTCTTGTTCATATCTCTGGCAAGTTCCTTTTCAGTCGACCCCTTGCTTCCCCAGTTGAGACATTCCGACTGAGCCACCTACAGCAAGGGCCCTGCATTTCACCACTTTACGCGTTACACGCGCCCTTTACGCATCGCACTCTCAAAGTTTCGACATGGAATTTTTTTCTCTCCAGACGCAAAGGAAAAGACAGAGAGCAGTCAAAAGGCAAGTCGTTCTAGCAGGTCAGTACACATCAACGTGAGATGCAATTCCTTGCTAATGCACTCCAACTTAGGTGGATATGGCGAAGAACCACGCACGAGCTCTCGCCGGGATCTGCTGTGCATTGAACGCATGTTTCATGGTAGCGAGGGCAGCACCTGTCGTGAACTTTCCGTTCAACTCCCAAGTTCCCACCGTGGCCCGAGTCGAGCAGCCATATAGCTTCCGACTCTCCGATTCGACTTACGCACAAACTCCAGAGAGTCTCGTGTATAGCTTGGAAGGCCAGCCAGCATGGCTTACATTTGACGGCGTGACGAGGACTCTTGAGGGTACACCAGGACAGGCGGATGAGGGATCCGCCGCTTTTAGCCTTATAGCAGCCGATTCCTCCGGTGCGGTGCGGATGCCATGCACATTGGTCACCTCAGGAAATCCGGCACCGCTTTTGGCAGGAGATATAAGCGAGCAACTCGCGGCCACTATCAATCTTTCGTCTAGCGAGCCTGCTGTGGCGACTCTTCTGCCCTCGACAGACTTCAAATTCGACTTCGAGCAAGGTTCCTTTATCGACATTGTTCAACGCAAGCTATATTACTACGCTACGCTGTCTGATCGCACTCCACTCCCTTCGTGGCTCACCTTCGACTCTGATCAGTTGACATTCTCTGGGACCGCGCCCGATCTCAGTGCTTTTCCGCAATCCTGGACAATCGACATTATCGCCTCTGACGTGCCCGGATTCGCGGGCACACGTGCGTCTTTCACAATTGCTATTGCAAAGCAGCAGCTCGCTTTCGTACCAGAACAGCAAGACGTGACTATTACCCCTGGGGAGTCTATAACTATCTCCACCTTGAAGGACGGGTTGTTTCGAAACGATGTTCGGATCAGGCCAGATGATCTTGAGAGTGTCACGGCATCTCTGCCATCGTGGCTACAACTCGATTCAGATACCTTGAGAATTGAAGGGGAAGCACCAGCAAATGCCACTACGCAGAACCTCACCGTATCTGTGGTAGACAAGCTCGGAAATTCTGCTACTGCAGTGCTCAACGTCATACTGGGAAGCATATCGTATTTCGACGGCCAAGTCAAAACCATTGAGGCGCGTGCAGGCGAATGGCTGGAATACCACTTTGATGACTCCTTGTTCAATCAGGATAATTTGGATCTCAGCGTGACATTCCCTACAGCCACGAGCTGGCTCAGTTTCGACGCCGATACACAAAAYATCTCGGGAAAGGTACCCACGTCCCTGGAGGATACCACTATTAAAGCCACACTTCTAKCAAGCCCGCCTGGTGGTAAAGGCAGTCAAGCGCAGGTCTTCACAATCGACATACAGGGCAAAGCGATGTCTTCTACGTCCCTTGTGGCCACGAGCTCAACAACCGCGTCCACGGGTCTTCCTCCTTCAACAAACATCGCTGGGCACTCTCCTGGCGCAGCTGTCGGATCGTCCAATTCCACCACACGCCTCAAAATCGGACCCATTGTGGCAATAGTCATTCTGTCGGTAGTTCTCACAGCGATTTTGATCGTTTCCATGCTCTTCTACTGTCGACGTAGACGTGCGCGAAGGGCGGATTTGCTCACCCCGCCGAAAAGCACGATTTCTCGGCCCATGCCATCTCCTGAGCCAGAAGGGATCATCGTCACGACATCAATGTACCGCGATGTCGAAAAGCACGCGGGACCTGAGGCTGCTCGGGTGTCACCTTCGTCTCAACACATCAATTCAGAAGATCCGCCGCAACTCGCTGCTCTGCAGCTACCGTCTCAAGGCGCAAACAGGATGTCGAGATGGWCTGAGAGGTTCTCGAGAAATAGCATGGCATCATCGATGGGAGTGGGAGAGGAGATGATCATGGCAGACTCAAACATTCCAGAATGGGGACGACCATCTGTGGCCATGTCTGCGCCACACGACAGCTTTTCCATCCCTGCTGAGATTGCTAGAGTCTCGAGACAGCTATCGGACGTCTCTCCTAGCAAGCAAGCACTACACAGGCTCCGTGACAAGAACAGGAATAGTGCCGGTATTGGAATGACAAGGACGACGGCCGGCGGAATGGCGAGACATTCGTCTTCAAGACGCGGTACGAAGCAACGAGGGCAAAGGAGTAGCATGGGCCTATCAACCACGAGAGAAGCCAGCAGTATGAGTTCTTTCACAACTAGAGGGACGAGCGTGTTGTCAACTCAGACCACGCTGCCCTGCGAGTTTCCAAGACCTCCATCGACCGCCGTGTCGCTTCCCACTTCCTCGTTACCAGAAACAGCCAACCGGAAGAGCTACAGGCGAAGCGGTATCCGTAATAGCACCATCAGGATGGTGGGACGCAGTGATAGTGTCAAAGACGACCGCCCACTTGATGAGAAGCGCCAGTCTTTTATCAGGAATCGGGCGAGCAAAAGTGGAATACAGAGTCCGCTTTTCGCACATGGCTCTAGGGGATCATCCTCTGCAAATGCGRGACTGAATGGAAGAGCTTCGACCAACCTCTCTTCGTTTGGGAGTATGAGAGGTTCACGACAACTTCCCACGAACTACTCGGAGGCTTCCTCTACAGATCCACAGGTCCATGATACTCGACGCTTCAGCCAGAGGGTACGGTCTGTTTTCGCCCCAAATTTCCCTCGTGCACTCACGAGATCTACGATATTTCCAGACGAAGATCGCATACCAGAAGGCGCCTCAAGCTCAGCGTTCAGTACGACGTCGGAATCCCTCAACAGCGATGATTGGGTGCACGACTTACCAAAGCCTMGCAATGAGAGGAATTTTGTGTTACCGGGAGAAGCATCGCCTACACCACCTCCAGCACCACCTGTGTCACGGCGCGGCTCTTCGATTGGTGGACGTGCGCTGCCAGGGGAAGGCGACGTACCAGTCCAAGCTTGGAAGAAACGTATGAGAGAAAGATCCTCATCACCACTATCATCACAAGTCAACGCGACAGTAATGGATCGGTCGTCACCACTCGGGTCTCGAAGCCAGCGCCGTAGAAAGAGTCTTCTCGGTGAGCCTCAAAGCCTGGTTAGCGCGGACAGCATGCACAAGTCCACCCGTCCCAGGATGGCTCGCACCAACGTCAGTCGGCCTGTGAGCATCGAAGACGTCCAGAGTCGGCTGAGCAGTATGCAAGCCAATCAAGGGCACGCCCAAGCAGGAGCAGGAAGTGAGCAATGGGAAGAAACCGATTCTGAGGATGATGCTCGAGGTGTTGAATTGATGCCTGTCATACCAGCCGGCGGCAGCAGAACTGGTACACAGCGGTCCGATATGAGCGGCCCTGCATTCCTGTAGACAGGCAGCATCAAAATCATGTGATTAATGAAGTACACTTGTCTCCGTCGGATGTAGTTTCGATGTGGGCCTTCCGTGCGGATGATAGCGATGTCCGGAGCAAGCGAGTGATGCTTGAGGACGTGTTGTACACAAGAACCTCACGTTTAGTTGCTTCGCAGGTCGGCCAATTTCAGAAGTCGTCCTAAGACCTTGTGTAGTCATGCARGTAGTTGACGTCGATGTCACTTCAGTTCGTCCAAAACTGCAATGCATAAGGGAGGAGAGAAATTGCTGATGGTTATTGTCGGACAACGTAGCCGTGTTCATAAGGATAGTTCCTGGAGATAATGTACAGGGCAGAATCACATATATTCACCAATCCACAGCCTCTTCCTTGATCCACATTCCTCTGCTGTGGTACCTAGTTTGTGCGTTAGCTCTCCCGCACTTGCGGCACGTTCGCGCACACGTGCATGACAGCGGTGTCGCGATAGGCTTCGGCTTTGCACGTTGCACTACCGTTGGAGGATGTGGTTGTCGAGCGTCGAAATTGGCTGATGTCAAGGGCGAAGGTGCTTTTCAGCCCCACCAGGGTGTCATTGTCGTCGTGCTCATTGCATGTGACTGGTTTTCGCAAAAAGAGGCCGTGAACCTGAGAGCTCGGAAGCTTTTACAGCATCAGCAACGACCCATTTCATACCACCGATCATTCCTCCCGAGCTGCCTCGAGCCGCTGCCGATGGGTTACGACACAAAGGCCGATGCCTGAGCAGACGAAATGTCGACCTGGGTCCCAATTTCTACCCACATTCACCTGAGCTTGAGCCGATAGCCACGCCAGTCGATTCCGCACCACCTCCGCTTCGCCGGCCATGAAGTTCGGCAAGCACATCCAGAAGCGGCAGCTGGACATTCCGGAATACGCTGCCAGCTTCGTCGATTACAAGGCGCTCAAGAAGCTCATCAAGAAACTAAGCGCAACGCCTGTCCTCGCGGCGGTACAAAAGGGCAGTGCCAATGGCAACAGCGACTCGCAAGCTTCGCTGCAGGCGAACAAGGCAACGTTCTTCTTTCGCCTGGAGAGAGAATTGGAAAAAGTCAACACCTTTTACCTGCAAAAGGAAGCAGAGCTCAAACTGCGTCTGCGAACGCTGCTGGATAAGAAAAGAGGCCTGCAGTCGCGTGCCACTCCTGCGTCGAAGCTGTCCTCCAGCTATGTCACACTGGACGAAGGCTTTCGGCTGTTTGGCAATGACCTCGACAAGCTGCAGCAATTCGTAGAGGTGAACCAGACTGCCTTTTCGAAAATCTTGAAGAAGTGGKACAAGACATCAAAGTCGCGAACCAAGGAGCTTTACCTGTCCCGAGCCGTTGATGTGCAGCCTTGCTTCAACCGGGATGTTATTAGCGACCTCTCCGACCAAGCAACCACTGGTCTGCTCGAGCTTCAGGCCTGGGCGGAAGGCGAAAAGATCGCATACACTCCTGCGGTGGAACTGGAGAACAGAGCACAGCCGGCAGGGCATGACGAAGAGATTGAGACGCAGGTACTTCAGGCAATCAATGCAGGAAATACCGCACTTGTGCGAGAATGGTCCGCGCGGACCGCGACAAGTGAAGATGCGAGAGAGCGGATTAGCCGGGTGTTCCTCAATACGGTCAACACTGCGGCGAGCAGTGCACAGGAGGTGCTCTGCGAAACTGGGCTGGTGGATTTCAACTACGCGGATTCAATCAACGAGCGAAACTGCATGCACGAGGCTTCTGTCAGTGGAAAGACGACTATCTTAAACGCAGCTCTGGCCAAGGGTGCAAATATCTGTGCGCCTGACGTATACGGACGCCTCCCTTTGCATTACGCTTGTATGCACGGAAGGGTCGAAATGATCAAGATCTTGGTTGAGGCTGCTCGGGACAGCGTCGATGTGAAGGATCTTGACAATTTCACACCATTGATCCATGGAATCGTTCGCTCACAGGCTGCCAGCGTCCAGGCTATGCTGCAATTTGGAGCCATTGTTGATCCAACAGGAAGCACAGATCATATCCCATTGAACCTTGCTTGTCAGTACGGATCTGTACCTATTGTGCAAAACATCCTGCAGTTTCAACCACAGATCATACCAGATGCTGAAGGCCTGTATCCGCAGCATCTTGTCGCGCGCTTCGGAAGGGATAGCCAAATTCTCATCATGTTGAAAGATTGCGGCGTCGACATGGATCAACCTGACAAGCTCTATCAATGGACACCGATATTCCACGCAGCATCAGAAGGCCACCTTGAATGCCTGCGTCAACTTTTAGAGTTTGACGTCGATGCGGCTGCCATCGACGAGAAGGATCTTTCTGCCATGTACTACGCCGCGTGGGAGGGCAAACTGGACTGCATGCAGTTGCTTGCACATGCATGCGCCGCCATAGCAGAACGAAAAGCCAGCAGAAACGACGTTCAAATGGGAGAAACTCAACCGCCGGCAATGCTCACTGGAAGTACGCCCGCGCTTGCCATCCCTGATGCAGAGAACATTCCATCGCTGTCATTGCCACCACCTATAATTCCCCTCAGACGATATGGCCACAACTTCCTCGACACTACCAAGACTTTCATCTTACTTTCCTTCGGCGACCTTGACTGTTCGGCAATTGAGTTCTATGGTGACAGCAAGTATCCTGCTGCTCGTTTGACCGTTTCATCAAAGTCTTCCGACCTTATTCCGCGAAACTTGCCGCTTCCTGTTCAGGATGACTTCAAGACCATCTCATTCCAGATTGAAAACCTTGAGACTCTCACCCTCGACTTTGACATATATCCAACATTTGGAAGCAAAGTCATCGCACGCGCCGCCGCCTCGAGCCGTGTCTTCACAGGCAAGAACAGCAGCTCCGGGATGTGGCACTTGGAACTATTCGACCCTCGACTACGTGCTATTGGCCGTGTCAGTTTCCGATACCAAGTCGTCACTCCTTTCCATGGCATCCCACTTGAGATTACGCACTTTGCAACCTACTGGAAAGCCACCAGCCAGTATGACAACCACCCGAGCAATCTCATCACTGGCAGCAGTTTGTCGGGAGATTTCATGAGATTATTTGTCCAAGTCACTCGAGATGGCGTCCCTGTACTGTTCAACGACTGGGCACTGCCCAGCAGTAAGCATCTGCTTATAAGTAGATTGAGCTATCGCGAATTCCAGGCCGCAGGACTCGAAGCTGGGCGCGGGAAGACCATGATACAAGATCTTGTAGCTGCAGGAATCGACCGCGACGACCTGGCTTCCACACAGCGCCAGATCGCGCGCTCATACACCTCACTGGCCGATGTCCTGGCTTTGCTTCCAGCAGACCTACACCTGGAGATCCACGTTTGCTACCCTGCGCGTTTAGAGGAAGAAGCGCTCCAACTAGGCCCCACGCAGAATATCAATGTTGTAGCCGACGGGGTCCTGAAGGTCGTGTTCGATCATGCGAGGCAGCTGCGGGAGTCCAAGGATGGACCGCAGAGGAATTTCGTGTTTTCAAGCTATAATGCCGACATATGCACGGCGCTGAATTGGAAACAGCCAAACTGTAAGTCTGTCCTGGTCCGTGATACAACGCTCCGCTGACCTCCTAAATAGACCCCATTCTCTTGTGCAACGAGCTAGGAGTTGCACCAACCAGCGGCGCACAGCGTCGCGCCAGCCAGAATATTGTTGGCAATTGTGGCCGAACGGACATGTCCATTAAAGAATCCGTGCGGATTGCGCAGCAAAATAACTTCATGGGCCTCATTTGTACTTCTCGCCTGTTGGAGCTGGTTCCCGCGCTGGTGTCGAGTGTCAAGGAGGCGGGTTTGGTGTTGATGGCAGACTACAGCCATGATTTCACAAAGATCAGACCCTGCGTGACAGGGGGTGAAGATGGGCTACTGATGAGTAATGCTGTGTTGAGATTCAAGGATACCGTAGAACAATAGGCAGATCTCATAGGGAAAGTTGGACGCGTTAAGACGTCGATATTGTGGATGCAATGACCTTTTATGTCTCCGACATTCATATGACGCTTGAGGTTCACTGGCTGAATCGGATTTCGACACTGGTGACAATTCCACATCGTTTCTGAGAGAAGGGTCTAGCACGATGCATTCCATCATGTACATCATGCCTCGAAGGACAGACCCGCCCTGTGTTGATCCCAACGCCGTAACGCCATCGCTTTAGCCAGGAAAAGTCGACTACTTCTTGTTTCGGTTGTACTTGTTGCCTTTTTGCAAGCAAATTAGCGTACATGAGACTCAGTATCAGCGTTTGGCGCCTAGACGAAGTATGGAGGTTAGCATCTATGTCGCATGTGAAGAGTTGATCGAACGGCTAACCTGTTTTGGGACGCGGCTTACACCTGAGAGGAAAGCATAGAAGTCAGCATGTGTCTCAAGCATTGTCGATTTGGCACTTTGATTCGACTTACTCGTCACCAACGATAGGATGTAGCATGATCTTGTTTGGCGTCTGTGGGGTGTTGAAGTTGTAGCCTTTGCTCCAGTCGTAGCTCACAGCATAAGCAAAGATGTTGCCCGATCGGTTGAAAGCTGTCGCGCTGATGGTTCCACCAACTTCTGGGTAACCTTTCAGTCTGTGCTTGGCGTCCTTGTCCCAGAAATGGAATGTGCCATCGCTGCCTGCCGTGCTGAATGTGCCGTGGATAGGGTGGAAGCTGATTGCATTGACGGCGAAGACGTTGCTGATGTTGCGGTCGTTTGGTGGCGTTTGGCGGTGGCACTTGAAGCTGAAGTTGTTTCCAGAATCTTTGTCGTCGATGTACTGGATAGCACAGCGTCCTTCAATGCTGCCAACTGCAAATCCGGTGCCGTCGCTGAAGGTACTGACCACGCGTGTTTGCCATTTGAGGGGCGATTGGATGGACTTGAAGAATGTAGTGGGGTTCTTGAGGTCGACAACGTGGATCCAGCGCTCTGCGGTGCCAATGACGAGCATCTGATCACCACGAACATCCATCGAGTAGACACGCTCCTTCGCATCGATCGTTGCCACGGCGGTCTGTTGACGCAGATCCCAGTACTTGATCATTTTGTCCCAGCCTCCAGTCACGAGCATGGGGGACCCGTTTGAGTTGAAGGACTGTACGCAGCGAATGGGCTGGTCATGTACTGCCACTTGTGTCGGTTTTGTAATATCTCCMCCCAGATCGAGCATGCGCCCGGCCTTGTCTGCACCGACACCGAACACTTTTGTRCCATCCTGCACCTTTCGTTAGCTGCGATTCCTGACAAAGGGAGCTCCATCCAACGGAACATACCGGGCTCCAGCATGTGTCTAGTGCTGGTCCGTCGTGTGTGAACATGGCCTTGCCCTCGGTCGATCCATTCTCCTTGACCTCGTAGATGCGCACGTTATTGTCCCAGCTGGAAACGGAGAGATAGTCGGCGGTGGGGCTGAATCGAAGAGCGGAGACGCTGTCAGTGGGCGGGTTGGCGACCTCGACGTCGCCTTTGAGGTCGCCCTGGGTTGGGTTGTTCGCGGTGCTGGCAAAGGCCATCGTGGGCGGCGGCAGAGGCGCGCGAGTGGAGGACCCGGTGCTGATACGATTTGCTCCAGTGGCAGGACGCCAGGTGTTGCTGGACGACTTGTGAGGACTTGCATTGGAGAAGGGAGTGTTGGACGCCATGGTGCAGGTGTTGAAGTGCTGCTCTTCTCGAGCGCACATGCATTGAAGAGGTACYTACAGCAATCTGTTTGCTGGAGATTCTCACAGCTGAAGCTTCTATTCTGATCGCTTCTTTGGGTCGTGGAGAGTGAATGATCAACGCGTGAGGTTACAAGTTCGTGCACCGCTCACGCACCTCATGGAAAAGTGCTGGCTTTCACGCGATCTACACGCGAATCGATGCCCACTGTCGCGATCAATATAACAGCACCTTGAAAAGTATGAATGAGTATGCTGAGCTTCCCACGATGGAAACGGCACGACCAATGATTTGTTAAGAGTGTACAGGATATGTTAGGATATGTTCGCTCTCAAGGCTGCATAGTTGATGCCTGATTGCCTGAGCGCGGAGGACCGCCGCTTACTAAAGCGCTTCCCGATGATAGAAAATTCTGGCTTCGAGTTCGCACCTTCCTTTTTCAACTCTTCGCTCCAACAATCGCAATCAAGGTTCACACACAGACGAGTCTTGCACTCTGTCAAATCACACACAACCTTGGGAGAAAGTCCCCGGACAACCTGCTTCGGCAGGATTGCGGAAACGCGTCGCCATAGAAGCACCTTTGCGACTCATCTCGCTTCGGCCTCCATCCTCTTCCGCCAGCCCGCCTGCCGTTTGGACTCTCACTTGGATGCTTCGCTACTCGGACCTGTTGGACTTGAAGACCGGTCGCTCTCGGGTGGCTGCCCTGCAAGGGGAGACAATGATATGAGTCTGCGCTTCCTGTCCAGCCGGCCTCGCTGTGGTGTTGTTGAAGGGTGGGAGGAGGCGGAGGGATCTGTGCAGGAGACAAGTTGGGCTCAAGGTCAGTTGTGAGAACTCTTCGTCGCGGTCAATAGATATGCGATTGCCCGCTTCCTTCTACTAATCTACAGATTGGTGTCGGAGCGGGTAACTCGATGGGGCTTATTCTGGGTGCGAAGAGTTCACCAGATTCTTTTGGGCTTGTTGGGCGGGCCTTCAGCGCTCGCGCCTATGCTGTGTCAAAGCAGTCGGGCTCCATACTCTGCCATGGGCAGGCGTTCAAGTGATGAATAAAAGTAGAGTCAAGCACTGAGACTGCGACGTGGGTTTGCCCTTCACTGGGCGGTCTGCGGCGTGCTTTGATGCAACAACTACGACGGTATCTGATGGACGCTTCATGTAGCTCGCTTGTGATGGAATAATCAAAACAGCTTTTCTCCAAATTTCCTCGACACAGTCACTATTGTCATGATGTACGCCTCTTATTAACCGAAAGTCGATGTCACGACAGATCTGCCGTAACATTTGCCTCCAGTATWGGGTGTCCCTTTACAGTAAAAAAGTATCGTGCTCAATGTCTTGCATACATCTTACCATCATCAACTCCGACCTATGTAGTGGTTACACCGCTCACAATACGACGGAGCGGAAAGGCACATACGAGCCGACTGGCAACGCAACTACGTATGCCTTGCATGGGAACGCGACGGCCATGTCSAAGTTGGATACACCAAATCAGTCCCATCCCAACAGTTTGCACTATCCCAACCCCAACCCTGACCCTAATTTTGATTCCCACGAACAATGAGTGAGGATAAGGGCAGGCTTTTCACTGTTCACATATCTACATCCGGAATACGCAACCCGTGCCAGTAGCGTCCACAGCATTTGTTCCCCCTAGATACTTGGCAAGAGGGATAAGCCAAAGCTCTTGACCCATGCACAGGGCGAGCGAGATTCTCCGCTAGAAAGGGCGTGGAATACCTAGGCGATGGAGGTATCACAGCAGATTTGTGTGCTCGCGACCTTATAGCGCACCGAGCATTTCAACGTTGCTGAAATTTGCATGCCGTGCAAGACGTCGACGTGATATCACAATGCTCCTCCTAGTTGATTATAGGTAATTTGTGCTCTAGCCACTCGACAAGACGCGTTCTCCGCGATGTTTGCAGCTGGCGAAGTGCCCTCTCGTCATTGATTGACGAATCCCAAGACGTGATCTCGTGCAACTTCAGCCCCAAGAGGCCCTTGTCGGGCTCCGATGGAACAGCCTCCGTGTCAACGGTAATACCGTTGATAGCACCATAGCGGACGGAAAGTTCTAGATCGATATCGATGCCCTCGTCCGACTCTGTGGAGATGGTGAATTGAGGCGTCTGCAAGTATGTCCATGCATCGGACTGCCCAGGGTCAGTATCGCTTCCCAAGTCAGCATGAAGCATCACTCACTCGAAGTTCGTCGTAGCCTTTGCGAACACTGTCTTCGTCAAGCCACTCTTCTCCGACCTCTATTGCAGGATTCTGCTTCGAACAATTATACTTCTCGGCGAACCGTGCTTGCACGGAACTTATGAAGTCTTCATTACCCAGTGTAATGTTGCCAACCGGAGAGCTCACACTCTCCACACCGCGAGCCGTCATATACGGCTTCGCTGGCGAGTGTAGATAGTGAGGTATTGCGTTGAGATTTGGACTGGAAAGCAGACATGTTCCATGATGCAACGCGCGACCCCTGGTGAGCTTATATGCCGAGCCAGAGACCTTCAAGGGCCGCGGCGTGTCAAAGTTGTTGGCCTCGTACGGGGTACTATGAGTATCTTCTGGATCAGTCTCAGCTCCCTGCTGTCCTTGGTCCAAGACTATGTCATGACGGGCATTGACTCGTGCTCTGTCTACGCCAAGGCGTCTCAATGCATGCACCATCATCTCAGCGTGCTTGTCGCGGGTGAAGGAAGTAGATGGGCAGATAACAGTCCAGTTGACGTTGCCTTCATCATGGAAGACGGTACCGCCTCCACTGCGTCGACGGACAAGATCAACGACTCCGAGGCCAGGAGGGTCACTTTCAGGCAGGCCATTGCTGATATTCAACAAGGCAAGATTGACTTCCAGCCATGGGTTTTGATTTCTTCCAATGACGATGCTTGGCCTGTTCACGTACAAGAAAAGCACGGCGGACTCTGGGTCAGTCTTTTGCAGCAGGAAGTGCTCGATGGAGAGATTCAGGAATGGGTCGCGCGATGTCGAGATGTAAGACTGGACTGGCCGTGCTAGGCCTTCCAGTGACGTTGTCGATATCCATCTCCGTGTAGTGAGTGGTGCGCGTGGCGATCTGCTGCTGCAGATACAGTGTCGAAAAATCATTCGCTCTCTGCTATAGCGACATGGCTTTCGTGTATTAAAGGTTGGTCTTGATTAGGAGGTCCTAGTGAAAGTTTCACAGGCGCCAGACTGATCTTCGCAGCGAAAAGATTCTCACGGATCGCCGACGAGGCCCTTGGAATCACCGAATAGGCAGTAGCGACACGCGAATTGCCGAGTGTTGAAGGTGTGTCGGTGTATTGTTAGGTGGTGACCATATCGATCTTGAAAGCCACCAATGCTGATCTTACCGTTTTGCCGGCAGAATTGATCACGGGAAGGCTAGAACTAACGCAGGCACCACCCACACGCACGACAAGGACAAGGGTTCCGCTTCCGCTAACGCGTGCGTGCAACATCATCACCTCCGTATCCAGACCCAGGCACTCCGTAGACACCGCCCTCCACCCCATTACGAACATGCCGAGATGGCGACCGACACGACAGCCCAGGCTTTTAAACAGCCTATGACGGCACCGGAGTTGATCGCGTTCGTTAAGAATGAGCTCGATGCCGACGAGGAGCGTCAGGCCAAGGCGTCGGCGGCCAGCGCTGGGGAATTGCCGCGGGAATCGCAGACCGGGTCGACGCTGGACTTGAGCCATAAGAATATTGGTGCGCTGCCGGTGGAAGTTATTACATTGATCAAGGACAAAGTCGAAAGGTACATGCGACCAGGGGGAGGGGTTATCCGCGCAACAGCTCACAGCCTCTAGACTCGCGCTGTCACACAATCCGCGCATTGCTTTGCCGTTAGAGATCGGCCTGTGCGATCGACTTCGATATCTGAATTTGCGATGGAACAAGCTGAAGCACTTTCCCGAAGCTGTAAGCTGAGAGACAACACCGTGTTCATACGTTAGCTAATGAGATGCAGGTCTTGACGCTGGCCAAGCTCGAAATATTGGACATCAGCAAGAATGCGATCGATGGCATACCGGAGGAAATCAAGAACATGACGAACCTCAAATTCTTAGCCGTTGCGCGGAACCAGWTCAAGCGTCTGCCATATGCTCTAGGTGAGATGAATCTGGTGAAGCTCAAGTTCGACGAGAACCCGATCGAGTTTCCACCTCCCGAAGCGTTAAAGACAGACCGGAGGAATCCGTCAGTCGAATCCGAAAAGGATAAGGATATGTGTCAGCAGGTCAAGCGATATATGAAGACAGTGATGCGAGAGAGACTGAGGACAAACTCCGAGGACGACTTCAGGTGCGTTGATTCAGGCTTTCCCATCCATCACCTTATGCTGAACTCTGCAGTGCGAGCAGTGCCGAAACTCCACGTCCTCCCAGGAGAGGAGCACACGGTGGACGGTTTCCGGTGCGGCCCAGCATCAGCGGTATAGAGAATGTCCAGGGTCTCGATCTCAGAGCGGAGTCCCCACCCGWGAATGTTCCGCCCATTCCAGCAAGGAACCATGCCCGAGGACTGTCATCAGCCTCTCATATTGGTCGAAGACCGGGAGTTACCCCTTTGCTGACTACTGGACTGGACACCAACCGAAGCAGGAGTGAGTCTGTCGCATCTGCCAACATGCGGAATCGAAGGCAAGGCTATGTGCCGCGCAAGAATACCACGACGGGCGAGATTTCTTCACAGCTGTCAGCACGTTCAATTCAGGCGCCAACACTAACGCCTCCCCACTCGCGTGCAACAAGCGTGACCTCCAGCTTCAATGGACACTTGGCGATTGGTAGTGGTGGCGAGACGTCGTCAGGCGCCGTCAGTCCAGTTGACGGGCCTGTGAGTCGTGCTCTGTTGACCCGGAAGCTTGCAAGTCTTCCAGAGTCCCGCGACTCGCGCGCACCAACGATGAGCTCCATCAAAGTGGTCAAGCGCGTCCTCTTGATGCTTTTCTATCTCTATAGGCCGATCGCCGACGTCGCCCAGCAGTTAAGTAGCGGATCGCCGAAGCGCTCGACCCTGGAACGACAACTGTATGGCGCTAATGCTCACGTGGAGGAGCTCGACCGGCTCTTGAATGGTGCGGACGGCATTACTGAAGACCACATCGAGCTTGAACCTGCTCTTCTCATGTCGGTCACGCGTACGGCCACTACGGCGTTGACGCTTTATGTTCAGGTCATCAAAGAGCTTCACCGAAATCGACAGCAAATGGCAAGGCGTGTTGATGCATTTCACGTACGATGTGTGATCAATACAGCTTACAGTACCCTTATCGAGGCGCGGAACGTTTGTCAAATGCTGGGCTTCCACACCAAAACCTTGCCGGCCAAAACTCTGCGGGCATCAAATGCTTGGAGTAGTCGTACTGTCACACCGACTCAGGCGCGGTCCTCGAGCAATCGAAGGAGAGGAGCCACAATCCTGCCAAGCTCAGGGGGTAGCACCAGTTTTCGAGGGGCGCCAGCACCGCCCGTGCCTCTACATACAAATGGTAGCCGCAGTAACACGATGACGTCCACGGGAGGGGCGACTCCGCGCATGAACGACGCCATGGGCGGTCTTTCATCGTATAGTAATGTTTCTTCTCGGAGCAATACTATGCGGAGCGGCATTTCTCAGTCCGAAGGAGAGGACAGCGCTGATAGACTGTACCGAAAGTTGAAGGTCTGTTGCGATCTCGCCTTGCAAATTCTACCTCCAGTCCGTGCGGAGCTGGCTTCGAGGAAACTCAGCGCGGACAAGACCGGCCATTCTCGTTCGGCGCACCAGTACGCGCAGGCAGTCAACAAATGTGACTTCGTCATCGCAACGAACAACAAACTCATGTCGCGTTTGAAAGTTATGCGGGTAGGGGATCCTGCTCGGTACCTCTCTGAGTTCCGACAGCTTACGGAGAGCTTCTCGAAGGTAAGTCAAATTGTGTCTGCAAGCAATGAATTGTCTGTCCTTAACTAACGAGAAATTTAGGATTGGGCCAACTTTGCCGGAGAAATCATGTCGTTGGCACACAATCGCATTGATATTGGCAACGTCAAGCACAACCTCAAGCCTGTCCAATACGCCGTCAAGGATGCTAATAATGCCGTGGCGCAGTCTTTGCAAGCTTCAACATATACTGTACCGACCACTCATGCAAAGCCACCTCCGACTGCTGGACTTCATGGAGGCTTTTTACCAAATCTCAACACGAGTCTGGCGCTTCAAACGAGTTACATCCCTCCAGTTCCTGCCACGCCCCTGGGCGCAGCCCTCGGTCCAGCGGTGCAGGCCACAGTACCACCAACGCCTAGTACGGCGTTTAACTCCCCCGAGTTTTACCCTACCCAATTTGTTCCAGGACCTGGTCGATCCGGTCCATCAAGAACAGATGCAATGTTACCACCACCGGGATACCCAAGAAGATGAGGATATGAGTGAAATTTATTTATTGGGCGCTGCAGCGAGCATGATGGCATTTCAATGGAAGAGACAGGCGCAAGGAATTGGGAACGTGCGGGACTCGGGAGCACACGACCGTATGATGATTATACGTGTAACAATACTTGCATGGAACGGAGTTGGACATCGGACATATGGGCGAGTTGACACAAGTGTAACGATCGAAATGGCAAACGAGAACGTAGACAATGGGGCAGTATGGTGTGGCGAGCAATTGGGCTTGCGCTTAATTGTAGCGGTATTGTACCATGACCATGGACATTGCCGTCGGCATGCTCCGAATTCATCTCCATCGGACCCGCCCTGTGATCATTGACCGCACTGTCTAAGCCTTCCTCCCACTGCTGCCAGTTTTGCCCTCGTATCACGTTGTGGAGATATGATGCGCTTAGTCGAAGAGACCGAAGCCCATGTCCTCGTCGGACTCCTCCTTCTCTGCAAGAAAAGGTGTCAGTGGCATGTACGCGCTGTCTGGGTATTGGGACCGACTTACCCTCCTCCTTGGCGGCCTCTGGGGCAGCCTCGGCGGCGGCGCCACCAGCAGCAGCAGCACCACCGGCAGCTGGGGCGGCGGCAGCACCACCTCCAGATCCGACGTTCAGGAGCAGCTCCTTGACATCCTTGCCCTCGAGGGCCTTGGCGAAGAGCGAAGTCCAGATGGGCTCAATGTCGGGGACCTTGGCGGCGGAGATGAGCGACTGGAGCTTGTCGGCCTGTAGGATTGAGATGTTAGAACACTGCTCTTGGTATGCGCGACCATGCGCAGTCTGAGGTGGGAGGGTTTCGTACGGTGATCTCGACACCGTCATCCGCGAGGATGAGGGCAGCGTAAGAGGTTGCGAGCTCGGCGTTGGACATTTTGACGGTTTTTGAGGGTTGTAGAGTGAGATGCCAATACGCTCGGGTCGTAGAGGTCTGTCGGGTATTAGTATGTGGGCGACTTTGCGGTGTCGAAGAGCGGCGATACCTTCTTCTCGATTGATGTGCGGTGATGTGAACTTTTCGTGGTTCGTAGTTTGACGCAGGTAGGTGCGTGCTTGGCACTCGCTATTAGATGACTAAGCCCGACTCTTTTTCGGGATTCTGGTTCCGAGCCCTATGTTTGCCTCGATTCTAGACAGAAAACCGGGGCGTGCCTACCTACCTACCTTACCACACACAAAAGGTACCTTATAGTGAGGGTGTGATGAGTGTGAGGTTGCCAATTGGAGTTCGGACGAAGTCAAACCTCGGAAGTCACACGTGAACTTTCAGAGGAGCGCCCGGGAAGGAGGCAGGACTGAGGTAAGCTGCCTGCACAATCTTTCTTGCGCACCTCTCCCTGGATCATTACCCACAGGTAGGTACCTTATTATGAGATGCTATTTTGTGTGTTTTGCAAGGCAGTTCCGATAGTTCGAGCTGATGAGAGAAGGCCTTCCGGGCTTCTATTCTGGAAGGTAACCTAACTGCTTTTTCGAGTTCCAAGTCAACGTGCAGTCACCCGGGACTGCGTCGAGCAGTGATTGCGGAGGACAGTGGACATGATCAGGCACGTCAGAACCTGACCAAATGCTACACAACGCAGCTCRGTGTTTGATGAAGGCGTCGGTATGCACCGGGATGTCATCACGCAGCTCCATCGTGACTGCCGAGCCGTGTACAAGGAAGACTTAGGTTGCTACCGAACGGAACCGCATTCACTTCAACGACTTGATGGACCTTCGAACTCTCTAGCAACAATCGAGGATCAATGCAAAGTCGATTTCGACGTCCAGCAAGCCGTGAATCGTGATCATCCCTGCAGAACACCAGGCGAGGTTGCAGGGCGAAGTTGCGGCAATTCGCTCTTCGTTCTTTGCGGGGAAGGGCATCTCATGTCATCAATAGATTGTGTCAATGCATTCGCCGCGCTCGTGACCACATGCGCAATTGTTGGATAAGCACTCTGGCTTCTTCATCCAGTACATCTCTTTTCCTACTGACAATCTCTGAAACACACGCCCAGCCATGACCGACTCTCCATTCCAGCGGATCCCGCTCGATCCCAAGGAGCAGCCCATTCTCGATCGCATCCTCGTCATTCGCGACCATCTCTCGCTTCTCAAGCAGGACCGCAGCACCTACGTGAAGAGTGCAGATGTGGTCAAGTACTACACGCAACTCGTGGAGCAAGTGGAGCAGCTGAACGAGATCCGTATCGACAAGCGCGATGAACAGAATCGGGTGGACACGGTCTTGGATGATTGCTTTCGGTTAATCTCTCTCTTCTTCCTGACAATCGGCCGCAATCGCGAGGCTCCCGCAATCTACACCTGCGTTTCCACCGTCAAGCGGTTATTAGACCATCTCAAAGAGGCTGCCTTCTACTTGCCTGCCGATCTCAGGAGCATCAGCGACCATCTCGACAAATGGCAGCAAACGATTGAGCGGAGCAGGAATGAGCATTCGGAGCATCTTCTTACCTTACTTGAGGCAAGAATCAACCTCTGCAAGGTTACTTTGAAAGAATTGAAGGCGCCACTGGCTCTTATGGACGAGAAGGATATGCGGACATACGAGAAACTTGTGTCGCTGCTACGGTCACTCTCAGCATGCAACGCACGGTCAAAGGTTGGTTGGCGAAGCGCTGTTACCAAGTATCGCTATTCTAACAAGTGGCAGTATCCCAAAGACGAGGTCAAAGATCTTTCGCAGCAGCTCTTTCAAATCCAGACTGAACTTCATGCGGAAGGCATATCACACGAAGGAAAGACTGCGGAAGAGGTGTATGCTGAACGGTTGGCAGCCATTAGCCTGTCCGAGGGTATTGAGAAAGACGGACCTACAGTAGTGAGATCACTGCTGGCTCGGTGCCTACTCTGGGTCGAAGTCATTGAGGCCAAGTGCGCTCACTCTCAGCCCCGCTCGCTGCTCAGCTTGTTGCTAACCAGTCATCTCACAGGCAAGGAAAAATTGACGAGCGCTTCAAGGACCAGTTCGACAAACTACTCAAAATCAGGAATGCGCTGGAGCACATGAATCTCACACAGGCATGGTCACTCCGCGAGACGGACTTGTACGATTACCAGCGACAACTTGACCGAGTCGATGAATCACGGGTGGAGGGTAACYTCATTGATGCCGAGGGCAAGCCCGCCGATCTCCACGCGCAAAGGACACTGCTTTACCTCCTCAGAAAGGGGTATGCCTTCATCTACCAGTACATCATTGCCTCGGAACCAGTGTCTGAGGCTTTGCTACCTATCTATAACCAGCTGCAGACGCTGAAGCGATGCTTGCTGGAAGTTCAGCGTTCCGGAGGTGTGGACAGCCCTCGAGAGTTGTACCCGTACAGCATGAAGTTGACCTCGATCGATAATATGAAGAAGGACGGCAAATTCATGGTTGGCGACGACATACCAGAAGGCCAAGGGAGTGTGTCGGCACTTTTATCCGAATGCTTTGACCTAGCGTATGAGCTTCGGAATGAAGCCGATGCCCGCCAGGAGCGCGAGTAAGGTAGGACGAAGTAGCAAACGGTCTCAGTTTGAAGCAGTGATGGCAGAACGACAGGCTGGGGTTACTGATTACAATGCGTGGCGTTCCGGTGTGGGCAACATGGGAACGGCTTCACTGAATGATGAGAATATACGGTTTTGATTTCGCCGATAGTGGACTCAGGAAACGAGATGTACTAGACTAAAGGGGGAAGGCAGACCTCGACCCGATTTCATATAGAATGGCAGCAGTGGATGCCGCGTAGCAAGTGGCAAGATTCACTAGCTATGTACTGCCGCAGCCAGAAACATTAGGCCACTGTTACTATTCGTATTCATTTCTCATCCAAGCATTGGGCTTCATTCAGCCTCTGCATCATTCCCAAGCCCCAAAGTCCCATGCATTTGATCATTCTTGGTCCCATCACTACAAATAATCTAGATGCTCGGAGAACCTGCTCAAGAATCGACTCTGATTTCTGGCGCCTGGGGGTGCTCTGGTTTTGCTGATACTGTAGGAGTTTGCTCCTTGATCTGCTCCAGATTCTGCTGCGGCTCGACTTGTTTCTCTGGCTTGGGTGTGCTTTCGCGCTTGGGAATGCTCCCAAGCTCAGCACCCTGGCCACTCTGACCTCGTTTCCTGCTGGTCAAATGGTGCCATGGCATGGCCTTGTCATTATTCAATGTAGGTCGGTTGACAGTATCCGAATGGTCTACGCTATCCACCATGCGCGCAAACAATCCTCGCTTCTTGGGAGCCTGGGGTTTGGGATCGTCAATGTTGACATCTTCGAATCGGTCCTCCTCTTGTGTCTGCGGTACCTGCAGTGGGCGCTGGTATGAATTGGAAGAGCGAGGCAGTGGTTGAAATGTTCGGCTGTCTAGAGATGCCCGTGGCCGGCCTTCGCTGGGTTGTATAACTGGCGATCTTGCTGAAATGTCCTGATAGGCGTTAACAGACAACCATTCTGCTGTGCGACTGCTGCACRACTTACGAATGATCTGCGATATGAGTCGAAGGATTCACGTGAGATACTAAATTGATCTCCCTCATTGAAAGCGCATCGGTGAATTGACGACGATGTGGTCGACCTTGAGGACGTCGTGCCCCAAAAGCTCTTCTTCTCCGTTGGCGAAGGGGGTAGATAAACTCCCGAGTCGTTTATCTCTGCATTTGCGAATGCGCAGTCAGCGCACGACCGCGATGAGCCATGGATGTGCCCATGCTGTCCATCCATCCATGCTCACTCACCACTCAGCTTGTATTCCACCGGATCCCGGCCGTTCGTCTCGTTGGGCTTGCTGCCATTCTTCTCGACACTCTCTTCATGCGCCGTTGTTGGTCGCACGTTCTCATCTTGCTTCCGAAACGGGTTGCGGATGATCGGCATGCTGACGGTATTTATATGTGTGGAGTAGTATTCGCTATCSCGCTGTTCCTGGCGCAGCTATAGCTGTCAATGTTGGACGTTAAGAGGCTTCTAAACAAGAATCTGTGGAACGGCACGGTGAAACACGAGGGCAGAGTATGTGAACCATGGATGCGAGACGCAGCAGGGAGACGCAGCAGGGTCGTCCTGTCGATTCGAGGTACCTTCCGGATAGGGCGGCGGCAAGCGACGACGAATGGCCGACGGCTCCGAGTTCGTTGACATCACCCCAGAAAAGACCAAGCCACTGCCGTAGATCAAACAGCATCCGCTCTCCAGTCCCCACACGGCCATGCATCCTGTATCTCTAGCGCATCGCTTGCATCAGATCGAAGCGGCCGTCTATGGTATGCAAAGTCTGACCTCGAATGCAAAGGGGCGATAAGAGAAACTCCACGACATGGTGAAGGAGTTTTAACTGCAACGCCCTTCTGATCATCATTTGACGAACTTCTCGACGCCGACCGAGCGAGAGTGGGTGAAGCTGATGCACTTCATTGCGGTATCCGCCCGAGTCGAGTTGGCAGTCGTCCGCGAGTCTGGCCTGAGAAAGTGGCTTGGCCCAAGTTGATATGGCTCACCGTCCGCAATGATATCCTGCGCATGCCACCACAGTTATGGGGCGAGAGCATTGGGTAATCCGATTGTCACATTACGCCGAGTACGTCGGATGGCAGAAAGAGTCGTAGGCCCTCAGCGGTTCCTACGAATGGGCGATTCCCATGACATATGGACTAAACCCGGCGAAGCGAGGCGTCGAATCGCGATATTGTGTCAAACAGGTGACACTCCATGCTTGCCTGAGCAAAGTTGAGTCTAGCAATGAGTACTTACGATGGGTACACGAGCCCGTAAACCTCAGCAGCGAGCGAAGGGTGTGAGACACACCACCAAGCGCCAAGTCAAAGACGGTTGGTCAGGTGAAGCAATACTCGGTGCGGGAGAGTCCATTTGGTTACAATTCGCGCGTGCAGTGGACTGATCACTCCATGCAAACCTGATTGAAAGCAAACTTAGTACGTGCGTGCAAGTGAATGATTAGACAGGACAGTACCTAGCAAATCAACGCCGGTAAATCCTCGGCATTGCCCCACCAAACTCTCCAAGAACGGCAACATTGAAGTTGAGTTAAACACCACCACCACCGCGGTCTCGAGACACAATTTCGTTGCATTGCTGACCATGTCCTCAGAGCCCGCGTCGCTGGAGCCCAGYGCGAAGAGAAAGCATGGAGTGATTGATCTGACTGAAGATGACACCAGCGCCGTCACTTTATCTTCCATGCCTGTCACATTGCCAACACTACCCAAAATGCCCACGAAGCCATCAGCCGAGGACGATGACAGCGAATCTTTCATCAATGACTACGCTGACTACTTCGAGATGGCTCCATATCAAAATGGTACAGCAACACAGATGAACAAACTTCCTCCTCAATATGCCTAGCTAACATGCGAGACAGATGGCGAGCTAGGCCTCAGCACAGCGGAGATCAAGGCACTGCGCGACCGGCTCATGGAAATGGGCCCAGTCAAGTTTCTGGAGGAAGTCGTCGAGAACGAGGGAGTGGACCCACGCCGTGTCGGCATCGTCTTCAATCTGGACCCCGACCTCGACATCGATGAGGCCGACTTTCTCAAATTGCTGGGATGCACGATCGCGCGCACATATTGGAAACGCAAGAAGCTTCGTAAGTCACGTAATGCGCGACTCGAAAGGCTCTACTGACCGCACGCTCATTCATAGCGGAATACAACACTATTGACGACGCTGCCAATCTGCTGAAATCATGCAAAAACATCCTCGTCATTACTGGCGCCGGGATCTCGACTTCACTTGGAATCCCAGACTTCAGATCCAAGGACAACGGCTTCTACACCAAGCTCGTGGCCATGGGCTACTTCGAACCAGAAGAAGTCTTTGACATTCACACCTTCGACGATGACCCTAGCGTATTCTACAACTTGGCTGGCGACATACTCCCAGACGAGAAACAGGGAATTTCCCCAACACACGCCTTCATCCGTCTTCTCCAGGACAAGGATCGCTTACAGGTACAGTTCTACTTCATCTTCCCGAATTTAGCAGGCCTGAACTGACAATCAAAAAGACGAATTACTCTCAGAACATCGACAACCTTGAGGCCTTGGCGGGCATCCATGACAATCGTCTCATACAATGCCATGGTAGTTTTGCGACCGCATCGTGCAGGCGGTGCAAAGTAAAGGTTCCGGGCAATGAGATCTTCGCCGAAATCCGCAACAAAGAAATCGCCAGATGTAAGCGCTGCATCGAGGAGATTAGCGAGACAGCCAGCGTGTCCAAGCGACCACAGAAACGCAGCAAACTCAACGACTCAGACGACTCGGGCGAAGACGACGACATCCCACAACCAGGTGTGATGAAACCAGACATCACATTCTTTGGAGAACAGCTCCCAAACAACTTCTTCGATCGCTTTACGGACCGCGACGCGCAAGCAGCAGATCTTGTAATTGTGATCGGTACGTCCCTCAAGGTGGCACCCGTGAGCGAGATGCCAAACTACCTCCCACATGTTATCCCGCACATCTACATTTCGAGGGAGGCCATTACACACGTCGAGTTCGACATTCAGCTTCTCGGCGATTGTGACGATGTTGTGTTCGAGTTGTGCCGACGGGCAGGCTGGAGCTTGAAGCACGACATGATTCCACGGGGCTTCAGGACCAATGTAATGCCCGTTGAGGGCCACGGCCATCATTGGAGAGTGACACCCGCGGTGAAAGAGATTGAGGACTCGCAGGACTTTGACGAGCAGGCTACCCCTGAGCTTGTCCGTCGTCCTTCAACGAGCGGAGCCGAAAACCACACTTCTTCGGCGCCACATCTGAACGCGATGTTCAAGACCACTCTTTGAAGTGATTTGATCGATTTTAGGAGCGAGGCGTTTGCGGACAGGAGGTGTCGACTTGAAAGGCATGGTTATGAAGCATTGATGAGATATGTGCATTCGGTCGCATCTGCGAAGGCGTAAAGGCATTCACAGAGTTGCAAAGCAGACGTCCTCTGCAGATATGACGGCAATCGAAACAGCGGCTCGTTCATGGAATTTTTGCAATTGCGAATATGTAGAGGCCTTTCCAAGCTTTGATATTCCACTCTTGCGTGCCATCATCCCATGGAAGCATAGCAAGGCCTCAGACGTCCACGCTCTGAAGTCCTTCCATGACCTCGCTACCCACGCCGTCTGTGGCTACCACAGCCTTGATGATCTGTGAAATCTGCGTTCTTCCCATGCCGCCGCGTGGAGGGCGCCACACGGTCATTCCTGCGTCCTTCTCTCTCAACTCCAGCACATCTGCAGCAGAGAGTCCAGTGGTTGAGGTTGAGTTGTTTGGCACGCCAGCCGCCGTGAGTCGAGAAGGTGGGTCGACAGTGCGGAGTGCGACCATCCTCAAACTGCCCGACTTGTCTTGCGCTGCCGAAATCGCCACCACGGCATCCGCAACCGCAAGCTCCTCCTGGCTCGGATCAAATATGATGTTTGAACCCACCGTCATGACAAGTAGTGTAACGGGCGGCTTCGTCGTTGCCACTCCCTTGGCGTCCCGTGGGAACAGATGTGTGGACGCTTCCCAATCGTCATTGAACAGCGGATCCTCATCCTTCTCTGAGATCAACGCCGGCATGCGGGTTGCGAGTAGTGCCAGATGAGTGGTCAAGGAGAGTAATGGCAGAGGATATGAGAGAGGTTGAGAGAGGAGGAGAATCTGCACAGCTTACCGTATCAGCAATCATCGCCCCAGTTCCTTCGCGCCGGGGGCATTTCCACGTACGTCAACATACAGACGCCAGTGGAATCGACTGTTGATCCACAGGCGATCCTTGAGCTCGCCGTCCGCCAAGAGGGCCTCGGTGAGCATGGCTGACAGAAACACTGGCAATGCATCATCGTCGCGTATGCCGGGGATCTCAATGGCAATTTCTAGCCACGAGTGTTCACCCTGTCCTTGGCTGGCATTGTTCCCATCGTCTGCATTTGTATCTCCCATGTCGACATCGATGCCCTCGTCTGCGCCCTCTCCAGCGACGCCTCTCCGAGTCCGGCTCTTTTCGACTTCCGCTTTTACTCCCACAATCGCTTCAGTGCCATCRGCGAAACATATCCGTGCACTACCGTTGGCAGAAGGTAGAATGTCCGTCTCTGCGACCAATGGGCGAAATTGCGTTGGCTCGCGGCCATCCGGTCTGATGGGAGGATCTTGAGCAAGCGAATTGTGAAGATAGGACAGCTCCGCAGGCGAGAGCGGAATGTTGGTGTAAGGAGCCATGAGAAAGTCTTTGTTTCTTCACTCCATCACTGGCAGGAGGATCGAGTCAAGTTCGGTGTCGGCGGTAGTGTTGGACGGGAAATGGCGATGGCGACGCGTGCTCTAGCCTTCCAGGTGACGTGAGGTTGTGTCAAAATTTCACTCGAGAGGAACCGCGAGACGCTGGCAGACAAGGCACAGAAACGAGCAAACACAGGAATGACAATTCACCATGAACAAACAAACATTCGAGAGACTGGAGCGTGTTTCTCAGTAATTAATATTTCGTGCTGCACACAGTGCAGCGAGTCTAGACGTAGCACGCCCAAATCTCCCAAGTCAAAAACCACCGCTGTAAACGCGCTCTTGGGGGTATCCAGCAATCTGCTTCGACATCTGCCAGCAAAGAGCAGTGTCTCGAACGGTAATACATAAACACAACGCTTCATCTCCACCTTTTCCTCTTGCCCCGCCCTGTACACACGTTTCCTCCCGGTGGCGCCCTCAGAGCCAGCCCTAAAAAGAATATATGAATAACGAAAATGGCAAAAAGCCTGAGTGGTTCCATCCAGAAGACCTGGATCCAGTAAATGATTTCAAAACGAGCGCTAAATCGGCACTTTCTAGAGCGAGTGATGCTGGTATTCGCCGTTGCCGCCAAACTCCAGGAGGATGCTGATGATAGTATTGACTTCCGAGCGCCAGAACAATGCAAGAACAAATGAAATGATTACGATGACAACACATGCAAACTCAAGCGTGGTGAGTCTCGTTATTCAGCATGGACCGTTCGTAAACGCCTACTGGTAAGCGCGTTGCGTGGCGAAGATGCTTGCCGCAGCTGCAGCTGCCCAATCATTCTCGTCATATGGTGGAGTGGGCCATTGAGGGTCCAACCCGTTCTTCTGTTGTGGGCGAGGTGGTGGGATGTCCATGGCCTGCGTCTGGGCGTACTCTTCCGGAGCCAGGTCGACATTCATGTGGTCTTTGGAGTGTGACGGCGTAAGATATGGCACGGAGTAGGTGGGCTCCGAGGTCACATGTGGAATGGGTGGACGCGCTTGCTGGTGGCTATGAATGTCGAGTTGTTGAGCAGCCACATGCGCCGAGGTGATCACCTCGTCCAAGAGCTCGTCTTCCTCACAAGGAGTCTCATACCTGCTGTTGGGTGCAGGTCGGAGGGACCTTCTTGCTCGGTTTGTGCCAGAAACTTTGTCGTCAACACTCTGTGGTAGTGAGTGATGGCGCTTCAGAGTCGGRTTGCTCGAGATGCGGGTCGGAACTTTTGGCTGATTGTTGCCCGCATGAGCAGCGGCGTCCAGACTGTATCGAACGCTTTGTAGAGCTCGATCTAGTTCAGCAAAATTGGGATCTGTGGAAGGGTCTGCGGCAGAAGGAGCTATAGGCTGCGCTTCCTGTGTAGACTGCCGATTCGCTGCCCATGGAGCGCATCCGGCATTGGCCTCGATATCTTCCATGCTTGGCGACATGGGGCCCGGGGTACGTCCAGACAACCTGCGAGCTCGCTTTCGCAAGTGCGAGAAGAAGCTCTCCSTCTGACTGCTAGTTGGAGATTTGAGTTCGTTCGCACCAGTGAGAGCACGCTCGGCCTCCAGGCGATGAAGCTCGGCATAATGGTTGCCCTGTGAGTTGACAGACAGCTGGCGTCCAATCTTCTTGCTCGCATTCTTCTCGTCCGCGGGCACGGCTCGCCTAGCATTTGCCTGGGCTGTAGAGGAATCGGGCAGTGGCGAGATTGGCCGAATGGAAGGAAGGATGGGCATTGGAGCAGCTGTGCCAACCCCATTTGCCCATGTTGCCCGCTTCGCTGCGGCAGGTTTTACCTTGGTAGACGCCACGGAGGCTTCAGATGTGTTGGGAAGTCGTGGTGATGCAAGCCCCGAGCCCTGCACATGTTCCGGCACAGGTGGAGGTACATTTTCCCGACCACCACCACCGCCAAGCGACTTGCGGAACCAAGATGCCGTCTTCGTTGTCAATTCGGTGTCGGAGTTGCCATTTAGCGCAGAAGAGGACTTCCGTCCCAGCACCCTCGTGCTGCTCTTTGGTCGCAAAGGATCAACCGCATCCTRGAAGTATTCATGCTCTAGAGCTTGCCTAGACGTCGGTCGTACCTTGGGGTCCCACATAAGACACCAGGTGACGAAGTGGGTCAGGCTTGCTGGCCATTGTGGTGCCGGAAGCACGGTCTCCAGAGAATGTGGTGCCATCTTCGGGAATGAGAAGCCTAGCTTCTGTGCGAGCTTGATGCCGTCCTTCCACTCACCACCGCCGACCTTGTTGCCGTGCTTGCTGACCCAGCTGCCCGGACTGCCCATGATCTCACAAACTCTCCACACCTGGTCAACCTCATTGCCTCCCGGGAAGAGAGGCTTCAGCGTGGCGATTTCCACAGCCATTGCACCGATAGCCCAGATGTCGACAGGTGCAGAGTACTCGCCCGCTCGCAGGAGCACCTCGGGCGCGCGATACCATCTTGTTGACACGTAAGTCGTATACGGTACCCGTGAGTGTGTTTCCCTGGCCAGTCCAAAGTCTGCGATCTTGATCGAATATGCTGGAGGCGTTGAAGGCGGTGTGACGAGTGCAGAGTATCGTCGGAACGTGTTGCCTGTGTCGGGGGCGGAAGTGGAGACCAGAATATTCTCCGGTTTGATGTCGCGGTGAAAGAAGTGGTGGTCGTGAATGTGCTCCAAGCCTTCGAGGATTTGGAATAGAATGCTCTTCACACTGCCGCTGTCTAGCGGCTTGTGATCTCTGGCTTTCATCAATTGGTAGAGGTTACCGTCCATGTACTCCATTGCAATGTGGAGCTTTTTGCTGAGCGGGTCGAGGAAAATGTCGTATGCTGGAACAAGGTGGGGGTGGTTTGGGAGGGACTTCAAGAAGATGACTTCTCGAAGTTCSATGCACTGTGTGAAGTTCTCAAAAGTCTTCTTCATGGTTTTGATAGCCACCTATTGGAAGCATGTTAGGTCGGTTCCGTCTAGGGTTTGTCGGGTGTAATACACACCAATGTGTTGCGTCGAACGAGATGTGCGCCCGCGCCTCTCGTTCTGCCCAACGTGACGCTGCCGAAGCTGCCATCGCCAATGTCTTTGATGATCTCGAACTTGTCCTCTAGGCACACGGCAGATTGAGAACTGCTCGACCAGCCGCGGTATGACATGTTTTCATACGCGACGGTCATGATAGACTTGAGGGCTTCAATGGTGAAGCGAGTGCTCTGCGTCCGGTGACCCTATCGTGGCATAGAGATTTCAGATTGATGTTCGTGACTGTGGCAGCGTTAGTGCCGTCAGGGTCAAAGATGGAGGTTGGGCACGCGCACGTCAAGGAGGTTGAAACGCGTACGTTTATGAGCGTTGTGGTTCGGTCGTGGGGCCGTCAAGGCCAGGGCTGGAGGATTGTGTAGTATTAAGGTCGAGAAAGTCGACCGTAGAGCGTGATGATTAAGGATAGAGATAGAGATGCGAAACGGTTAGGAAGTTCAAGGGCCGGGTAAGAGATGCAAAGGAGTGTAAACGGCGATGGCCTGGAGAGTTGGTGTTGATGATGTGGTCCAACAAGCTCGAGAGAAGGGAGTCCAGTTTGACGGTTGGCGGAAGGGTACCCGAAAGGATGGTCTCCGTTAGCAGTCGATCAAAAGGACCAGTGCCGAGATAGCGCGGGTCGTGGCTTGACTTGTCGGGCTTTAGTGGGCCCCTCGAGAGCGATGAGACAGGTCAATGCTTTGGCGGTCAAAAGGGTCTCAAAAGGAGGCTCGCTACCGTATCCGGAAGGCAGGTTGTTTAACAACGGTCCGGGGCGCTGCGTCGCGGACTCGCGGTAACAAAACACGGCGAAATCCTGTGCGATTCTCACGATCTCGAGGCTGGTCTTTTTAGGTGTGCGGAAGGCGCGACAACCTGCGGGGAGATTGTCGAGGGATGCCGGCAGGGCTGGCGAAAGCGTCTCGTCTTGCGCAAATGAAGGCGGGAAATATTGCGGGAAGGTGTAGAGTGAGACGTAGATCCCAGGCCAGAAACCATGAACAATTGTGCCGACTTCAGCAAGGCGAAAACGAGCACAGGCAGGCCGGAGACGAGCCTGAACTGTGTGTGAAAGTAACAACCGCCAGCGCAGCGAATGTGCAGGCTGTCTGGTCTGGTCGCAAGGAACAACAGCCGTGCGTGAGCCGTGGCCTCTCTCAGAGACTCGGAGCCTGTGGTGAGTGGCACTAATGCCCAGTCGGTGACGTGTAAAAGGTCGCCAGATGCTCCCATTCGCTCAGACACGTTCACGAAAGCAGAGATCGAACGCGCGAGTCGTTGTCGCTGGTTGTGACTGTGACGGGGACAGACGTGATGGGCACCCGATACGCGTTTGCAGAGCCTAAAATTGAGTGAGCGACAGGCTTCTCGTCAAGCATGCAGCACCGCGCAGCGAAGTGCAAGCCGAATGTTCTTTGGTGATTCGACGCGAACTTGGCAAAAGGCACCGTCGGACAGGCAGACTTTTCCTCACCGGGCAATCTTGGGAAGGCGCGATGCTGGTGACCCTGGCACCGCCCCTGCTCGCGCTGACGAGACGAGACGATGTTCGACAGTCCCATCTTCGATTGCTCGTCGGCTCCCAGCCCAGGGGACCAGGCTGGATCACATTTCCACTCTGTCGGTATTATCAAGGGCGCCGGCGCTGACTGTAGGAGGCAGCTGAGACTGCGGAACTTCGACTCCGGCGTCTCCTCTGCGCATGCCAGCGCGCCTTGGTCCAGATCTAGAGGATCATCCAGATCATCCAACTGCGTTGCTTCTCTCGATCACAATCATCCGTGCCGAAGGTTTCACGCCGACAATGCCGACTCCTGCTGGCCGGTGGACCGTTCATCTGCCTCTGACGGCGTGCCTGCAGCTCACGCGCTAATCATGCACCTCCCCCTGAGCCACGAAGTTAATTCGTCCAAAAGTCGCCGGAGACGGCACGAGCAAGACCCACGTTCACCACGTTATTCCGCAGCCCACCCGAATCGGCCTCGAAAACAAGGATCCGTGCTTGATTGATGCGGCACTGCCACCACAACAATGGAGATTTTACCTGTCAWGTCGTGAAATCATCAACAGCATCGGTCTCGCATGACTGTTGCTGCAGACGCACATGGCCTTTGCACWTCCATGTTGACTGTGTGCGGCCTTTGTTCTCARGAGTCCAGCCACATGGCAAGTCAGGTCCCAGCTTTCTCGCTTGCCGAATGCCTGCTGATTGAAATCTTTCGATGCTGGCAAGATGCATGGCGAGTCACGGTGTTGCCTTCACAGTGGCTCGTCAGACGTCTGATCAGATTCCAGGCTCATAATCGCCGAGTTTTGACGACGACCTTGGTGCACGATTGCGCTTCGCAAGCGGTAAACCGCTCAGGGAGTTAGACCCGGTGGTCCGGGCTGGTGCGACTCACATCGTGCAGATTGTGGTATCTTCTGCAGAAATGTGATGCGCGTGTGATTCATGTCTCGGGGATGAAGCCACGAAAAAGCACGACAACCACAAGCACGTCATTATTCTACGCATCCGCCGCTGCCATGCACCATGTGCAGGTCATGGCCGTTAATGAGATGCGGAGATGCCCTCACATACCAACCACAATATCAGTGCCAGGATGAGGCTGAGCGACCGACAGTAAGCGACTTCATTACGGTCCACGGAACCTCTTTCTCTCCATTTGCCCCCCTCTCGCACAAGCATGATCGTCCCTAGCACAAATATCCGGAGCCGCAAGACCACCATGCGACACCAAGGAATTGTTGTAAATACATTTCTCGGCCTCAATGCTGAGCCTAAGTTAGTAGGCTAGGTATTAGCTGAAAATGAGCAGCCATCGCCTGGACTAGAACCTGATGAACAGATGGAACACGCTCCTCAATCAAACAACTCACCAATCTCAATGCCATGGTAAAATCGAGCATTCCCGCACAGGTCTCGAAGTGCCTCGTCGATTCGGCAACGCAATTAATGAGACCTCGAGCCTCGACTTTCGAGTGCCCCAAGCGAAAGGCTCCATACACATGAAACTCCAGTCGACACTTTCGATATAGGACCGTTTCGGTCAAGTTTATATTAGGCAGGCAAGATGCCGGCAGAGACCATCCGMTGCCACCCGCATCCTCTTCAAGAACCTGCCTGTGACGCGTCCATGACCGGAAAGCTCCATGATGTACATGTAGTGCATACCATGACGGAGTAATCTCATGAACCAATGCRTCGGTAATGCATCCAAATTGCATCGAATAGATCACGCTCAGTGTAAACATCAAGCCAGCGCAACMCCTGTTGTAACGCCAAGCAGATTTGAGTGGGAGTTCTTTCAAGCAAGAGTCAAACATCTCATGCATGCAGTTACTCTTTATTACGACTTTGTTCGACGAAGAGGTGTCAAAGGTATTTTTCATGGCGGGTCTCGAAATCAAGACCGTTACCTGTTCATTGGCAAGCTGCTTATTCACCAACCCCCTCCAGCAGCATGAGCAAGTGCATTGACACGATCAGCATCACCTCCAGGCTTGTCCTTCCCAACATCACTCTGTACAACGCGATAGGTCGTCTGCAGAAGTGTCTCCAGACCTACGCCTGTGATCTCCGCCCAGTGATCGAGCACTTGCTTCACATACCGTCGATCAATCCCATCCACCACATCTTTCCCCGCATCTTCCGTTCCGGACATCACAGAATCTCTCGCTGGCGACGATCGTTCGCGGTCCATATCGCCATCAGAGTCTGTCAAGTCGTCCGACTCAGCACTCCAATAAGCCTCGTCAACTTTAGCCAACCACTCCTTCTGCGCAGGAAGCACGGCCTGCTCCTCGCTCCCGTTCTCAATACCTGTGCCTCCAATCTGTCTCAACGTTGCCACATCTCCGACTTTGATCTGTCCGCCACCGTTTGTGCAGCCTCCTGGGCAGGCCATGACCTCCACGTATGCATAGTCATTATCGGTTCCTCCAGCACTTGCGCCATTCGGTCGCCGAGCGACACCGGTCTTCCTTCCAGTTGCGCCTGGCATACGSCTTACCTTGGGTGGCTTGAGACGACGCACCAGATTTTGTATGTTGCGGAAGCCATAATAGCGAGCAGCCTTGAAGACATTTTGGCCGTGCGCGTCCACAATACTGTACTCTGCAACGTCGCTGTTACGGCCCCGCTGAGCCTTAATTTCAGAGCCAGGWTAGTGAGCCTGCTTCGTCTTGAGGATATGATGGAGGTATCCACCACTCGTACCAATAGCAGCCGTTTCTTCTCGTTTGCGCTTAAGGTGTCGCGAGTTGCTGAAGAGATATTGGCTAATTATGCTGTCTGGTAGTGTTGGCATGAGGTCTCTCGATACTGGAGTTTTAGGAAGACTAGGAAAGCTGATGTTTCTGCTCTCAGCGAGCATTAATAGCTCGCGCGCTGTGATMACACAGTCAACGTCTCTTACTGCCTCGCCTTCCTGTCCATGCCAGGAGTGAGAGGTCAATTCGCCTCGCGAGGCCTCCAGTTTCTTGTCAAAGCAAGGCATCACCGCCAGGTGCCATACATTCTGTGGCAAAACTCCAAGCTGCTTGGCCAGCACAGACTTGAGTAGGACGCCGGACAATGCTTGCGGGGACTTGAGCTTGCTCAGATGTGGCAATATGTGTGGATGGGTTTTCTCGGCGTAACATATCCATCCTGGACATGCTGAAGTGATTATGGGCTTCTTCTGTCCTTCTGCGAGTGATGAGAGCGATTGCTCGACCTCGTCTGCCGCAGCCACAAGGCTGGCCTCACGCATGGCACTTGTGTCCACAACCCAGGCGAATCCAGATTTGTTCTTTCCACCGCTTCGAAGTCCATGTTGTCCACTCAGTAGCTGATTGACCATGTAGCCTGCCTCCTTCTCCGTGACATTGTATGTTGCAGCAAGGCTGGCTCTGGCCTGCGGTGATACGCTTGCAACGAATATCTTTGCCTGTTCGCCGCTCGTCTCCAGTGTTCCTCCTTCTGATTGAGCTTCCGCACTGGCGATATTCAACTCTTGAAAGCGATCAAGCGTGTCTAGCACCTCGCCATGGCTCTGTAGGCTGACCAGCACGGCCTCTGCACTCGTGACGCATCCAGAGCACGCCAGACAATCTGTCAATGAGATCTGTGCAGGTGGCGCAATAGTGCCTGCATTGACCTTGTCCTCGGTGGTAACTTCGTATCCGTTTGCACTCGTGATTGATTCCTCTGCGGGTTGTTGTTGGGGCAGAGTCTCCACTGGCTTGATGCAACTGACGCCAGGGTTGATGAAATCATTTAGGTCGTCGGCCGAGAGAATGGCAGACATGACAGCGAGCCTCGACTGGGACACATGTACAATAATCGCAATCCAAACGAAATTCTGAGCGGGCGAGGTTGCTTCTCAAGGCAAGAGGAGAGAAGGCGTGTTCTACAGATTGAAATGTTGGTAATCGTAATCGTCTGCCCGATAAAAGGCTGCGATATCGGCCCGCATCATGGATTGTGAAAGCGAGGCTTGGAAGCCTCGCTTCCCGAGTCCTTCACCACCTGCACCTCAGTCGCTGACACAGCAAACCACTAAGTTACTCTTTGCGCCAACTTGAATATCAATCAGACCGACTACGACAGACATCCAGATACGGGCCCATATCCTTCTTCGTCGACCTCAACACACCATCATGTCGCGCGAAGCCTACGAACCACCAACCGTCACTGTCGGCGCCGGCTCCCTCTCCCAGGGCCAGCCAACCGGCAGCTTTGCCATCACCGGCGCGRGCAGCTTCGAGGACTCTTCCAAGCCCGTGAACTACCTTTGCGGCGACTGCGATACCAAGGTCTCGCTCAAGAAGGGCGATCCCATCCGCTGCAAGGAGTGTGGATACCGCGTGCTGTACAAGGAGCGAACCAACAGGTATGCGCTGCCACAAAAAGAGGGATATTTGCGGCGGAAGGGTCAATTAACATAAGTATAGGATGATTCAATTCGAGGCGCGATGAACATTGGAGGAATGGCAATTCAAATGAGAAAAGACGAAGACGAAGGCCAGGCGTGCACAGCCATTCTTCCGCATGAAATGACTACGTATCGACCAACGAATGTGGCGCGACGTGAGCTTTGAATTCAATGCATCAGCAAGGCATATGGGACTGATTGAGTTCGAAGTGAGCAGCGAGAGCCTTGAATTTGGAACATGAACATGCTTGCGATGGAGAGTTACGAAATTTCCCACCAGCAAAGCTGTACGCCGCCAGCTTGCGCCCCAAAATTTTTTGGCGGAGGAGCGACTGCAAGCATATAGCAGGCAGCAAAACAGATCGATAACCATCTGGGGAGTTTCCCCCCAAGCGCATCCAGCGCCACCAATTTCCTCCTCCGGATATTTGCTTCAGTCCCACATGATTACCATGCGCGCTCTCCTTCTCGGTCGTGCCTGTCATCGTTACACATGCTTCCATTAAGAATGCTCCGGCTCGGTCAAAGGGAAATGCTCCTGTGATGCAACGCGAAAAATGCCACGCCTGCGAATATTGTCGAAAAACCATCTAGCTTCCTCGGAACGCATCGAAACGCTTGTAAGTGTACCCAATGAAAGGCAGACTCAAAGTTGAATCGTCTGTACCCATTGCATCCGTCTGTGCACGCAGCTGCGCCGAGTTGTCGACCTGGGGAATTTCGTCAATTGGGAAGTATTGGGTATCGACGTTGCTCTGCAGCTTGGGCTCGAATGGAGCACGGATCTTGCGCAGACCATCCCAGTTCACACCGTGGAAGAATGGGTGGTTTTTGAGCTCTTGCGCACCTCCAACACGACCTAAACGGTTTGCGGAGTCGCAAATGAGACTACGCCATGGTCAGCCACAATCAATCTTTCTCGCATATTTTATAACGTACCTTCTGACGAAGTGCTCGGCCTCAGGGCCCAGTTGCTGGTCTGCCGGGAAGCTCAAGTGCCTGGGCCAATCAACAATCTTGCGGTAAGTGTCGTGTGGCTCCTCGGCACAGAACGGCGGCCATCCGATCAAGCACTCGAACATGATGGTGCCGACGCTCCACCAGTCRCATCCGAAGTCGTATCCCTTGCCACTGAAGATCTCAGGTGCGATGTAATCGGGCGTGCCAACGGTGGAGTATGCCAACTGTCGCCGAGACTTTCGCCATGTGTTGACTTGGGCACGGTTCGAGACAGTGAGCTGAATCTGGTCGAGCGATACGCTGTTGCGGTTCTGTGCCAATGACTTGGGCTTCGTTTGGGACATCAGCTGCTGGTAGTAAGAGGCCGAGTGCTCCTTGGAAAAGCCGGTGGAAAGACCGAAATCGGTCAGCTTGATGTGGCCTCCACGGTCCAAGAGAATGTTGTCCGGTTTGATGTCACTTATGAGATGTTAGCGAATGAAGGCAGCGTCGGAATCCGCACATACCGATGTATGAATCCCAACTTGTGGACAGCTTCAATTGCTAGGGTTATTTCCGCCATGTAGAACCTCGTGATATCTTCGGAGAAGATTTCATACTTGATCAACATAGTCATCAAGTCACCACCAGGCAGAAACTCCATGAGCATGTACAAGAAAGTGTTGTCCTGGAAAGACGTGTGTAGCTTGACAAGCCAAGGGCTGTCGGCGTTGGCCAAGATGTCACGCTCGGCGCGAACGTGGGCAAGTTGATCCTTTTTGTGCTGCAAAAGAGTTAGCCAGACCTGCCATGTCGCCGAAGCAGAGCGAGAGCATCAAAACACCTACCATTTCCTGCTTGATGAGTGACTTGAGTGCGTATATTTTTCCGTCATTCTTCCTCTGGACGAGTCGGACCTCACCAAAGGCACCCTTGCCAATGATCTTGAGGGTGTTGTAGTTCTGGGGTCTCTCATGGGTTCGCAAGAATCGCAGAAAGTTGGCCTCGGACCGACGCATGCTGTTGGTTTTGCTCTCCTTGCGTGTTGCTGACAGAGCAGGGTCATTCATGATGGCTTCAAGCTCTTTGCACCTATAAGCAATGAGGTCAGTCTGGAAACATCCTCAGCGAAAGCCGGCTGCACTTGATTGACGCACCTTTCGTTCCTGGCACGAGCTCGCTCGACATTTTCCTTGAAGAACTCCTGGGTGAGCATCTTCTGCAGCTTGACCCGGTCCGCCACCGTGCTCGAATACTTTTCCGCGTTCTTGGCAGGCGGCTCCTCTTCGTAGATGTTAGACGATTGTGGCATTGCTGGCACGGGTGTGTTGAGGTAGCTGTTGTTGTTGTATTGCGCCTGGCCAGTGGCACCAGCCGTGCGAGGCCGCCCAGCGGTCGCCGGCGATGGCTGTCTGCCGTATGGACTCCCTGAGCGAGGTGTGTTACCGCCCAAGTTCTGATGCTGGAACTGGTGAGCAAGTCCGTTGGTGACATCGCTGTGACCCGCCGGTGAGCGGTAGCCGCCAGGGGTTCCTGGGTTGCTGTACTGCTGCTGAGGGTAGGCGTTTGCGTTTGGGGTGTTGTAAAAGTACCCTTGGTTGTTTATCCCACTCGTCTGCTGAGTTCCCCAAACTTCTTGCTGCCCCGCGGCATTCGGAAACGGCTGCGGAAACGTGGATGGCGTGGTAGGGAATTGTCGACCCGACTCGGCGGCAAAGTTGGCTCCATTGTTGTAGCCAAAGTTCAGCTGGAGGCGATTCGGATTGCGGCTGTCTTGCTGCTGCTGCTGCTGCTGCTGATCTTGTCGTTGCTGCGGCTGGTACGCCATCTGATGAAAAGTTGCGTTCAGTGAAGTGTTGATGGCAACGTGAAGCGATGCAATGTACCTTGGGAAGACCTGGCCCTGAAGTACAGGTGGAAGGGCAGAAGAAAGGTACGGACGATGTTGCTCTCCTTGGCAGAGCGGTGGGGGATGCAACAGAGTTTCAGGATGTTCAGGACAGTCTATTGACTTTTCAACGCGCCAACATCTCCAGTAGTTCGACTGGCTCGATTCGCCTGAATGAGATTCCCGGGCGGACAGGCGATGATGTCGAGCGTGATCACGACGTCGTTGACGGTCCTGGAACTTGAAGACAAGAAGGGGAAGCAGGGGTCCGTCCGTCTAGTCGGAAACAACTGAAGGTCACTACTGGTGGCACTTACCTTTCTCGTTGGACTTGCTTATTTGCATGACTTGCCTGAAAGCTTCTGGGATTCTTCCATCAAAATGTTCATCTATCTAAGTAGAACTGTAGACTCCGCCATTACTCTCAATATTCGCATCAACGATCGTACTGAATATCCACCTGGTTTGCAGTCAATAATTGTGCCAGCCAGTGTGCGGGGCACCCGCCAAACGGCCGGCCCGCGGGACCCCTTAAGCGGCCGAAACACCCTTGAAGCACGTTCAACACACGAGCATTCGAGAAGCCTCGCGCCGTGACGATATGATCTTGGAGCGTCTCATAGAGCGTTTCGCCCTTCCAAAGACCGGCTGTCTAAACTTTTCCTTCGGTCGACTCTTGGTCAAGCGGGTGTCTGGCTCTGCGATTGAGTCTGTTATATATTCTTACATTATATTCCTATACAATGGCCGTACGAGCCATAAAGCTGAGTGGAACAGCGCAAATGTTGCTCTTGAATACTCTCTCTCTTGAGATCTTTAAGCGGAATAGCTTCGCTTTCCCAAAATGCTCCTGTCCCACCATAACGCCGTACTGCAATGCTCACAACGCGTGCGTGATCCTCAATGCCTTTGTTGCGTCTTGTCGAAACTCTCGAGCACCTTCTCCTGAATCTGCTTCTTGGTCAAGCTCTTTTCATCATCAGCAACGGTTTCCGCGGCACTCTTCTCCTCGGATGGTATGGCCTTCTGACCCATGGTTTTTGCCTGCGCCTGGCTCACATTGCCGTAGACGCTCATGGCCGTGGCAATCATTCCACCAATGTCGCCAACATTGCCTGGTACAACGACAGAAGTGCCCTCCTTTGCGAGCCTTCCGAATGCCTCGACATATTTCTCGGCGACTGAAAGTGATATGGCGCCTTGTGCGGCACTCTTGCCATTTTCCAGGCTCTGAGCGACGGCATCGATTCCTCGCGCGGTTGCTGTGGCCTTGAGCAGGATGGCCTCAGCCTCACCACTCGCGGCGTTGATCTGCTCGCTCTTGATGGCTTCTGATGCCAGAATAACACTCTGCTTTCTTCCCTCGGCGATATTGATGGCGCTCTGTCGCTGACCCTCGGACTCGAGAATCTCTGCACGTTTGCTACGTTCAGCAGTGACCTGCCTGTGCATGGCTTCTACGACTGGTCCCGGAGCGTGAATATCACGAATCTCGTAACGCAAACATCGTACACCCCAATCTGCCGCTGCCTCGTTGATAGCCTGGGTAATGTTGGTATTGAGCGCGGCGCGTTCTTTTAAGACGTGATCCAGAGTCAGTTGACCAATCTCGCTGCGCATCGTGGTTTGCGCCAGTTGTGAGATGGCGTACTCGGCATCCTCCACGCCATAGMTGGCCTTGTAGGGATCGAACACACGAGTATATAGAACACCGTCCAGCTCCAGCGTTACATTGTCGGCCGTGATTGCGCTCTGGGATGGAATTTCCAAGGCATTCTCCTTCAAGCTCTTGACATACGCGATGCGATCGATAACGGGCATTAAAATGGCAAGTCCGGGCTCGAGAATCCGACTGAAGCGTCCCATACGTTCAACTATCCAGGCCGTCTGTTGCGGGACGAAGAGAGCTGGATTTCAATTAGCTTCTCTGCGATCATTTAAGTTGGTGCAGCTGCCAATGCTTGCTGACTTGTGTCGAGGTAGCTTGAATGCACTCACCGATTGTGTTGGTGGGTAACCTCGTCCGCTGGAAGTAGTTCGTCTGACCGGTTGTTGGCGGCGGGCGAAACATGCTGTCGGCGGAGAAAGGTAGGCCATACCGGGATGTTGTGCTGAAAGCGCTGCGATACAGCTGTGTGTTGTTGAGATTTCTCGGGACTATGCGTGCCGATCGCACGGTTGACAGCCGTGCTGTCGCCATTGCGATTGTGAAGTGTATGTATGGATGGAGAGGGTGGAAGGCAAGGCAATTGTGAGGTCACAACCTTGAATGCTAGCGGAACTAGCGAACTTCGGCTTCACGGGGCCGAACGGGAAGTCGCGTGGAGAGATGCAGACGAGATGTCCCCCTGCAACATCTATCGCATATTGCATTGTCCTGTGAGGATCTCATAGCCAAGCTGAGTACGGCTTGGTCATGCATACTGACCAAAGACGGAAGAACACTGCTGCGGAGATGACGCATATCAAGGGCTTTTGAACGGTCTTTGAAAGCAAGGTGCCAATCGGTGCATGTGCTGTGCATGACAGACTCTCTCATATACAAAACGCAAGCATCTAATCTACATTCACGGTCATGACGCTTCAGTCTCTACGCTCATATATCCTCATCGCTATCATCTCCAAGAAGCTCGCCTTCATCTGGATCGACAACAGCATAATCGCCTCTTCCGCGTTGGAAACTGCTCCGGCTGGTAAAGGGTCTGCTGTAACTGCTACTGCCTCGGCCCAGTCTTGTGTTGATCGTCTTCCATACGCTTCCCACAACCAGGGGCAGGGCAGCGACCACGGCTACAATGCCGGAGATGAGCATGACGGGATACTTTATCCAAGGTGCATCGCCATCAAAGGCCCCTCCATACCCACCACCCATGCCATCGCCCAGCTGGATGCGACCGAACTTGCCGTCCCAGTGCTGGAAGACCCAGTATCCCACACCAGCCGCAGCTGCAATTGGCAAAATAATGGCAAAGAACAGGCCAGCGCCGCTGATGCTGTGCTTCTTCTTGAACTCATCCAAATGATCCGGACATGGGTGTGTTTTCGTTGTCTGATCGAGTTCGTTGCCGCCTGAGCATGTGGTAAGCGGAATGCGACGGTAGCCAGTGACCTCGTTATACTCCGTTAGTTCCGGGTTCTTCTTGCAAACGTCTGCTGGATTTGGTTTCGCCAGACCCTTAACGAGCCGACATTCACCAGTCGCCACGCGCTCATAGTTGTAGTCGCACTCGTAGTCCGAACGTGCGCAGGTACAGTTTGAGGCGATACTGTGAAGACGCTCCACATTCCGCCCGTTAAAGCATGGATGGTCGGGCCGCTTCCGATGGTACTCGGCGACATGACCAAATAGACAATTGTCGGCCTGGAGTGGATGCCTCGGCGACCATAGATCGTAGTCATCGGCCTTGGGGTGACCTTCGTCGAGTTTGCATTGCTCGCTCCTTTCTTTCATGCCGCTAAAGTCCACGTTGATGGTGGCGATCTTGCCCCCGACCTTACCCCAGAGGAGAAAGTTCCGGCTGGTGTCGCTCGGAACCGTGCTGATATCGTTGACAAGCATCTCTTCTCCGATGGAATGCTTCTCCCAACTTACTCCCTCGTCCAGAGAGTAGAGCACGAAGTCTGTGGGTTCTTCCTCCTTGACAATCACAATGATGGAGCCCTGATCACCGTACTCCCACATCCAATTGCCCTCTGCGATAAAGTTCCATGTAAGCCCGGCATCTCTGGTGAGGTAGGTATCAGCATCCTTCTTGCTCCCAAGGAACTCGCCAACGTTCCCCGTGCCAATCATCAAGCCAACGGCACTACCAGAGCTGTAGGTGTCCCTAGGATCCTTTCGCTCAGTGTAACCGTGCAAGTGGAGGCTGCATTTGTCTTTGTTGCCTTTGCACCACTTGGCTCCCTTCGGCGGATCCGTCGGGCGCTCCAAGAGGTCCCAATCAGCGCCGTCGTTGTGGGTAATGTAGGTCTTCAGTTTCTTGGCCTTTCCAGAGCCCGTATCTTTTGGATTGGCCACACGATTGATGACTGCTACACCCTCGATACCTTGCATCTTTTCGAAATCGACAAAGCCAGCTGTATTCCTGTTGACTTCTCCTATTGACAAGACGTACGACGTGCCGTTGCTGTTGCTTTTGACAATACTGCCATATTCGTGATCTTCTTCATCGTTCACGGWGACATGCAAAAAGATTGCATGTGTACTGGAGTCCAGTACAGTGTACGCATGCTGGTGGGGAACGTCCATACCATATGGAAATTTGGCGTCGGCAAAACTGACACCGTCAATGCTGGTGTCAACCTTTAAGGTGTCTCTCTCATCATCGCGGACAGCGACGACAATGTATTCGGCCATGGTCGCAAAGTTAATAACGTTACGCTTGAGTTCCTTCTTATGCACGAACCAGTCGTCACTACTCATGAGCAGCTTTGGAGTGTCGCGATTCTCGACTTCGTTCTCGAACTGCTCGCAATACACCAACTCGTCGGAGCTGTCGCGATCTTCACGGTAGACAAACTGGCATTTTCTGACAGCGCGGAGTAGTGTCTCCCACTCCTCACCGCCCTTCTTCGACACCTGTGCGACGGTCATGCATTCTGTGTCGGATTTGCAGTCACGGGAGCCTGTCCATATCAACCAGTCCTTTTCTGTGGGATGGAAATTCAAGACCTGGACTTTAGCCCGGTTGGGCTCGTCCGGTGCGTCGAAGGAGTGGAAATTCTGCGCAAAGTCGGTCGAGTAAAACACCTTCTTACCGGGTGTAATCAGGTAAACCCTTTCGTTGAGATATTGATGAGGGTATATTGCAAGAATCTCTTCGTCCTTGTGAATTCGAGCCCACTTCTTGCCGTGATTATGGGTCAGCCAGAGCTGCTTGTGATTGGTACGCATAAGAATCGTTTCGTCGCCATCCTGGTTGCTGTTGCTGGCTTCTCGCTCCAGATAATAGTACTCCGCGACCTCATCGCCGTCGAATTTGGTCATCTCATTTGCAATCTCGCCGCTAGCAGGAGGTGCTGTTGATTCGTCACAATTGTGCTCTTCCTCCTTGGCCAAGTCCTCGCCTCCCTCACAGTCGTTCCCTGGAATCAATCGATACCCAGAAGTACCCATGAATGTTTTCTTGTCGCCACTGCAAGCACCGTCGGGTGGAATGATTCGGCCATTCCRCACGCATTTGCCGTCTTCGCGCTTGAAATTATAGTCGCATTCGAAATCTCTCTTGAGACATTTGCATTTTTCCCGCTTCTCTTCGGGATCTTGGAAGTCCTTGTTGGCAACGAAACAATCGGCGTCCGGCTTCCTTCTCCTAAAAGACTGAGTGTGGCCCATGATGCAGACAGGCTCGCCCTCGTCGTCAACGCGAGCCGGCCAATCCTCAAAGTCTTTCTTCTCGCATTCGCGCTTATCAAGGGCGTTGAAGTCCAAAGAGTAGATGTAATAGTCCGACTTAGGGCCGGCCCCTATCAGCATGAACTTGAGGGACGTCGAATCCGGGGTGGTTGTGAGCGTCGTAGGCTTGATCTTGTCTCCCAGGTCGGTCTTCTCCCATGTCTTGCCGTGATCAACAGACCATCTGACTTCGTCCGTCTCATCATCTGCGATGGCGACCAGAATAGAGCCTTGAGCACCAAACTCGAAGATATGCGGCTTGTCGAGAGCCTTCTTCCAGGTCAACCCAGCATCGTCAGAGACATACAAATTGCCCTTTTCATAGCTGTCCAGGGAGTCACCAGTATTGCCAACTCCCATAACTATGCCAGGAGCCGGACTGCTGAATACGCGGCCCATGTTGCGTTGCTGCGTAACCGAATGGAGGTGCAGCTTCTTGCCATCAACTTCCAGATTCTCCCAAGTTCGACCATCATCGAAGGATATTTTCGACACCACCTCTTTGCGTACCGAGTCCTTGTGTTCAGCGTCCTTCCAGTTCTCCACGGTGTTTACAAGGACGATGCCCTGGRTATTGGAYATCTTTTCAAAGTCCACAAAGCCGCTTGGGCTTCGATTCGTGTGTTCAATATTCTTCGTGAAGAAAGTGCCATTGCTGTTGGATGTGAGCAGCACGCCCATGGCGTTCATGCTGTACGGKCTGGTCGTCATGACATCGACTTGCATGCTGTAATTGGTGCTCTCGAGGAGCGTATACGCGCCCTCTTCCAATTTGTGCTCCCCAAACTCCGCACGATGCCAGACCTCGGTGTCGTCACTGACGTACATGGCCATTTCGGTGGTCCGCTCGCTCTTAGCAGCAAAGACGAGATWTCCCTTCGCGGAGGCAATGTTAGTTATCCCCTCCACAGTCCCGCCACTGCTCAGGGTTGGCTCGATGGGCTCGGTCTCCATGAAGTCCTTGGTGATCACCGCACGGTAGTTGTGGGAGAACCACGAGAACTTGCCCTCGCGTATGCAAAGTATGGTGTTGTCATCGAGGTCCTTGTTCTTCTCTGCAAACACCTCGGAGCTCTTTGCCCAAAGACAGTTGGTCAAGCCCTCGCCCAACAGTTCCGCCTTGTCCTTGAAGCCATTGACAGTGTAGTATACCGAGTCTGAACAGAGCGGGCCATGGCAGCCTTCGGCACGGTACAGCATGCGCTGGGGATCGGTGGCGTGAAAGGCGATGCCCGGCTGGCGACGAGCGGGATCCTCGTCGGTGCTGAACTCGCGCCACGATTCACCGCGGTCGTGGGTGATCCAGTGTTTCCGCTTGGTTCCAAGCACGACGGCCGTCTGCTTATCGAACGGATTTCGCAACACCTCCAGCACCTCGCCCTCTGTTATGTCCTTGACTTTGGCCCATGTTGCACCTGCGTCTGGTGAGCGGAAGGTGGACTGGTCATCTGGGTTGGTAGCCAGCACCACATCGCTATCCTCAAAGTATACGATGCCCGCTGGTTTTGCGTGAAAGTTGGTCTTTTCGATGTCGGGCTTATTCTTTTTGGCTATGACCTGCACAGCAAGCAGGCTGAACAACAGCCCTGTTACGGCGCGGAGTTGTTTCATTGTGGCAGCTTCGATCGATGGAGGATGAAACGGGGCCCTACGGCCAGTGGAAGGACATCGAGCAAGTTGAATTCACAAAAAGGGAGATGGAACCGGGGATGTAGAATGAACAAGTATTAAGTATATGGGAACGGATGTGTTGCCGCCAGCTTCCAAGCTCGCGCGCGCATGCGTGCACGTTCCACTTCGCGTTTAGGTAGCAACATTCACCGACTTCACTTCAAGCCATCTTCCAATATCCCTTTTACTTGTGAGTGAGCCAATTGAATAAATGCGCCATTCTCGCGCACTAATCGAGACGCAATTTCAGTCAGTACATCTTGATCAGCAAAGCTGACAAGACCACACTGCCCTTGGCCTTTTCCAGCGGGAAGAACTTGTGAGTACGCTTGCTGTAGTCTCTGAGCTTCCGCTGGCTTGGGAATCGATGCACGTTTGTGCGAGTGTTCTCCGGAGAGTCGAGAACCCTGACGAAATCAACAATATTGACATGGACGCCCTTCATTTGCTTCATAGCAGCAGCGTTAGTCTGATAGATGGCAGAGGTACTTTCTCAAAGACTTACCTTCTTGCACTGGGTGATTGAATCGCCCTCTGGCTCACCGACATCACGGCACAGACCTTGCCATGCAGCAAGCGTGACATTGGTCTGGCCATACTTCTCTTGGATCACCTCGACAATGTGGATGTTGGCAGCTTCACGATCCGCCTCCGCCTTTTGCTTCTTTCTCTCCTTCTTCTTCTCCTTCGTCTGCTCCTTTTTGAGCTTCGGCTTCTCCTCCGACATTTGCGCCGCCTTCTCCTTCTCGARTGTCGTCCCCATGTAAGCCTTGCGGCGGACCATCGTTCGAGACTGGCCTCCTTTGACCGTGTCAGCAGATCTTCATCGGTGAAGAGCATTCATACATACCCGGCGATCAAAGATCGAAATGAGAGTATGGACAGCCTTCGAGGTTGATGTCGCCAACCACTAGATTCGGTCGAGGACAGGCAAACGACACCGAGTAGTGTAACGGTGTTAACGACAACGATGCAGCAGTTCGTTTGGAATTTGGCATCAACAGGCTGGAAGTCCGTTCGCAAGGCTGTCTCGTTTGACGGTGACGACTTAGTGCAATCGACGGGATTCCATCGGGTTCCCGCCTCACAGCAACAAGATTATTCCGTTCACCTCAGGCACACGAAAGTCGAATGAGTATCTTGGCTTGTAAGGTATCAAAGAAGAACAAAACTGCTTCCGTCTGCAATTCTAGGCAGCAAAGGTCCAAGTTTCGTCGATCTCATCCTTCTCTTTGGCCGAAACAGCAACCTACCGCAGCTAGCCACAACGGGTTCCCTGAGCAAGCCGACAGTAGCCCATCAATACTCGTGCACGTGGATCAGCAAAGCCTCCAAGATCTCGCTTCCCGTTGCCATTTGCAGGGGACAATGTCGCTCAAGGGAATTGCTATAATACTGCAGGGCCTTCTCGTTCGTTACGGAACGAACGTAGCGATATGGTACCGAGGGTGCGTCCCATCGATCGTTCGGACCCAATCAATAATTTTGACGAACAYGCTTTGCATCCGCTTCTCGTGGTCAGCTTTGCTTCACCATAATGACGACTGCGACGTTTGATCTACTATCTTGCATTCCAGAGTGGTTCTACTTTCTGGTTCATCCACATCCTGCAGAGACCCTGCCAGGCCTCGAGTGCGACATTGCGGGATCCGTATCTTGTGCGGAGCACTTCGATAATATGCTTGAAGAGTGCTTTCAGCCTTTGCTCTCTCCTTCTTCGTCTTGGTCGGCCGTTTCGTTCGTGGCAGGCCGTGCGCCGCTGTAGAAACGCATGGTTGTTTGGTTCCCGAAGGCGCTGTGATTCAATCTGTCGGTATTGTTGACGGTGATGCAGCCTCAGCATTGATCAAAAGTAAAGGCAGCCGAACAGTGCAATTGCACGGACCGTACTCAACAGGGAAATGGCTTCAGCGATGATTCTCGTCTTCCGCTTGAATGCAGCTAGGAATCAAGTGAGAAGTGGGAGGGGAGAAGCGAAGCGTGACGTGATGTAGCAGGCGGAGTCACCGAGCCGACGGCAGCGGACATAAGCAACACGACATGCGCGAAATGGTGTCGATACACAGGCGGAATCAGTGCAACTCACCTCCAAGACAACATGACGTCTGGCCTCTTGCAGATGACTGTTGCCGAATTGACTTACGAGCACTCCTTGCTGTGTCTCAAAGYGCACACGGCGGTGGGTGTTGAGTCGATATGTCATGTATCCGCATACCAACGGCATCCTCATAACCTTTTGAGTCTTTGACAACAAGGGCCAAGCTTGCTATGCATCACCTTGATTTGACTTGAATAATTGGTGGATCCTACATACGTCGAACAATTCATGCTCTCGTTTGACCGTATCAAGAGGTCGATGCCGAAATTAATATGTACAATATAAAGGCTAAGTCACTCCTTAAAGCGCGAGTGCGGCCAGAGCGACAGCTCSGAGCATAGCACCCACAGCAGTGGCACGGGCTGCACCGCCGTCTTGAGTAGAAGTGGTCGACTCAGGGGTTGCGGCAGCGTTCGAGCTTGAAGAGGCGGAGGTCGACATTCCGGAGGTGCTGCTGCCGGAGGAAGAAGCAGTGGAGGACGCTAATGATGGTTAGCACGAACTGCATGTGAAATGAAGTACTCACCAGACTCGGAATCCGAGCTGGAGCTACCGGTAGGGAACGCACTTGGGCTGGCCGTTGGGGTGAGGGTGGAAGTGTTGGGGAGCTTGGAGCCAGTGGGTGCGGCGACAGAGACGRTAGGGGTGCTCGTTGCAACGGTGTTTGGGCTGTCCAGGACGAACATTCCGCTGTAGTTGTTGTTGCTGGGGTCGGAGCTGTCTACGATCTGCAGAGCGTAGTCGTCACCCGCAGTGATGGTCTCTGGTGCAGTGTAGCTGTAAGAGCCAGAGTTGGGAAGGTCGGCTGTCGATCGATGTGAGCTTACTTCAAACGCACAACGATAGGTTCAAGACTTACAAGCAATGACGGTCCCCGCAGCGAGGTTAGAAGCATCTCCACTGCGGRGAATCAAAGTAATGGGGCCTTCCGCATTTCCCTTCCAGGTAATGTTTACGGGTTTCCCGGCAGTAATCTGGAAAGAACCGGTTGTGGTAAGGAAAAGGCCGTCACCGCTCTGAGCGAATGCCAGGAAAGGTGCGCCGATGATAGCGACAAGGAGCGATCGTGAGAACATCATTATTGCGATGTGGTATATGTCCGAGGGATTGGAAATGTGTGGTAAGGAAAGTAGTACAAGCAGTGGATATGGCAAGGATAGTGAGGGTTTGGGGACGAAAGAGGAAGACGCGCGAGCCACGCGGGTAGGAGGAAATAGATGTACCAACCACCGTGCCGCCTCCCAAGCAGTGGTCCAATCCTAGAGTCCAGTTAAGGCGATTTAGCGCTGCCTGGCGCCGCCGACGATGGCAAAGTATATGCCACACTGCCGACCCTCCCGGGGGGCGAGGCAACGTGAACCTGTCACTACCATACCAGAAGTGTCCAAGAGACCAGGATTGGCGGTATTACAGTCTCCATTCTCCCTGCGCGGCCGGCCAGATGAGTGGTATTCGGGTCTTCTGGAAAGTTGGTCGAACGGGGGTTGCTGAGAATCGAGATTGCGATTCTGGGCATCGGCGTTGATCCTTTTGATGCCAATCTGCGGGCTGTGGGGCAGCTTACGAGAGCCCATTCGATGCTTTGCCGAACATGTATAAGAGAGGTGGTGTTGGTCGATTCGTCGCACTGCATCGCGGATGACAGCTGCTGTGTGATGCACGCGCATGCACATTTCATGCATCCCGCATCATCATGCACAATGTCGCCACGGCCAAAGCCGAACGCCGCACGTGGAGGCCGCCAGCAGCCGCTTTCGACCCAAACAAGGAGCCGTTGCGGTTGTAGGTAACTCATGCGCCCTTCTGGCGCCGGCCATCGGGCTCTGGGTCTGAGTCGCGATGCGCTCTGACAGTTCAGCGACGCTCCGCAAGGTGAGAGGCTGCACGGAGCGTCATTCATAATCTCGAGGGAATCACTGCATCACCGTCGTTGTTATTGTTGTTGTTGGAAGAGGAGCACCGCGACGCCTGAGYGTGGAATGCAGAGGCCAACAGTGGCTCACACCCGGGCAGCCAATCCAGACGCCGCGTTGGATGCTTCGAGACTTGAAACGAACAGCAGTCATGGTGGGCTGAAGAGTCCCCCACTGTGGACAGATCCACGCGGACAGTTCTGGGGGAGTTGCGACAGATGGTCCCAATTGGTCTCCCGATCTGTTTGCTGGGGCGGCCCCTGCCGACCCTCGATATGAAGCAGGGATATGCCATGCAGGAGAGATGAAGGGGAACCCACCCAACCCATGGTTTCTTGTCGCGTTTCTTTCTCTCTTCCTTCATCGCCATCAACCAATTCACTCGTTTTCTCATTCCTTCGCTTCAATCGCTCCCTACGCTCACACAGCCAGCTCCGACCGCACAACCGCAGGAATGTTCACCAAGGCACTCCTCATCGGCGCTCTGGCCGCGTTGGCTACCGCACAGAGCAGCGTACTCAGCTTGTATGCAACTAGATCCCGCCAGAGGGCGGTACCTCACCCGTTGGAGAAGCATTTCGCTGATCAGAAAACAGCACTCGCGTCCCCAGCCCAATCACTGCTGGCGAGCCTCAGGCACTGTAAGACCTATCGAGGAGCGAGTTACATGAATGCCTGCCTGTCTCGACAGCTTCTCTTCTTTGAAATGACGATACTAGGCTGATMACCAGCCGATTCTCTGTCACAAGGGAAACAGGTGCAAGACGGGCTAGCGATCAGCACTCTGCTCGACCCCTTGCGTGGCTTGACCTAATTGCTAATGTTCGTAAAGGACGTACGCGACCAACGACACTGAGACCCCCGTTACCATCAGACTGAGAAAGGGTCCTTCTGGCAATCTCGACACTATCGCGACCCTCTCATCGTCTGTGATGGGAGGCCAGTACATCTGGACCCCATCCGACAGTCTGACCAACGGCAATGGTGTGTGGAGACTGCACAAGAAGATGAATATTCATGTTATTAACATTGATTAGACTACGCGCTCGAGATCTCCCAGAACGGCCAGGTCAACTACTTCGGACCCTTCCAGCTTCAGGGCGCTTCTGGCACTGGCTCTGGATCTTCTTCCTCCTCCTCTAGCTCTTCCATGTCTGGCTCCAGCTCGAGCGCCGCAATGCCTAGCTCATACAGCACCAGGTACGTATTCAGCGGCAACATACCCGCCCGTTGAACGGAGAGACTCATGTGTGGCCTTCTTCGCTTTCATCCACGTGAACCCAATGCAACAGTTGCAACACCGAGACGCCCTCGCTTTCACCATGTTTCGCCGAGACGCTGTCAATCACGATCACGTTCAGATGCTAACCAATCTACAGCAGCGCTGAAGCCATGAACTCCACCATGACTACGTCCTCGCACATGATGATGGGAACCGGAAATGCCATGCCTCACATGAACAGCACCAACGCCACCATGACCTCCGCTACCCTCAGCTCAACACGCACGTCGCCTAGCAAGCCCACCAACACAGACGATCTCTCCACGGGAGGAAGCGGCACCGGCTCGGATGCCCCCGCCAACACTGGAGCTGCCGCCATGCTCGGTTCCAGCGCCATTGCCCTGACCTTCGGTGCTGCCGTTGCCGTGCTAATGGGTTGAGCGGTTCGAAGAGATGTGGTGAAATTTTGCAGTTTTCGGCGTCTGGGTTGGGAACCTATGTATCAGCGCTGTGGCCTTGGTTGTGCATGCGAGCTGAGGTGGCACTCTTTGTCTGATCGTCGGCGATCTGGCAGTCTAATTTTAAAGTAACTGTTCACTAGTCCACCAGACACTGAATGGAGAAATAATGTATAGTATGGAGTTGGCGCCATACATGGTTTATATCTGCATTTTCGAAGCTTGTAGCATGGAATCTAAAAGTCTCTTGTCGCATCACAACAGGCAGATCGCATGTTGACCTCCTAAGGTACCTGTTCTTCGAGTTSGCCCAATAATGGACCAAGAAAACGAAACCGCCGACTGTAGGCCCAGGCCCAAGATTGAAACAGATTTTGAATCCCTCGCAGGCACTCCATGTCAGGGCACAAAGTCTAACGAGTCTACTATTAAAAGAGGAACGGGTCAATGGAGGCGGCCACCCCGGCGTGCATACCTTTCGGGCCAACTCCACTGACTCCTGGAGCACTCGTCGGACAACGACCACGAATCTGCAGCGTGTCGACTTGCCACTAAATCCATGTGAAGTCGCACACGATCGATAGGTGGTCATGAAAGGATAGTCCCGCAGAACTACGAGGTAGTATCGTATCAAGAAACAGTGACCACATTTAATTCTTTCCGGATCACTACTCCGCTCATCCAGAGCTTCGAAATTAAGTATCAGACCACCATCATCATCTCAGCTGCCGCAGCAGACTCCTCGCTGTAGGAATCATGGCTCAAAGCCCAGATAGTTTGCGTCATCGCCCACTCCCCTTCAATCCATCCACGTGCAGTCACATGCAATTGTTGCCCCGTTGATGTTTTAGCACACCCAATACGTCCTTGTTACACTTTCCAACTCCATGGCTATGCGAAATGACGCCTGCCAGCGCTTCAAGTCATTGAAATCATGGAAAAGGAAAACAGTCATATCTGGCTACCCAAAGCTCATGAGAAATTGGAAGACAAGATGTGGTTCATTCATCATTTGATCGTAACTGGTGTCAAGCCATTTGTGCCATAGACCTCTGCTTGTCAAAAGGCCCGGATCTCATGCTTGATCGGTCGCCACCACCTCTGTTGGGACTGCCGTGTGACTCGGTGCTTCCATTGGGATGGCTCGGTTTAACATACGGTAGTGTGGGTGGTGTCATGGCATCCCCTCCGACGTGTCTCACGGACGACTCGTTCTGCCATGCGTTTTGTTGATGCGGGTCTGTGTCCACGCGCGTTACGACTGGGGCGTTGCCCTGTGGCGAAGTCGTTCCGTTGCTGGCGACTATGTTCGGAGCGCTATTGACTGTTGGCGCCTTTGCGCGATCGCCATATCGCTTGAGGATTTCCTTCGTCGTGATATCAGCACTGTTGCTGAACAGGGAAGAGTCGTTCAAAATCATGGCGAGATCTTCCGGAACCTGGTGTGGGGTTAGCAAAGGWAGTGAGTGATAGATGCTCGTTCGATGTAGTTACCTCGCACATGCTTTCGTTGCACTCTATCAAACTGTGAACCGCTTCAATGGCCAAGAAGCTGTCGTCAACGGGGACGGTATCTTTGCCAGAGTGCAGCACGTTCGGACAGATCACCGTTGCTAGGTTGTGTGTGTCCATCTTGCTTCCACTTTCTTCGTCGACGTGGCTGAAACTGGATACCCAGTTCATGAACGTGAATAGCACCTCCATGGTATCTCTGTGCGCTTTGGGTAATAAGCAGCATGTTAGATGGAGCACTCGCCGCCGTCGTTCGCTGTCGTCGATTCGCTGTGATGTTATCCACAATTTATGCAGCTTGTGTGTTAGGAGGGGATCTGGCAGCTCACGCAAGAATTTCTTCAAGAGCGCGGCGACCTGAACCGGATTTTCTTTCGTGAGGTCGACATCGACGGAACCCTTGGAGTCGATCTCTTCCTTTGCATCATTCAGGCGTTTGATGTTGCCATTCTTTCGAAACACGCCTTCGACAGACATGTCCATGGTCTTCATAGCGCTGATGCACTCCTGAACCAGGGACGGGATTTTGAGCGAACCAGGCCCAACACCGTCTGTGCTCTCTTCGTAGTCGCGTTCAAGGAGTAGTTCCAAGGGCACGCCAAAGATGGCATTCTTCGGACCTTTCTGCTTCTTCTCCTTGCCCTGGAAGGCCTTGCCAAACTTACTCCAGAAGGTCGGCCGCTTGGTTTCGATCAGATCAAGCAGCTCCTCCTGGTTGAAGTGACCCTCCACCAATTGCTCCATAGATAGGACCGCAACATGGCGGACGATGAAGTACTCGAGCGCTGTGAGCTCTGAAAAGTACTTTTTCGTGCCCGGCGGACGACTTTCCAGTTTCTCAGTAAGCAAATCGCCAGAAAAGTCTCGCGTGTGGCCATTGACAAGCTTGGGCTGAGGTTCTGACGGTATCATGGGTGACCTCGCGTACCGTGTGGCATTTGGTCGCTGCTCTCGAGTCTGCTGCGCTTGCACTATCCTCGGAATATCGTCCAGGGTCATGGCATCTTGCTTGCCAAAAGTCAACTGGTTCATAGATTCTCCATTGGCATCTCGGTCTTCGACAATCTGGAAGGTGCCTGTCCTTCTCCGGCCATCGCCCCCATCCGCAGACCCGGGACGCATACCTTCGGGGCCATCGATAATCCTCGACGTCCTTGCTTTTTTGGTTGCATTAGAAAGGTGCTTATCCATCCTTGTGCTCCGTAGGCGTCTAATGTCTCCCATGGTGTCTTCATAGCTCTGTTCGCCCTGATTCCTCGCACCTCCGGATCTGCCGGCGTACGACCTGGATCGTGTGTTCGATCGYAGCAACTGTGGTCCGCCGTTCTCAGGAGTATTGCCATGTCCTTCACGTGAGTCGTAGCCCGCTAAGTTGGGATCGTCGCTGGTATGCGGTAGGGCGCCACTTGTGCGCAGAGTCGCAAGCAACCTCGCATGCGCTACTCGTAAAAGATGCACGTATTGCTGCAGTCTGGTCACGGGCATAAAACCCCCTGCGCGCGCATCTGGAGGAGCATGCGCATCGCACCACACTCTTTGAGTCTTCTCGCTCCATCTTGCGACGCCAGGATCCTCTGCGAAGTCCTTGAGGCACTTTGCGCAACTCACACATGGGGAGTGGAACACTCGGTTTTCGCGCCGGAAACATTTGTCTTCGACAGCCTTGTTGCAGACTACGCATGTGTCGGCGCTCTGGTCGACATATATGTCAACGTCCCCTCTCGAATCGCGATTGCTCTCAACTTCCAGTCTTGCGTCGAGTTTACTAATTTCTTCGAGGAAACTTTCGAGGCCTTCGGAGCTTCTGGTTTCGCGTTCCAGTTTTAACGCACCAGAAAGACAGATCCGAATCATGAGCTTGAGATAATGGGCCAATCCAGTGACCAACGAAAGCAGCTCCTGCGTCACACCCAGCCGTCGAACACCATTGTCCTGGTTTTCGGCGAGAAGCTGGAAAAATGCGACGACCTTCTTGCACAGCAACTTTGCCTCTCGGCTGTAACTCAGTCCTGGGTGAACAATGGTTTCAAATGTCCGAACACCCTTCTCTGCACCTTTGCCTGACCGAACCTGCAATCGGTGGTCCAGGTCATCTGCAGCGCCGAAAAGGAGGTCGACATGAGTGATGAACTTTTTGGCTGCCATGACACCATCCATGTATGCGCCGTTACTGACATGGAGCAGCATGTCTGATATGCAGGTGGCAGATCGCTCTTCAAAGGTGGAAAGAGTGTGCCAGATCCAGTGAACCTTGAACTCCACGGCCTCCTCCTCGGTCCTGACTTCTTTCCTCTCCTCCTCGCTCGCATCTACAGCTCGACCTCCCTGCTCTGCGGCCTGGCGTTCTTCGTCCGCATCTGATATCTTTGGCGGCGCAGCGTGTAGCCTGACATTCCAATACTTGTGAATCATATAACACTCAGGATGCCAGTGCTGGTTCACTCCGTTCCTGAAAATCTCCACAAACTGCTTCAAGATGGCCGTTTGGCAACCATTACACTTCTGCGCAAACTTGGTGGAGTAGTGATAGTGGCAGTAAACACTGCCCTCATGCTCGTAGTATGAATCCTGGGCACCAAACACCGTGGGGCAGACAGAGCACGTGAAATGCTCAATGTGGTACTTACGGTCCAAAGCAGTTATGTATGAGCCTCGCAGCGCACCACCACAAGCGAAGCAGAGCAGTTCGAGTCGTCTGAAGTAGTCGGTTTCGCATAGTGGATATTGATTGGGTGGTTGATCAGGCACGGGGAAGAACTTGGAGGCCACTATCTTCCCACAGTCCTGCGAGAGTGTCAGTTGGGATACAAGGATGCACACAGGTCACAATGTTGCCTACATGGCACGTGAAGCACTCCCTGCGACGTTGTTAGTCCCAACTTCTGCCGTGTTTAGGTTGCGCAGTGCGGTACGAACAGATGGTATGTGTCTCCCAGAGCTCTCACAAACTGGCCCGTCAAGTGACGCTGGCACTTGCCACACACACGCTGCTGGCTGGGTCTCCGCCCGTTCGACTTGGAGCGATCCTTGCTGCCAGGCTCGCGGAGGCCATCCTGCGATGGTCGGGCACGCTCCTGCGAAGTCCGAGACTGGTCGTGCGGGCGGAGGGAGAGTGACGACTGATCACTGAAGGCAGCGGCGGCGGGTACGAGCGCAGTGGCGGAGGTTGGCTTGGGAGCAGCATGCGCGCCTGGCTCTCGTCCCTCGGCCATGCCAGGCGGCGCTGGCTGGGAGGCGGAATCGCTCAATGCTGCGGGCGCCGGCGCGGTCGGCGTCGGACAGGAATTTCACGTGGCTCTTGACGGGACGATGAGGATGTGTGCGGTAGGCGTAGTCGGCAGTCGGGCGGCAACGAGCGTGTGGTGTAGTTTAGGTATAGACGGAGAGAGGGTCTTCGAAGTCAAGGTTGCTTGGAAGCCATCTCAAAGCTTCAACCACCAAATAGAGTAAATGCGCTGGAGATTGTAATACATTGATACCACAACCAGGCCACATCCATTCCACTTCCCTCAATTCACGCGCTACCTTGCCCTCATCCCACACGTGCAAGGCTCAGCCTCATTGAAGATCAGACAGGCGTCCGTACTCCGCTGGCTGCCATCACTCCAACTCGCGTGCCCTTCGAATCCGACTGCGCACCACTCCTGCAGCATCACCATGCCCGGCATTGCAGGACCCTCGGGCGGGCCTAACGTGACCATTCCTCAGTCAACGTCGCGGAGAAGACCTCCGCCCACCGGTGACGAGGAGGCTACTGCGCGACTGAAGCTAGGAGACTGCGAAAATGAGCAGGCTCTMTCGCCTGCCGAAGTCATGCTCATGCTCGAGCAGTTGGAGCTCGCCGACAACAAGCACGACCCAACCAATGACATCTACTACAAAACCAAAGAATACTGCAAGCACTTTGCGCGTTTCAAGGAACCCAACAGCATCACACTGGTCAACGGCATCAGCGTCGAGCTCACGTCACGCGGGCTGGGCATCGTCGAGTTCGAGCGGGCGCAGTTGGGTGAGTTGTGATGATCCTGCGGCCTAGCATTGCGGCAGTGCTGACATGTGCTTCCTGATATAGCAACATTGTGCTRCGACACGGCGGAAGAGGCACGTACGTTGATCCCTTCTCTTGAAGGCAAAATCGGCGACGAGGAACTCCAGGCTGCGTTAGACGACATTTCCAAGCTTCGGGACTTCACTTAGCCGCCGTGCACCACTTGCTTCATTGTCACTTGCAGTTTTCTGTCTAACTAGCACGGCGTTTGGGGAACCGGCGGTACGGGGGCCCTCGGGCGGTTATATTGCTGTCATGACAAGTCACCAGGGAATCTTTCTTCCCAATCAAAACGAAATTCCGAAGTTGAGTTACAGGAAAGCCTTGCTCGCAATTGGAGTGTGTTGTGATATTCTACTGCAACTCAAATCCAGCAGCTATTGCTACACGCCATGCTTTTGCTTTCCGTGTTCATTCACCAAAGTGGCGTACAGCAGGCTCGTACCGTACGCCCTCCCAGCAGCATGAACATACCATTTTCATCGCCGCAAGAAGACTTCAAACATCAAATACAGCCGAATGATTCATCTCCCGGTTGCGCCCTCCAAAATGAAAATAGAACTCCTCCAACGCCTTGCTAACTCTCTTGTCATAAATACATAACCATCAAACAAAGTAAAGTACTGAAGCCGACGACAAATTGTAGTGCTTCTGCGGAAATGGCGAAACAGTAGTCATGTAGGAGGTCTTCTTTGTGTGGCCGCTGGAGGTGCATTGTCCATATCAATGACTTCGGCATGATCACCGGGCTGACGCGGAAACAGCTCGGGTGGTGTCAGCCTCCCAGATGCTTCGACTTCGGCTGCAATGTCCTCCATGATAGGATGTTCCATGTCGACACCAGAGGTCTTAGAGGACATCAAGTCCTCGCTGGAAATGACGCTGCCTTGACTGTTGGTTCGCATCATCTCCGTGCCCAGCTTAGAGCTACGCTTGATGTTCCGCCTGGGAGAGCGCGTCCGGACGTGCATATCACCAAGTTCTTCGTCCTCGTCGTCACCGCTTTCGGCCGCAGATTCATGCCGTATCTTCTCCAATGACTTGCGTTTTGCTTGAATCTCTTCCATCGATGGTTGCCTACGCGGTCCAGGCTGTTGAGACGTCTCCAACGCCCCCGGGGCAGATACTTGCGTGTCCAGATGGGGATGCATGCTCGACGTCTTACGTGTCGTTTCATCGACGCTGATGGCGCTGGAGATGCCGAGGCCACCAAAGTTGCGCTCAAGATCAGCCTGATCCCAGTCGGTTGTAGCTTGTCGAGAGACGATCAGTGGAATTGAGGAGCTCTGACTGTCTGTCTCGCCAAAGGAACTGGAACCCATGGAGCCTGCTCTGGTGACATCCCTTGAGAATGGATGATTCGAGCTGCCAAATGTAGAGGCTGTCGTAGTCGGACTGTAATCTGTAGTGGGTAAGGACCCTTCTCTCTGTTTAGGTTGAGGTATGTCCTGCGGTGGAGTAGGGCGCCATTGACACAGCCTGCCCATGACTTCCTCTAGCTTCTCCTTCGTAGGCGGCTTCTCGACCAATGCGTCGAAATGATGAGGCGCGTGGAGTTCTTTCAAATAACCAGTCACCGCGACGATGGGCGTGTGTGAATTGGCGTTTTTCGTGTCTCGGATCATTCTCGCGACATCCGCGCCGTTGACCTGAGGAAGCTTGTACTCCATCATTATGATGTCGAACTTCACCTCGCTCATAGCGTAACGCATGGCCTCTGTGCCGTTTGTCACGGCAATAGTTCGACAGCGCAGCTTCTCCAGCAGACGTTCCATGACCAGACGTGAAACGGGATGATCCTCACAAACGAGAACGTCCAGAGTTCGAAATGTAGGTCCATCTGCTAAGCTGATCTGAGACAACCGGCGGGAGCTCTGACGACGTCGCTGGACGCGCAGTAATGCCTGATGCCTCGTCTCTTCATTGTCGGACGACGATGGCGATACATCAAACACTCCACTTCTCCGTTTGTGGTGGTGGTGGGCTGGGAGTAGTTCGGGCACGAGGTCGCCATCCTGGTCCTGAGAGCCAAGAGTGTGCGATCTCTGCCTGGGTGAGCTCACACTCAGCTGTCGATGGGCCGAATTCGCTCTTTCGTGTGCCATTGGGAGCTGCACGGAGCCTGACTTTGTAGATTTGATGGGCGAGGAGACATTTGAGGTCGTCGCTTTGAAAGTCACTGGCAGTCTCGGGGCTTGATCGAAGAAGTTCCCAGGCTGGAGGGAGCTACTCGCTGGCTGAGAAAGACTTGATGAGCCACTTGATGTCTTCCGTCGCTCTTGATTATGACCAGTGGTGAATGACACCAAGAGTGGTGATGAGGGCTGCGATCCTCGATTCGGCGAGGAGTTCGTCTGACTAAGTAATGAAGGCGACTGGGGTCGTGCACTCTTGTTGATGGACATTGTCCTCTTCGCAGGGCCGGGTGCGATTGGGCTCGACTCCAACGATGGTGCAGGAGAGGGCGAGACAACCGCTGATTGCGGGACAGATCCACCTGTACTGTGAGGCTTGGACTGAGCTTGCATTGCATCTGCGCGAAGCTTCTGTATCACGTCCTTGTTGGCCTTCTCCAGGACGGGCAGATTCTTGAATTGGAAGTTTCCAAAATCGTCAGCCACTACGGGTTCGCTCAGCCGACGGGATCGTGCATCACGAACATGCGGTGGAATGTGCAGTGGCATGAGGTTTCGCTTCACCGAGTTGACCTGCGACCGGACTCTGGAGAGTGCGTCGTGAGGCCTGTCCGGATAATCTGTATTTGGCGTTCCTGACGGCGATGAGGATTGATCTTCAAATTCGGCAGCAAAGCTCGGCATGGTCGCACCCCGCGCGTCAAAGTACTCCGTGTCTTCGGGATTTTCACTGACAGGTATGAAAGAAGCCTCGTCTTCTCGGAGCGTATCCCAATTGATCTCGGCAAACCAGGGGTGAGCTTTGATTTCTTCGCCGCCATTGGCATAGATTTCGTCCTTGTTCGATCCCAAGCGCTCTTTGGGATCTAAACAGATCAACTTGTTCACCAAGTCCTTTGCCTCCTCGCAAACCAAATCTTCTTCATCGTCAGTAGGCCAGTGGATGTTACGAGACAGAATGTTTTGGAAAACCTTCTCGGGTGTCTCTGCGTTGAACGGAGGCCGCCCGTACAGACATTCAAACAACACGCAACCAAGCGACCACCAGTCGCTCATCTCATCTTGCCCGTTTCCACTAATCGTCTCAGGGGCAAGATAATCCGGGGTACCAACGAATCGCCTGCTATTATCTTCGGGGTCGAAGAGCGCCATCATCGGCGGCGCCATAGGTGCRGAGTTGGTCGAGTTATCTACTCTAGGGCCACTGGAGTTGCTTGCTACCGTGTGTAAAGCATACGGATCAGGCGAGTCAAGACCCTCGTCGCTCGCAGTCTCTTCCTCGATGGGAGTGCGACCTTCTGCGACAGAGAACCGGCGGAAAAGGGTGTTGAGGGCCTCGCTGTCTCCACTATCGCTGCGATGTCCAGATGTGCGTCTGGAGGGCTCTCTTGACGAGTCGCGGTAGAGACTAAAGTACGAAGGCTGACTCATTTCGCTCAGAGCCGGCGTGAGAGATGGCGTGTGCGATGGAGAGTGGGACATGGCTTGATGATCCAACGACGTCGAGCGAGACGAAGTCATGGATGGCGCACGCCGAAAAGGACCAGCTTTGAGAAGGTCCGGGGGAGCGTCTCCAGGCTTTGCATTGATAGCACGCTTCTGTCTTCCGATCAGTCCCATGCGTGAGAGCCCAAAGTCAGTGAGCTTGAGGTGGCCTTTGGCATCAATCAAGAGGTTGTCCGGCTTGATGTCGCGGTGAACGATCTGTCTGCTATGAAGGTGTTGAACGCAAAGAACAACCTCAGCGATGTATTTCATGGTCCAATCCTCCGGTAGAGCCCCTAAAACCTTAATCAAAGAAGCGCAGTCGCCACCGTTGAGATACTCCATTACCAGATAGAGGTAGTCTTTGCTAGAAAAGGTCCAGTATAGCTTCGCAACGAAATCGCTTTCACCCTGCCACATCATGATGGCTCTTTCCGCTTTGACGTTGGTGACCTGATTCTTGGCAACCATGTCCGCCTTTTTCAAGACTTTGATGGCATAGTAGTCACCAGTCGACTTCTTCTTGGACAAGTAGACACTTCCAAATGCTCCCTTGCTGATAGGCTTGATGATCTCAAAATCCTTGATAGAAGTCTGAACAGCACGCGGTTGCGGATTACTCATTACAGCACTCAAACGTGGAGAGGCAGGTCTTCCCATGGCTTCAGACAATGCCGCCGAAGACTGTCGTCGATGATGATGCTGATGTTGTTGTTGCGCACGAATGATGGGTGAATGAAAGTCACCATGAGATAGCACTGGTGAGACGATGGGGGAGGGAACGCTGTCCGTAGAGCTTGGAATCCTTGGCTTCGCCATACGCAACGGCGATGAAGGGGGGACAGGTCCTCTGCTTGGTGATCGATGTCGCCCTGCGCCAGTCAAGCTAGGCAGGACGAGACTCCGGCGTTTTCGTTCACGCGACCGCGCGCTGACAACACGACCAAGACTCATGGTCATTTCAGGGCCTGGAGAATCTCCACGTCGCTGACTACCACGTCGATGACCGGCACTGGCGACGGACGATCGCATGCTACTGTCGCTCTCGGCTCCGGCATCACTTTCCAGGGCAATGGACCCGCGTTTGTGCATCGGAAATGGCTCCATCGAGCCTGCATACGATTTCGGTGTGGTAGCACCACGCGGGCTGCTTGCTCTTGACGATTGGCCAGAAAAGTTCCGGGTCAAGTTTGTATCCGAAGAGTTTCGCAAAGCCGCCGCCATGGCAGAAGGGCTGTCGGTTGGCGATTTGAAAGAATTGAAACTGAACATGCCGTCGGTTTGAACCTCGGAAACCTCGCGGCGCTGCTGCTCTTCCGATTGAGATCTTCCAATAGGACTCACTTGGGCATCTGAGTCTTCACTTGAGCTTGAGTCGCTTATCTCGCCGGCTGCTATTCGAGCCGCTTTCTCCATGGCGGCCTCTATGCACTCTTGGACGAGGACGTCGTACTCGACGCGAATACGTTCAGAATACTCCAATATCCGTCGGTGTCGAAAGACCGCCTCGACCTTTGTCTTTGCAAGCTGCGCAGTGTCTTCGCAAAGCATTGCCAACCCTTGTTCGTGTTCCAGAGATCCAGCACTTGGCGACTGCCACTGAAGCACCTGTTGTATGCGACCCTCTGACTGTGGTGATTGCGTTCTGATCTCTCCTGGAGAATACGACTTTGTGTCTTTGATAGATGGCGTGCTGATTTCCATTGATGTATCGCAAAGGTCCAGCACAAGTTCAACTATTCGCGCGAGTGGCCTGCGAACTGCAAAAGAGCGGGCCCGGTGATGGCTCAACCCACTGGTCGAAGACTCTCGTGAACGAGGTGCCGGAGCGGCTGGAGATGCACGGCCAGACGACAATCCTGATGACGGACTAGAATTGGGTCCGATTGCTAGACCTTTGTWCTCTGCTTTGGGAGCTGGTGTCGGCGAGCCCGCGTCCGAAGGGGTTGATTTGATCAGACGTGATTGAGCCTCGAGCGCGTCCAGGACCTTGACAAGCTCCGACCGTTGTTCTTGCAAAGACTCCTGGGCCATTTGCACTTCCATCTCAGCACGATGCTCCTGCGAACAGAGCTCTGTGTGTTTTTCAAACCACCAAGGTGTAATCTGGCGCTCGCATATCCTGCAAAGGACCGGGAGAGGTGGAGGGTGATTTCCAGGGTCTTGCGCTCCAACGTCGGCCAGCAGTGTCAAGTAGTTTGCTAGCATCTCAGCGCCAATGCCCAGCGAGTCTACCAGAACCTGCGGCAAGTCAATAGTTATCTCTCTAGAGATTGCCGGCTTTATCAACCACATCGTATGGCTCTCTTCTCCTGTTGTTCGATCGTACACCATGATGCCTTGAGCTTCCAATTCCACATTCTCAGCCTCTGCTTCCGACGATGGCTTGACCTCGGCGTCTGGTGTTGGACTTGCATCGACATCATGATCTGGCCCAGCTGCTCCTGCTTCGGGTTTTCTGTCCCGTCCTTGGATCGAGAAGCGTACAAAGTGGCTTTTGGAATCGTCCTTCCGCATAGCCTCAACACATTCGGCGAACACCGTGTGATTGTCGACCAGCGTTTCAGCTATAGGCTTCCCAATGATGCTGCTGACAGGAGTGCGTGCTAAGTCCTGCCAGGACGGACTGACCCAACGTACGCGGCSGTCCAAATCCAACTCAAGAATCGCGTTCAACGATTGTTCTGCCGCCTTTTTCAAATCTTCCCGCTCCTCACGTATATCCATGCTGATAGTCCTCAGCATCTCCCCTTTGTCATCGCCTGTCCGCAAGGCAGCCACAGCCGGAACTGCCAGCGTCGCCGGCTGAGTCCCGTCCTCGGGCATTGTGGCGGTGACCTGCGTTCGCACAGATCTTGCTGAATGGTTGAGATCCGCCAAGAGGCCTCCAGCGGTGGCGCCTATGCCCGCTGTACTTGCTTGCCCATCGTGATTGTAGATCAGATGGACGTCGAAGGAGTGGAGGCAGCACCTCCCCGGGCAAGCAAGTCAGCAATCTGACAAAGCGAGATGCTGGCCGAGAGATGAAAGAATCCTGGTCTCCAGTATCCCGGAGTGGAGACGGCGTGCGGGAGCAAAGAGGTCAAAAGCAGCAGCGGTGGAGAGAACGAGGGCGTCAGACGGTGAAGTCCTCCCTCCAGTGCAAGACTGGGGATCGTGTTCGAATACCGTTAGGAAGCGACGCGGGCAGGGTTCCGGCCCGCCGGAATTCAGGGAAAACACAGACGTCCACTGCCAACAACATTGGAATAATCATCAAAGGTCGATCTTCCATCAGAAAATCTTCGGCTCACAATTTTATGGAAATGCTTGCTGACTCTATGTCACTCTAACTACACCAGTACTCAAGTCGCTCAGACAGCCTGTCCGAGCGGATTGTTTACATTCGGGAAAGTTGCCCACTGTGGATTTTCCTGACTGACCATTGCGCTAGTTCAAACTCTGGTAGAACCTAACAGGCTACAACGCATCGCGCTCGTGACTCGAGTGAACCTGATGGGAACATTTCGAAGATCAAGCTAATTATTAGGCTGTTCCCTGTGACGGCACGGGCTTGGAGTACATGTAAGAGGTACTTCTACCCAAAATCTAATAACCTACTATCTATTGCTGGCAGTCATACACGCAGTTGATCAAACAGAATCGATCTGGAGAAACACCGTCCCAGTTCAAGGCGCGATACGCGATGAGGTGACCTTCACAATCTAGGAGTTGGCCCGGGCTCAATGTCCATGTACTCGCTCGAAGTACCTTACCAACTGTACCACCAAGTCAGCTGCGTGAATGCCGCTGGAGTGGCAGCCGGAAGTTCTGGACCAGGAGCTCAAGCCCCACCAAACCATAGAAGTCCCCGAGAGGTTCGCCAATGAAAGCATCCCGGATGCTTACTGTAAGAAGTGCGCGTGTTGATGTTCAAGAGTCGAGATAGCGAGAAAGATTACGCGGGAGGCAATGCCTCATGTGGCCTGTATAGTAGCTGTTCGTCCCCATGGTCTGATCTACCAGGCCAGCTACACACCTGGCTCCCCAAATGATGCCGAGAAAATGTCGGGCTCGTTGCCGCGAAAAGTCTGCCAATGATTGCATTTTCTTATCACATGGCCTGGTGCTCTAGCAGATCGACCGCCTTCCCCGCCTTCCCCGGGCGTACCAAGAGACTCGTCGGACCACAACCGAGACGCCAGAATCGGTTCGACTTCCAAGTCTCTTGTGGGGAGTGTCTCAAACCTCTGCTTCCCACCCTCCTTCAGAAGGCGCTGTCCACGGATCTTCCGCCGAGACACACCTCATCATCACTCGGCAGGCCCGTTTCCGCGTGGTTTCTGTATGGCGTAGTACGGATGATCCTCGGTAACCATTGCTTAACGATCCTGCCTCCCAGCTCGGGAGCAGACGGAAAGATGGAGCCCAGGGCGCTGGCGAGAAAACAGGCCATCGGGGATCCGGGAACAGTGCGCATTGGAAGCGTACTAATTTGGGTACTCAAAGCCTCCCGAGCTTCTACAGCAATGGGGTCTCACGCACAGTCCAACGCGCTCTGTAGGAGCATCCCAATGTCATTGAGCCCACCATCAGTAGTCACTATTCGTTTGGGAATGTCCCATTCGACCACAGGAGTCTTCTTCATTGCCTTTCCGAGTTCTGCTTCGATCAGAGAGCCGTACGAATGGTCTAAAAAGTCCTCGAGCTGATAGTCGCGTTTAGTGAATTGTTCGCCCATTATTTTGGCCAGTGTCGCCACATTGGGGTGAAAATGGCTCTGCAATGTCTCGAGCTCCCACAAACTCGAATCGATGGCACCGGTAAGCATGGGATCTGTTTGTGACATGTCGAATGAATCGTCCATGCCCTCCTCCTTATAATTGGGGTTACTAGCGTAAATCGCATGTGCAGGATGGTACGAACGGTGCAGCATGAATGTGCAAGGCGGGTGCTGCTTGAGCGTGTTATATACCCATGGCACAATCCAGACGATGGCTCCTGGTGGCGCTTGAAGGGCGAATCTTGATAGCCTCTTGATGAAGCTGGCGACCATCGCCGCGGGTAAATGACTCGAGTTCATGAAGGTGTGTAACAGCCGGAAAAAACGACTGCGGTATTTGCTATGCAAGACGTCCTCGTCAAGTAAGCTGTAAAGTTTGGTGTAGAAATCCGGATAGTCCAGATTTTTCTCTGTCATGAGATGGAATATGCCACTCAAGGCCAACAGCGACATTGCCCCTCCCGAGTTGAAAGAGTCTGTCAAGAAGTCGGTGAGGAGCTCTACTTGGCCGGTGAACCATGGCAGAATCTGTCGTGTGATAATGTTCACAATGACTTTGCGGTGCTCCTGAGAGAGGGGCGAGCGGAACACCGCGAGCCAGGCTTCTCGTGCAGCTTTGCGGTGGGCACTCAGCGCTCGGAGTTGATGCTTGCCAGCCGCGGGGGCTTCGGCATACCAATTGTCCAGCTGATCTTCTGACTCGGGTACATTCTCGATCTGAGAGAGTAGAGCGACAGCGTTCCCAACATATTGCTCACACTGGTCGGTTCCCTGTAGCAACTGCTTGATTGCGGCGAAAGTGAAAAAGCGAACGTCGTCATGTTCCTCGACATACCTGTCGACGAACTCCTCGCGAGCAGATTCGGCATTGTCCTCTCGTAGCAGTGCTCGAACTACTGTGACAAAAGTAGAGGAGCCGCCTCGCCACGATTGCTCACCGCCGACTGAGGCCTCTTCTTTGGCTACTCGCATGAGCAATGTGAGTGCCGTGTTCTCCTTTGCAGCATCTGGGCTTCCAATCCAGCCTGCGACCACGCCGACGTATTCGCGCAGTGCACTTCGCAGCCACTGAATGGTCTTTACTTCAGGCTGCGATGCGCCAGTCTTCTTTGCCAGTTTCTCGCCGGCGATCAGGCGGCAGAAGGTACGGCATAGCGCGACTGCAGCCACCGTCGCGGCCTTGGGCTTCTTTTCCGCATTCGTCACCAGATTGTGTAGTGTCGTGATGTTCTCGTAGTGCTTGGGCGATGTGACGATTTGCTCCTCCAACAGCAAAATTTGTGACTGCATGTTTTCCGAGGCAGACACCTTGGGCGCTTTGCGGGATTTGTCTCCAGTTGGAATCCCATCTGATGGCCGCTTCCTTTTGCTGCCTGTAACATCTTCCATGACTGTTTTTGACATCCTGATGGTGGTGGACAACAGAGCGTGTCTTTCTTTCGAAGTTCAATAATTGTAAAGTTAGACCGCAGCTCAAAATCCGTTTTGCGGGCCGACATCCGAGCAAGCCTGGAACTCACATCAACGGCAGACAACTCAGCAGCACTCTACACCCTCTCCACTCGCCCTACAACCACCAAATCCCTCGCAATGGCGTCAAGAATCGCAAGGAATGCTCTTTCGGGTACGTGTCATGTTTCTGGCTGGGCTGGAGAGCCTCGCCGGCGCGCATGCTGACCCATAGCTTGACAGGAGCCACTCGCGGAGCTGCTCTGCGACCAACCCTCCCGCGCACCGCCCTACCCGCCCTCACCACCTTTGCGACTACCTCACCGCGCCGCGAGAGCAGCGTGCCGCAAAAGGACCCCAAGTCCGCCGCCAACTCCATCCTCGAGGCCCTCCCCGGCAACAGCCTTGCTGCCAAGACTGCCATCCTTTCCGCCGGCGCTGGACTGTCGGTAGCGGCCATTAGCAATGAGCTCTACGTCGTCAACGAGGAGTCTATTGTCATGGTTTCGCTTCTCACAATCTACTGGGCCGTTTACACCTACGCCGGCCCCATGTACGCGGAGTGGGCGCAGGGACAGCAGGACAAGATCAAGGGCATTCTCAATGCTGCACGGGACGACCACACCAATGCCGTCAAGGCACGCATTGACAGCGTGAAGGACCTTAGCGGAGTGATTGATGTCACCAAGGACCTCTTTGCGGTGTCAAAGGCACGTTCTACGCCCACCTACGATTAGAGTTCACGTCTGACTTCTCTGCAGGAGACCGCCCAGCTCGAAGCTCAGGCATTTGAGCTCCAGCAGAAGACCAACATTGCCGCCGAGGCCAAGTCGGTTCTCGACTCCTGGGTTCGCTATGAGGGTCAGGTCAAGGCGAGACAACAGAAGGAATTGGCCGACTCCGTCATTGCCAAGATCGAGAAGGAGCTTGAGAACCCCAAGGTTCTCGACCAAATCCTCAAGCAGAGCGTCGCGGACGTTGAGCGTGCGTTGTATGATTACTGACGAATGCGATCAAAATGCTGACCCTTGATAGGTATCGTTGCGCAAAAGTAGATTGCGAACTGAACAAAGGTAGTCCGTAGCAGGCAGTACGCTAGTACACCGGTCGAGACTTGTAAATATCTAGGCACTAAGACGGTGGACATGTGAATCGAATGAGTTTCTTTTGTTGTCAATGCTTGCCGACCGCAGCGACCTCACCTCACCTAGCAGAAGTGCTCGACCACATGCAGCCTTCACCGGAATGCAACATTCAGGATCTTGACGGGTAGGAGGCCATGATACTCGACTACCTACATGTATTCAATGCCTTGCTTCATTTCATTCTTTCATAAGCTCGGAKCTGACCGCGGCCGTTAGTCACATCCGTTGCTCGCTTATCTCTTGCCGGATACGACCGRCCAACACCACGAACGTCTTGTTGTCAAAATTCACATTCGTTTGAACATTTGCGTTGGTCCCTGTCATTGAACATTGCTGCATCATTGACACGTTCAGCTTGCGATGGGTGCTGCAACAGATCTCGGGGCGACTAGGACCGAAGCGAGAGAGGCCGCTCAGAATTATCTGAACAAACGCCTCAACAGCAGATGTCGGAGCGATCAGGACCAAAGCACAGGATTCACCGTTCCCACCATCAACATTGCCTCATCATTCTCTTCTGACGTCAAAGACCGGAAAGCTTGCGCTGCCCAGATTCGAGATGCGTGCACTTCCTCTGGGTTCTTCCAAATTACGGGCCATGGAATCTCAGATCAAGCACGCCAGGGAATTCTGCAAGCAGCCAAGAGATTCACCAAGGACTTATCGCGTGAGAAGAAAGAAGCACTACATGTGAAGCACAGTGAATACTTCCGCGGATGGGTAAGATACCAAAGGACAGAAGGCACATAGGGTAGTTCAAAGATTTCTTCCGGGCTGCGCCACGTCYCTGCTCACATCGGAAATGTCCCAAACATCGCTAACCCTTCTATCCTTCACTTGTAGGAGCCTGCCCAATACACCAAGGTTAATCCTGATGACTGGAGCGCTGAAGACGCTGCACCGGAAACGAAGGAGGGATTCAACTGGGGCTATGAGGAAGGTCTAGATCCTACTGGAGGTGACGGTGCATACCGGGAGCTAGATGGTTCGAGTAAGAATGGCAATGTCTGGCCTACCGAGGACGACCTCCCAGGCTTCTACGCAGCTGTCGCAGCTTACTACGGCGAAGTGCTGCAGCTTGCTCGGCATTTGTTCCGCTTGTTTGCCTTGTCCCTTGATCTGCCCGAAACCTACTTTGACTCCATGACCACACATCCAGGAGGAATAGCGAGATTGCTTTACTATCCCCCGCCGAAGGACCCGCAATTGCTTGACCCTTCCCATAAAGACAAGGAGATCGGACTAGGCGCTCACACAGACTATGAATGCTTCACCATCCTCCTGAGTTCCACCACTCCTGGTTTGGAGATCCTGTCTCCAGAAAATGTTTGGGTGCCGGCTCCTGCTGTTGAGGGCAGCTTGACCATCAATGTGGCAGATTTTCTGATGAGGTGGACGAATGGTAAGTGCTTTGATACTTGCTTGTGTTCTGATAGGCCACAATTCTGTCACGCCGCGAAAGCAGAAACAACGCAACACCCCATATCGGCTAACACTTGTGTCCTTGCAGGTGTCTATCGTTCCACGGTGCACAGGGTGGTAAATCGAACGAGAGAGGAGCGTTACAGCGTTCCTTTCTTCTTCTCCATCAACTACGAGGAGGAGGTCGAGGTTCGTAGTCGTTATTCAGACATCTCATATTTCGCTAATATCTTCTAGACGCTACCGAGCTGCTGTTCCCCCGAGCTTCCATCGCAATACCCGCCGATCAGCGCGGGCGAGTACATTCTGGCGCGTCTCAAGGCTACCGCCAAAGATGAATGAAAGTTGCTCCCCCCGCTTCACTGGCCGTCGAAAAAACATCAATAGACTGTTGCTATCATACCAGATCTGCCGCTCACTTTGTGAAGTTATCAAGCGGGGCTTCGTGCGAAATTTGTGACCAAATCTCGTCGATCCTCTTCACAGCGTTGTCACTGAGAGGCCCCCCGTTTATGGAGTCCAGCGTCTCCTTAAGCTGCTCGAGTCGTGAAGCTCCGATGATGATCGCGTCGCCGTGTTCGACCTTCAATGGACTGTTGTACCGGACCCAGCGATATGCTAGATCTGCCCTTGAACAGCCTTCATCACTGGCGATCTGGGCGGAGAACGCACAGGTTAGCTGCATTCTAGGAGTGGTAACACGCCCTCGACGCTTCACATTGCTTACCTTCTCCCATTCAGCCAATGCCTCAAGGTATGATGGCTTGGCGTACATTTGGCTGTACATCGATCCAACAGGCTTACTGGTATCGAAGCGGCCGGCTCCGTCGAGTACCTGCTGCTTCGTCTTGGTGAGGAAACCACCAGCTATAGGGCTGTATGCATACTAATGAAAGAATTAGTAGTCGATCATCATGCGTGCAAAAGAAATSCAAGCTCACAAAAGCAATGCCGAGCTTCCGCAGAGTTGGGAACAGCAACGTTTCCTGCTTCCGCGCCACGGCGCTGTAATTTCCTTGATATACAGTTGGGAGAATGTATCCCTTCTCTTTTGCGTGGTTGTATACGGCCTCGACATCCTTGGCCTGATAATTGCTGAGCCCAAAACGTTTGAAAAATCCCGATTTGTGTACCGCGTCCACCGCAGCAAGTGTCTCCTCCAGGGGTGTATCCTTGTCAGGGGCGTGAATGTATAAAATGTCCACATCGACTCCAAGCATGTTCTTGCTGTTGGTGGCTTCCTTCATGACGGCTTCTCTCGAGCAGCCGTCTCCAAAACAACCCTTCAATTTGGTGTCCAATGTGAAGCGTTTGCCGGCGCCTGCTTTGCCCAGGATCTCCTCGGACTTGCCATAGAGGGCCGCGGTGTCAATGATCTTGACATTGCCTTTCTCCTGTATTGAAGGTGAGCTCAATGCTGCCCAAAATGACGCTTTCATGAGCAGCACTTACGAGGACATCGAAGACGTCTTGAAGTGCTTCAGGACTCCCGAAAGCTGCGCCTGGGTTGATGCCCGCGCCTCCAAAGACAACTTTAATTCCGGACATGTCGTCGTTGCAGATTGCTCAAGGTGTGATTGTTAGTATGTGAGTGTGTTCTTCTCAATCGCGATCTTGGGCGTTCAAAAGCTAATATAGCTACCTTCATGAAGCTCTCGATTTCAAAGCATGGACATGACGATTCCTCACAGATCGTCTGTTAATTCCGTACAACCACCCTGACACATCAACATCACGGATTTATCTTGCGAAACATCGTCCAGGCCCGGATGAAGGATGCGAACTTGGATTATTTCCGAGACTGAATGCAGAATGCCGTCTCGCCGCCCACAGCTCGCGTCATCATTCCGAGAGATGGCAGGAGGGACGGTGATCACTGATCATGCCTGGGAGCCATCGCCGGAATTTGCATCGCGATCCAATGCTTGGACAAGCTTGTTCTCATCTCCCCAATCCCCTTTATCTTCCCTGCTCTATAGCTTTGTCAGTGACGGGGCAGGTGGACGATATCGCAGAGTAGATCACGATGCTGTTGAGATGCTCGGCTGGATCTCCAACCTTGCATTGCTTTGCACGACGGTAAGCCTTTCCACCGATTCGGGACGAGTCTGAAATGCTCCAACATGTCGCCCTTCAACGAGCGCATATTTCATACCTTATCGTGCTGTATGAGATATTGTCGTCGGCCTTCGACATTGCTTKCCAGCGTTGTCGTCGTACAAGATCCTGCAGTTCATGCTCAATCTACGGCAACCAAAACAAACCAAACTCGTGAAGACGAAGGATTATCACCGACCCACTATGCCTTTGACGAATGGTCGAACTAGCAATATCTGAATGCGGGCTGTTTCATTTCACAACTAAGCCTCGGGTTGCTGAAGTATTCATATCTGTCTTTGACACACACCTCTGATCGATTTCCTGCTCTACTTCCCGAGCAGAATTTGCTGAACTACGCCCATCGTCCAGAAGGGAATGTGCCCTGGAAGCACTGTAAGTACGCTGCAGCTACAAGTTCGTCCTGATATTAGCATCCAAGGTTTTTCACGGTCTGCTTGTGCCGTCTCCTATCTATGAGGAAACCAGCTCTGATCACTAGGCCTTTACGTCGATCCACTTCATCGGTCATGGTTTGTGCCTGGAGATAGCTGACATTGTCATTTTCAGTGGCTACCTCGTGGAATATACACTATCCCACCGTTGCCAATCTCAAGGGGGTCATAGCATCTCTGTGCGGGAAATGAAATGATGAATGCCTGTAGATGCGGCGCTCGTCCCGTACCTTTTATCTTGGAGATGGCGCATGCAAGGTTTCCGTTAGGCGCGCTATGCGTTGGGCGTCAAATGAATGTCTATGCACTTCAGACTTCGATGAGTTACGAAATTGGCTGAATTGGTATTTCGAAGCCTATCGTAACTCTGAAGGCCCGCGTTCGAAGGAACGGTCAGAGGCGACCCTCCATTCGGAATGGTAGAATCATCAGAAGCATCTACAACGAGCCCTCCCGCTCCAAACGCGCCAATGTGGCCTTTCCGGCACTCGAGCTGTTCGGTTTTCCGATCTCCTTGGTAATCCAGCCTCCAATTCTGCTCACTTCCTCCAAGTCAACGCCCGTATCGGCGCCGAGGCTGTGCAGACAGTGCACCAGATCCTCGGTCGAGACGTTACCAGTGGCACCGGGTGAGTACGGGCAGCCTCCAAGGCCGCCTACTGCACTGTCGAATGTCCTAATACCGTGATCCAAGGACACCATTGTGTTGACTAGTGCCTGTCCGTACGTGTCGTGAAAGTGGAAAGCCTGCGAGGGTCAGAATGAAGGGACTTTGGGATGTGGTTTTCTGATAATGCTCACGAGATCGCTGTTCTGGATACCAGCTTCCTTCAACGTTTGCAACAGTTTCCTCGTTCGTGGAGCTGTACCTGTGCCTGTGGTATCCGCCACGCTGATCTCGTCTGCGCCCATCTCAAGAAGTGAAGCAGCGAGCTCGGCCACGCGATGAGGATCAACATCAGGACCTTCAAAGGGGCATCCGAGCGCTACAGAGATGTATGCACGCACTGCGTATCCTGCCTCTCGACTCTGAGCCATGAGCGGTGCAAAGCGATCCAAGCTTTCCTGAATTGTGCAGTTGGTGTTCTTTTTGCTGAACGATTCGGTTGCTGCGAGGAATATGCTGATCTCGTGCTTATCACCTCCTTCACTCGCACCTCCCTCGCTCGCACCACTGCCATTCAACATGCTTTCAACGCCCGAAGTCGAAGGCATGGCATTGGGGTCTTGGCTCGAAGTATTCAATGCAGGACTCTGCTCATAGGTGGGAGAGGGAGGTGGTGTTGGATAGCCATTGGGCGCAGAGGCAGAGGTATTCATTACTTTGAAGAAGTTCTCGAAGCCTTTGCTGTTGGGAAGAAGCCATTGATATGTTATGGGACTTTTTGACGGTGGTGGTTGTTGGAGAATCGAGGATAAGACCTTGTCGGAGGCGGCCATCTATTCGTTTGCTCAATACACGCGTGCTTGCTCTACCTTTGTTGTGTATCGTCTTGATCCTACCTGAGGAACCCATTTGGGATGAACGAAGGAGCCGGCCTCGATTATCTTCAGTCCGCTCTTCGCCAGCCTTCGCACCAGCTCAATCTTGGTGTCTGCCGATATGCTCGTCTTCTCATTTTGCAATCCATCGCGTGGTCCAACCTCAACAATTCGCACTTGATCTGCCAATGCTCGGCTGGACTGTGTGAAGGTACGCGTGGTGATCGCTGCGTTTCGCCGGATGGGCTGCGTCCTGCACAGAGCGCGAGTCGTCGGTAACGACATTTTGGCGATGTCGTATGTTGGAGCTTGCCCAGATACAAGTCCGACAATTATCTACATTGACAGTGAAGCAAGTAGGTATGTACTACTGGTATCTTGTGCGGCAGAAGCAGCAAAGCCGCGTGCATGCGACGTACGACTGAGAATGCGGGGAAGTCGGGCCGATATCGGCCATCTGCTCTTCAGGGCAAGGTATGCCGGGCATCATTGAGCGGAGCAAGGTCTGAGAACTCCCACCAGTTCAAAGGCCGCAGCGGAGCGTTAAATACAATCGAAACATGCACCTGCCTCCCTTGCCTCCTCTATACCTAGGGTCTGGGATTTTTTGGGCACAGCGATCTAATTGGTCGACCTGAAAGATATCATGTGACCTAAATCAAATATTAGTACAGGGCCATCAAGCTATAGTATAGAGGCTTTGAAGCCCGTCTAATTGATTCAAAATGACGATAAAGACGAAAACGCAACAACGACGAAGACGCGACGACGGTAGAGAAGCGAAAATGCGACGACGACGACGAAAATGCGACGACGACGACGAAGATGCGACGACGACGAAGATGCGACGACGACGAAGATGCGACGACATACGGTAACGCGACGATGTTCGATACATACTTTATATCGCAATACGCCTCTTTCTTATCTACTCATTAATTTTGGATAATATTTGATTGTAATTTAAATGCTCTCTCCGCTTGCTTTATGAGACATGAACATGGCTCTCCGACGATCATTTTGTTATGTTCGAGTCATGTGATGCTGCATCATTCACTGACATGTGAACTTTACATTGAGAAATGCTCCTTTCAATGAACAAAAGCTTTCGAGAGATCAGGAGCCGCAAACAGGTATCGGATCTTCGTTTTCATAGACTTGTCGACTTGCAACGTCAAGCACTCATCGCCGCAGACCAACAGTACGCCCTCCTCCACTCCACGTTAGCCTCACCCAGTCAAAGTTCACCTCCATAGCCCGCAAAGTCGCTCCTATCCCCTACCCTACGAAGACGCCAATTCTCGAAGCATTTCTCGTGTAGCTCCAACGTTCTGGCTGTCAGAGAAAATGGCTGCTATCAGACTTCCATCGATCGAGGGAAACTCGTTCTGGAGCGCAGCAACGGCTCTGTCGGCTTCACTCTCAGGCTTCGTATTACTCATCTCAAAATGCTCCAAGGCTTCTCTCTGCTCCCCTCTCTCCTCCGCCGGAACGATCGCTTCATCTTGGAAAGTGTCCGTCCTGCGGGGAGGAAGTCCAGGAGGGGCTTGATAGCCGGATTGTGGTGCTTGATAGCTGGATTGTGGTGCTTGGTAGCTGGATTGTGGTGCTTGATAGCTCGACTGTGGTGCTTGGTGGCTAGGCTCGGTATTCCACTGCTGTGTTGTATTTTCCTGCTGTCCTTGCTGTGGCTGTAATGGCTGTTGCAGATACGGCTGATTTTGTTGGAGGCCACTCTCGTCTGCCCAAGGATTACTACTGGGTAGTGGTTCGCCGCTACTCGGACTGTGGTAGTATCCGCCTTGATTCGACATTTTTCCTGCCCCGCTGGTTGATGTTGTTGTCWTGTTGGCGGGGGAGATGGAAAGGAAGCTACCTTGAACTGTGGCGCAGGCGAAGGGAATACGTCACCAACAAAGGCTTCATGTGACACACAACATCACCTCCATCCTGAGGTCATCATCAGGCATGCAAAGCCCAAAGGCAATGAAAAGCGTCTGCATCGTCGGCGCAGGACCAGCAGGACTGGCGGCTGCAAAGGTCCTCGCTCCGCGCTTCAGAGTGACCGTGTTCGAGCAGTCTGGAAAAATCGGCGGCATATGGCAGGATGCAAATGATGGATTTCTCGGCCCCGAAACACCTACAAACTTGTCTAGATACACCGTGGGCTTCTCGGATTTGGATTGGAACTCGATCGAACTGGGTGCATCAGCAATCCCTCTATTCCCAAAAGCGTGGCAGGTCAACCGATACCTCTTGGCTTATGCGAAGAAGCTGCCCCGGGACACTATCAAACTTGGTCACAAAGTGGTCAGAACGGAGAGAATAGCATCTCAAGACTCATCGACAGCTACTTGGTCCATCACCATTCGCCATGAAGAGTCCGGAGAACAGACAAGAAAGTTTGACTACTTAGTTATGGGCACTGGCTTCTTTTCGCGGCCACGGCCTCTCTCTGCAGCGGTTGCCAATGTCTCCTTACATGATACGAAGGTCACTAGTTTGCATAGCTCACGGTTCAGAAAGCTGCAAGATCTGTTCCCTGATGATCAGGATGCGGCTGGCAGGACTATCCTCATGATAGGAGGCGGGAACTCCTCAGGAGAGACCGCCGCAAATATCGCTCAACAGCTTTCCGATTCCCAGTACTCTCCTGATAGTAGTATGCGGGAAAGATACAAGGAATGCAAGGTCATCCACGTTACTCCGCGGCCGTTGTATGCACTCCCTCCTTTCGTTCCGGCAAACGCGGAGTATAACACTTTCATGCCCTTGGATCTCAAACTGTACGATCTCTCACGGCGACTTCCAGGAGACATCAGCGGTAATGCTGGTCGCGTTGCCGATACTGTGAAGAATATGATCCATCAGAGTATGCAGGCTACCATCGGTGGCGATCAATCAGACCTTGGCTCACTTGGCTTGGTCATTCCACCAGGAGAGCCACGAAGTGCGGTAAGTGAGGCCGCGTGAGAGGTACGACCGCAAGTGAAGCACGGTCTGTTCACTTGCAACAACCCATTTCATTCTTCGTGCGTCACTAGCCGAGCACATGTGAGAAAACGAAATGTCAAGACCTCAAGGCAAGTAGCTACGCTGACTCCCAACCTCTCGTTCAGGTCCACGTTGCTATCAGTGAAAGTTATCCGGAATTTGTCAGAAGTGGTCTCATATCTGTGATTCCTGGTCGTGTGACGGCAGTCGAAGCGACCCAAGAAGGAGACGCCATTGCATGTGTTCGCCAAGCGGATGGTGAGACTGTGATTGAAGTGAGTGCATCCGATGTATACTCATCTATTCGCTTTCCTCTGTCTTGGGTCCTTTTCTTACGCTCGACAGAACGTTGGCGCGGTGGTCTTTGCCACTGGCTTCTCGCCTCACAATGCCATCGATATTCTCCCCGAAGATGTCAAACAAGAGCTACATTACGATCCAAATAGCTCGCGACTTCCAATCGTCCTATCAGCGTGGCAGACAATGGTTCGCAGTGTTCCTGACCTGGCGTTTGTCGGCTTTTATGAAGGCCCGTAAGTCTAAACCCTCCATTACATGCCCACTTTGTGCTGATCACATCAATGTCACAAAGGTACTGGGGTATTATCGAGATGCAAGCTCGTTTGACGGCTCACCGATGGCTCAAGGGCGACATTCCTCCCCAGCGTGAATTCGAGGAAACCGATAAGCTGCTCGATCTACGAAGCCGGATGCAACATCGAAGCCTCGACGTACCGCAGTATTGTAAGTTATGTTTCACTACGCCGCTGTTACTGATTGCTAATATGTTGCTATAAGGGTTTGGTGATCCTCTTGGCTACAGCGAGGAGATTGCCAGATATCTCCAGCTGGAGAGGAATGACGGACCTTTCGAAGACAGGGAAGGATGTATGTCGCCCGCAAGATATCTCTCATTCGACACGGATGGGTCTGCGGCAGGCTCCATTGTACGAGATCTACACCAAGCCTGGAATGCGTGCAAGGAGGGCAGATACGTTGCTCGCGCCGCCTTTCGTGCTCTGCAAGGCAACTGGAACATCGAGAGAACCATCAGGAGTGCACTGTCAAGTTATCCCTCAGGGACCTTGGAAGGAAAGGCAGGCTTCTATCCACGCTTTCCGACCCCGGACAAGACAGGACAGACCTTTGATTTCGAGTACCTCTATATCGAGTCTGGCACACTGGTCCTCTCGAATGGTGCTATGATGAACGCTAGAAAACGATATGTATACCGGTACAACGAAGCTGATGACAAGCTGAGCGTATGGTTCGTCAAGCCCGACAACGATCTGGAGGTTGACTATCTCTTCCACAACATGGCATTCGTCTCTCCAACAGAAGCCGCGAAGGAGCACGCTTGCATTGCCAAAGCCGATCATCTGTGTGTGGAGGACATGTATGAGACCGAATATAGGTTTCCATTCAGTGGCATCTCTCTGCTTGAGTTCGAAACCCAGCATACGGTCAAGGGTCCWAGCAAGGACTACGTCGCAACAACCAGCTACCGAAGACCCGATTTAAACTGTGCCGACAGTCAGAATCAGCGTAGCTGACCATAGTCAGCGTATGGAAAGGAGTCCAGAGTGAGCCACAAGTCCTCATCGGTCGGGAATTCGGCGAAAGCATCCATCATATCTAGTCTGCAGGTGGCCAGAGAGCTCTCCACGGAAGTATGCGCTGGATGTGCGCTGTCATTTGACAAAGAATCGACTGCATCGCTTGAGTGCAATCGTTCCCCGGTAGGCCCTATATCAACGCGCTTCACTTCTCGGAGCAGCTCTTCCAGCACGACACCGTAGCCTAAGCTTGGTGCATTTCCTTGAGTAGCTTCGATGAGATGCTTCTGAACATTCTCTGCCTGTCGGAGAAGGTCTTCGAGATCATATTTCGATGGCGTCAAGTATAGCCTATTGCCAGGTTTCCGCTCGATCAGGTAGACGTATACAATAGAGAGTGCCTGAAAGGGGTCAGCGAGCGGCAGATGCGAACAAGGACGACTGAGAATAATTACATTGAACATGACGAATTGGGTATACCACAGTACATTGTGCTTACTCAAACTGGCCGCAGAGACAATGTCCATTGTCGATTTTGCGGCCGAGACACACTCATCTATCTGCAGCTGCTGAACATCCGCTTGTGTCGTTTCCAGGAGACAACTCGGACGATTGATGAGCATTCGGGCATGTGAGTGAGCTAATTCCAGTACTGCAACCTGTCTACGAAATACCGGAACGAGACTTGTTGGTCGGATGGTCCCGGAAAGAATGATGGGTAAGGACGCATGCCACGATTTGATCTCTGCGTTCAGCTGGATGACACTGGCGAGCTTCTGGTCTGCCGTTCTGCGATGCACGGAATACTGGTCGCGGAATGCTCTCTTGACAATTCGCGCTATCTGAGCGTGGCATATAGACGCTTGGATAACACTGTCTCGCGGAGGCTGTCCACCTAGAGAAATCTCCCTTTCGACGAGATCCTCATCGTCGATTGCATCGGGGAAGTTCTGATCAACATCGTCCAGGTGTATCAGCGGAGGTCTCCCAAGGATCGCACAAAGGTAAGTGTCCAGAGTTGAAGCTGCCCAAAAGGTCCTCTTCCGGCATTCCCTCGTGATGCGGTCTTGTTGCCCAACGAACCCCGCGGAAGCACGGTGGAGACCTATTGACATGGCCAACTGTACTGTCGTTCCGAATAAGTAGTGAGCCTGGTTGGGTCTGGAAACCTGCAGCAGATATAGCACACTTGCTAGGCGTGCTTGGACGCTTTCCAAAGTCGGTCTGCCACGTTCTTCGCTCAGCTTGTTCTGGGCTACACGAAACATGCTCTCGCTCTCGCACCACGCATCTCCCGATGCAAAAGGAAGGCTTCTATCTTCGTTCATCTCGTTGAAGACCCAAGATGTAGCCAAGATTAAGAGCACTGCAGCCTAGGAGGTGAACGATATGAGTGACGAGTCCAGATATTTGGCTCTTTCCATTTTAGTGTTTGACTCACCTGACGGGCTGGCAAAAGGTGCTCACCATCAGCTTCCGCTTCTTCCTGTCGGTAGTAGGCATCCAGCCACTGCAAGACCGTCTGTCGGTGGAAGAATCGATAAGTCGGCATTGCTAGATCGAAATACTGATCCACCAGGTTGACTCCTACTGTTCGCTCTGGAAGGTGAAAATCCCTGACGTCCACTTGAGGAGCGAAGCGATCTCCAAAAGCAAAGATCGAGACGTTCGTAGAAGGGACAGGCTGCTCTGTAGGCACGCCTTTCGATGTGTCGATTGTACCGCCTGCATCATGGCTGAATCGCTTCCAGGCCCTGCGAAGGAACGTATATGACGATGTTGGACCTGAGTACTGTCCAGTGGTCAAAGCGGATCCTGCTGCTTCGGGAGATACTGCTCTTGAGGCTCCGGCAGTAGTATCATTGTCATCTACACGTTGAATGTAGTTTATGCTCGGTGTAACGGCACCGGGTGATACTGGGTTGTCTCCGACAGATTGAGGCCGCACAAAGCGACCTCTTGTATAAGATGCTAGATATGTACAACTTGCTCCACTATTGAGGCAGACTCTGGTGGATGAGATGAAAACCATTAGCTATGAGCATTTGTGGATCTTTGGAGAGACCACAGGGCATAATCGATATCGGCTGATATTGAATCAAAGGACGATCGATGCTCGATCGAGTGGCACAGTAGCAGAAGACCACTCTACTTTTTCACTCACCGACATGGCAAATCCCCTGTGCATCTTCTTTTCCGACTTTTGCAGCTGTCGCAAGCTGGCGGCGGATTAGCACTTGATGGACAACGGAAACGTGATCGGCTCCCAAACCTCTTGTCACTTTCTGTCGCTTGGCATTTCGGACATCAGGAGACGTGGTTGCGCTCCCCGCAGACGGAGAGGGTGCCGTGGGATGTGATGGCATGTTGTTGACTGTTCGGTCGAGAGGCGGATAAGCAGAGTGGAAATCCGGCAACTGTGTGGGAGGCCGTTCTGACGATTATGACAGAAGTCGGGTAGGACGCAAGGCTGTATCTGGAGAGGGAAGCTCGTACAGAGGGGTGTGAACAAGAAATATGTTTAATTCGGATTGCACTCGACTCTCATCGCAATTATGGTTTCGTTCTGCTCACAGCGTGTTGACGCCCATTTCATTTGGGTAAACTCTACTACCGATATGCCTGTTCAAAACCCCCCAAAAAACAGAGCACTTCGATACATGCGCCGCCACGGTCATCACTCGCATTAATCCTCATACCTTCAGATAGATACTCAGTATGTCACAGAATTCCAACAAGTGCAAGGCTCAAGGCTGTTCAGAACGCATTTGAGCACTACCCCAACCCTAACCCTAAGGTACCCCTATTATCCAGCCAACAAGCCTATTGCCAAACAACGAGCTATGAAGCGCCGAATTACAACGGAATTATATGGAAGCTTGCTTTTGCTTTCAATCGTGGTGACTATAAGTTTGACGCAAAGCCTGCATGTAGATAGGAGACAGGCGTAGAGCTTCCAATGCATTCACTTCCGTTATGAAGCAACGAACGGTGACATAAGCTCCGTATCAGAACAAAAAGGATACTTGGGCACAATGAGCCATGCACCAAACAGTAGCATGCTTCTCGCAACGCCCATTATGTATCTGCTTCTTTCTTTATGTCCAACARACACAAACAGCCTTGACCTGCTTGGAATTAAAAGTCCTCTGTCACCCTTCGTCCTCCCTCAACTCAACCAAAGCGATCAATTCTCTCTTCACACAGTCCAAGCAAAGTGATCAATTCTCTCAGCCTACGAAGAATCAACATGGCCATCTCCGCAGACTTCCCCGGTGTGACCATCAGCATCAGGATCAACAATCGCAAGCTCACCGAGTATCGCGACGCCGACATCCAAGATCCGCCACGAACAGTCAGCTATATGATCGAAGCCGTACCCGATTCCATCTTCTCCATCCACGCTCATGCCAGCCCTGAAGCCACCTTCAGAGGCTCCTCCCTGTCGTTCCACTTTTACGCTGATGGCAAATATGCCGATGGCACGCTGATCGACGCCAGTCAGGGCATCGGAGGCCATACCGAGAGTAGAGGACGATATGTGCGAAGCGACATGTTGAGAAGGTACCAGTTCGCTTCCCGTGAGAAGCAGATCGAAGTCAGTAAGTGACGCTCTTCATTCCGAGAAGGTGAATATTCAGAATGTGCTGACCCTACCACAGTCGAAAAGCAGAGCACCTCGCTTTCCTCCCGTCCGCGCGCCTCCAAGAGATCAACGGATACGCCTCAGGTGAGCTATACGGGTTACCATAGCGTTGGTATCGATTCAGCCGCGCCCACTCCCTCCGAAGAACCACAGCCTACCCAAACATATTTCGACATCGGCAACGAGGATCACCGAGGCAACGTTCGTCGCGAGGCATACCGTAGCGTCGCTCACGCTGCGTCCAAGACATACCACAGCGTTGCACGTCCCACTTCCGAGACTCTCAATGACGCTTTGAGTTCCTCCCCCGAAGCTCCGCCAAATGAAGCAGATCTTCCTTTTCGCATGTTCGCTCAAGAGCCTCCACCTGTAGGCGGAGATGCCAACGTCGCGCGTGGTCCATTTCTGGGAACATTGGACCGCTTGCCCAACACCAGACAGCCATTCGCAAACCGACGCCCTGACCTTAATTACCGACCCCCATACACGGATAGAAGGTTTGGCGTCCCACTAGACGGTACACCACTGGAGGTAAATGACCAGCCTTTAGCAGGAGAAGCGACACCAGGACGACCCGAGCCCGTTGGACAGGACAGTATTGCATTCGACACCGCCAAGGAGACCCCAGCTGCTGTCGCTGCCCTCAGCACCACCAAAGACGCTTCCAGCACCACCACTGTCGGCTCTGACTACACTACTCCAGAAGAATTAGGAACCCTCAAGATCGTCGTTTGTCATGTCAACAAGAAGGGAGTTGTCGCTTTCGGCCGGAACGCTTCCACCACTGCTGAGATCGCCAAGGAAAAGCAGGAGGCTATCAAGGAGAAGTCCGGCGGGTTCCTTGTGAGGTTAGTGCAATCGTCTCGTTGATATCATTCCTGAAGATCTTTCTGCTTTGCTGACCTCCTCCTTCRCCACAGATACACCGCTCCTCAGACCGTCTCGCCCGTCACGACCTGGGATGTCGGAGCTCTTGAGGATGATAACGGAGACAACTCCATGACCTATATCTTCCATTACCGGACACGCGGTAAGCCTTTTCATATCTCATCAAGTGTGATGTCCGAGCTAACCAGATCGCCCTTCTGCTTCACAGAGATGCTCGATGCGCTGGGAGTTTTGTCCAATGATCCCAACGTGAACCGTGTCAAGCCACCCGTTGATGGCGAATGGGGACCAAGAGATGGTAGTGCTGAGACCATGGCTGACGCGGGTGGTGCTACTCGGCGCAAGAGCAAGGTCGGCCAGGCGAGCGGATCGCGGGCGAAGAATGTTGCTTTCGCACATGGAGGAGCCGGTGGAGAGGCTGTCGTCAGCAAGAGAGAGGCTGATGAGGACTGGGAGATGGTGGATGATGACAACACCGATGCTTGAGAGGGTCGTACGATGATGGTGATGAAAGTGTAAGGTGGCAGCTGATGCTACCAGGGTGGTAGATTCTCGAAACGGCCGATAATGCGAACGATTTTTGTCTCTTGGATATCAATACCAAGCATTTGTGAGATTTCGACTGACCTCTCACGATCAATGACTTCTTTCAACTCCCGGGGTATAGCTCCATCCTCTTTGCCAACGCCGAACGCCTCGCTCCCATGTCAAATTGACAAAACATCAATGTCAAGTTCAAAAGAAACCACATCATTTGACCTTGCTCATAACCGTCTCCACTCCACGCTCCACATTCATGCTAGCAGCCCGGTTCTTCACACTGCTCAACATACTACGATCGTAATCGTCTCGCGATCTGAGCACAGCCTCAACCCAGCCAATCTGCACATCCCAGTACTGCTCCTTCATCTGGACATAAGCTTCCACCACAGCCGGACCCTTTTCTACGGACAGGAGATCGCCGAAATGTCGAATGACTCTCCATTTGTTCTTCACGCCTTCGAAGACGTCCGGTCCGCCGCTCTCAAAGAACTTGAACACAGTCGTGACGTCCTCTCGGATCTTCTCCGTGAAAGGGTCGTTCCGTCTGAATTTGACCCCCTTTCCTTTGACACACTCCAGATACCGCACGAGCAATGCATCGCTCAGTTCTTCTATGAAGATATCCAAAAGGGAGTGATGTAGGATAGCAGAGAAGTCCTTGAGGTAGTCATCGAAAGTCGTGGTGATGGATCCCATCGTCTTCTTTTCATACCAGTCTCGTGTGAAGAATTCCGGTAAGACGGGTTTGATATCAGTCGCGAAGATGACGGCAGCGAGGAGAGACATGCAATGTGTTGCAAGATCCACGTAGCCGTTCTTGAGCGATTCGTGATCGGCAGTTGAGGTAACGGCATAGGCTGGAGTGACGAGCGATTCGTAATCTGCCTTGAAGCGCGTGAGGAAGGAGATGCTATCCGTAGCGGGATCATCATCGATGATTTTGATCTGGTCGTTGGCTATTGCGACCAACCAATCCTGCAAGCTACCGACGCCTTCAAGCATACTGGGGTCGTTTCCGGAGGCTATCTTTTGGTACTCGTCGTCAACCAATCTTTCCCACATTTGCTGACGCTCCTTCAAGGCGCGCATCATGGCGTCCACAACACCTTCCACAACGTCCGGCCGGCCGGAAGATTCAGCTACGGAGAGCTGTTCCCGGAGCATGGTCCATGTATCACCTAGACTCTTAGTGTGAAGATGGTCATGAGCATCTTGGTCCAGACTGCCTTCGACCCGCGAAAGAAAAGTATTGCGATCAGTGGCTGCCACACGGTCCATCCATTCCTCAACGGCACGGGTGATGAGGCTGCGGTATTCCCGCACAAGATCGCCTTCTCGCTCGTCGATGACATGCATCTTGAGAGTGTCGGGCGTGACTCCCAATCGGCCCATCTTGGTATAGTACTTCTCCACCCAGTTCAAGATTGCGAGCATGTGCACCGGAGTGATGTCTTTGTCGTCCAGTTTCSAAATGAGGAAGTCATGCATGAGTTTGTGGTATATGTCAACGTAGGTTTGAAGAATCTTCCACTTCCTAGGCATGAGTTCTTGCATGCCAAGTTTGACAGTATTGAGGTCGTTGAAGTACCATCGACAGGCCTTCTCCAGCTTCTCCGGATCCTCATTGAACGCAACGTCCACCTGCACGAATTGCCCCTGAGCACTGGCTTCAACAGCTTGGAGGAACTTCTTCTTGTACCCACGAACTTCTCTCTGGCCAACATTGATACTCTTGAAACGGGAAGCGACATCTTGGAACTCGCGCTGGGCATCCTGCAGGGCTTTGGTTTGACGATCCTTCTTCTCTTCCTCCTCGATGACCAATCCCAAACGCACCACCAATCCATTGTTTCCGGCTTGAATCAAAGGAATGAGGTTGAGACACGCCTGTCCAACGTGGTCGTCAAACCAGTCCACCACATCGTCCATTCGCTGAAAGTGATCTCTCAATGTGACACCGGCTTCCAATGTCAGATTCTCGATCAATTCCACGCCCGACTCTCCCTCGGCGCTCCCCTTCACCTGATCCATGGCACGATCTCTGACATCCCTCAATGAGCTCAAACCAGCATGAATTGCCAGGAGGTTGGCCTGATTGTCCAGATCCTCGTCGTCCTCCTTGAGCAGGTCCTCCAGCTCATCCAGCTGCTCCCCAAACGTGTCAATACTTGTCTTGATGCTCTCCACGGCAGCAAAGTTGCGCTGCATCACACTCATGCGGTTGATTTCTGGAAAGTCCTCAATCATACCCTGGGCTTCAGTGCACAGCTTGTCAATCTTCATCATTTCCTCCTTGATCAACGCCACGATAGTTTGGCCATCACTGATGCTATTCATGCCGGACTGGGTGATTTCCAGCTGTTCGCGCAGGCCGTGCTTGAGCTGGGAGTCGACGGCTTGCTTCTTGCGGGTGAATTCATTGCGGATCGAGGCCAACTTATCCAGATCGTCGGGATTGCGGAGGAGGTCGGCCAGTTTGGAGACCGAATCCTCGATCTTGCCATCATTCATGGTGGTATGGCGGAGTTTGTTGGAATGATGGAGGGGAAGAGGGAAGAGGGAGGGCGGAGGTCCCGACATTGATGTTGCAGCTACCTTAGCCCCGACAAGCAGCTCCACTCTCACCTTCACTTTCACCTTTCCAAACAACCATCACCATTGAGCGCTACTCCGATTCGCACCGCAATCCATCAATTGTCTGAGGAGATCACAGAAACAACAACCATGGCCTTCTTCCGCATCACGCTGCTGCGCTCCGCCATTGGATTGCCGGAAAAGTCATCGCGCGTGCTCGCCGCGCTCGGTCTACGCAAGCGACTGGCCACCGTCTATCAACCCGTGACGCCTTCCACCGCCGGACAAGTCTTTGCCGTGAAGGAACTAGTCGATGTCGAGGAGGTCGACATGGCATTGAGCAAGCAGCAGATAAAGGAGCTGAGAAGACCCGAACGCGGATTCTATGTTGAGAGTCGCGCGAAGGATGCGAGGCAGATGCTATGAACGAGGGTGAAGAAATAAACTTATGCAGAGTGGCGGCAAGAAATGAAGGTCGAGGGACGACTGGATGGGAGGAGCAATGAGGCACGAAGAGCAATAGGCGAGTGGATGGCGCAGGCGGAGGAGGACCTGCATGGACGTGAAGCATACGACAGTCSCAGAAGCCAGCCGATCGTGCCCTCTCTGCGATACGTAGCGGGTGTGCAAAAGCTGCCATGATGTCCGTGGAAATCGCCATTGCCAATCCCAATTCGGGACCCGCGACTATATGCGAGCGATATGGCAAGATATAAAGACCATGGACATCACAAGCATGCGACTCGCCAATCGAAGGTGCTCCAACAAATGCGATTCGACCGAGGACCACCTATTTCGTCCTACTAGATACAGTTCTACGACAACCGACATAGCTTTGCCAACCAAGATACTGGCATGGAAATATGCATCCTACACAAAGCCAGGTCTCAACATTGAACACCTTGCTCCCGACCACTGTACCGCCGTCATCCACACAGCTTCCCTACGCCGTTGCTTGTTTGCAAGTCGCTATTGGAGATTCAATGCTTTGTTATTTCTCACCTTGCGGCATCACCGCTCAAGTCATCATAAGTTCATTCGATGATCTTCAAAGGCAGGAACTGCATAAAAGTATAAAACAAAAACATGCATCGGCCTTGCATCGGAGCATCTGCAAAACAAAACATTCAACACCAGGAATTCGCTGATCGTCACCGACTCAACTACTAATCTGGCGATTACATGCTTGACGAGGCCAGAGCGGACGGGATGGCGTATTAATTTTCATGTATCTGTGGTCGAATGTGCTCTTCCCAATTACAACACAACTCATATACATCATTGCTCCATTTCGCCGACCGAAGACGATATCCAACAAGCACTTTAACAAGGCCGCCCAAGACATGTCACGGTCTCACTCTTGTAATAACTCGAATTCAGTCGTCTCGTCTAGCACACGATGATAGAAATGTCAATTTAGTGCATACAAAAGAGAGGTGTCGTGAAGATGGTATTCCAACAGCATCTACCATTTCCCGATGTCTTTTCCCCCGGAATGCTCGACCACTCGACCCGGATGTCGAAGAAGGCTCTCTACCCGGTCCATCATACAACAACTCACAACAAACACAACTCCGAAGGCGATTCAAGATCTGCTTTTCGCTTGAGCAACATCACACGCCATTCACTCGACTGCTCTCCACGCCTTCAATCCAACCACTTGCTCCAAGGACGATTAGAAGACTACCGCTCGCGATGTCTATGAACTTCGAATCTACTCGTCAAAAGGGCTCGCCATGCATTCAATGATAATTTGCAGGAAGCACCTTCACATTTCACAAAGGTGTAGAACGCGATAAGTTTACCAGAGTAAATAACGTATTCTCATCGCAAAGGAACAGCCTCCCACTTTCCTTTAAAAGGGTTCTCTCTATCCGAGCACGGCGTATCTGTATACAAACTTTCTGTGACTTGTACACCGCCCTTATTCCGCCGCTCATTCCGCGCCGAGTACTCATCCGCCTCATCACTCCTTGCGAGCCCGAAAAAGGGCGTCCTAGGCGTCTGCACGTACCCTCTCGTGGCGAACGGCGTCTCATTCATTTCGTAATCATCATGAGGATGGTCTGAAGGCACGTACGCCTCCTTCTCTGGTTTATAGGCGTGGTTATTGTTGTGTCGGAAGATGAAGAATCCGAGTACAGCGTAGATGACGAGCATGACTGCTACGACTACACCGTAGGCTACCAGTGACGACTCGGCAAATCGAAGTCCTATGAAGCCATTTGCGATTCCTAGTGTTAGGACGGAAGTACCCAGGAAGCGGTGAATCTTGCCCATAATCGTTGGAGTACCGGCCCGCATGTAGATAAGGTGGTGACTTAGTCCCAGACCGACCTGGATCAGAATGGCTCCAAGAATGAGCAGACCAATGATCTGATGAGTGGAATTGAAAGATTTGGACTTGTTGTAGACCGTCGAACAGTACACACCAAGGCCGAAGCCCACAGCCACGAATGCGAGACCGATCATCTGCGCTGCGGCATGTATACGCACTCTTCGGACGAGTCTGAGGGACAGTGCACCCATGGGAAGTATAAGCAAGAATGCAATCCCCATAAAGACAGCKTGTGCTATGCCGAACCACGCAGTGTCCGACCCCGTATTGTATGCGCCTGAGGAGAAGTAGTTTGCGAACGCCCAGAATCCATGGCCCGTTTGTAAGCCTGGATCCTGAGGCGCGGGGACTCTGCCGTATGCGCCTGTAGAGTTCGATGCTACAGTCATGTCGAGTTCGAAGTTGCCATGGAATGTGTGGAGGCGGAGATTGGCATTCCTGTCATCAGAGTGAAGAGTTTCGTWTGGGCCGAGAGCGAACACGAATTGCTGAGCAGTATTTTGTAGGTCTAGCGCTCCTGACTTCCATGCCGAGCAGTTTCGGCAGACAGCATGGGCTATCATGATACCGTCTGGACTTAATGTGTTGGAGAATGGAGCATATACATCATCGGAGACGTTTTCAATAACCATATCCGGTTCCAGCTCTGGCTCCGAGTGACCCGTCGAATACCGGCAGGAGTTGATGAGTGTACTCCCATCGTCGCCAAGATAAGAAATCAACATTCTGGTGTTGGTCATGGAACCACCAAAACCCACGCCCATCCAGGAGTGCTTGCTTGGAGCGTTCATATGATAGTACACGTCTCCATTCTCCGCCACATTGAGTGCAAAGACATATCCAGAATAGACAAAGTATGCGGCTTTGGCCTTTTCGTCGATGCCAGCTTCCGCAATCTCAGACGGGTTTCCAGCGAAGACAAGTCTCGAGATCGCCAGGATCGTGAGAAGTATCGTCCTAATCATGGCGAAGAGCGGGCGCAGCTAGCCACCAGGGAGCCGTTGAAGAGAAGGAAATGTTGGCACTTGCCGTGAAGACAGGAATGCAGGAAACTGCAGCATGAGAGAAGTATAATACTTGCCTGCGTGAGAGGCGCGCATCTCACCAGCGCAGGCGAGCGGTAGACGCCGACATTCGTCATGTCGACGAGAATAGAGCATCCTGCAGCTCGAAGGAGGCAATTGGCTGGCCAAGCCCCATCCCGCTCGAAGACCCGCCTTTATGGGCGCGTAGTCTTACAATTATCATCAAAACGTTGTGCAACACCCAAGTCCTTGATTAAATCGCAATTTCTTTGGATCGAACGATGGCATGCGATGAAGGCGTATTTGCAGAACTTCCTTACTTGAAGAGGTGAGGTTCAGATTGACTACGATGTCTCTCTTCCACATGGAAGGAGTGTCGCGAAAAATAAAACTATGCCCTGGTATCACATGCCATCTCGCCACCAACAATGTCCGGTCTAGAAAATGCTGCACATTGACATTTGCAATGTGTACAAAAGATACATGGCCTTCGTCTGTCACCAATCGCATACTGTGCGGAAGCTGTGACTGGTGTACAATCGTTCCTCATGCCTGGTAACCCATCAAACTTCTTGCCAAACACTCACGATGTTCGCGGGGTCGATGACCACGTTGGAAGGATGTCCGAGAMCTTCCAGAATCCATAATGCCGCAAGCGTGATCGCTGCGGCGGTAGACAAGATCGTGGTCCATGATACAAGTCAAATCTTCGATTTCATCGCTTCAGGTTGGGCGATGGCTTTCTGCTCACGTCTGAGCTTTCTCCTTCTCCTGCTGCTCCTGCTGCTCTCGCTCAGCCTTCTCACGAGCTTTCCTTTGAATCTCCTTGCGATGCCATAAGTCCCAAATCGAGTCCTTGAATTTCGCCCACAAGGTCCGATTCAGGAGGTTCGAAAGCTCTCGATATCTGTACCTATATTGAAAGGACAAGGTTAGCATTGAGAGTGCCGCGGGAAGGCCACGTGGAGCATCACTCACATTTCGGACCAGCAGTCTCGTCCCCATTCGCATCCAGCCATGTTGACCAAAAAGTCTCGCTCTGCCTCCTGGTAGTGGATTCCCTGAACTCCGCATTCGGTGGTAGGGTCCTCTGGACCACCGAGAACACTCTCGGTCAAACTTTTCGGGCATTTCCCACTCTTTGGTAAGCCACGATCGTCGCCGCACGCGCCGTTAGGGAAGGCATTTATTTTCCGTTGTGGAAGAAATGCAACAGAAGGTCGCACCCAAGGCTGATTGATGTATAGGTACTCCAACGCGTCCTGCTCTTTGTGCTCCCACTCCATATGCCGCTGCTCGTAGAAGACCGGATCCCACCAAATGTCCAGCATGCGATCAGTCCACGGGCTGCGTTTGACGAAGAAGGAACCGAGATTAAAGCCGCCACAATCTTGGGGGACGATGAGGTTGATGCTTTCAGGTCTTGCGTCGCCAACGGCGGAAAGGGAGACTGGGTCGAGGTAGTTTTCGAATGAAGATGCCCCGGATGATCCATTCGGAGGATGCTGGATCTGAAGCGGGTTGTAGACATTGATGTCTCTGTAGACAGTGTTCTGGAGATGGGTAAAAATGTGCGATTGCAAGGAGTAGGTCGGTTCCATTATGAATGTGTTCAGATCCAACCACCAGAACCTGCGAGCTGTTAGTGTTCGCCAGAAACGCGCTCAGTATGGGTGAATCATATCCACTTACCACTCCGCGTCGGGGTATTTCTTCATGGTATTCCTGATAACATCCACCTTTTCCCAACTCTCTCGCCATTCGTGTGCGTATCGTTTCTTCGTGCTCATGTCCACGATCTCCAGCTCGTAACCCCATGATGCTGCGTACTTTTTCTTGTTCCTGACGCTGTCTCTTTCTATTGCCCATTCCCTTGCGCCTTTCCACTCCATTACACCGCCTCCTTGGTTGGCCCCGAGGATTATGACGAATTTTGCACCACCGCCGAGCCATGCTGTTCGTCGATACCAGTAAACCAAAGCTACACGGCGTGTCAGTATCACAGGAGTGTTTTCCAATGTCCGCTATACGCACTTGTATTCCACAGCACAATCATGCCCACAATCAAAAGGCATGCTGCCACAAGCTTCCGTCTCCTTGAAAGAAGTGCCAGCAGATTCCGTGGGATGTCCCTCCAATCACCCGTCAATAGCGCCTTGAGGCTACCTGGCGATCCACGACCCATCTTGTCCTTCTCGGAGAAAGGCAAGCTCAGGCTCATATTTCTTTTGAAACGCCTCCATATACCAGAATTTTGGCTCTCATACTTGGGATAGCCGCCGTGCTCCACCCTAGCACTCCTCTGCTTTGCCGAACTCCATGTAGGACCGCTGCGGTCAGCATTGGCATGGATGCTTGTGATGCTGGGACTCGCGGCGCGGACCTTGCCGTTGGAGATATCGGCCGAGAGACCTGGAGACGCCCAGCCTCCACCGCGCCTGGGTGAAGGCGAGCGGCTTAACGACATGTTGTCTGTGTACGGCTGAGAGTCGAGGGTCGTTGAGCCTCCGTGGCTCAGGATTTGCGCATTCGCGTTCGAGGCATTTGCGATGGTCTGTGAAGCTCTTGAAGTGCGACGTCTCGGAGTTGACGATGCGCCGTCCCCGCCCATGTGGATGGGATGGATGTGGATGCAAAGGCTGGAGAAAGGGTTCGGGACAGCGGTGTTTCGAATCGATTCGGGGGTGCCTCCGCTCCCGAGTAGTCCTATTGCTTCGTGGGATAAGAAGCTGCTGGAGTGCACACAACTGGTGTCCGAGTAGAGGGAACGTATGTCGAGTCTGTTGACCCTTTGTCTTTGTCGCGCAGCCCGAATCCGTTGGTGGTACGGAGGTGTATCGCTATCGCTATCGTTGCTCAAGAAAATAATAATCTCCGGCCGGTGTGCACCCGCAAAATTGCACAGGGAAGTGAGGATGATAGATAGGTAAACAGGTCGCAATTGCTTTGACTACCTCGAGACTACCCTACCCTATCCTACCCTACCTTATCCACCGAACTCTCCACCGCGATTAATCATGTGAAAGGGAGTGGTTCCACGCGCGTCGCTCATCTCCAAAGTATCCGATCGAAGGTTTGCTGGCGTGGAAAGGGTCTGGCATCTCCCATCTTATTGGCTCTCCTTCCATTCCACCCACATCTGTATCATCCACCCACGGTCATCCWCATTCTGCTTGCTTGATATCGCACAGTCAGGCCAGCCCCTGAAAACGGCGTGTGCATTCTATCCGCCAGCTGCGTGGGACCGATTGTCGCACGCAGATGCATGTCGTCAGCGTACATGCTACAGCCTCTTCGGCCGCCGGGTCACATCAGCAGTAAGATTGATCTCCGCATATCACATCTCAACTTGACTCGCGGGCTACATCGMTAAGGTTTGGCTTCTTGGGTGCTCTGGTGGCTATGTGCTATGAAGATTGAACGAGCAAGAAAGTGACTCTGATCAGCGAGCATCTGCGTGCTGGCTAGAAGCTAATCTAGGTAACATCGACTTTACTCAGGGTCGCCAAGGACTAATGGCATATCCACCGCTCAAATTCTCCGCTTCGCCAGACTCACTCACCACAAGGACGTCCTCATGACGGACTCCAAACTCGTTCAGTACGTAGACTCCAGGCTCGGCGGTGAAGACCATTCCAGGGCGCAGCGTAACGCCCACATTGCCCTTGTTCAAATATGGGCTCTCATGTGCCTTGATGCCAATACCATGGCCAAGACGGTGCGTGAACTCTTTCTCATATCCCGCTGCCGCGATGATCTCACGAGCCGCTATGTCGACAGCCGCTGCGGTCCCATTGGGGACCATCGCTTTGACTGCCGCCTGTTGTGCATCCAGTACCACTTGCCACACACGCAGCTGCTCGGTGACATTGTATTCGGGTGGCGGAGGTTCCGACACGAATGGCGGGTAGAAAGTACGGCATACGTCGCTGCTGTAGCCGTACAGATGGGCGCCAACGTCGATAAGGATGRGCATGCCAGGCTCAAGTTTGCGGCTCCCGTCATAGCCACCGTGTGGCAACGCGGCACTCTGGCCGAATTCGACAATGTCGAAAAAGGGGTCCATGCCTGCTGCTCTCATGGTATCGTCAAGCACCGCGGCCACCTCGTTCTCAGTGACTCCCGGGTAGAGACAGTGGCGCATCGCACGTATGGCCTCGACCGTGCCTGTGTTTACGGCTCTCAGGATGCCAAGCTCACGCTTTGTCTTGATTTGACGGACAGCCTCGACCTCTCCAGCCAAACCGACAACGGTGAATCCGTTCGCAGACAGGCCACGCTGAATGAAGTCACGGATTTCCTCATCGACCATCAGGACTGGCGAAAGGGTTTCGCCCCAGATCGCTGACTGGTAAAGAGTTGTGTAATAGTTCCAGTGTTCTTCGTATGTGACCGTGTGGATGTCTTCTTCAAACGGCATGTTCAAAAGACGAGCGCGCGTCTCTTCGAAGTGTGGCACGAGAAAAGATGTGTTGGCTACGACGCTGCCATCAGACAGCGTCTGGGGGCGGACTATCATCAGGAAAGGGCGTTCCTCGGGCTCCCATACCTCCCATTGTGGCTGGGTGATGTTTGCGTAGTAGCTGAAAGTGTATCCAGGCTCAACGACGAATGCATCAACGTGCTCAGCCGCAAGAGCTTTGGCGAGATTGTTTCTCCGCAAAACATACTCGGCGATAGGGGGTCTTTCGGCCGAGTCGAGGAAATCCAGGCCGGTGGCACGGTATCTGTCAATGGCACAATTCAAGAATTGATCCTTCTTGGATGTTGTGAGAGCGCTCAGTTGACCGGGTTGAGCAAGATGGTTCTAATTCGATCAGTACCTTGTGACTGAAGCTCATTTGGGAATGCCATTGACTTACCCACGCCAACAATATCAGCACTGCGCCAATGCCGTACACCAACCGCCTTAATGCATTTATCTTGGCTGGCCTTACAGGCGTCGAACACGGTAACAACGGCTCTTTCATCGTGATTAGCAATTTGAGGATGAAGAGAGTATTACCAAGAAAAGTGGAAACTCTTCTTTGCACAGCACATGCAGCCTATCTATGGTAATATATCGGTACTACTTTGTAGGTGATTAACATAATACTACGTAAGGTATCAGCTTAGATATGACGCTACAGATACTTGCTAGCGTGCCATGTCAATCCAGTCTAATCTCGGCCCGCTTACACTTAAATGCTTCTTCGCTTCTCGTACACAACAACGTGCAACCACTTTGAGTACTTCTTCGTAGATTCAACAACAAAACACCAAGTTCTATTCTCCCTCAAATCCCCCCCACTTTCGTTCTCAAGGTATCTATCTTTCTCCTTTCTCTATTTCCTCTGTTCCCTTGGACGAAGTTCTTCCCTTCTTTCCCTTTCTCTTCCTCTTTCTACCTGGGCAGTCAACCTGCATCGGGCATCCTCTCACAACCCAGTCTCACTGACCATCCCCTCACCCACCCAGCGCTGGCAAGAAGCAGGTAACAATCATCGATCCTGCGTCTTACGACCCAGCCAACAGACAGCGCGATGAACTTCGTGAGCGATATGCAACTTTCCATCACGATACATCCATGGTTCAATGATTGAAGGCCGAGAATGTCGAGAATGCAGCGGCCAAGCTTTATCTTCAGCGGACCAGAGGTATCGACACAGCCGTATAGTACAGACTGCAAGATATGAGTTGTGCCTGTACAAGGGCCTCTTTTGCCATTGGTGAGCGTGCGTAGAGTGATACATAATTGCTTCTCAGGACTCTCTCACATTGAGTTCATTTCCACCAGTCGGCAGTTACCTACATCTCTGGTGATTACGGTTGGCGGTATGCGTTCTTAATTCCGCTTTATCAGTCGATACGCCGAAGACTCCCCGTCTGCCGCTTCGCTTCGACCAACGATAAGGACGGCGGCCCCGCCGAGAGCACTGCAATCCCAATGCTCGTATAATAGGCAGAGCAAATGCCGACTTTGGCATGGCTCTTTGAAGTTGTAACGCCCTCGCCGGCGTTGAGATTGGATTGTGACAATGGACTCGACGCCTGAAAACGACCACGCTGTCAACCCCATATCCTTGCGGGCAAATGAGGACGAAGAAATAACGGAACCCAAGGCCTTGTCAAGCAAAGACAATGGCACTACTGTCAAAACTCATGTCGAACCCACGGTCGACCTCGACGTTGAAGAAGGCCATGCACCGATCTTGTATTCGAAACGATCCATCTTCTTCATGGTCCTCTTCTCCGGCCTCGCCATCGGAAGCGATGCATACAACAGTGCATTAATGGGCCAGCTACTCTTGCTCTTGACAGCCCTATACCCGGACACTCTCGGAATAGCGACACAGTCCCAGCTCACAGTAAGATACTGAAGGACAGGAGGCATACGGGTGCTTCGAAGGTGTCTCTCGAGCCACGTTATGCCTCTGTCCATTTGACAATGTCTCTGAAATCGCTGACCTTTTTACCCTCTGATTAGAACGCCTTCATCATCGGGCTGATAATTGGGATGCTGGCTTTCGGCTTCATCAGCGATCGTCTGGGTCGCAAATCTGGCGCCGTACTCACAACGCTCTTCCTCTCTGTCGGCATTATAATGACGGCCGTATCGCACGGAACCAACGACAGCGGGCTCTTCTGGATGCTGACGATCAGTCGAGGCATCGCTGGCTTCGGTGCTGGCGGAGAGTACCCCGTCTCTGGGGCGGGAACTGCGGAGTCCACGGACGATTCGCCTCGTGCTCGCAGGCATCGAGGCTTCATCTTCGCCATGGTTGCTGATGTTTCGGCTTCACTGGGCTTCGTCTTCAGCGGGCTCGTTCCACTGCTGCTGCTCTTGTGTTTCCACGAACGCGAAGCTCACTATGAGAAGGTGTGGCGTATAGCTTTTGCTCTTGGTATCATTGTCTGTGATCTCCACAGTCCGTTCCCTCAATCGAGCATTCCACTGACAAAGAACGCAGCCCCCGATCTCCATCTTTTGGTTCCGCTGGCGCATGGCCATGTCGTCGGCCGAACGGCGCAGCTCAGCCCGAAACACGATCTTGCCGTATCATCTGGCCATTAAACGTTACTGGCGTCCTCTTCTTGGTTCCGCAGCAGCGTGGTTCATATATAACTACATTGCTTATCCGTTCGGCCTGTTCTCGTCCACCATATCTGCGTCCGTAAACGCAGGCGACAGCCTCGTGAAGAGCTACGGTTGGGGCACTCTGATAAACTGCTTCTACCTGCCTGGTGAGTCAAAATGAAGAGTGAAAGGCATAGAGCATGTCTCAAAATTTCCATTCCCCCTCCTGTCATCCAAGACACTTGCTTACCTTGTCCACTTCGATTTAGGTGGGTTTATTGGTGGCTACCTTAGTGACAAGATCGGTCGCCGCAAGACCATGGCTCTAGGTTTTGGTTTACAAGCCTGTCTGGGCTTTATAATTGGAGGTTGTCTGGAGTACATTCAAAAGCGAACCGCGCTGTTCATCGTTCTCTACGGCTTGTTCCTCACACTGGGAGAGGTTGGCCCAGGTGCCACCATAGTAGCGACAAGCTCAGAGTTCTTTCCAACGAGCATTCGGGGCCAGATGCTTGGTCTCTGCGCGGCGTTCAGCAAAGCTGGCGCGGCAATCGGCACGTCCGTGTTCAAACCCATCCTTGCATCATATGGCGATGATGCAGTTCGTGGCAACCAGGCGGTCTTCCTGATCGGCTCCGGATTTGCAGTTTTGGGAACGCTGGTCGCTTGGTTTTTTATCCCAGCTCACCCGCCAAATCTTGTAGAGGAAGATGAAAAGTGGAAGGCATACCTTCGAGACGCCGGATACGAAATCCAATGGGGCGACGACACGACGCAAGATCCGAAGAAAGTTGTCTTTGATACAGTGGGAGAAAAGAGAATCGGTTAGGAAAGGGGGAAGCGCGTCTCTGTCTAGCGTGTATCGGAACGACATGTGACTCGTATTGCATTCATGGTTACCGTTTGTTCGCTTCAGAGTGTCCCCATGTCAGACAGAAAATTCGACCTGTCTTCAGAAGGACAGGCTACCATTCGAGTTCCAGGTGGCTGCGCACCCAAACCATAGGATCAAGGCATCATCCCGAGAAAAAAGGCCCGATACTTCTATGCGCTACAGGGTTGAACTGGTGATATTCTTGATCATCTATAACCAAGGTTAGCAAGACAAGATGAGCACAATGACTTCTCTAGCTGCAGGCACACGCACACGCATCATTGACTTGGGCGACGTGAATGACCGCGTTGAGACACTTGGAGGATTTCCTCGCCAGCTCAGACGTTCCCCGGTCAAACCAGCGTTGCTCGTCAACCCACGAGCAACACAGCAATCGAATCCTCTCATAAGCACCGCAGGCTCCGTATTTCCGCGATTGGACATCTCAGGCCCGTCGCGCTCGTGTATGATGTTCCTTTGACGTATACAGACCCGAACCAAGATACATGCTGCTGCTTGGCCTCAATGGAGCCCTTGGCGCTCGCGTCCACGATGTATGTCTTGCCCTGTCAGGCTTTCCGTGTCTGGTACAAGCCTATCCTTATCGCTTAACGACCGCGATGCAGGTGCATTGTAGATTGTGCGTTCCAAACCCATTGTGTTGAGCAAGCGCAACGGAAGGTGCAGTTGAGCGCTGCGCATGTTGTAAGTAGAGCGGAAGGTTGTTCATTGATTCTTTGCATCTCTGAGGTGAGCTGCCCCTTCTTGCATATCGCAARCCTATATTCAGGCCGATTCCGGGAGTACAGTGTGGTTTGTACCCTGGTGTTAATAGTCGTAGCAGAACTGTAGCCTTTGCAAAGCGCTCGTCTGTAAGATGATCATATACTAGAGCATACCCATGAACTGCTAGGTAACTTTCACACAACGTCTCCGGCACACGAGCCCAGGGGTGGAGGGCTCACAGCCTACGCATCGGAGGTCTTGCATTCGCGTCACTCTCTAGCACTTGGATTGATCTCGCCATTCAACGGGATCCATGGCTGCTTAGTCCTGTAGGCTGCTGTCCCTGTGAGAAGATTGGCGAAGCTTGGAAGCTAAGGGGACCCTTTGCCGGAGATATTGCGAAAGAAGGGTGTAGAGAGCACCTTCGTGCATCGGAGTGGTAAAATGCTATAATCCCAGCAGCCTCGAACAGGGTGTGTCGCCAATAGGTAGCAATCCTCGGAAGCAGTGTCAACCTGGTTCATTAGCTGCCGTCTTCTAGCGTTCTTCCACTCCGATGTACGAAGGTGCTGTAGAGCATGTGTCCCGGCAGAGGTTTGATTGCAGACGTGTTCGTTCGGGTCGGTCTCAATAGCAATCAGCACTAGGTCTCGACTCTCAAGATATGGTACACGAGGGACTAAGGCGATTTGCGCTAGGCATCGCGTAATGAAGCCGACAGTTCCTCGCGATGAAAATACTGTACGAGGGAAAATCAAGAAAATCGAGCTCCTTCGCGTGTGGATAGTGAGCGCTAACGGGGTCTAGGCGACGGAATTACCACAGACAAGGCCAGTAGAAGAAGAAAATGTACACAAGCAGCCAATCTGCTTCCAATAACTTGGCAGAGATATCGGCAGAGTCTGCCATCTGGCTCCGAACTCTCAGGCTTTGTTCCGCTGTCCAGAATGATGTGCGTTCCCTAATGACGCAACTGTCGACTCCCAGCCAGACGAATTGTCGGGACAGCGAGGACTTTCACTCCCCTCCCCTCCCCYCCCCTACCCCCACCAGTCGCCGAGACCCTTCAAGGCCGTAACAAGCCATCGCCCACCAACGACTTGAAATTCGATGAAGACTGTGGTTTCCTTTGCGATACCGGGAAAGCGGCCTTCGCTTGCCGTGTTGACCATGACAACTGCGGTCTTGCCATCGATGTGAGCGTGGGCATCCAGCACGTGAAGCTTCCAGTCCGGGAACCGCTCGCAGGTTTGAGCAACCCATTTCAAGTGCTCCGCCGCGGATGAGAACATCATTTGGGACGTGCCTGCCAACGGGCCACTCTTGAATCCTGGCGCCAGCATGTCCCAGGTCGGATTTTTCTGGTCAAAGTCGCGGGCATTGATTGCTTCTGCCATACTCAAGGGCCATGCCTCGAGGTGGCTTTTGACACGCTCTTCCCAGGAGGTTTTTGGTGAGGACATGACGATGGTAACAGCAAGGTTGCCAGAAGAGCAGACATGTCGGCGATGTGAGGGAGATGCCTCGGGATTATATGATTATGGTCTGGATGAGCAGTGTAGCGGAAAAGCTAAACAACGAGGGATCTGGAATCCGCGACAGTGGTAATGGGGTCGTGGAACGCGGGAGCAAACGCCGGCAGCGAAAATCATTGGCGAACATGGTCTGTGCTCGGCGACGTCGTCACTATCGTACTCGCATGCGAGAATAATACGCGGTATTTTCCACGCTACTGTTTCACCACTCCGGTCATGATCAACTCCACCACCACCATCACTTGCTTGCCGACATCACCCTGCGACATCCATCTCAGCACACCTCATCATGTCGATCGGGCCGCAACGAGGGAGAAGGAGAGGATGTTGCGATCTCCAATCAGAGACTAGTCGCTTGCACATGCATTGCCGAGTGCGTGAGGGGAAAACGGTAAAACAACCAACAGGGCAGGTAAATGCCATGTTTAAGCCCCTCCTTGGCATTGCCCAACATCCTCTGCTCTGGWAGACATCATCGGAGATTGGTCTTGCGAAGTTCGATCATGTAACAGTGCCTTTGTGGACATTGAGCATGGCCACGACCTTCGACTGGGACCGGCTTCAAAACCGCTCCGTCATCATCACCGGAGGCGCATCAGGACTGGGAGCCGCCACGGCTACCAAATTTGTCCAACATGGCGCCTACGTCACCATCGCCGACATGTCCGAAGAGGACGGCGACAAACTAGCCACACAGCTTGGAAGCAGGGCTACATTCGTAGAGTGCAACACTGCTGAGTGGAACTCCTCCGCTGCGGCGTTCAGGCATGCCGCAGAATTCGCTCCTTCCAAGACTATCGATGTCGTGGTGCTCTTCGCCGGAGTAGGGGGAGAGAACAAAAGCCTCGTCGACATTGTTCTTGAAGAGAATCCAATACCGTCTCTAGACTCCCCTTTGCCAGCAGAACCTGGCCACAAGGCTATCGATGTCAATCTGACTGGGGTGTAGTAAGTCAATCATACCCCGATATCAAGTCAATAATAATGGCTRAGAGCAATCAGCATCAACACATATCTCGCTCTTCACTACTTCCGACTCCCACCAACTCAACCTCAATCGTTTAAGAAGTCTCTCGTCTTGATCTCCTCAATCATGGGCTACATCGATCTGCCATACAACACCGGTTACAGCGCGAGCAAATTCGCTGTTCGAGGAATGTTCCGCAGTCTGCGAAGTCAAATGTATAGACTGAATGCGAGGGTCAATAACATAGCTCCGGGATACATCCTGACGCCTCTCACGCAGAAAGTACATCAAATTGAACGACCGGATGAGCCGAGTAAAGCTACGGGACTTGTGCTTCCTTGGGCACCAATCGAGTATGTCGTTGATGGTGTTGGGAGGTGTGCGGTTGACGAGCAGACCGATGGTGAGTGTGTTGAAAGAGGGATTGGCTCTCTGCTAATGTCGGCCAGGTCGCACCCTTGCAATCGTACCGAGTGGGGTCATTGACATGGAAGAGGATTATGAGACGGGGTATGGAGGTAATAAATGGACTTCAATGCTTGAAGAGGAAGGCTTCACCAAGATGCCTGGCCTGTTTCCTCCAAAAGATTGAGGATGTGCTGATCACTCTCTATCATCCAGACTTCGCTCAAGGCTTCATTTCAATACATCAACTACTCTTCATCATCATCATCACTCTCTTCGGCCTCATCATCGTCGTCGTCATCTTTCTTCTTCTTCTTCTCCGGCTCTCCYTTTTTGGGCTTATTCTTGCTACCAGGCACATTCTTATATCCACCACCTTGGGCCTCGTAGCGTCTAGCCATCTCGCCGGCTTTCCAAGCACTCCATTTTCCCTTGCCACCACCTATGGACTTCTTAGCGAATGGAAAACACTTRGAATATTTGAACGAAAGCTTCAGCTACCTTTCTCTTCAGCTTTCACTTCCTCCTTGATCTTCTCTCTCAGCTCTGGGTCTGTGGGTTCTCCTTTTGATGATGGCATTTTTGGATGAGTTGTGTTGTATGCTGTGTTCTTACAACTTTAGGTTATTGGAGTTGCTGTGTTTTTTTAATTGATCTGATCGCTTCACTGTTCCTGGCATTGATCGATATGAATGTCTCGCAGCACGCTAAGGAAATAGTCATGATGTAATGGAACCATTGATGCATCCCAAGTTGCAGTAAATATGATACGAAAAACCGTCATACCCTTCAAGGGGGAAGCGTGGGACGATTTCTCGGAACTGTCTAGTGTGATGCGGAGAAGGTTTTGTGGGGAGAAATCACATGTTCTTCTCTTGTCCACAATCATGACAGGAATGCGCCCAGACGTGACATCTGCGCAATCTCGTTGGACCACCTGTCTGCCTTGGGTAGTCTTCTCACTCACGGACCCAACCTATTCATGCTTCSCTACTGTACAGTCAAGAGACCAGCAGCGCCCACAGTAGCATCCCGATAGCAAGGAAAGTCCATTGCCAGCACTTTCTTTTTTGAACCCAACGCCTCGCTCAGAACGCAGTTGAAAGTCGAAATCAGATCCTTCCCATAGATGACGCATAGCCTTTGGTTTTCAGACGTCCACCTTGGTCTTTTTCTTACCCTCTGTGATGGGCTCGGCGAGAGGCACAGCGCCGTCTTCGTCCATGGCAGGGACATCGACACCACCCATTGCATCGTCGAAGTCGTCGTCGACGACATCTCTGCTTCGCTTGAGACCCTTCATCTTGCGAGTCTGCAGTTCTGAGAGATCTTGCTTGCCGACGTGAATGCGTCCGACCTTGTCTCCGATTGGGTTGGTCTCGACGTTCTTCTTCGTCTTGGCCTGTGAATGGTTTAGTCAGTATCGTCTCACAGCAAGCCATCTCGGAAATACGCACCTCCAAATTCTTTGGCTTCCTCATCGCCTCCTTCAACATGTCTGGTTCAGCCTCCTGGACTCTGCCAACTCTAAAGTCAATCCGAGGTCCCATCTCCTCAACTTCCACCTTTGGTAGTGAGCTGTTGGGAATCTTCTTTGTGCTGATCAGATAGCATCGCATGTGAATCTGTGGCTTGACCTCGCTGCTCTCCTCCTCATCCACGCTGAAGTGGATCATGAACTGCAAACCCTCCACATCGATGTTGCTGACATCGGGTCCCTTGAACAAGTCCAAAAAGATTGATTTTGCGAGAGTATATGTGTTTGCGACAGGCGACTCAAATGCCGAACCCGAGAAGGAAAGCAACGGCTTCAATCCCACAGCAGCCTTCTTATTTTTGAATTGGGAAAGCGTGCGCAACGTGTCCGGGTCGACCATCAGCTCCAGCATATCCAAGACCTTGAAGTCGAACATTCGCGCAATGGTTAAGCAGTGGGGACGCTTCTTGGAATGGCTTGCGAAAACGAGCATGGAGGCATCGTTCTTGTCGGAGAAGAAGTTGAAGGAAGAGGCGTCTTCGAAGGGGTGGATATTGTTCTTCTTGTCGAATTTGATGCAGAGCGGTTGCTTGAGGGAGTTGAGATCGCGCATGGCCAGCTGGACGACTTCGCTGGTGTTGGTATAGCGCAGGAAGAGGGTGGTGCGTGGATTCTCGACAATTTGCGGGCCTTTGTTCTCGAGATACCGCTTCGTTCGCGCCGTCTTGGGCTTCACCTGCCGGAGGGGATTCATCGGATTCAAGCTCATGTTGGATTGTGGGAGTGAGGTGTGATGTCGTGGGATGTCGTTCTGAGAATCCGTCTCTTCACACCATCAAAGTTCCAAAAAATTGTCTCGTCTGCCGGGATCTGCAGGCGGGAAATCTTTCACCGAGCCCACCTAAAGTTTGAATGACCCTCGCCGATGATGCGATTTGCTCATCCACGACACGACAAATCATTTGTTAGTCAATCTTTCACCTCTTCAATCGACATTGTCCCGGAGACCTTAACATCACGGGAATATCGACCTCTATCACAATAAATCCTTCAATTTCTACTCACAACTTACCTATTGTTCGCAACCTCAATTATCGGACATCCCACCATGGCGGCCAGCAACCCCACCACGCTCACGCCCATCGCCTCCGAGTCCGCCTTCCACGACGCCCTGTCGCAGCTGCCGCCGTCATGCTTGGCCGTCATCTACTTCCACGCTCCCTGGGCTGAGCCATGCCGGCAAATGTCCACCATCCTCACCACTCTCGCCTCCACTTACCCGCAGTCCACTCCCCCCACCATCGCCTTCCTCTCCCTAGATGCCGAAGAGGTCTCGGAGATCAGCGAGGAATACGACGTCTCCCAAGTCCCATTCGTCGCGCTGCAGAAGGACGGCAAGGTTCTTGAGCGCGTGACAGGTACAGACGCTGGGAAGGTGCGAAGCGCAGTCGAGAGGCATRCGGGGAGTGGCAGTGGGAGTGCGGGCGGCGCGGTACTGCCACCTGCGCAAAAAGTGACAAAGACCCAGGGTCAGGGTGGAGATGTTGATATGGGAGAGAGCGGGCAGGCAGCAAGTGCGAACGAGCAAGGCAATGCACCCAGCAAAGAGGAGCTCGACACTCGTCTTAGTGAGTTGGTCAAGGCCGCACCTGTAATGTTGTTCATGAAGGGTACTCCGTCAGCACCCCAGTGTGGCTTCAGCAGGCAGACGGTGTCTATTCTGAGGGAGAAGGGCGTGCGGTATGGCTTCTTCAACATCCTGGCGGACGATGAGGTGCGGCAGGGATTGAAGGAGTACAGCGATTGGCCCACCTTCCCACAGGTCTATGTTGGTGGAGAGCTGATTGGTGGTCTGGATATCGTAAGTCAATTCTGTCGTATGAAAGCGGGAAACGTGCTGACTTGTGGTACAGCTGAAGGAGGAGTTTGAGAATGATGCGGATTTCCTCAAGGATTACTCGGTACCAAAGGGCGGTTCTGGCGTCACGGCATGAGTCGAGGAGCTTGATGAATGAAGTTATGCCTTTCTCCGCATTCGACGATACCACGTCTCGATGGATCAGCATGAGTCTCTCTGCAGCTGCGTTGCCATACCGGGAAATACTTGAGTCTTTCCCACCCCGATCACAGAAGCTCATCGCTGCTTAGCTTTGCTGCTAAAGATCCCCAGCTGCGCTATACATAGCAAACAGACATCTCAGTATGGATTGGCGACGAAGCCCGTCGATTTGACCTTTATTGCAGATTTCTCCTCAGCCAACACATCATCCCTCAGAGCAAGATTCTAACCGCTAGATGCATGCACATTGTCACTATAACGAGTGCCACGAGTACCCGCACAGTTCTCTCAAGCCGAATCTGTTCCACTGCAACATGCCAAGGCCGCCGCTCTCCTCCGTTCCACGGGCGACTCAACTGGCAAGCTCTAAACTTAATGATGGTGCCGGGAGAGCACGACTGCGATATAGAGCGGAATTACCATGCTTTCTGCAGCTGCGCTATGAGCACCAAACTGACATAGTACTATGGAATGTCGACAGGACTGGCCTCTTCAACTTTCATCACAGATCTCTCCCTCATCATTGGTTAAGCAGAGCATTCGTCGCTCTCGAAATTCCGTTAGCTGATTGGGAACCTGACATATTCCGCCAAGAAGATACCTTAGCTTCTAGTGGCAAGAACAAGGTCCGAGGATGGTATCGCAGGCCTTTTCCAGAAATTAGCTAGTGGCATTTAGCTACCAGCACCAGGTCCGACGCGGCCACCATCACATCGCCGGCATCCTGCGGCACCGTATTCCAAAGTAGCATTTGTAAAGGACATGAAGATGTGACCAAAAACTGCCGCCAAACCGCAGCGGATACGTCAGTCGGCGGGCGAGGCGGTAGGTGGTCATCAATACAGATGAGGTGAAAGTGGCGGCGTTGCAGGTAATTGGATTGTAGCGCAGACACCGCGTTGGCGGTGCCAGTTGGCAGACTCTCGGTTGAAAACATTCAAGGTCAACACACACAGAATATTCTTCTTCTTCATACTTGAACTCAAACCCGATTCCCCGACGGCTCCAGTTCCCACCCATGCCCAATATTCCTCATCGGTATGGGCGGAAGAATTATCGATGCGCGTCGCGACGACTCCAACAAGGGAACGCCTCAAATCAGCCCGATGAAGTGCGTTCTTCACGTGAAAGAGAAGCTAGTGCTGAGCTTGGCTTCGCACTTTTGTCTGCTCTCTAGTCGTTCTCCGACGTTTCCTCCGATCGTCGGTTTCGAGATGACTTTCCATCCGAGCCGACGAAGAGGCACAGGAGTCTAAGGTCGACGAGTAGGGAGGTAGGCATTCTCACTGATCCCACTGTTTCTATWGTTCCCCATGATACTCCACAGTACCTTCTGGACCTACTTTCCAATCTCCAGGTAGCTGGCTTCAGCTGGCGTTAAGGAACAAGGAGCAGGCGACGAAGAAGCAGTCAATGGAAATAGGGCGACAACATAGTCAAGGAACGACAATCATGGTAGTATGTTGTAACATATCTGCAGCCCCGCTCTCTCTGCAATAATAACCTATACTCCTTTGTAAGAAACCCATGGAATCGTTGCTTTGCTCAAAATCCCTCCACTCCCGTTTGTCCCCAATCCGAGCCTAACTAGAAACAACCTCGCGCCGTGATAACAACAATAATCATACGCTTTTAGAGCACCTTGCCATGCTATGCTCGCCCAATTCCACAGAGACACACTCTCGCTTCAGTCATAATCGTCGTAATGATCATAGATCTCGTTCCGAGACAAGCAGCCTCTTCAGTAAGGGAAGCTGCTGTCTGGCTCCCGGTGAAGCGACTTCAGCGCCTGATGCAGGACTGGCATRAACTCGTGCACATCCATGCCAGACTGTTGCATGTTGTCAGACACGCCGCGCAGCATCTGCATCATGTTGTTGTGCATTTCATCAGTCGGAGCGTTGACGGCGTAGTTGTAGTTGTCGGTCCGGTAGGCCAGTGGCATATCATCCAGCTCRTCCGGGTCTGGGTCGGGAGCAGACACATCGGACATGAAGAATCTGCCGCTCTCCGAAGCTGGGATTGCGTTCTCGACTGGCTCGGTCATGACTCCGTCAACTTCCATGAAAGTGGCGTCATCTCCGACATCGACCTCATCTCCGACATCGACCTCATCTTCGACATCGTCCTCATCTTCGACCTCGACCTCATCATCTCCCACCGTATCGCGATCCCAGACGTCGATACTGTCGATCCATTCACTGAACTCCTCGATGATGCCACTGTGAGGTCCGCCCAGGGGCTCCTCATCCGCTAGAATTGGCCGCTGTGCGTTGGGATCTCCGTATGCGTCGCTGAGCGTGCCGTAGTCCCTGCGAGTGCGGTTATGGACGGCATCGTCGTAGTTGTCACCGTTCTCCTGATCAACAAAGTCTGGCATTGGTCCCTCGACAAAATCGCCAACCTCCTGGGGAATGTATTCGCGGTCATCGGATTCACGTGGCTCGAGATTGCCTCCGGGTGTGCCTCGAGGTGCTCTTCGGCCACCGCGCGGATTCACCTCATCCCTGTGGCATTAATTTTAGCATGTGCTCATGTGGGATGCGCTTATGTGGGATCTTACCCTTTTGAGTCCAGTTTCAGACCCCTGTATTTCCCCTTCTTGATGTGAATTGCGCGCACATGTCGACGGAGGAACCAAGCAAAGTTCCATTCCTTGAAACGCGCCTCGCCAGTGCAAAAGTTGCATCGTGTTTCACATTTCTGGATGATGAGCTTGCCCTTAGTAGGCCAGAGGTGATTGTGTCCCACTCTGCGACAACCCATGTTGACGGTTGTGCTTGGGGGGTTTGTTGATGAAGTACGTTCTTTGTTGACGTTAGCTGAAGATGAGGAGAGTGGATGGACCGCGCACAATAGATGTATTGGCCTCGACTTACTTGGTTGAAACTTCGAGTCAAGATTGCGAATGTCTTTGAAAAGATGTGGCGGATGCGATGAAGGTCGAGCAGCCTTGGTGGTTTGTCTGATCACAGGTTGCCACTAGCAACGGGGGAGTGGTGCGGGATTTCGGGAGTGTCGGGGGCGTCGGGCTATCTCGTGCGAACTGCACGAGAGTCGCGCGCGGTGGGAAGTGATTGGTGAGTTGGGCAGTGGGAGAAAGGGAAATGGGTAGCAGCAGAAGAAGATGGGAAGGGTGGACTGTGCTTGTCGCAGGTTGCGGAAAATGACAGAAAAAAATCCAACCCATCAATCCAGGTTAATTCTCCAGTGTTCTGGGCAGACTAGACCGGTTCTGGCGATTAAAGTGAATGCAGATCTGATTACACCTCTCGCTGCCTGTGGATCCTACACAGGGTGAGAGTTGGCTTGTGATCCAATCTCGTGTGCCAGCATCTCTTGCGCGAGAACGAATTTTAGCAGCACAGAAAGCAAAACAGCAAGCGCAGGTGATACAGTCTCTCGTGAGCGAACTTCCAGGGAGCATTGCTTGGAGTCACCCAATGCCGCCTACCGCTGATTTGCGAGAAAAAAGAGGTTGTGAGGACTTCAGAGCTGCATATAGAAAGGGCCATTGACAAACGCATMGCTCAAGCGTGTGAGACAGATTGGGAAAGTAAACGTATTGGCTTGTCGCTCAATGCAATGAGCGTGTCCGGTCTTCGAGCAGACATTCTTTCTGCAAAACCGAGATCTACWCACACCGGTAAAGCTGGCTTCATCGCAGTCTCATTTGTGTCATCGTGCCCGCAAATCGAGACGCTTTCACTMTTCGCCACAACTTTCGACTTGAATCGGACTCCGCTATGTCTGCTCCAAAGCCCACTCATGCAAGAAGTTCGCGGTGGTAAAAGGTTTTTCATTCTGTCTGGTCTTTAATGAACGATATAAGAAGCTTGAAACAGTGGCTGGCTCAGTATGTACAAAATGAAATAAATTCATCCATGTCAGGATGATACGTCTTTGTCGTGAAGAGGATAGGATGTTGTGTCGACGGAACGTGAAGTCCCAGCCGGCTTCCCGTCGTTCTCGGCTCTTCCCGATTTTGAGCCGCGGAGAAGAAGCCGACTTCACTCTTCAATCAGCGCAGCATTGAACTTGAGTCTGACACCACCCGCYACTCCCTCCCCTCCCATTCCAACACAATCATGCTCGCCGGTCGCGTAGCTGCTCGGTCTGCCCGAGTGGCAGCTCCCCGCTTCCAGATTGCCGCCACGCGCTCCTTCGCCGAAGCCAAGTCCTCCGATGGCAGGCCCCCGATCGAGGCAAGCACTCCGCCCACCACCGGCACAAGCGATAGGGATCAGCTCTAACCTTTTATACAGCTTTTTGGAGTCGACGGTGTATACGCAAGCTCGCTGGTAGGTTTCGCACCAGGCATTGGGGAATAGGGCCCGGTCTGACACTAGCTCCACMAGTACACTGCCGCTTCCAAGAGCAGCTCGCTCGATGCCGTCTCCAAGGCCATGGAGAACTTGTCGCAGACTTTCAAGAAGGACCAGCGCCTGCAGTCCATCCTTACTGCACCCACCCTCAGCGGCGACGACAAGAAGCAGATCGTAGCCGAGATCCAGAAGAGCATCAACGTGCAGGACAAGACCAACACCATTGAGAACTTCCTTGCGACTCTTGCCGAGAACAACCGCTTGAGCGTTCTCGAGGGTGTCGCTGAGAAGTTTGGACAATTGATGGGCGCTGCCCGCGGTGAGGTCGAGTTGACCATCACCAGCGCTTCGCCATTGGACAACWAGACTGTGAAGCAGCTTGAGGCAGCCATTAGCAAGAGCAAGTACGCAGGTCAGGGCAGTAAGCTGAAGGTTGTGTCCAAGGTATGTGAAGATGGTTGGATTGTGTTGGTGAGGAGGTATACATTTACTGACACTATGCAGGTCAACCCAGACATCAAGGGAGGTCTCATTGTCGAGATTGGAGAGCAGACCATTGACCTGAGCGTTTCATCCAAGATGCAGAAGATGAACAAGCTCCTTCAGGAAACCTTGTAAATATGTAGCGATAGTCGGATGAGTTTCGATTGAAACAGTTTCTTATGTGCTGTAACCGACCTGCTCACCTGCTTCCTTACTGAGGGGAAGGAAGTTCTTCAAAACCAGGAGTGCCACAGTGCGAGACGGAACCGAATCGTCCTCTCATCTGTAAGTGGCTCGGACGTACAGCTGGACTCCAATTTCGTCGGGTCACGCTCTGACAGAGTCTCCAAGTCCGTCATCTGCGATGGCAGTTTTATAAGAATTCGAATTCGTAATTACCCGGCGGATCCGGTCGCCGGAACTTGAATGCTTTTGTCAGCTTCGAAGACACCCGACAGTGACCACCCACCTACATCCTCATCAGTTTCAGAGCCGTATGTTCTTCTCCGTCACTAGTAGCTTGAGGATGCGGTCATCCTCCTCACCGTGGGTCACGGATGGCTAGAACTTATCCAAGTTCACTCGACCGACGGCAACATGGCACTCTTTCAATGAGAAGACAACTACGTGGAGGGAGTACCGTAGGTCAAAATGGAAATCGCTTGCTCGCTCGCTCGCTCAGCCTATACACAAGCTCTCTCAACCAGGAATTCAGCCCCAAAAGCCTGGTCTCCTGCCAGTCTGCTGGAAAATGCATCTCAAACGTAGGGCCTCCTGTCCACCGCTGAAGCACATTTCCGTTCTTCAAGACCACAAGATCCCTCTGCACTTCGCAGATCCACAATTGCACTTCACTTTGTCGACATTTTCCGGGTCGTTCAAGGCCTCGTTTCTCCTCTGAACCGCATCTTCCATCTCCTCTTCATCCTGGTCCAAATAGTCGWACGTGAGTTCTTCTCCAGCCGGTATGTCTTCGTAGGCGAAGAACGCCAGGGTGAACAGCCGGAGATCGTACTTGTTGTAAGACACAGTATACTGCCTACAGTTAGGCTCGCAAGAATGGTTCATAAAGCGGGTTGGGCCTCCCATGTGTTGCCCATCAACCACGTAGCAGTCCTCAGGCGTCAGTACCCGTCCTTCAAAGGGGTCGCCGACGAACTTGTCCAAGTTATACAGATAAGAAGCTTTCTCTTTCGATGCGTCGTCACCTCGGCGGTCGGCCTCCTCGTTGGTGATCACCTCGCCAAGGTAAGTGTCGATATACTCTCCCTTGATCAAGTCCTCTGAGGATTTCACCCCCCATCCACGGTTTTTGGTCTTGAAAATGGTAAGTGGAACTTTGCGACCTTTTTGGACCAATCTGCTCTTGCAGCCCGGTCCACATCTGCAGTTCTCGTTGCACTCATAGATTGGATTGCGTGTCTCCCGATAGTGGGCCGCTAGCGTCTGTGGCCGTGGACCTGGTCTGGRGTATGGGAATCGCTTGGGCCAGCTCGCTCTCATTTCTCCGTCGTGCTTCTTGGTAAGAAGATACTCTTGGTAACCTTGCGGATTCCTCGACTGGAGGGCCTGCTCATCGACAGCGGCAAACTCGAGACAGTCGCATTTCTGGGTGTACTCACACCCAATGTTCTGACCCATGTCGGGTCTACATTGCGAGCAGCCAACCTGTGTTTCCTTGTCTATAGCAGTAACRCCTTCGCCCAAAGCGTAGTCCCTTACGAAAGTGTAATTCAGTGACGGAGCTGAGGTATCGACAGTGTTCTCAAGATCGACATTCTGGAGCGGTTTGAGTTTGTCGATGAAGGCTTGCTGTATCAATCGCTCCGTGGCGGGAACTGGTGTCCTGATAGCAACTTGCAGCATAGCAGGCGTGGGTAACGTCCTCGCATCGACAGAGGCGTGATTGTCCGATGCCTTGGCCAAGATATTGCCTGCTTTCTTGGAAAGAACACCATTGTACACGGAGGGCTCTTCTGCCACTTCTGAGGACGAGTCGATGGAAATGACCGAATGTGATCGTGATCGATCTTTGTGCGAATCCTGTGGTGTGAGAAGTCCACCGCTGGATATTGAGTCTCCTGATGTGACAACGTCGATGATAGGTGATTTGCGCTTCTTGCTGCCAGTAGCCAAGCTTTCTTGTTTGCGATTAAGTTCAGATGCGCTGCGCCGTGGTCTTGACTCAACATATGTCTGCACCAAGTGAAGACATCGACGAAGTTCCGCACCGGAATGCCACGAGCATACAGCACGTGACGAGCTGCCACGACGTGCCGGCGAGCGAGTCCAACGGATCAGATATTGCTCAACCTAGTGAAGTTAGCAAAGTTAAGGCGGATTTAGGCAGTTTTGACACATACACCATTATATTTCCTGTGAGTGAGGATCTTGTCAACGTCGGCCTTTCTTAAGGCGTATGTGGCCCGTGCGTCCGGCGCCATTGTTATGCTTAGGCCTATCTACGCGTCTCTAGACGCGTAATATCGTGGCCTAGTCGTGGATAAGTTATTCCGGAGCTTGGAATAGCGTTTTTCGACGTGTTGTAGAGGTAAGTAAGAAGGTAGTTACCGTTAGTAAAGTTAAGAAAGTAAAGAAGAAATTACAAGCGGTAGAATCTACGAATTTAAGGTTTCGGCTTACGTTATTAGTATACAACTAGTATTATCCAGTAGTATCTCGACCTCTACTATATAGATATTACTAATTAGTTAGAACTTAAGCTAGTAAACACTTATAGCGCGTATATACTTACTCTAACGAAATGTCTTCGAAGCAAGAAGCACGATATGCCCTATAGCCGAGAAGAGACACTAGCGCCGCATGGTGATCCGTGCTTTCCTTGTAGCCAAATTCCTAAATCCTATCTCCCACGCGACCTCAAAATTTCTCGATAGTSAAAGTACGTCGGACATCATCTTGTTTAGCACTTGAGCCTTCTTACGATGGCTTCCCCGACACTTACACAGACCTCGCAGTCGAACCCATTCATTCGACAGCTCGCATCAAGCAGTGAGCCTCGCCAATACCGATGAACAGAAACCGCAAAATCGGACTAACAGCTCCTCAGATCGCACGACCCGGGACAAAGCTCTCGCCTCGCTCCGCACTTATCTCCAAAGATCCACAGCTTTTAGCGAACTCGACCTACTCAAACTATGGAAGGGCCTTCATTATTGCATGTTCATGTCCGACAAGCCGCGCAATCAACAGCAACTCGCGCGGGACCTTGCAGCGCTCGTAGATGTATTGAAGACTTCGTCCGCTCAAATCGCCTTCATTTCGGCATTCTGGAAGACAATGGCGCGGGAGTGGAGCGCGATTGATTCGTTGCGAATGGACAAGTACCTCTACCTGCTGAGGTGCTACATTTCAAAGGGATTCGAGGTGTGCTCAAAGAGCAAGAGCTGGAAGAAGGCGGCGGGGGAGAAGGACAAGGTTTGGGAGGAGTACGTGGAGATTCTGGTCGCAGACGGTGGGCCTCTAAGCCCGCAGGACTTGAAGGTACCGGTGGGTATCAGGTTACACGTGTTGGATATCTGGGTTGATGAGCTGGAGAATATTGATACGGAGCACAAGGTTGATGTGGAGAAAGTCATGGCGCCTGTAACGCTGATCAAGGAGAAGACTCTAACCAAGAGCGTGCGGGTCCGAGCGGATGAGGCTCTGGAGGATGAAAGAATACTCAGCTGGAATGGGGATGTCGCCAAGGCCAACGGGGATGCGGATAAGGAAGACGTGGAGGAAGGAGACTTTGCCGGTTTCGACGACTGATTCTGTCTCGCGGATGATCTGCTATCTTAGCGTAGGAGTTGCGGCGTGTTTCTTCAAAAAACTCGGATATTAGTGTTGGGCAGATTTTGTGCCTTGCACTTGGGGCGTATCCTCTTGTTTACACGGAACAGAATCGAGGGACTGAACGCTCAGTTTAGGCGACGTTCTTAGTGCGAAAGAAGTGGAGGCTCCTAAGTAAGTGATTAGAGCATTTAGTAGCTAACGTAATATGAATTATAGCAGAGATTTAATCGGTTCAACTAAAACTATTAAGGGAACACATTCAATTACTTAGACATGTCTCCGACGGTTAGTATTGAAGCTCTAATGTTTATATTGGCTTGTATAGTCCTTCCTATCAAGATAAATTGCGCGGCACCCTTGTCTAATCTTAGTCGCTGAATCAAATCCCATGAAAGTTATTATCGATTCAAAATCATACTTGGAGCTACGCGCGCTATTTATCCCAATATAATCAGTTATCGGCTATCTCTCAATCAGCTGCACTCTAACATGCAAAGAAGCCAGATCATGGAAATCGATAATTAAGAGTCTGTGATAAGCGCCAATCTTCAGGCCTTGATCTATTCGTCGAAGCTATAGACGTTAATGCACGCGACCCAATTAAACACCGCTATCCAATTTCGCCTGTTCCCAAAATGTTGACCAGGGCGGTTCCRAAGTGATGCAAATATCAAGTGAKTACTTAGCGCCGCACTTGAGGTTGAACTTGGGCGTGCGATCCTGAAGAACTAGTCAGTAGTGTTCGCGGCTTGGCCTCCTTCGAAGAAACTCACGGCTGTCATGGCGCCCCAAGTAGTCTCAATCTTGGCGACACCATTGTCACCAACGGATTCTGGCTTCCATGGCCTAGTTTCTGTGATTAGCAATGGTACAAGTGATCAATAAAGAGAGACTTACTCATCGAAGGCCTCGAAGTAAAATGCGTTGACGCCCCAGTCCAAAAGACCACAAACAGCTTCGTCGTAAAACTGCTTCGCGTTGTCGGTACCAGCTTTTGCGGCCTCGTAATCGGAACCTCCATCAGTTGGCCAGCCTAGTGCATGTGTTAGTCTGGTCCACAATCGAACAGCATTGACGCGTGGCCAGCGGGCAAGGCAGTTCTCCGTCTGGTCCCAACGTACCGGTCTCGCCGTTCCAGAACTCAATCTTGTCAAGACCACCAGACAACTTCTGGATGTGTGCGAGCGCCTGCTGCATGTCTTCAAAGTATGTGCTGACAGCATCCTTGCCGGCGGCTGCACCCTGCCAGTACGAGAACCCATTGGCGAAGAGAATGTCAACGCCGCCCTTGATGACAGCGTCCGCAGTTCCATCAGCAAAGCGATTCCATGAGTCCGCTGTTCCTATTTTTATTTCTCCCCCAAGCGCCTTCTTCACGTCCATGATCTTGTCCAAAAGCTCCTCTCCAGTAAAATTACCACGGTAAAGGGACTCTGATCCAACCGTGATAGCGTATACCTGATCTTTGTATTGCGGCACGTACGTGGTGAGGGCCTTCTTCTATAGGCAGCAAGCAGAAGCATTAGCAAAAGCCCAGACGATGATCGACCAGAGCAAAAGTCGCGAGACATGAATGACGATCTTTTGCCAGTAAGGTAGTTTTCACTTACATCTGCTGCAAATGACTCTTCGGTATCTGGCCAGACTCCAAGCACAACCTGGAAACCCTTTTCCTTCGCGGCCGGGAGAATCTCTTTGGCAGCATTGCAGTCTGACGCAGCGTATCCACGAACAATGGTCGAGCCAGAATCGGCATTGATGGCGTCAAAGTCCTTCATATAGTCGTCCTTGTATTTGCAAGTTCCTAACCATGTGTCAGCACACGGGCCGTGTGGTATGCCGCGATGCCTCCATCTCTTCCATGTATTTCTTGCGACCTACCATCAGGGTTCTTCGTGCCAAGGGCAAATCSGAGGCGGCCCTTAGTAGCAGCCAAGGCAGGCGCTGCTGCCAGGAGGCCGGTCAGGGCAAATGCAGCACGCATGTTGTCGGTGGTAGAGTGGTGTTTATTGTTTTGGGTTGGGTTGGGTTGGGTTGGGAAAGAGTGTCGGTGGGCTTATTCTGTAATCTGTAAGGAGCGTGGGTCCCAGTGTAGTCGGGAGAAGCTTGTGAAAACACAGTAACAAACAGGAGGACTTTCAATGTCAGTCGATGATGTATCTTGCCTTGTCTACCTACGCGCTTTCCCTCAACTCAGCCTTATGCTAATTAGCCCCTTGGGAGAGGCCGTTCCCGAAGTTGAGKCAACCTTAATTTCGACCGCATCCCTGCTCCCTTGCTCGAAACCACCCTTCGAAACGTGACTGTCTTACAGACCAGTACTACAACTATCGTGGCAGAACACAATGCTCACAAAGCACCGCAGCTCGGATGTCCCGTGCCGCGGTGGAGACGCCACAAGAGAAGAGACGAGAGCCAAAACATCGTGTCTGACGCCGACGCAGACTTCGATGCAACACTCGAAAAATGCCCATTTTTAGGCCAACCGGACGTACATTGCCGCAAAGACACAGATAATGCTCTTCTCGCTGCTGCTGATTGAGAAGTTCTACTATCAAGAGACTTGCCGTGCCAGGATTGGAGATGGCCACACGGACGAGTATCAACTGGCCGCTTCTCAATCTTAGTGGCTGGTACTAACAATCCACAGCTGAATCTTGAGATTCTTGCATTCAATGCGAGGTGGAATTCCGACTACTGGGAACTGCTGGAAACAATGGTAGCTGCTGGAACCAATTCACATAGGACGGATGATTTGGGATTGTGTACCTTTGCATCGTTTCGTGAGTTCGCAAGCGTGCATGGCCGAATCGTTTCCATATGCTTGCTTGGATGTTTGCTACAGATCTATGTTACCCTCTCGGCGAGTATGGCGGCCGCCTGCAGAAGACGAAGTGATTTGCATCACATATCCGACTCTTTGCGCCGAAGTGCACCGAGATTTGCTGGCCAGCGCCATCTGGGTGGTCTACTTCGCTTCGATATAGCGAGACTTTGATCTTTGGCACATGAAGCCACGCTTCTACGCCGCCACTGCTGCGCTGCGCTTTGACCTTTTCCGCAGGCACTCTATAAAACCACCACCACTTCCTCTTCCACTTCCTCTCCCCAACCACAACAACATCTTCAAACACAACCACTTTCACCAAGTTACACAACATCCTTCAACACTATCAACACGAACAACATCTCTCTACACCCCGACCATGGAATCCGCTTACATGTCAGACGGGGTGTATGCTTGCCCGCCACAACATCTCAAGGGCAGCACGTGCAACTGGCACAGCTGCCCGAATCTCGGTGTTCGCGTTCTCACCAGCTACTCCGTGCCTCCAACTGCTCGCAACGTGCAGCCTCAAAGCTCATCGATGAGAATGACGCCTCCTCAGGTACTCGAGCAGAACGAGAAGGAGCATAACAACCAGCAAGCACAGAGTCTGCGTGAGCTACAGGTAGATGATTCATATCATCAGCAAATTCAAGCTCATTGGCCTGAATTCAACAACCACATCCCTCAAACCAGCATCACTGGCCGATCGCACGTGCGCGGCAATGGAATCGCCTTCCCCATGTCGTACCCATCACAGACTCCCGTCCAGTTCGGCAACAGTTCCAGCACGCCTTTCAATGCCGCTCTCCATGACGATCTGAAGTGCAAGGCCTATTCTACGACCACCGAGGGGGGTCTCGCTGAAGTCTTCGGCGTCGAGCAGCCGGCCATGAATGATCAGGGTCCTCTGTCGGCCCCGCCCTCGACTATTGAGCACACGCCTTCTAGAGTCTCGAAGAAGTTTTTCGCTCAGTCTGCTATGAACAAGTGGGCTACAGACGAAGATCCTCCCTCTCACATCAGGAGCCTTCCCGGTATGCCGTTTCCAGGCAAGGCCCGGCCTAGCTGGCCACCTGGAAATTCCTCGCCATCCACGTGGGCCCCAACTCCTCGCAAGGCATATCCTCCCAGCAGTTCTGAGAACGTCTCCCACTTTCGCGATGCTGGACAAACCGTTCCAAGCTACAACATCTACGGCTCCCCAGTCGAAGGTGGCACGATCAAGACTATATCAGGCTGGAATCGTTCAGACGCCAAATTCGAATCTAACCAAGGCAGCAAATTCAAATCTGACGATGACTGGCCAAACGATGGCTGGCCAAACGATGGCTGGACAAACGAAGTCCCCAGCGAGCGTGGCTGGGGCGATAGAGTGCTCAGTCCGGTCGCATCTCCTGTTCACTCGTACATGACGGATTATCATGGCAAGTCGAATCTCAGGAAACCATCAGCCAGCTCCAATATCTCGACCAAGGCCAACAAGGCTCCCAAGTGGCCAACCCTACAAGCCACAGCTACGGCGTCTGAGCCGTCGGAAGAGCTGGTTAGCACGGTCGAGTCCTATACTGGATGTGCGCGATCGGTGGCCGTCAGGGCGCTCAAAGTGAAGAGCAACAGTGTTGAAGCCGCCACGAATGCCATCTTGGTCAACGAGGACTTGGACAAGTCTGAGACATCGACCAATAATGATTCTGACATCTTCTACGACCCCACTCCACACAAGACATGTGGCAACTTGGTAGGCTGGGATTTTCCCGAGTCTGACAACAAGCCAGGCATCAGTGGCAGCGACGACCGGTCTGAGGCTGCTTCTTCGGTCTGGCATCCACTTGGCTGGGCTAAACCTGCCGAGTCAAMGGCCAACTCCATCTACAGTTCCCAGCAGTCAAAGGAGGCGTGGAGCGATCGGAACAGCCAGGAGTCGACTCTTGTACGATCTCTGCGATCGGAGCTTGCCGACCTCCATTGTCAAATGGCCAGTTTGCAGGAGTCAGTGTACCATATGCAGGAAAAACTCGGCAGCACGAAGCCAAGCAATGAGGTCGACTTCCTACGTGGACTCGTCAACTCCGACATTGCCCATCGCGAGGCGATGCACCGCGTCGAAGTCCAGCTTGCTACTATGACCATCCCTCGCTGAAGCGGTTGACGCCAGCAACATGATGGACCGGAGATGAGTCGAAAACGTGTTCGAGATCGCGGTGTAGATCTGCGGGAAGGAAATCTTTCACGACTACACGACGACTGGCTCGAGACAAAGCCAATGAAATGCGTGTCTACAACATCAAATACGACGATCTTTTCATGAGAATGCGGTGGATGCGGGGCGATGGCTACTGGAAGGTTGGGGGACACAACCCAGCAATACGGCCAGATAGACTCCTCCAATCCAGATCTTCTCCATACTTATTCTGCAGATTTGTCACATGATGTTTCGCAAACCGTGCTTGTGATTGCCTGCCCGTCGAGACACATACCAAGTTGTCATAAGAGAAGTGACAGTAATTCTAGATCAAACATGTCAAGACTGCAACAGATGAGGATGGCAATAAGGTAAGCTTCTGTGATGAGAGCGATTGTTATTAGTGGTCGGCTTGTGAAGATGCGGGCGAAAACGATCTGCAGACGTCAGCCAAGCTTCAGCTTTCTTCGAGACAGTTCCATGAGCATTGGTTGTAACAGCAGCAGGCCATCTCGAGCCTACAGAAACATTATATTCACCCCGCTATACACACAAGCTGTTGAAATCAGTGCATTTGGAACATGGCAGCCAAGTGTGTCCACAAAGGCTGTGGCAAAGTTTTCACCGAAGACGAGCCTTGCGTCTATCATCCGGGGTATGCACGTTTGGCCACACCTTGATGAGCCATTGGTTCAGATGAAACTAACCAGGACATCATAGACCTCCAGTCTTCCACGAAGGCCAAAAAGGATGGAAATGTTGCAAACCGCGAGTGTTGACCTTTGACGAGTTCATGGCCATTCCGCCATGCACCACTGGCAAACATTCGACCGTCGATGACACTCCGGCTGAAGAAGCAAAACCATCATCGGAAGATGTGGAAGCGAAGATTCAAGCACAAAAACAGCAATCGGATTCCCTTCCGCCACCTGCCTCACGAGCCCCAGTCACTGCACCACGACCCGCAGCTTCCCCCGCACCGCCCGAGGACGAAGATGACGACCCAAGTCTACCAATCCCCGCAGGAGCGAGCTGCAAACGAAAGGCATGTGGGAAGAGCTTTACGGGAGACAGATCTTCGGAGGAATGTGTGCACCATCCAGGTCACGCCATCTTTCATGAAGGTAGCAAAGGGTGGACATGTTGTAAACGACGCGTGCTGGAATTTGATGAGTTCATGAAGATCGCTGGGTGCAAGACCAAATCGCAGCATTTGTTCGTGGGCAAGAAAAAGGACGACAAGGCGGAGGAGCTGCTGCAGGAGGTGCGGAACGATTTCTACCAGACGGCCACGACGGTGATTGCCAGTCTGTATCTGAAGAAGATTGACAAGGAGCGGAGTACGGTGGACTTCAAGGCCGATTCTGTTGCTCTAGATCTGGCAACGAGCGACAATAAGCGCTATCAAAACGAGATGGTGCTATTCGGGCCCATCAAGGCGGAGGAGAGCAAGTTCAAGATCATGGGGACAAAGTTGGAGCTCACGTTGGCCAAGGCTGACGGAGCAGGCTGGCCTGTATTGAGGGCGACAGACCCACATACCGGGGAGATTATTCAGGCTGGTCGGGCCGGCCGGGTCTGATGTGTCGAATGAATGGGAGGCAGGAACGAATCAAGCTTAGCGTGGCGTTGAGTGAATGTATTGAACACACTCTTTTCGCAGGCTCTGCCTACTTCAATCTCCCCATTGAGGTATGTCCAGATCTGCCGATATGAGTATCATTAAACGATGTTTCGAGAAGGTCCCTCCATGCTCAAAGAGCGACTGTGCTGACGAGGAGAGCTCTAGCATTTCTAACCCGGACGATCGCAACGAGTAGCCACACTCTTGGCAGGTGAAAGATGGATTGCATGTTGTCCATTCTTGTGGAAGATCGACCATGCCCCGTTTCAGCAGCTATGAGCATGTCAAGAGGTCATCTGCCATATCAACAACACGGGAGAAGTCACCAGTCCCGCTCTCCAGCGAATGTTCATCGGCCCGCACGCACAACATGATCAATGTCACGGGAGGTCTCGTCCATACCTTACTACATCCATCTCCAACTCCCCTAGATTCACAAGTCAACACACATCGAACCACCACAACTCCTTCATCGATACATCTCATACAATCCTACCAGCCCACCATGTGCTTCTACGACATCATCCACTACAGCTGCTCGGCGGAAACAGCAACGCTGGTCGAAAGTTGCATCCTGCAAGGATTCTGTCTGCCACACATGCGTCGGACTCTACACACCACTGCGGCTTGCGATCTATGCGCCGAGTCATACAGATGGAATCAGCATTTCGCTGTTATGCTGTGGCTGACAATGGAGAGGGAGAGATTGGAGAATATTGCCGAGGATGGACTTGAGGAAGCGATTGAAGACGAGGATGAGGTGTTAGCGGGTAGCACGGACGACTTTCTCGGGGCGGACCAGGCAGAATGCAGTCCATGTTGCGATGGTGCTGATCAGGCGGACGACGAAGACGAGGGGCGGATTCAGCACGAGCGTTCTTTGGGACCTGGTGTGGATGAGGGTAATGGAGAGAGTGGACTGCGGACTCGAAGGACGACTTTTTGAGCGTTGGTGCGGAATGCTTGGAGATGCTTTGATGTTGGACGGATTATCTTGTTCTGAACTTTCATGTTGACGACAATCTCACCACTACGATATTCTGTTTTGCTGGACTTTCATATTATCGACAATTCCACAACTACGAATCTTCTTTTGCTGGGCTGTCAATACATTGTGTTCTCGAGACTCRACAATTCCAGATTGTCATTCCATGCCAAGATTCATATGCAAATCCATGCACGAAGGTCATGAAGCAGACGCATGACCGACCGACCGACCGACCGACTGACCGAAGCTCCGCCTACCACGGAATCATGCAAATCGCGCTTGCGTTGCTGTGTATGCTGGCAATCATCGATCGAGCTTTTCCAATGCTGAGAATGTCAGGCCGACAATCTTGGAATTCTCTCACGTCCTTCTTGGGCATGTCTCCTCGATATTGATATTAGTTTGTGATGCGCTATTAGTTTCTCGCTAGTAGAGACGCTCGGGTTGAACGTCTCCATGCTGCTATGCATTCCTGAGACGGTGGAAAGCTCTAGGGTCAGGGTTGGGGTAGTTCAAGAACCTGCTGGCTTGCTCCATAAAGTCTATGAGGAGTATTGAGCTAGAGCAGGCTCACTGTGTTTCATTTAATCAAGTGGCGAATCACTGTATCGGCTTTCCATATATCGTGATGTCGTCTGTAGAACCGCCAGCACGCTTCATCTTCACTCACTCAAGTCTTGCAAAACTGTCCGTCCTGCAACAGAAATTTCTTCGTGCTTTGGCTCTCGTGCAGTCTCCTCAATTCCATCCCTTATCCATTCCTGCACTGCACTATGCTCAAACAGCCTCTCAATATACCGAGCCGCCGCACCATCCAGCTTAAGCCCATAAGTCTTACATCTCGACGCAACCGGAGCAAAGAAAGCGTCCGCAGCAGTGAAGCCTTCTCCCACCAACCAAGGCCCCCCAAATTTCGCCAAACCCTCATTGAAAAGCCCACTCAACCTCTCAAGATCTCGCTGCAGAGCCTCGCTGAGGGTATCACCCAAATCGATGCGCAGAGCGACAATCATAGAGCATTCATTCCGAAGAGCGTTGAAGCTCGAGTGCATCTCAGCGACTGCACATCGAGCAAATGATCGAGCTGCAGGGTCTTTGGGCCAGACTTTGGGATATTTCTCGGCGATGTATTCGCAAATGGCTAGGGAATCCCAGATGCGTATCGATTCGGAGGTGTTGTCGTCGGACAGACATGGAACTCTGCCTACTGGTGAGAAGGAGAAGAAGTCTGGTTGATTGGAACCGGGTTTGAAGAGATGTAGATGCTCTTTGAAAGGGATGTCGAGGGCTTTGAGGAGAACCCAACTGGGATGCATGATTAGTCTGGTTTCTTTGATGTCCGGAATGACCAGGAGAGAGGAGCAAGCGAATAGCATGGTTTGACGCGGCCGTTGATGAGATGACCAGCAAATAATCGTCTGGAACAATCCAATGCTGCGAGATTCTTCCCTTGATGTGGCTTACGGTCTCATTGACCAGGATGAATAGCGCTTATTGCCAATGTGGAGGTGGTAGACCATGACTGCTTCGCTGAATGGGAAGATAGAGAATGACACGACAACGTTGAATTGTTTGGAGGACTGGATGCTTTGAATGTCTGGATCAATATTACGCCCTACGTAGTACATGTGCGAGCAGCCCCGCACGAGCTGTCGCCTCTAAGCAAAGGTTTGTTGAAGGAAGAAAGTGTGGTTTCTGTAATTGATGCCCATATTAATCACACTGAGTATTCGACACTATCATACGTCTCTCGTTCTGGTGCGACCCCTTGTCTCACTTTTCTCGTCCTGTAAAAGATCAATATCGCCCACCACGCCTCTATCATCCACTTTCCACTGTCCACTTTCTACCAGTCCTGTCCACTCCTCGAGCACTGCGAAGAGTGGTAATTTCGTTCCTGCCTCGAATGTTGCATGGCCACGTCGCGGAGGCTCAAGAGGTAAAACCACCACAGCTTCGTCCTCGCCACCCCTCCCACTCCATGGTTCCGCCTTGTCAACCCACAGCCCGACAGGACAGTCCTCCAGCTGATTGAAAGGCGCTGCGAAAACGGTGTCATCTCCTGAATCTTTCTTGGCCCTGACACCGAGCCCAGGGAAGAGCAGAAAAGGGGGATATAGTGGATTGCTCTCATCTTCGTCATTAATAGATGGCAGTCCTGGCACCACACTTGCGAACCGATGTCTCTTCGCCACAGCTTTGAAGGGCTGGTTCCTGATGGATGTAGTGGAAGGAAGTTCAATCCCAGGCGCAATGAATTGAATGCGTTTTGGACCGCGTGGACGTCGAGCTCTAGTCAGAAAGGAGCGGGCGAAGGCAGCTTTTGGGAAGCCTGCAGCGTCAAGATTGGAGTGAGTGGRGAGATAGACTGTCAGCTCGTGGTCTCGCTCTCGTGTGGGGACATCGAGTGCCGCTTCGATGGCGGAGATCAAGCCATGGTAGGCGTTGAGAGTTCTTACGAGGATCTMCGAGGAGTACGAGTGATATTTCCAGGGGTATGGCGGCCCTATTCTCCCAGGTCTTGGTGGTTCTGAGGCGGGCTTGTAGTTTGCGGGACTGATCTTTCCCAGCGTGATCAGACCGAGATAGGTGGCGAGAATTGCGGAAAGAGGCTGCCACGCCATGATACACGGCTCCACGGAGAGGAAGTCTGGCTGCACGGACGCCAGGCCAGTTTGCTGATCGAGACTGCCCCAGGTCAGCATATCCCAACATTTGCGAACCCAGAGCGCCCTTACATTATGCCGCCCTGATGGCCACCAAGAACACTGGTGGCCATGTAGAACAGGATGTAGCGGCGGCCATTCCCCCTATATTTCAACCTATCCGGTGAGTCTCCAGGTAGATTGTCCCATGGTCGAGAAAGGCCTTGTATGTAGTAAAACAGATTTTGGTATGGATCCTCTGCCGAAATTGTTCCCGCTGGTACCAGAGCTTTCTTATAAAAAGCGATCACGTCCTCACTCGCAAGCTCTTCGATCCTCGGTTGGTGGTGTGAATGCTTCTCCCAGAAGGAGACGAAGGGCGCCGAGGTGACGTGCCATCCGAATCGAACGATGTTGTTGTGTAGATCCGCGCATCGAAGTATCTCGCTGGACATTGTTGGCTCGATTTGGGTTATGGAGACGAAAATTGCTCGAGAGAAGCAGCCCGAGGTGGATAGTTATCGCTGAAGGCCCGGCTTTGTCAGTGACCCGTCATGTGCGACGTCGTGGTTAAACCATTCTTGCCCTATCGCGCGATTCTCTTGTCAGATGAGATTTAGTGTCCTCGTCGGTGCTGTTGCGTTACATATGTGGGTGCGGTAGAATCGACTGATGTATGACAAAGTCTCACGAATACCTCAACCATAGATGCTCTGTGTGTGCGATTAGTCCCACGGGTAAAGGGGGTACGAAGGTATTCATAGCCATTACTGTCACCCCGATCGTGGGGTAGTAGATGGTGGCATGATTGCAGAAATTGGCGGGCAGAAAAGTCCGATSGCGAAGTCTGCGTGTAAGCATGCTCACAGTACCTGGTCAGCCAAGCCACCGCCTCAAGCCAAGTAGAAGGGCGGCAGTGATAGAGTCGCGCGTGAATCATTTCAGCACCACAGGGCGATGCTCCTTTCGTGGCTTCGCCTCACCTATGTCGCCACCCAGGCGAGCTGGCAAAGCGCTCTCCAAGATGTTAGCGGTTTAGAAGGGTATATATGCTGAGCATCAATATGCATGCTGTGCAACAAATCTGTACTTCTCATGATCCACACGGTTGTGATTCCAGCAGGAAGCTACAACGGCTCCGACATCTCATTCTCTCCTTCGGCCAGCAAGAGCTGTTCCTTGCTTACTCTAGAGTGGTCCATGTCCMCATTCTGATTTAAAGCACATCGCGAACCGCTGTAATACCTAGTTTGAGCTAGACAATCAAGCATTATACATTCCGGAAACATCAAAGCAAGGAACCTGGCCGGTACTGGTGTTGTCGGCTACTTTGGTCGGTTTGTAACGATTCCAGAGATTTAAATGTGCCAGAAACGTCCACCATGGTTGTAAGAATGGGAATCGGAATGTGGTAAGGATGGTATCATATCAGGAACGCAAAGCCGGCCGCACTTGTAGCCAGTCCGTTCCAAAGATCTCTCCTCTCGCCGCATCGATATGGATGTTTGACCTGCAAGGTCAAGTCCAGGTCTCTTCTGGATGCTCTTGCACACTAGTCCAGTCGAGGAGCCATGCCCTCAAATGTATACCGATTGACCGGACATTCGAAGATGAAGGAGTCTCAAGGGCATGGCGACGGCCTGTCATCCAAGTTGAATAAGGGGCAAGCGAAGGTCGAGCAGGTGTTCAAAATGGTCTACAGACCATTGCCGTGCTTCATTCATGTTGATCAGACAACCGGAGGGGTCAGCTCCGCTGAGGTCGAATTGTTCCAGTGAATACTAGTAGTAGGAGCAAGGGAGGCCCGCCCTTTCGCCGCAAGCCGATAAATTCGAAACGCAAGCATCCGCAGCCTGTTCGTTCTTGAACATTCTCAAGCCACCAACATCTGGATCGAGAACCATGACACCACACAAGCCCGCATCCCCTGTACACCATACACAAACCGGATCCAAGCCCAAGCATGCCCTGATCGCCTCGAGCAGCTCGAGCGAGGCAAAGGCCATGGGCCTCTTGCCCGAATCTCGCATGCTACAGCTACCAGAGGATATGGAAGCTGTCGACAAGGAACGCGCCACCATCCTCGAGAAGCACGAGGCTACCGACGGGAAGCGCAAGGTCATCGACATGGCGGTGCGTAAGCAACGGGTGATGTCCACCGAGACTTCACACATCGAGCGATTGCCCTCGGAGCYCTTGGCCAAAATCTGCGAATACGTAAGTAAGCTCACACTTCATGCCATTGATATGCATTCATAGCGCCACTAACGCACGCTGCCAGGCCTCGAGCAGCAATGGAACTCGCTTCTTCCCACGCCACCTTCCCGCGATCATGCGCGTTTGCACGAGGATGTACAACGTAGGTGGTCGGAGCACGTACGGTACCAGCACCCTGACGATGAACGAGTCCGCCGGCACGCTCACTCACGCCGCGGTGGCTCTTCTGCGCAAACACAATCCGAGCGGCACAAAAGGCGTCAAGGTGTTTCGGATGATCCGGAATTGGCCCAAGAACGGATGCGGCTACCAGAACACCTACATCGCGTTCGAGGCGCATCTGAGCCCTACCAACACCGTTCACATCCCGAGCGCTCCAAGCAAGATCGCCGCCACAATGCCAGTTGATGGACGTCCAGAAGATCCCCAGGATCACATGACGCGCAGTGGACACATCGAGGCGTGTCACTGCGAGGTCATGGCTATGGCGGCGAGTGTCACACCTGGCCCAGATGCGGTGCAAGTCTTCTTGGAGACGTACCTCAATCGTATCGGGCAAGCACCACCAAATATGGTCTACGTGCCGCTTCCTGTGCGCGATGCTCGGCGTTGCGCCGAGTGTGGTTCGCTGACTGGTAGCTGATCCGTCCAAACCTACAGGGAAACCCCGAGCGTTGAGCTTAGAAGTGGCGAATCTTTTGAGCAAGAGCTCATCACTCCAACAAGGTATTATTCGTGGTCAGAAGAGTGCCCAATTAACGGGTGTCTCAATGACCACTTTACACGCAAGTGCTTGATCGAGAGCACATCCATGGAATTATTCAAGAAGGCGGCGTTGATGATAGACCCGACACCTGTCTTGCAGGAGTCTCGCATTATCGGCGCTCGAGGAAGGGACGCCTGTGCGTGTAATCAGCAAACATGGAGACGATGCTTTTGGTCAGGGAGTGTCAAAAATCGGAGCAATTGAAAATTTCCCACTCAGCTTACTGTCTCCCGTCTTATCATACTACCTCAACTGTGAAAAGGCGGCTTGAGAATGATGCTGTAGGGCCATTCTTGCGCAAAATCGTCTTAGCATATGCGATGCTCTGGTGGACGCCAAGGCACCCCCAAGGCAGTGAATATCTTGCGCTCATCTTTACCCTCGACAAGTGTCCCCTGGGTAAGTCTCGCACGCTGCGGGCCACGCATGACATCCTTGTAAAGCCCTCGCTGATTCAGACGCATGCCTTTGGTGCTGGCGAGCAGCCGCAGGCTCCTGTTGAAAATGTCGTTGCCCGTAAAGTATATGAGACTAGCACCAATCTCATCGCTTGGCACCAAAAGGAGATCGATGCGCCGCCAGATGCTGGATCCAGGCACGCAAGATGCGCCGTGCCATTTGCTCCCATCGTCTTTGTCTGTAGTGGCGAGACCACATTGTATGAAGCCCTTTTCAATCAGCTTTGGAATCAGCCGCTCCAACACAACAGCACGGATATGATCGGGACCAGTATTCGGACGAGTGATCAGGCAGTCGATATCACCGGAGTCGAGAGCTCCACGTCGGTATGAACCTCCTATAATGACCTCGAACAGAGGGTCAATCTTCTGCAACTCGCGGCGAACGATCTTGCCGTGCCTCTCCACTTCATCTCGCGGGATGCGCTGCTGGAAGTCCTCGTAGTGTAAGATACCTATACGTTGATTCTCGGACAGATCTGCCTTCTCCAAGAGCTCATCGMGTGTTGTATACCCCTGTTGGACCCATTTGGTGGCATACACTCGCCCAGCCCCGTAGATACCCATAAAGTTCCGGAGCACTTCATCGCTTGGTTCTGCTTTCGCGTTGTCGAGCCGTCTGAGCCGATTGGTGAATGCGATCTCTTCTATTTTGGAGGCGAGCCGTGGCCCGATTCTTGGCAAAGCGAGAGCCTCATCTCGCGTGCAGACTTTTGAATGATGGTTTCGTAACGTCGAGATAGCTTGTCGGTATGCTCTGCTTCGCCATTCGTCTCTGGTTTGAGTATAGTACTTAACCATCTCCTCCAGTATGTTGATTGTGGCAAGATTTGGAGACTCGCCCTTCTCTCCGGTATGCTTCTGCATGCACTGGAACTTGTCCTGATTTCGACTCACTTTCTTCTTTCGCTGATTCTGCAGTTTTAGCTCAGCGCCCTTCTCACCATCACTGTCGTTTGCGTCATCGACATCGTCCTTGTCCTCGTCGTCATCAAGTGTAATGTCTGCCAAAGCTTTGGCCTGCTTGATGGCTTGGTCCAATTCTTCTGTTGTTTCAATGTGTGTGTCAAAGCTATTTGCGATGCGCTCAGTGCTGTTGGACCCAGCATCTAGYGGCGATGCCGGCCCATCCTCGCCCAGGGGTGAATCAGGGGTCTGTACGTTTGCAGTCTTGGCTTTGGGCCTTGGTTCCGGTGATTCCACAGTGGCAGGAACCTTTATTGAAGTCGTAGACAAGTATGGTTTCGCGCCCTTGACTGCGAATCGAGGTGCCATCGGATCAGACAATGCTCGCCAAGTGATGGAGTCTGAGGGGTAATCTTCGTTTACTACAATAATTCCCGGAGGCAGGCTTTCGATCTTCAGATACTTGTAGAGCTCCGTAATGGTCATTGACTTGTCGAGGATGATGTGTGTGACTTCTTGATTCCACGTCGGGTGCCATGTCGCGCCATATTGTTGAGCTTTCTCAATTCGCATCCGACGGGCACCGTTGATGATGTTGTTAGGGAAGAAGTAGAACTGCAACCCTTTAAACACCTGATCCGCCTCGGGAACTATCTTAACGTCAACGCCGCGTTTACGCTTGCCGATAGCTTTGGTGGAAAACGAAGCGGAAGTCTTTGCCTGCACAGTCGTGATCGAAACATCCGAAACGGTCTTGCGCAGGCCACTGGGCGCGATCAGCCTTTTGTTGACCGCAGGGACGTCAGGCTCTATCGCAGCAGAGTGCTCCGACCGCTGTGGAGTAGTGTTTAGCACGTTGCCGTGACATCTTCGTGTTGACCATGGTACTCACCGACTGGATTCCAGTCTTGTCCGAGATTGTGCGGGCAAGGGAGGATCTGGCAGCRGCGCGAGCTGGAGGAGACTTGATCCTCGTTCGCCATGCTTTCTCCGAGGCTTCTCGGCCCGGATCAGGCTCGTCGTCGGAGACATCGAGGTTACCCAAATAGTCAAAAATCTCTCGTTTCTTACGAAGCCGATCTGGCGTGCTGTCCATATTGGCTGTATGCTGATAATGGTCGTTGTGAGGTTAGCATTTCGAGGAAGAATGAGTGCGAGTGACTCGAGCAAATGAGGATTCACAGGGAACCTATTCGCTAAGAAACGCCAAGTCTCGATTTGAGACGGGTCTTCTGCAGCTGTGAGGTATACTAGACGTGAAGGTCGATGTTGACGCGAGGGAGAAACGGTGATGGAAATGTTGCTGTTGAAGTGAAGCCAGAGCAAGCGGCGGCGGCTTCGGCCCGCGTTGCCGAGATTCGAGCGAATCGAGCCATGGAGACACTGGACGCGTTCAAGTCCAAGTCCACGTCCAAGTCTCTACCTCCCACTCCAACGATCCTTCGAGATGTACGGCGAGCACGGGAACAAGTTGGCGGAAGATGCGAAGCGAATGCACAATCTCCAGCACCTGCCGCCATATGCCACCAACACTGTCCGTTTGGTGACGAAGGAAGTTCGCGATTTGGACCGCGACGCGCAGGCTTTCCTAGCGCCATATCAGAGCAGCACACAGTCCAGCGACGGCACCCAGATCAAGTCATCCTCCTTCAACCCAGCAGAAGATCCCGCATTGGCATGTACCCTTCTCGTGCATCATCTTTCCATGCGCAGGAACAAGAGATGTCTCATGGCCTACCACAAGACTCGCACCGACAAGCTCGAAGCCATGTGCTGGCAGGGTAGAGATATTGCTGAGGTTCAGCAGGCATCTGCCAGCACAAATGCAGCCGGAGGTCAGAGTGGTCCAACCAGCAGTCTGAGCGCCGAGGAGGAGCAATATGTCCACCAATACAGCAATCTTCTCGCTGCCTACAAGGGCCATTGGACCGACATCGACCTATCTGGGGACTTGCAACCACCAAGGGACATCTTTATTGACGTGAGAGTGCTAAGGGATGCCGGAGAGATCCAGACCGAGTACGGATCCCTCACTCTGACCAAGAACAGCCAGTTCTATGTACGCCAGGGTGATGTGGACCAGCTCATTCAGCAAGGATATCTGCAGAGATTGAGTTGAACACTTACCGTTATGGCATCTTGTTACCGAAAATGTTGCTAGATTGTGACACATGTGGGTCTGCAGTTGATCCCGAGAAGGTTAAAGGGATAGTGCGCAAAATTCACAGCCTCAAAGATGGCATTCACAGGTATGTGGTTCGTCAGTTCCATGCCTAGCAATCAGCTGATTGGATGCAGAATGTTTGTCTTGTTGGGAGATCTGAGAAACTTCCGCACAAGTTCGTTCTGCCATGCGCGGCTGGTCATCCAGCAGACATCCGATACGCCTCCACGCCGCATCACTTGGGACACAAACGCTCCGCGGATTTCTCTCATCGCTCGACAGCGCTCTGATCGATGAAGGAAGTACCACCTTGCCTGCTGGGCGCGTTAAATGGATTTTACGAGCCGCCATACTCAGAGGCGTGAGGCATGGGATATTGTGGGTCTGGCAGAACGATGCCGCACTGAAAGTCCTATTGCCATGGTCAGCTCAGCGGTCTCGAGCTTCGCCTCTCTCTCCTATGTGGCTCGTCCGATATTGGACCAGATGCCTTCTATGCGTACAGTCGCTTAATCGCCACGGCGCAGAGCTCTGACATCCAGGAGTGGCACTTGTTAAAGTCTATACATTCGTAAGYGCCAAACAATGTATTCAATCTCTAGCTCGAGCTCGCGTTCTCCTCCTTTCAATGAGATACTCCACCTCACGTCCTACTCATCCCATAAATCTTTCTCCCCACCTAGTCTTCAAATTGTCCCGCAAAGCCTCTGTGATCTGCGTGCCCTTCAACGCAACACACATCTCACAAGGCAATGCTTTGTCGTCAAGAACACAATCCGCCAAACCCGAGTGCTCATTTAGCGCATAGCTGAGATCTCATATGAAGCTCAAACTGGGGATAGATGAGTTTCCTCTCATAACAATCTATCCTGACAGCGGACTCTGTCGATAGACAGGTTCTGTTGGGCTTCATGACTGGTTCTATGTTGAGATGATCAAGCTCAACATGCTCCGAGCGATCTTGATTAATCAGGTCTGCTATCGGTCTGTTCTCATACGCTCGAGCATTTGAAGTCGCGGGAGTAGGGATGGGCGGAATGTATGACTGCCATTTTGTTTTACGAATTTCTGATTGCAGTGAACTAAAGCTGCGCTATTTTGAGGTCTGGCAAGTGAATGTACCATGTTGATTGACCATCCATAAACGATCAGGCGCACGGTAGACACCGCCGTTCGCACCACCCGCACTTGTACCATTCTGACCATCTACCTACGACCAGGTGGACGGTAGGCACCGCCGCTCGCACCACCCGCACCGCTTGCACCTGGAGGACGATAGGCACCGCCAGCTGGCGGCGGTGGAGTCGAGCCTTCCGCCGCAGCCTTACGCAACGCCGGTGGAACATACCCTCCTCGCTTGGGCTCTTCAGGCGCGGCAACAGGGGCAACAGGGGCAGCTGGGGCAGCAGKTGCTGCTGCGTCGCCAGGAAGCGTTTCACCGCGAGCTTTGGCAGCTTCGCGCTCGCGCCACGTTGGCTTGCCCCCAGCACCGGCAAGGTTGAGACGAGGACGCTCGCTGGGAGCAGCCGCGGCTTCGGGTTGACGCTCGATGGGCCTCTCAAATGACCGTGGTGGGGCCGCAGATGCGCCTTGCTTCCTCTCCAAGCGTCTTCGCTCTGCTTCCTCTTCACGTTCCATTTGTCTCCTAGCAGCCTCCTCACGCTCCGCTGCGCGCTGCYGTCGCTCAGCCTTGGCAGCAGCATCCTTGACTGCCTTCTCCTCTGCGACACGTGCAGCCTCTTCCTCCTCAATCCGCATCCGCTCTTCCTCCTCACGCTGCATGCGCTCCTCTTCCTCCAGACGACGCTTCTCGGCCGCTTTCCTCTCGCGTACCTCGCGGCGGCGCTTGTCCATTTGTGCGTTGAGCTCACGTTCAGCAGCCTTGCGACGCTTCTCGAAATCGGCGTGGCGTTGTTCGGTGATGTCGCGCTTGAACTTCTCGTATGGAGATRCGAGTCGGCTGAGACGGTGTTTCAGGGCCACTTCTTCCTTGTGCTTCAGCTCGGCAGTGTTGAGTGTTTCCGCCTTACTCTCCTCGTACGCCTTGAGATCCAACTCACGCTGAGCAGCGTAATCAGCAGGAAGATGCTTGATCTCCTCCTTGCGGTAGGCGCGCTCCAAATGGTCGATTCTCTTGCCAGCGACGCGGAGCTTTTCGCCAATCTCATTCTTCTCACGCTCCAGGGCCTGAAGCTTGAGCATGCGAATGCGACCAGTGTCGAGGTCGTCAATGTCCAAGCCGGAAATGTCAACACCCTTGACGCCCTTCTTGAGCTCTTCGAGCTGCTTAGCAGCTTCCTCCCGCTGAACCTTCTTGCGCTCAGCCTGGATACGGCGCTCTTCGCGATCGCGGGTCTCCTGGGCCAAGCGCTCAGTCTCGGCTGCCTGCAGCTCTTGCTGACGGGCCCTCTTCTTCTGTTCTTCTTCACGCTGCTTCGCGAGAAGGGCATTGGCAGCAGACTCCTTCTTCTTTTGGATGGTCTCGCGGCGAGCGATGAGCTCGGTATGCTCAGCAGCAGCACCGGCCTCGCCACGCTGCAGTGCAGCTTGCTTGGCCTTTTGTCGGGCCTCGTTGAAAGATGGGTCAACGACTTGGGCCACCTTGTAGAAGCACTTTGCAATCCGAGGCAGAACAGATCGAACGATCTCGGCAGGCGTGCTCTGGAGGCGCTGAACCGAGCTGGCATCCGACTCGGCTGAGCCGGCCCCGGAACCTGGGTGCATGGCCTTTGCAGAGGAGAAGACATCCGAGTCAAAGGTCAGGAAGCCAGTGGAGTGATCAATGCGAATGGAAAGATCGCCCTTCTTGCATCCGTTCATGATGAATTTCTCGACCGTGGCGCGGGAGACCTGGAATGGCTCGGGGAATTGAGCTAGGGCAAGAACATCGTCCATCTTGACGTCAGTGTATACTTGAGACATTTGCTGGAAGAGGCGCGTGAGCAGCACCTGCTGGAGAGGCAGGACGTATTTCCTCATCTCCTCGTCAGCACCGATCTGCGACAAAATAGGAGACACCTTTTGGCAGATTGACAGCGGGTGGAAGTCGGTCTCGAGAATGTTGTAGAGGTTGCGAATTTCCGGACGGGCACGCTGTAGGATGTCCTTGTTGAGCGCATCCTTGAAGAGGATGGAGCGGGATGGCGCCGAGCTCATACCCAGCAGGTTGGTGAGTCGTGCATTCTTAGTGTTTCGTGCTGCGTCTACATCGATCAGCGCGCCACGAGAACGCGATGTGCTGATGACGGGGATGGAGAGAGCAGAGAGCAACACAAACGAGGCTGCCTTGGAAAGATCGGCATCGGAGATGTTGGTTGGGTTGTCCTTTTTGGTTGCGCCGGCAGCGACCTGGCGAGCGGACACGGTGAGCAGACTGTAGTATCGGCTCCATGCAGCAGCGTGAAAGAGGTAGTTCTCGCTGACGAGAWAAATGCGAGTGAGCTTCTCGTAGTAGTTGGCCATCATAGAGTTCTTTGGTGCCCGGCGGGAGAGGTTGAGAAGAGTGTGGATGTCTTCAACACTCTTGAAAGCCTCCTGCCATAGCTCCAGCTCGACAGCAACGTTGAGTTGCATGAAGCGTGTGTCGAGGTGACGCTGAAGTGTGTCTGGATCGCTCAGATTGATGGCATGCACCTGCTGCGAATATTTTGCAGCGTTCTGCAAATGGTTGCGAAGCAGCTCGCATAGACGACGGAACTCGGTCTTGCGGGTGTACTTTTGACAGAACTGAAAGGCCTGGTGCGCAGTGGTCTGGTACATGACCTCMAAACGGGCGTTGTTCTTAAAAATATCCAACACGGTGCGGTAAGTCTCCCACAGAAACTTGAGCCATGGTGTGACGATAGCACGATCTGTGCGGTCTTTGGATTGCTCGCCCGATACAGTCGAGAGGAGGATGGACTCTGGCGTCTCCATGGCCTCCAAATCTGTGACGTTGGCGAGTGAGGCATCGTCCGGATCTGCGCCTTCAGCCGAGACTTCATCCGCCTTGGCCTGTGCATCCTTGACCCGCTGCTCTGCGAGCTGAATAAAGTGACTGAARACAAGCTCGATGGTAGCGACGTTGGTGTTTTGGCTGGTGTTTTTGTAGTTGTATAGACCATCCTTAGCGGACTTGCCCTTCCGCAGCTCGACACAGAGCTCGACGAAGAGGAGCATCACGGGCTCGAGAGCGGTGGTAGTGCTATTACGCGTGCGCTTCGAGGTGACATGCTCATGCATGATGGACAGAGCGGCCTGCTTCTGGTCCACCGCGATGAGTTCCTGCGCGCGTTTGAGGACATTCTCAGGGCGGGTGTGTGGCGGAGGTGGCATCTTGCCGGTGTTGGGTGCAGGGCACCGTATGTGAGTGTGTGAAGCAGTAGTTGCGCGTGTTCAGGGTGGGTGTGGGTGTGGGCGCGAGATATGGACGTTGTCTGGTTTTCTTGGCTTCCGGGGCCTGATTTGCGCAGACGTTTGGGAAGTGCGGTGGCCTGCACATCGCCAAAAGCTTTGCACTGTCATCGTCAAAATCCCACTTCTTAGGGTTTGCCAAGGCTCGGGTAAGGACATGGTGAAAATGTCCTCTCAGACTTTCGTGGCTGTTTCGAAGCTCTTTCATTGATACTGCCCTCTTGAATTGTACTGCGCGGCTACTACTGGGACAGACAAGCGTAATGTGGCCGCAGGAAAGGAACACCGGCCTCTACATTGCATCATCACGCAAAAGAATGGTGTTATCGTGAAAAAGGTAGCGATATACAGACCTTGCCAAGAAAACCGAGTTGGATCAAACATCCTTCGAGTCATCTTATTCTCACTCAAGCCGGCCTACTTCGTGCGTAAGAATGATACATACGAAATCATGAAGTCGCATCTACTCTGGGAGACGAGATCACTGGAAGGCACTGTGCAAGTCGCGGCAAGTTATACTCCTTGGTCGACTGGAAGGCCTCTATGCGGCTCTTACAAGGAAGCACCGGTGGTAGTCATTGGTTTGGCAGCAGCTGTGATCGTCTCAGAGCGCTCGCTCACCATTCTTCGTGGTGTGTTCTGTTAACGATATTTGCTCTGCTTGTGTTGGACGGATACACGTCTTTGACCATCTTTCATCACACGATTTGCTGCTAACATCTGATCTCAATCATGTGCACCCATTTTGTCCACGTCGAAGCACAACTTACATGAGTTGTCTTTTCTTAGATTCATCCGTGATGATGAAGATTGCCAAGGAAGGTCGCCAGCTACCAACACTCACTCTCGCCGAGAAACAAGACGATTCTGATCCTGAATATAGTCTTGATGTACTTATCCACGGACATGCAACACTGGATCTCGTAAGTTGCAGTCATTCAAAATTTCTCGCGAACGAGAGGAAATGGAAAGTCCAGTGGTGAACTTGAGGAACACTGCATCTACGCAGAAGGCATCGGATCGAACGGCGTTGCGGGAAGAACATGAGGGCTTCGATTSTCAATGGCACCTTCGTTCGCGGATCAGGCGTGTCACCTAAGGTATTGTGTTTTGCCAAYGACTAATTTGCTACGGCACAGAAGCTGCATGTACCCAAGATAGCTTCGGAATGAATTGTTCTCGTTTATCACTTATCCCAACAATCTCAAGCACCAAGTGCGGTGTCGATAAGTACAGCGTGTCTTTGTTCGTGTTCTTGATCGACCAAAGACTGCTTTCGCTATATTTTCGGGACCATTGTTTCGCTGCCGATGCGCGAGCGCCATGATGCTCGAGAGGACTCTGGGGGTATGGAAATACTCCGATGCAAAGAGACGCTGTTGTCTGTTGGTGAAGATGACCGCCCCTCATCGTAAGTCCGAACGCGTCCAAACGCAAACATGCAGAGTTTCTCTGTAATAGAGGTGCGAATCAGCAACGGCCAGGGACCCAGAGATGTTCCGTCCGTGTGGAGAGCAGCACGATGCGTGACACAGCAGATGTAGACCACGCGTTCAATGTAATAATAATTGATGCAAGGCATGCCCGAAGAACCATCGGTATTGCGGTTAATTTCAAGATTTCAATTGCGGTAATCATTGGCGGCCCGTGCCTCTCAGTAGGTCGTTCCTTCCGTGCTCCAGGTTGACACCACCGATGCTTCCTACTCACACGCCATTGTCACCGTTACAGAAGCTGCCACTGCCACTGCCACCTTCCCCGTGAGGCGCGACGCTCTTTTCACGTCTCCTCCGATCGCCGCAAAGCGCACGACACCGTCTCCGACCGAACCCATCCGCCTCCAGACCCACGCAATTCGGCTCGGAACCCCATTACCTTGACCGTCGCACGACCACGAGAACAACCAGCTGCCAGCGCATCGCCGCCTGAAGCTTCCGCCTGGTACCTTTCGCGCATTCCGAGCGACCGCCCTGGGGCCGCTGCATCCGTGTCCGCTCAGCATCACTCCCCGCGCATTTCTATATCACCACCGGTCAGGGCCGCCATGTCCACGCCGTACGAKATCCGCACAAACGACAACGGCAAATCCAAAAAGCAATCAATGGCCGAACTGAAGCTTAGACGGCTTACGGAGCTCAATCAGAGACTGCAGGAGGACCTCAACCGCAGACGGATACCCGTGTCAGAGGCGGCGATGGAGTGCGTTCATACCCTCGTATTCTGACGCGACGACACGCACAGCTGACWCGTTATCACAGCTTGATCGCATTCACAGACAAGGAGCCAAAGGTAGTTGGAATGCTACACCATTGGCGCTCACGCCAGCTAATCTGATTCAAATCTCGCAGGACTTCATGGTACCTAGTCGCTGGGGCACAATCGACAAACGCGAAGATCCATATGCACCGCAGCAATCGAACGGCTGCTGCGCGGTCATGTAGCATCGACTCACGGCCCACTCAATCTCTTAGGGTACGAATTCACAGCATCGGCGTTTAAGCGGGATGGGTTTATTGGAAGTGGTCGCGTTTTCGTCGCGGAACTTGAGGATCAGTCGGAATGGCAGGGTTTGCGGCAATGGCAGAGTTGTTTATTTCTCGCGGAAAAGCCTCCATACGGTGGAGTGTGTAGATTGATGTACGGTGTACCAACATGGGGAGGACCAAGTTCTCCTGAATTCACAAATCACAGTCAACCAAAACATCACCACGGCAAGACCTGAATACGTGTAAGTGCGGTGGTCGGCACGCAGCAGCATTTCTTCACCATTCCTTGTCTACAGGCCCGCAGAACAAGCACATACACAAGACGCTTTCCTTTGAATGGTAGCTGCAAGACAAGACAATGGGCTAGCGCTAAACATCCCACGCATCCATCGCGCTACGCCAGTCCACTCACAGCAAAGACTACGCCGCAAGTGGGCGCCACAGTTGAACTCTGCGCCGAGAATGACTACACGGCGCAGCTTTACGCGAGCAGAAGCCCAATGCAATGCATGCACGAGCATGGTTGTCGCGGGCTTTCACGGGTGACAAAATCGCGCTTTACCATGACCCAGTGCCGATGTACAGTGTGTGGTCTCGTCCAATTCGAAGCGACAACAAAAATCCCATCGCATCACGCTCTTCAGACGTCAAGCACGGATGTGTGTCACCAGGGCCCTTCTCCACGCGAGCTGGCTTTGGGTTTAACAAATTTTCCCCCACAGCGGAGTGGGATCGAGCTTGCGCGTGTGGAACGATCATGAGTAATGCTAAGCGGCTCTGTTTGGCTGCTCCGTGAAGCCACTTGGAGCGAATTTTGAAGCGGTGGAATGGCGAGACTTGATGTACCGGCCAATCAATTGGACGGGATGTTCTAAAGGTTGGGTAAGGTTCCATGTTTTCCTCACCGCGGGGCTGGTCAATGCTGGACGGCAAAATAGCTATTACAGAATAGCTCTGAGGAACAGCCAGATGTACCGATCCCACGACGATATACCTCGCTRATCATCCATCGCCTTTCGATGCCTTGAAGCGAACGCGGATCAGGAGCTTTGTATCGCCAACACAGCGAGACTTGAACGAGAGGCAGAGCTTTGTTGTTATAACCGCGGTTGTGTGTTGGAACTTGGAATAGGTTAGAGGTGAAAGTGAAATTTGTGAGCAGCCGAGATGCAGAGTCGAAGCGATCCCGCTCCCGGTTCTGCCCTTCGCGATAGCGGACCCACGCTCTCGGCACGGGCGCGGTCGGTACTGCATGTGCTCACTTTGCAAACGAAGGCTTGTGAGCCTGAGAAGAGGCTYTCGGATATGGTCTGTTTCTCAACCTCATGCATGATTATTTCGACGACGACATTCCACCCAAGGCACGCATTTTCCATTTCTAGCACCGCCTCTGACGGCGAGTGAGCGGTCACAACTTGCGCCCGCGATCCGACAAAATCTCTGGAAATATCGTCGAGAAGATAGGCCAGAAGTGGTCGTGCAAGCGTTCAGCCCGCCGCCCCCGCGACTCGATCCACTCGACAATTCAGCCCAGTGCGACCGACCAACGAATATATCGCAAGATTTACCAGAGTGGACCATCAAGCAAGAGCCGCCGACACGGCGTTGCTTTGCTTGTGCGGTCATGGACACCACAGCCGAGCAGTCTTGGGGAAGGTCGGGTGAGACGCTGGACTCGATGGCGCACATGGACACGGATCTCGACGACTTGGGCAACCTGTTTGAATTTGGAGATATCGATCTCAACAACATCTCCTCGGTGGATGCGATCAACTACGACCAGCACATGCAGCAGAATGGGACCCATCCAACTACCCCATTCAACGAGATAAACGAGGCTCAGGCCATATCTGGAACCTCTGCGCAGGACTTTGGGACACAGGATCATTTTGGGATCTCCCGAAATGTTGATCTCGCACAACAACAACAACGTCAACAGCAACAACAACATCAGCAGCAGCAGCAGCAGCAGCAGCAGCAGCAGCAGCGATACAGCGGTGCGTTTCCCACGGAGCCAATGTATCAGCCGACCATGCAGCAGCATTTCCATCCAAATCAGCAGTTCCAATTTCAAGCGATGCAGGGATATCCCTCAACGCAGCATGTACCGCCGACACCGAACAGTTTCGAAATGCATGGCGAAGCTGGACGCTTTATGCAACAACCTATGGATCCTCAACAGCGTGCCATATTGGAGCAGAGATATCAGCTGAGTAAAGAGGATGCATCAGCCTTCACCCCTATGGTATCGCCTGCAGGTACACCTCAATATAGTGTTCAGCCCGAGTTCACCATCCCTGGTGCTTACTTCTCGCCGCTCACATCCCCCATGCTACACGCACAGACTCAACAGCGGATGTCCCACTACCATCAAGGCTTCTACACAAATCCAAGCACAGCGCCAAGTTCTAACGCAACATCACCGTTGGCTCCCAATATAGATGTGGACATGCTAGGTGATGAAATATCGCTGTCCGAGCCTGCCCAGTCGAGGAAATCATCCAGGAAGAAGACCGCCACTCCTCGAAGTGCTGGCCCATTGGCAAGAGTCAAACAGAGTCCCATCCAGAAGGCTGCGAAACGAAAGTCTACTACAATGCTTTCCWCACTCGTTCCACCTCGAGAGGTAGATGGCATCCTCGAGTCGCAACGCTCTGGAAGTGTGCAGCCATCGTCTGGTAGTCTGCAGGTGCGGCGGAATGAAAGTTCGGAGAATGGTAGCATCAGCCCAGAGCCATTGAGCGAAGCTTTAATGGGACCCCCTCCACGACCGGGATCAGGTCTGACCCAATCACCAGCATTGGCAGCTCAGCAACATTCACGATCTAACTCGTCAAACGGCCCGGCCGCAACACCCAAATCACTGCTCTCAAGGCGCGGTGGGCAGTCATCCACTCCAACTGCACAGCCAAACCAAAAGGAATCGCACGCACACGACGATGACATGGAATTTGCTGAGCTTGAGCTCCCTGCAGCAGCTGCTGATGAACCAGGTCGCCAGACAGGCTTCGCTCAGCTCAACACTCAAATGTCGACCGTAAGTTCGGCTGAAAACGATAACCTTCGCCTGCCTGCTCGTAAGACGCCGAAACTCGGAACGGCTGGCACACCGCTTTCTGTGCTGCCGCCCAGTCCGTCAGTGATGGGATCTCCCATGATGGCATCGACTCCAGGTGCGCTGCTGAAAGGCGGCAGGAACGACAGCAAAGGTGGCAGAGGTAGTAGGAAGCGATCAAGTATTAGCGTGAGTGGTAATGGATCAACTCTGGTTTCGCCTTCGCTGAGGCCACGCATCTCACCGAGCATAAAGCCGCTTCTACCTGAAGGAGGTAAGTCACCTCCGATAGTTGCTATTGTGCATTGCTGACCACCAACATAGCTGCTCTGCACTCCCCGACACATGCGTTGCTTCTGGCATCGAAGTCCAACTACCAGAATCTACTCGAAGGCAACCACTTACCCGGAGTGAACTACCCAGACTCACTTTCTACCGGCTTGACCTCAAAAAGGACTTCCCACAAGGTCGCAGAGCAAGGCCGCCGCAACCGCATTAATGAAGCACTAAAGGAGATGCAATCACTGCTCCCCAAGCCAGCCGTTGTGAAGGGCGCAAAAGAGACTACCAATAGCGATGCAACTCCCGAAGCTCCCGAGACCGAGACCAAAGAATCCAAAGAAGACGCGCAACTCAAAAGTAATAGCAGCAAAGCTGCAACTGTAGAGTCCGCCAACGAGTATATCAGGAAGTTACAGAGTGAAAATGCAGCTCTGCTGCAACTCAAGACTGAACACGAGGAGATGAAGCGGAAGCTGGAGGAACAAGCCAGTGTTGCTTCCTCTAGTGAACAATCTACCAGTTCTACCGAAGCTGCGTCGTGAGGAATAGACACGAGACATGTGCATGAGAATCGCTATGCATATGATCGCAATATAATATGCATCCGCATTTAGGCACTTTGACATACGCTGGACGTTGTGGCATGGTTGGTTTATATGGGCTATTGATGGGAGTGGGAAATGGTCGGCGGTAGCGATGTTTTTYCCGATTTGGAATGAGATACCAGATGGCGTTTATATATAATGAGGAGTCAACTTCTGCTCGAGCCATGTACATATTGAAGAGTAGGCTCCAATGATGAAGAAAGGACTGCGCTGATGCGTAGATCGCACAATCACACCCCCTGCCAGTCCATATTGTGTCTCTTATTGACACATGATTCATTCTCGACCATAGCGCATCAGCTCGTTCAGATCTACTCGATGAAGATAAGAAATGGACGAGAATTCCTCCCAGTAATGAGCTATGCGGTCGTGGGAGAGCAAGATCAGCTGCGTAGGCATGTATCGATCTGTGTTATGAAAGTTAGTAAGAATGAACATATGGGGATGAACCACTGTGAACCTCACCATCTCGAAAGCCTCTGTCTGCGATATGTCCCGCACTTCGTACGACTCTCGCCCCTTTGAATGGCCCTTCACCCTCCACTCGAATAGTACCTGTATCTCCTACTTCGGGAGCTATGAATGTGTATTCAGCGCGTGGGATATAGAGATCTCCGGTGAGTTTGATCGCTTCGAGACGTCCAGAGGGCTCAATCTGAGCCTTTTGCTCTTCGTCCGCTTTGAGACCATCTTCGGAAGCGGAGCCACTCTGTGAGGGCACCTCACCAAAAGGCTCGATGCCAATCTCCTCCATCGCAGCTGCGAAAGCGCAAGTGATTGCGCTGGGCCCCCCTCTGCCAGCATTGAACCACCGCTGTAACCAGGCCATGCCTCGAGGAAGAGGTCTGGCAGCCTCCTTGTCCGGTTGGGTAATGAGGATGAATTCGCAGCCGTGTCCGCTGTAATCACCGCACCAGATGCCCTGCCAGGGTTTTTGTGGTGTGGGTGTGTAACACCATTCCGGTAATGTTCCAAAAGTTGTGATATCCTCGGGCATACGGATCGTCACTCTGGTGCTGTTCAGATTTGGTTGTGGTATTAGRAACGGCTGTGTGGATCCGGTTGCATCACTGCGTGAGTCACTACTGGTTKTCTGAGAAGACCGCAGCACTTCAGGACTTGGTCTGCGATATTCGACCCATTTTCGCAGCCGGAAGTTGTTTTGGCTAACTTGACTCAACCTCTTTGGTCTGTGGCCTGACGAGTTGAACCTATCGTGACTTGCGTTTCGTGTGCGGCATTCGGCGGGTATCCGTTGTGGTGGCCAGACTTGGGTGCCTTCAGTGATTGCTACTTCTGGGAGATGGCAACATAGCATGAATGAGCTGTACAACCCCGACTCTGTAGCCGTCTCCATCAGAATCTCGTGGCCGAAGCTTGACTCGGGAGTCCTGTTATGATTGAGCAGGTGTTCGTTCGGCGGGTCTGCCTTGAGATTATCGATCTTGAGCTTTAGAACAGGCCGATGAAGATCCAACGAGATTTCCGGATCGAAAGTATGTACAATGACCGGATTCTGATCGATGTCGATTTCTGTCCATCTGTTGGTTCGCTTCACGGCAAGGACGGTGTAGGCGTCGATGGAGCCTGTTGATTCATCATATCTCGCTATTGTGAGTTTGCCGTTTGGTACCGAGTCTCCAATCCATATCCGCTTCWTGACCAGGAACCAGTGCGGATGATGAGTAATGTAAAGCTCGCGGAAGGAGTTTATTGTTGCTGGCTTCGTGATGGGAGATGAGAAGTGAGAGTTGATCTCACTGCTCCAGATGGTTTCTGTGTAGCTTTCGACCTGCAGTCGCCGGCAGACTTGTGCAACTCTTGCAAGATCGGTGGGCGGTAAGTAGGCCAGAATGTGTTGCACCAGCTCGCTCGGTAGTCCGAGAAGTGGTGGTGTCATCGTTCCTCCTTGAACGTCGGATTCCATCTCGCGTGGATCTGCAATGGTCTGGCTTTGCTAGAGACGGCGTAAGCAATGTCGGGATAGGGAACGACAAAGCGCGTGGAAAGTAAGACTTGTTTGGCAGTGACATGAGTTGCCACCCCACATGTACCGAGTAAGAGGTAAAGTAGGGTAAGTAGTCTTCACGGCATTACTTGAGCTTGTAACGCGACTAGGCTTTCTACATGTGGTCGTCGCCGACACCGCCGTGAACTAGGTGCTTATTAACCTGCCTCCTGCTGCTTTGGTTCTAGTCGCATTAATGCTGGTGCTTGCACAATGCGAGCTTCGGGAAGGTATCTAGAAGACGAGAGGAAGCCGCGATCTTCGCCGCCAAGGATCGACTACTGTATTCTCTTGATATTCATCGCCGCGCCATCTCCTCACATTGCACCCATGCGTCACCCAGTCATAGAGTCCTACTTATCTGCGGCGCGTCTACCTGGAGAATGTGCACACTATGGCCGAAAGTCGGAGCTTGCGGTAACGTAAAACTGCCTCCACATTTACCGGTCCAATCGACATAGACGTTGGAATGGTTTCATCTTCATATGGTCTAGAGCTGTTGCGAGTGCCGACCTACTGGAAAACATGTTATCGGGAGGCAATGTGTCGACTGCTCCTCGAGACGCCTCCAATCCATGGCTGGCAACAGCGTTGCCAGGGCGTTTCTCAAACCACCGCATGGTTTGATGGTTGATAGGATAGAGCATCTCGCCTTTTTGTATGCTTTCCCTTCTCATCTACTCCAGTCGAATGACAGTGCATGTGTCTTCGCTCTCGAGGGTTCATCATCGTCGACATCAGGCGCGGCCCCGTAGCAGTCCTTGTGTGCTACAACACACTTACCAGACCAGATAGGCGTATTGTGTGATGCCGTATTTACTTGCGTGGAGATTAGATGGTGAAGCATGGCAGTCCTGACCATGTGCACTCCAACATCTGCAGGCAACATCCTGACGGCTCCAAAGATTTGGTGGGATATAGGCGCGGACAATATCCCCGTACATGGCTACCTTTTTGTTCACTCGAGCATCAAGGGCTGTCCGGCGGCTTGTCGATATCCGGGGAGACTCCTATATGCGAAGGTATGCCGGCGGTCAAGCCAAGGCTTGCTCCTCGGACATCACGTCAAGATGTAGTTGTGGTGGAGAAAGGAGCAACAGATGACGTCCATCCAGAATCCTGCTAGTTCTGGTTGCGTTGTAGATGTCCGTGTTATGAGAAGTTTGGTGGATGCCGTCTTCGAGGGGCAAAGGAGTCAGGTCGGAAACAGCCCGCTGCCCTACGACTTTCGCCGCCAAGGACTCTCTCTATTCTTGTCTACCTAGCAAGAGCAACAACAGTAACACGGGCTTCCCAAGGAATCGGCTCACGTTCCCTTACAACAGCACGAGACCACGGTAGCAGCTACAATATCTCACGAACACGCGATTTGGAAATGGGAATTGCACGGGTTTGAAGGAATACTCCCACATAACCTCAGTCTGGGGTCCCCGCGACCATTGCAATGAGCTCCCGTACGCACATGATGAGGGAAACGCGAGGATCGTCGAAAGGCTGATGGGATTTCCAGTGAAGCAGTTCATCCGCAATGTGCGCGCCGCCAAAACCATTGCCGATGAGCGGGCCGTGGTGCAGAAGGAGAGCGCTGCTATAAGAGCCAGCTTTCGGGAGGAGAGCCACAATTCGGACTTGCGGTAGGCACATGGAGAAGGGGATTATGGAGGATTGGAAACACATTGTGCTCATACTTGTCGCAGACGGAACAATGTCGCCAAACTCCTCTACCTATTCACGTTGGGAGAGCGGACGCATTTCGGACAGATTGAATGCCTCAAGCTGCTTGCCTCGCCGCGCTTTGCGGACAAGCGCTTGGGGTATCTGGGAACCATGCTGCTCCTGGACGAGAATCAGGAGGTCCTGACGCTGGTGACCAACTCGTTGAAGAAGTGCGATCCTCAAGAAACACATACGTCTCCCCTTGCTAACTCCTCGCAGCGACCTGAACCACAGCAACCAGTACATCGTTGGCCTAGCGCTATGCACACTTGGAAACATTGCGTCTGTTGAAATGTCCCGCGACCTGTTCCCCGAAATCGAGACGATCCTATCCTCTTCCAACCCTTATATTCGGAGGAAGGCAGCGCTCTGTGCCATGCGGATATGCCGCAAGGTCCCAGACTTGCAAGAGCATTTTGTGGACAAGGCGAAGCTGCTGTTGAACGATCGAAACCACGGTGTACTGTTGAGTGGCCTAACTCTGGTCATCAGCATGTGCGAGGCGGACGAGGAGGAGGGAGGTGAACAGGGTGTTGTGGACATGTTCAGGCCATTGACTGGCAGTCTTGTTAAGGTTCTCAAGGCCCTCTCGCAATCTGGATATGCGCCGGAGCACGACGTCACGGGCATTACGGATCCCTTCTTGCAAGTCAAGATTTTGCGTTTGCTGCGAGTACTAGGACGTGGCGATCCACAGACGAGCGAGCAGATAAATGATATCCTGGCGCAGGTTGCTACTAACACGGAGTCTTCCAAGAATGTTGGCAACTCCATCCTTTACGAAGCAGTTCTGACAATTCTGGATATCGAAGCCGACTCAGGACTGCGTGTGCTAGGAGTCAACATTCTTGGAAAATTCCTGGCAAACAAGGACAACAACATCCGATATGTGGCGCTCAATACTCTAATCAAAGTGGTTGCCATCGAACCGAATGCAGTACAGCGACATCGGAACACCATTCTGGACTGCCTGAGAGATCCCGACATCAGCATTAGGAGACGTGCACTTGACCTCAGCTTCACCCTCATAAACGAGTCCAACATTCGAGTTTTGATTAGGGAGCTTCTGGCGTTCCTAGAAGTGGCAGACAACGAGTTCAAGCCCGTGATGACCTCTCAGATTGGCATTGCGGCAGATCGATTCGCACCCAACAAGCGTTGGCACGTAGATACCATGCTCCGTGTGTTGAAGCTGGCAGGAAACTACGTCAAGGAACAGATCTTGTCATCTTTCGTCCGGCTTATTGCGACCACGCCAGATCTACAGACATACAGTGCTCAAAAATTGTATGCTGCGCTCAAGGACGACATTAGCCAGGAGGGACTCAACCTCGCCGGAGCCTGGGTCATTGGAGAGTATGGCGATGCCTTGTTGCGCGGTGGCACGTACGAGGAGGAGGAGCTCGTGAAAGAAGTGAAAGAAAACGAGATTGTCGATTTGTTCTCTGCAATCCTGAACTCCAGCTACGCCGGACAAAGCGTCACGCAATACATCATCACTGCGGCCATGAAACTTACGACCCGCATGCAGGATCSAGCCCAGGTAGACCGATTACGACGACTGCTTCTGAGTCGCCAGGCAGATCTTGATGTGGAAGTTCAGCAAAGGTCAGTCGAGTATGGAAACCTCTTCGGCCATGATGCGATTCGTCGTGGTGTTCTCGAGCGTATGCCAGCGCCTGAGATTCGCGAGGAACAGAGAGTACTTGGCGAAGCGACGAAGAAGCGGCATAGCAAAGTTGCACCCAAGAAGAAGCCTAGCCAGATCACCGAGCAAGACATGCTTCTCGATCTTATGGGTGGAGACTCAGACATGCCCGCAGGATTGGGAGGCGCGATCAATGGTGGTCAGAGCAACAATGCTGATCTCCTCGCCGATATTCTCGGTGGTGGCTCTGGAGAACAGACATCTTCTCCTGTCAATGGCCAGTCAAAACCACAGGGCAATATGGACTCAATAATGGACCTCTTTGGCTCACAGCCCTCAGCTGCACAATCTTCCGGAACACAGCAACCCTCATCATCCGTTGACATGCTCGGCGGGTTTGGAGGATCTCAACCCGCTGCACCACAGCAGCAAGCGCACACGGCATACGACAAGAACGACCTTTTCCTTGCATTTACAGTTCAGCGCAGTGCCCAGGCCTTGCAAGTCACCGCAAAATTTCGAAACACGAGTAGTTTTGAGACCCTAAGCGCCGTCAACCTTCAAGCTGCAGTGCCAAAAACACAAAAACTCCAGCTGCAAGCAATCAGCTCTTCCGAGCTATCCGGTGGCCAGGAAGCTACACAGCAGATGCGGGTCACCAGTGTACAGGGAGTGAGTCTGATATTTCATCACCACCGCCCTTCAAACAGCTAACACATCTCAGGCTCCCCCAGCGAAGCTACGGTTAAGATTGAAGGTCACTTTCGCAAAAGATGGTGGTGCTCCCGTCACTGAAGTGGTTGATTGGTCGGAGCCAACATGATGGACTTGAAGCTGACTTGCACCGATTTGATTGCATTTGTGTGTTCTAGCATAGMCTGCGGAACGAGYCTAAATGTGACCCCATTCGATCTGTTGATGAACGGAGTGATGCCTTGTATCATTCGACGATTGCTCAGCTTCTTGTGCGATGCAGGTCGCGACCGACCCAGGGATATCCTTGAGCCCCACGCGGGACACAGCATGTCAACACACTACAAAACGTGGTCTGAAGGTCTTGGTGATTGCGCACATTTGGTTGAAACGATACATGACTCGGACTTCCTATATTCGGTCGATCTTGTGAGAAATTATAGAAGCAGCAACTTCAATGTCTAACGCTGATCTACGACTTTGGGCCGTCACCGGGATGCCCTAGATTATGCTGAGGCAGGAGAAGCTCCGTGAAGGAGTATCGAAGCTCCTGCTTGTCCCCGTCAAGCAATATACGGAGTGTCAGGGAGCTATTTCCAGCAGCATGATCCAAATGACAGGAACGACTGCTTCATCGAAGTGATCATATATAATGTTGTAGGTCCATCGTCCAGAACATATCCATCACAAATCAACCTTTCAACGCAATACACTCTCTCACCACAAAACCTTCAACACCTACTCCAACAATCATGCAGCTCACCATCATCAGCATGATCCTGGCAGTTGCCGCCGCCATGCCAGTCCAAGAAGTCAGTATCCCATCTCCCAGTTGATCAGAACTTGAAATCCCTAACATTCATCCTCACAGCGATCTCTTCCCTACTGCGATCAAGTACACGTCGACATCGGCTTTGGACCTGGACCTGCTTGTCAACAACGACCATCGTCCCTCCCCTACTGCGATCAAGTGCAGGTAAATCCCGGCTATGGACCTGGACCCGCTTGCGTACCCAGACCTTCATCCTACTCGATCCACCGAGAAAACAACCCCTCTGGTCTCATCAACTGCGCGGACGTGCACATTCCTCCCGGTGGTGGACTCGGACCAGCGTGCTACAACCCCGATCTTCCGGTTGATGTTGCTCTTGATATTGTCGAGGACACGTTGCACTAGGGGATATGGGTTGTTTGTTTAAGGATGGTAATGGCGAGGAGTTGAGGCGACATGTAATAGTAATTATGGCATGAGTTCGTGAAAGTTCATAAAGGAAATACATTACAGGATTATAATCTCGCTTTGGACGCCAGCTCGTCCGCATTAATATCTCTTATGCCCTTGATGACGGAGATGCTGTACACCGTCGAGCTCTGATCACTCGAGCATCACGTATCCATTCTCATGGGTATTTCATTCACCTCCTCTTCCCTCACAAAACAACACCTCTATACTTCCGATTATCAAACCCAGGATCCTCAGATATAGACCCCCTCTCCCTCTTCTCAAACCCAGAATCTTCCGAAGCGCGTCCTGGCTGTATACTCCTCCTCGACTCATGCGAAATTCTAGCCTCACGATTCATAACCACCTGCTGCTGTGTAGTCGTCACCCCCGGAGAATACGGAGGAGGTTCATCGCCTTCCGATCTCTGATGTTGCGGGGGTTGCGAGGTTTCCACAGGACTTTCGAGCTCGGCGGGCAAAGTACTCGAAGCGACGCCTTCGAGTTCCATTTTCGATTCCATAGCGGCGTTGTCTGATTCCATCGACATCTCTCTCGCGCCAGTTTCGTCATTTTCGTGCCAGCCCCGTTCGGCGTCGCGTTGCCGTGGGCGATTACCCAGGAGAGCACTACAGCAGCACCCCATTTTTGGGGAGGACGGACAAAGTCCGGGTGAATGCTGAGTTGGAAAGGAGGTTCGATGCTTGGTTGAGTGTGGGGAAGGCTGATTGTGTTCCGGCGGTAGAGGGCGTTTTATCGCTTGTTGTTAAAACTCAGGCATGGAATTGTTATGCCATCATCGCGTGATTAATATATCTAAAGTAGTGGTGTAATTCGTCTGCCTGCGAAGGAAGCGACACGTGCAGTGGGCGGAGTCGTTGTTTATCATAGCAATTGGCTAGTGAGCGAAGGTTTCGCTTGCACTCTTCCACTTACCCTCATCGAGCGGGGTGTGCGAGAAGGTACGTAGTATGCTATACCAAGCATTCCTTACTGATAAATGGTGAGTTGTGTGGATATTTCTGAAAGAGCGTTTGTTCTGTGAGCCTAGCTTCTAATAAGACGACCAATGTATGCTCGTGACGTTGTTGGTCCAAGCAAGGAAACCTCCGTATGTATGCGAGTTCTCACTCTGCAAAACATCCTGACCACAACCAACTCGAATATCCCATACCCTTCCGACAGTCCAGCAAAGCCTTCAGACCGCTCTCCTTCGCACCTTGAGCGTAGCTTTGGTAGGTGGAATGATGCTTGTTGCGAGCCATTGGTTTGCCGGTCGCTTCGCCAATAACGGAATCTCGTAGTTCATCGTGATGTACGCAAGCATCATCTTTAACTCATGCTGCACAAGAAAGCGCCCAGGACATGCGTGGCGTCCATGACCAAAGGAGAGAAAGTCTTCCCCAGTCGAGGTCAAACTCAGGTTCCGCATCTTCAGAAACTCGTCGGAATCTTTCTTGTCGGGATGCTCGGCTTCGAACTGCTCCCGTGGTCTGGAGTAACGGAATGCATCATAGACATCAGGGATTTCGAATATGGAAGGGTCGTGATGGCGGTTCACCAAGTCCACAGATATGAATGAGCCAAAGGGGGCCGTCCAGCCTTCCTCGTCGTTGTGCAAACCATTTTTGGCGACGATCTTGCGTGTCGTTCCTCTAGAGGTGAAAACAGACAGCCGCATGCTTTCTCTGGCGCGGGGTCAGTCAAACTCATATGTTATTCTTCGCAACTTACTTGATAGCAGAATCGGCACGAAACATCTTTGCCAGGGTGGGCTTGTTCCACTTCCCATTACACTCCTCGAACAGACGCTCGGCCTCTTCGCGAATTCCTTCCACGAAGCCCATCACAGGGTCGGAGCTGAACAGATCAAACAAAAGCATTGTCGAGGTCAGCGCAGTTGTGTGTAAAGCTGCAAACTCGATGGGCATGATAAACTGCATCTGATGTTAGCATTGGAAATACCAACGCAGTCCGCTCACATACCTTTGCAATCATTTCCGGCTCGAGCTCTTTCTGCTTGCTTTCAGCAAGAGCGGTCCTGATGTGCCACGTAATGTAATCTTCAGGAATGTCCAATTTTGGATCGTTTGAGGTGATATCTTTGAGGCGCTGTAGTATTATGGGCATTGTGTGTTTACTGGTTCGCCAGTAGTGGAAGTGATTTGGAATTGTCATGAGTCTAGCAACGACCGGCAGACTCCAACTTGGGAAAAATGGTAGCAGAGCGACGGCAGTGACAACGTCCATGGCGAAGGCCGTGCTTTGCTTCAAGAAATCCTTGTCACGGCAGAGAGGCAGTCCTACAAACAAACGGTTGCTAATCCTGGCGAACATGTTAATGGCGATGTCCCATACAGGAAGCTCGGTCCATTTGTCCGTATTGAGCCCAAAGTTGTCGTCGACGCTCGCAGCAATTTCATCGTAGATATCTGGAATGATATGGTCAACTTTCCTCGCAAGGTTCTTGTGGATGACACGTTCATGGAACACGCTCTGAATGAGATAAGGGTCGGTAAAGTTGTAATCCGCTTGGAGCATGTCGTAGTGAGCTGCTCTGACGGAAGACACGTCGTCCGGCTGATTTGTGAGCCATCGCAACTTCTCTGAGGGAATGACAATCTCGTTTCGACCAGACGCATCAGGAATGATATATGACCGACCATTCTGACCGAACTGTTTGGTAGAGTTAGTATTTTGTCTGGAGAGGAAAAGCGATGGTAAGGTATGTGCACACCTTGTGGTATCCTTCCGCAAGCCAATCACCGCTGCGGGTAATGCTGGCGATCGTCGCCCTGGTCATTGATAAGACTTGGCGATGCTGCCTTCCCACCCATGGCAGCTGGGGATAGTGTTGCTTGACCCTGTGAGAGCTCCATAGACACATAGTATGATGATCGCTGCGCCTGCCGCGAAGAGGAGGTGCGAGGTATACATGATGGAGGATGTATTTCACCCGGACCAACACGCAAAGGAGAAGTTCCCCAAGATATCGTGGCGAGAGTTGAAAACGTGCCGTTTGTTATCAAATGTTAGGACCCTACAGCATTGGAGACTCGAAACCTTGTGTAAAGTTAATCTGGATGTAGCATGATTCATGAAGCATTGGATAACCTGGAAATAGGCGAGACCTGCGGGCCAAGCGTTCTGTACTACATAGGTAAACAAGGCAGTGGAAGCACCTCATGTGCTCACTGCTGTTACCCTCTCTTTATGGAAAACCCGTACGTCGTAGCGTACGAGTAGCTTTGGATCGTACTTCCCCTGAGATCGCCATTGTTGCCAGTAGATGTATCGCTTTGCACCATGGAGTTGATCGTAGCACAAAAGAGCTTGTCCCCTTGCCCTTGGCACGTCCTGACGAAGTTGAGGCGTACCTCAGCAGCTCGACATGGACTGATCAGCTGTGCTGTGTCGCAAAGAGCGACTCTCGGTGTCGCGACCCGTTGTGGTCAAGTTTCACATTGAAGCAATTAGAAAACTCCAATTACATAGAATAATCGGCACCCACGCTCGGCATCTTCCAGCCGCGCGCGACGGGAGACGGGAGGGCGGCGGCAAGCGCAACCGCGACGTCCGGTACCTGCAGTCAGTCACTTGGAGACTTTTGGCAATACGTATTCCAGCAATGACAATAATACGTCCGCCTTTACAACAGCATCATTCCCAGCCGACAGCAGCATGAATCTCCTATACTACTCCCTCGGCATCTACCTCCTCGCCTCACCCGCTTTCGCTTCCGCCGCATCCTCCAAGAAAGACACGTCCGGACCAGATCCAGCATGCGGCATCACCTCTCCAACTTCAGGAAGCTTTTTTGACTTGAGCTCGCTGCAAGTCCTGGACCCAAAGACTAGCAAAGCGAAACATCCCCGCGAACACAGTTGGAATGCTACGGGCTATGATTTGGGGTACAACTTCACAGTCAACTTCTGCGGACCGACGATAGAGCCGGTGGAGGATGTGGTTGGAGTCGACAAAGATCTCTGGAGGAATGTCAGTGCCTACTACAAGCAGAATGGAAAGACATATTCGATTGGGTGAGTAGTGTTGTGGTATTTGGTCGAGTTGGATGTGGTGTTGATGACAGGTGTGCAGGCAGCAGAATTCGGAGCTTGTGATGCGTGGTAGGAAGCTGGTATTGAACTATACCGATGGATCGCCTTGCGAGGATGTATCCAGGAAACTTGCGCACAGTGTAGAGGACTTGATGGCTCGGGAGATTATAGACGACGACGACGACAAGAAGAAGGGCAAAGGCAAGGGCAAGGGCAACGATGATGATGACGACGACGACGACGACGACGACGATGATAAGAAGGGAAAAAACAAGCCTTCGTCCGGGGTTCGGAGGAAGAGCACTGTCATTAGTATGCTCTGCGATAAGGACCCGCTCGCGCCCAAACTCACTCTCAGCTTTGTGGGCAGTCCGGATGAGTGTTCCTACKTTTTCGAAGGGAGGAGCGCAGCCGCATGTGCCACACTCAATACCACAARGGGTACACTMAACCCTGGAGGCGTATTCGGCGTGATTGTCATAATAGCAATGCTGGTGTACCTTGTGGGAGGCTGCGTGTACAACCGTGTAGTGTTGCAACAGAGAGGCTGGTCGCAGGTCCCAAACTATCATCTTTGGGCTAACATTCTAGGGTTCTTTAGAGTAAGTTGGCAAGACAATTCCCCATCCAGGTATCAGGCTCACACATTTTCTCTCAGGACATCTTCGTCATTCTGACATCCTCGTGTGCGAGATTCCTACCCTCAAGACGTGGTTACAGTCGCGTCAACGGAGGAATTGGAGGTATGGGCACTCGCGGCAGAGCGCGTGGCGACAGCAGCGACGCCGAGAACAGACTCATTGATGAGTTGAACGAAGAGTGGGACGACTGAACCGCCCTCGATCATGTGCTTGGTTTAGGAAATGGCCGTTGATAGAAACATGTACAGCCGCTGTGTGCCAACAGATCGCATGTCCTTCTCCCTTCCCCACCCCATTTTGAGGATCAAAGGCCACACTCGCCGTGTCTTCGCGGACTTCAATCTCAACCAGGATGCTCTGGAGGACCGTGTGAGCACAACATACCATCATCACGAGTAGTCAACGCCAGGTATTTGTGATGCAATGTGATCCACCTGCATATCCCAACACTCAAGCACAATCTTCGCACTGCTCTGCTGTATCAGAACTCGCCCCAGCAGTGCCAACCTTCGCATCAGACATGACGGCCTTTGAAGACGGCGTATCGGAATGACCAAGATCCTTTCCCGGTTCAATGTGATTTCTCACTCGCTGCTTCAAAATCTTCGCTTCCGGAAATCCGTTCTCGGCTTTGCGATCCCAGATCAAAACCTCCTCGACCTTGTCACCACCCGTCTTGTGGGTCAAGTGTACTGTGAAGATGCCTCCGGTGGCTGGAATCAAGGCGATTTCTCCGACTGTAGTTCCGAATGTGGAGAGTAATTCTTGTCCGAACCAGGCATGTGAATGCTGTCAGTTTTTGATGGTCTGTCTGTTGTATGGAATGATGCAGGACTTACTGCTCGTAGCATCCACTTGCATTGAGTGCAGTATGTTATGGCAATTCTGGGAAGTACAGGACTGGCCATTTTGTTTATGGATGTTTGTTAGGTACATGTAGGGTAGGTAGCGATGATGATCAAGATGCTTCACAGTTAGTGCATCAAAATTTCATGACTGCGAGCGCTATCCAGGGCGGATGCATCAATATTTGACTGGAAATTCAACGTCTATGTGAATCAAACTACATGCTGTGCTTCAGGGCGTGGGTACATATGTATTAATCGCCGTTCATTCGAGCTTCTTGAAGAATGCAAGCTCTTCATTTGGCATGGAAGGCTCTGCTTGAAAGTTCATGCCCTCTACAAGTCCGTCAGAATTGACCACAAACTGTACCTTCAGCGCTCCATCTGTAATCCAGCTGCTGGGCCGGCCAAATCTACGATGTGCCCACCACCTGAATGAGGTACTGCGGGTCAGTCTTTGTCTGTGAGACTGCGATACCCTTGTGGTCTCAAGCATCTACTCACCAGTTTCCAGACACATGGTGCAGACTGGCCCAAAACGCGCATGACATGCTCGGACCTGATGGCGATAGGTAGAGCTTTGTCGCGTCATCGACACCGATATCTCCAGCTATAGGAGGCGGTGTAGTCGAAACTTCCACGCCGTGATAAGCTGTATGCTCGTACATGCCTGCATAGCTTTGAGGCTCGAGTACACGCTGTGCATCCGAAGTCAAGTCCGTCTTCCCGAACAAGCGTTGCAGAACGTTCGCTGGCTGCATCTCCTCTTCCATCTTGGCCTGACCGATCCTCGCTACTGTCGCCATATCGAATCGCTCCGGACCAGGAGTCTCGAGTAATGTGTCAAGCAAGTTCCAGGCAATGATCTGGCTTGCTAGGCTGTAAGAGTTCTGCATGATAACAATCGCCCACCCACCATTCGTATTGCCACTTTGAACTTCAGCTTTCGTAGGTGGGACTATGAGCATACTCGCCATGTAGCCGAATATTGCGCCAGAGTGCTGTAAGATTTCGCGCCCTCGATAGACTTGCGAGAACAGCCCGAGACCATACGCTTGAGGTCCAACATACGGCATACTCTTGTCAGCTTCCAGCAACATTCTCGGGGTACTCATCGCGTTCACGGCCTTTTCGCTCAGCGCAGCGTTCAGATTGGTTGGCTTCAAGAGATGCCGTAGCCAAATGCCATAGTCGAGAACGTTAGAAATGATGCCACCAGCTCCATTCGCCGCTGGCATGGCTTCCCAACCCACTAAGGTGTGCTGTTTCGATTGAGAATCCCAGAGATAGCCTTGTGCTAATTCGATCTTTGAATCCTTGCTGGCAAGATCCTGAGCATCAGAGAGATCGTAAGTTGTGTATTTCATACCTAGTGGCTCGAAAATATACTCCTTTAGCAGCACCTTGAAAGGTGTAGCCAGTGTCTTGGAGATGCTGTGAGCAACCGCCGTGTACATGTTGTTGCAGTACTCCCACTTCGCACGTAGATCTCTTGCTATGGGAACCTAGTTGATACGATTCAGTGTAAGTCTTACGAAGGTGGGTGTACAGCTTCTCTGCTTATCGAAGTAGAATCGGCGAAGGAGCAATCCAGTTACAGGATGGTTCCGACTGGATCGCCCGTGAGCTGTGCTGAGCTTTTGTACTTTGAGCCGCCAATTCTACTGCGACATGTCGAGAAACTGCAACACTTCGTTGCTTACATGTCTCAATGACCGCACGATCTCCCGGTCCGACACGTCACCGTTCATCCATATCAGATCATGTCTGGGCATGCCGGTTCGATGCGATAGAGCGTCTTCGAGGGTGACATGATCAGTTGCATATCTACCTTCTGGCGAGTTCTGATCGAGTACGAAGTCCTCGGCGATCAGATCAGCGAGCGGAGTATTCCAGTCCACGCCGGAGTGTTCACTCGATTCGACCAGAGCTGCTGCCATAGCAGATGTAAACGATTTCGTAGTCGATCCGGCGAAGAACAAGGTCTGCGGCGTCACAAGGATTTTCTTGTCCACATCTGCAAAGCCGAAACCTTGTGCCCAGGTACGATCTTGGTGAAGCATGAGGATCGCAATGCCTGCTGTGTTGGATTCTTTGATAGTGGATTCGACGAAAGCTTCGAAATCGGGAGCAAATCTCTCGTATGGAGTCTCTTGTTCGGGCATCTTAACGAAGTCTTAGGAGGATGTAGAAAGAAAGTCATTGTGAAAGGTCAGCGGTGAGCTCAGTGGATTTGATCCTTCGCCTAATTGATCGGCCGATTGACTCGACATTGCACGACTCGTAGAGAGCCATGCGCGTGCTGCTGAGGGCATTATCATCATGTTCCGTACGTCTGTTCTTATTGCATCGCCGACGTGGTGTATGTGATTCGGGGCGAGTGTTGATTGTAAGACGATGTTGTAGATGGGAGGCGGAACTTGGAAGGCAGTCTCAATCTCGGGTCGTCTCCGGATCTTTACAGAGCGACCTCGTGCTTCAACTCCAACTTCGACCTGGACCAATACATCAACCTCTCGAGTACCTGGCCATTGCTCCAGCGACGACAATATCACGGTCAAGCCTGCTCATACTTCCGGCTGTTGGAATGGGAAACAGGATTGATATGAACTCGATCGAACACATTCGGCCATAAAAGGCCTCACAATAGGAGAGACACGCGTCGAAATGGATGCAATGATCACGTCCAGAACTCATGCAGAACACGAGTCTAGTCAGACCGTCATTTGCGGTCGATTCCTTRGCCCTTTGGACGCGTCCAAGGCACGTTTCAAACGATGACGGTCAGCCTCAAAAATGCCGCACTGTTGTAATTTCACCACAGGGATTTGGCACATAGGTGCGTGATTTATCAAAGGTCTGGCGGTGTTAAGTGCCCGCAACTCGCAGCTTTACCTCTGCATGGAACCTGTGCCTCCGAGAAGACTTGTGCCAGCATTCAGTCACCAGAACGACCATGAGACGAACTCTAGTTTCGCAACCAACATAGCACGGTCCGAGCACAGCGGCAATACTCTGCTACCAGCGGGCACGGCATGCTCTGATTCCGGAGATCAGAACGCTACACCATCTGTGCAACACCATGTTCCTAACGGTGCGTGGAAAGGCGGATTCCAACATGCGTACGCTGACCATTGTCTCGAGCCGAAGACCATGACAAGTCGGCGTTACTGCACGACTTGCGAGAGCTGTGCCTAGTGCTGGCATCGGAGTCAGATTCGAAATTCAACATGAAGACCACTCTACCCGGCCCGGGACCTAGCATCTTCGTGAAAACGTTGCATGGATTATGGCGAATGATTACCACCTCTCCTGTTGGAGACCGACTACACTGGAGCGCTATAGCTTATCATATTGGCTCAMAGTTCTTCGTTGTAAACACCCTCTTGGCCTGGGCGGCATACGCATATCCAAAGTCAGAAAAACCAGGCCAGGTGGAGTACGGAGTTGGACTCACCACGCTTCCCGGCAATGTCTTCTTCTGGATTGGAGCACTCCTTGAATTTCTTGATGTCATCAGTAAGGTCCGGCTTGACGGTCGCCTTATCAAAGACGAATTCGACTATGGATCAACTGATAGCACACCGAGGATCGTCGATGTCAGGCAAGCAAAGAACCGGGCAACTCAGATCAATGTCGAATCCTGGGTCCAGACACAGAAACACCCGACGCATAACGAGGGTGAGCGTCAGCGCTCACATCTTTCCTTCTTCCAACTATTGAGTTGTCACAGCACATATGACGCCACCTTCAACGCTTGCATTATACAGCTGGTAGGCGCGACAGTGTATACGATGATAGGTGTGGCAGACCTCCCAGGGATCTCCTCAGCATTGACGCCTGCGCAAAAGGTATCATCATACACCCGCAACCCAAGAATAGATGCTGAGCACCTGTCAGATTGGACTATACTGGACTCCCAATATCATCGCCTCGTGCTGCTTTGTAGGCGCATCGATCTTCTTCATGGTGGGAACCCAGCAGAAGTGGTACAAGCCTCGGCCGCAATGTATCGTGTGGTGGGCAACTGCATGGTCGCTGGTTGGCTCTCTTGGATTCCTGTAGGTTCAATCACGCATCTTTGGCCGGAAGCGGCGCTGACACCAGACAGCCTGAATGGCATACTTGGTCCTCTAAGCTATGGGAACTGGATCGCGGGTTACCACTGCCTGCTGTCGAATTTCTGGGGGTCGCTCGCTTTCCTTTGCGCCAGCACGTGTCAGATATATGATTGTGCGAACAGCAAACGCGTCGATTCGCCACCAGAAAGCTGAGAAAACTTCAGTCCTGTTCTACCRCCATGTCGAGATTGCATCGTGCCGTGCATGCGATCTCACCAAGATCGATTCACGTCGTGAACATGAAGCGCTGCCATTTTTACGTACGATGGGTATGGTGGTATAGAGCCAAACAATCCGCTTTTAGGTCGCCAATTTCACGCTTTTCCATGCACAGTCCGTCTGCGGAAAACATGTTCGCAGCCATCCAGAGATGCCTCGCAGGCTTTAGAGACTTGTGAAAGATCGCCAAGTCGATCTGTCCTCGGCCATTGACCAGTCGTCTACACTGGCGAGGCTGGGCGCCGTCACGGCGTTGAGACTCGCCCGTAATGCGGTTCCTCTTACGRCATAAACCCCCTTACCGGATGTCAAGAAACGCTCCGGCCGGATCCCACAACCATCGAAGCCGAGCTGCACCGGAACACATGCCACGCTTCCGACGACCCTGAAGACCATGWAGACCATATTGCGATCCAATATCCGTGATTGCGGACAGGAGTTCGTTTCCCAATCGAGGTTGGCGTCACCACGACATGTGAAGCTCTCGACATACCACGCTTCCTCACTCCTTGTGGTATACCGAGTCGATTTTTGAGCTGAGCAGTGTAGCTATGACGACTACAGCGTAGCCATGGAGGATCTTGTTCATACTGTTGTTGGCGTTGAAGCGGCTGGAACGCTTCACGACTCAAAGAACGAATCTGTCAGGCCATGCGCTCAAGCGGTAACCTTTGGCAACACCGGGATGACTGGTTGAACACCACGTGGAAAGGCGTGGTACTTCAATATCGTAGTWCTTACGCGGGTYAGTATCCAAGATGAAGAGACATCATGGTACGCTCCAAGCACAGGCTGCAGGAATCTTGCTCCTGCTTCCCCGACCTGATTTATGGTGTTGATCACCGCACATCACGCCTAGTCCTCGAAAGAGGCCCCAGGCGTCTCCGCGATCCTTGGTCGCCAAGCAGATATGGCCTACTGCGACGACCGTTGTGTTTAAGGCTGTCTCACCCAGGCTCGCCCATCCTCACTTCCCTCACAACGTCCAGCTACAGACCCAAAGGCGCTTCCCTAGTCTGGACTACTTCGCCTCAAGTATGTCAGATATATACTCGGCGTCCAAGAGAGTTTGAACTCAACATCCCAACCGTCGTCGTCGTCGTTACTACGCTCTCTAGCTCTCTTTCTTAATCTGATCACCCTTGTCATTCTTTATATATAGTCACTCGTTCTCATTACTACGCTTCACCATATGCGTCACTCACTTTTCACGCYGCGTGCTTTGGCGACGCTTACCTTCTCAGCGGCTTCGGCCCTTCCACAACATGTCGATCAAGGAATACTTGCCGAGCAGACTTTTGGCTGTCCTGGAGAACGGACTCTCAGTCTCTGCTGTACTGGCAGGATACCGTCGAATGGAGCCGCAGACGATTGCCAAGAGAGCTTGCATTTCATGATTGGCCCGACACGACTTTCTGCGGATGACTATTCTCGACAACTCCATTCAAGCACCGTCAACCAATGCGGCTCCAAGCAGCTGAACAAAGGCTACAAGCGTCCTGTTTGCTGCAAAGCAGGTTTCAAACCATCCGTAAGTGTGCTAACATACTCGTACCCACGGGCATATTCTGATGACCAATGCAGGGCAGCGCTCCAGGTTATACTGGCATGAACTGTATCGATGGGTTGGTRGACGGCGGCTCAAGATGGAGCTTCAAACCCAAGTATGACTCGACCGTCAAATCCAAGTACTCCGGCGTATCCAAGCGAAGCAGTTCGACGATTCAAAAGAGAGGTCCTCTGGCATCGGCAGTGGAGAGTATCCCAATCGCAGACAACGAAGCCATGATTTTCGCCTTGAGCCCAGAACCCGAGTTTCCCGAACATTTGGAAGGATCTCCGTCGTCAGCTCTCGCTCCGGCCGAACTCAACCATATACTCTCCGAGATGGATGTGGCGACCTCTAGAAGAAGCGTGCGGAAACGTTCGAGCGGAATATACCCGGATACCGAGCCTAGTGGCAGTGGTCACCAGACACAAGATGCCGTGCTCAGAGATCTCCTCGCCAGTAACATCATTCAACGAGCCTCGCGGGCGAAGGCCTTTGGCAGCGCGGGTGTCGTAACGAAGAGATCCTTGGCCCGTGGACGGAGGGAGCCCAAGGATATGACGGCTAGCAGCACTTGATGAATGGGATAAAGAATGCCGGAAAGAAGGGAGCGTAGATGCCAGGGCAGGAGCCAGATGCAGGACATTAGTAGCGATATTAGCGTTGTGATAACATTCAATTGGAAAATATTCAGATTAGCAGAGCTAGATAGCTAGCACGAAACAAGTAATGCCTGGGGCATCAGCGGCTTCCGCTGGGCTTCAAGTCCTTTGTTCTCACGTTTGCAAGGTCCAGTTCGATAGTGATGAGGCGGAGGACTAAGGAGGACTGAGGAGGTACCTACAGTAATCGTACCTACCTCAGTGGCTCCTGGCGATGACATTCCATTTGATTGGCTGTCTTGGCCCAATGCGGGGCGGGATGGTTATGGAAGTGCCATCTGAATAGTCTAGACTGCCTGCGTAGAACATCACGACCTCGACGATAACCATCAAAAAAAGACAATAGCAAGAAAAAGTGATTTCGCCTGATTAGTGTCCATCGCRGAAAAAAAACCCCCATTGTGTTTTCAAGTCTACACATCCTTGGGATCCTGCCTTCTGCTTCCTCTCCACCTTCCTTCCTTTATTTCGCCTGCCGTCGCATCCATCGTTGACTGTCAATTGCATCTACCACATCGCCTTTCATCCTCATTTCTAGACCCGCCTGGCCAAGCAGGAGCTTCATCCAGCAAGAGAGACGGAATGTCTTCAGAAACGACAACTTCCACTTCCGCGCTGGAACAACGCCTTTCGACACGCCTCGAGAGCGTTTTCGAAGACATTGGACAGGGTGAAGGATACCAACGCCATAACTCATGCTGTACATGCTAACATGATTCCAGCCTACAACAGCGTGGAGGAACGAGTCCACGCTCTGGAAAGCACTTCTCCCAACTATGTCAAGCGACTCAGCAAACTAGAAGGCATCATCCGCCCACAAGAGAAACACGACAAGGCCCTCCAGGATGTAGCCAGCGAATTGAACAGGATTAAGAACAAGTTGCAGACATTCGTCACCGGCTTCCAAGATCTGGAAAAGAGACATCAGACTCTTGCCAACGATCTCTTGGAGAAGTCCAACGGTTTGAGTGAGCGGATTGATAACATACGGCCAACCGACCTTACCGCGCTTGAGGAGGAGATCCGGGGAGTGACGACTGTCCTCACAGAGACCACTCATCACATGAACAATAGACTCGACAATGTCGCCTCGGAGTTCAAGCAGCAAAGTGACAGTATGGCGAAGAGGCTTGCTGACATGCCGATGATCGATGAGCATCAGGCAGAAATCAACGCCAGCGTACAGTCTCTACTCACAAGAATTTCAAAGGTGGAAGCCCAGCAGAACGACATCCCGCCGAAAGAGCTCTCGGCTAATGCCCTGGCCAAAGCCATGATAAGTCGGCTGGTGCAAGGTGATTCCATCGACAGCACGACCCTGGCCCGCCTACGGAAGGTGCTCCCTGCTCCTTCCTCTGACACCGATTCGCAAGATGCATCTCCGCCAGACAAAGCTGCGACCACGAAACCCGTCTCCACGCCCGCCGCATCATACCAGGCCCTCCCGGGGAAGGAACCGGCGCCGGCTCATGCACAGCGCAAGCGCAACATCGAGCAACCACATGGCGATGATGGTGGCGCCGAGGCTACAGACCAAGATACCACCCGACCACGCAAGCGATCCCGCGCAAATCCCAACTCGCGGAAGTCGAACGCCCGAAAATCTTTGGGAGCTGCGCAGACGATACAAATTGGTGAGAGTATCACAGAGACGTCTACTAGCCGCGGGACCCAGGAGGATACTGTCGACACAGAAGATTACGAGCCGGAGGAAGGCAGCGAAACAACACCCAAGGTTAGGCGCTCAAGTCGTACGCCCAAACCGAACAGAAAGCACGCCCCCTTTTACACCTTGAAATTCCATTGTTCGGCGAGTGACCAGATGGACTGAAAACTGTGTCGAAGTGTCATCTTGTATCGATGCGGTGGTAGTTTTCATGGAAATATCGTAACTCTGCTTCAACGACGCTTCACGAAAAGTATCGTCATGCTTCTGATAATCAGTCAAGTTATATCAATGGAACAGTCATTGGATTCATCACAGAACTTCCACCGTCCACAACCATGTTTGCTCCAGTCTTCTTCAAGTCAGTAGCTGTAAATGACGCTGCATATCGACCGGGAGGAAGCGTACCATGTAGCTTGAGAACCCGCTCGCCAGAAATCCCGCCACCCTAGCAACCTCATATGGCAGACCTGCACGCTCAAGACCAATAGTCTGCTTCTTCGTCTCGTCAGAATGCAGGCTTGAGGGAGGTAGCTGAGAATTCTGTCCCTTGCGATCGATTCTCTCAAGATTCGCTCCGACATCGATCTGTCCTGGCGAGATGCAATTGATTCGTACACCAGAACCTTTCAGAGAGACGACCTGGATCAAGCCATCAGCACATAAATCTATAGAAACGAGTTTGATGAACACACTCCCGCTTTCACAACGCCCAGAGCGGCGTGGCTACTCATTGTGAACGCTGGGCCCCAGCAACCTCCAATAGTGCTCGCTATACTTGCCACAACGATGATACTTCCATATCTAAAGCAAAAAGGTATACTGATCAGCGAATCTTTTACTGGCTGACCAAGCATGAAGCCGCATGTGTACATGGAATGGCGGGTATGCTCTGTATATAGCGATATTCAACCTACGCGTGTTCCTTTGGCGTGGCATTTGGATAGCTGCCCTTTGGAGATGTCTTCTTCATAGCAGCGGGTGCAAATTTCAAAGCATAAAAGGGAGCCATGGAATTCGCCTCGAAGAGTTTGTAGACATCACTAGGCGTCGTGTCGGAGATACTGAGCGGGCCTAACAATCCTGATGAATTGACATACACGTCGAGTCTCCACGACATCGCCTTGTCAGCGTTGTTGCTCTCGTCTAGTTATAGAGGGTAGCGGACGCMGAGTATACTCACCTGCCCCAGGCGTTTAGGGCGTCGTCAATGAGAGCCAAAGTCTCCTCTTCGGATGAGTTTTTGAAAGGGTACAGGATGACTTTGGTGTTGGGGAACTCCTTGTTGATGGTATCTGGTAACCCAGCGTGATCGTCGAGGGAAGATGACGAGCAGGCGTAGACGCAAGCGGCTCCATGAGCTGCCAATTCCGCGACTATGGCTCTTCCTACGGGCTGAGTGGCACCGGTTACTATGCATACAAACCCGTAGAGTTTTCCATCGACTCGATAGGGTGAAAAATGGCCGTTGGAGTCTGTTGAGCTTTTCGTCGTGGCTGCCATTTCTCTGGAAAGGATATCTTGGATGTTGATCAAGGGATCTCACGATAGCCGTAGAATGAGAATACATCTGGAACACATGGCGATGCGGCTCTTGAAGGCTTGTCTTGAAGGCGTTGCAGCTCTCTCCACGGAGAAATCGAAGCTGCAGATAAGCAATCATTCATCGTGTAAGAGCTACCATCCAATCGGCGACAATGCATCATACTCCTAGGAAACGCCCATTGCTTTCGACGTGCTGTTCCGCAACATCCTCTGTATGCCATGAGATGAGTCCTAGGATTGTTTCGGGCAAGATGTGTCCGTTATCACGCAACGCCTCGCGCTATCGAGCAGAGCCAAACTGAAGTACGAAAAGTACGCCGGGATGGGCAMAGTTGAGTATAGATGTGTCTTCACTTGCATCTCGAGCGCGGAGAACCTTATTTCTCTCTCCTTCCCGCGATGGCCTCAACCACCCCTTCCAAAGCTGGCCACTCTCGTCATGATACTGCTCTGATCCATGGTCTGTCAGCGACCGAAGTTCAACAGCTTTCGGAAGCATGCGTCGAAGCTAAAGCCAGGGCATACTGTAAGCGCGTGTGTTTGCTGCCTCTCTTGTGCTGTATCTAACAACATGGTCAAGGCCCGTATTCGAAATTCAGAGTTGGTTGCTCGCTGCTTCTGGCGAATGGAAGTATTGTTCAGGGTGCCAACGTTGAGAATGCTGCGTATCCGGTTGGAACGTGTGCTGAGCGAGTCGCGATTGGCACTGCTGTGGTACAGGTAGGCTTTGATTCTCATACTCAGTCAATCATCATGCTCACTGTTTCCAGGGTGCAAAGAAGGGAGACATCCGAGCCATAGCGGTCGCCACCGATATCAGCCCACCTGCGAGTCCGTGCGGAATGTGCAGACAGTTCATCAGGGAGTTTTGCGAGGTATAAATGTTCTTGGAGATTCTGAAGAGCCTCGGGCTAACACTACTAGCTCAATTGCCCGATCATGATGTATGACAAGGATGGCAAGTCGACTGTGATGACTCTGGAGATGTTGCTACCAATGTCTTTCGGTCCAGAGAAGCTCCTATCGACTGACGAATTGACGGCGAATATCGGGTCACAATAAAACATGGCACAGCAAACAGCCGTCCACGGGATACGCGTAGAAGATGGAAACAGAAAATAGTCAACGATCCACCAAGGTCAATGTACCTCAGTACCTCTTTCCGAAAGCGGAAGCTTACCTCATCACTCACATGTGAACTTCAATCTTTTGACTCGTCATACTTTATACCTATTGCCTCACATCACACTTTTCTTTGCACCATCTTTCACAATGCGCTCCCAAATAGCCCAACAGATGAGACGAGCTGTCACAACTACATGCGCCAGAACACCTCCAGCCCGCACACCCTTCATCTGTGCAAACTGCCGTGTGCAAGTCGAAAGAGGCGTCCCATCCCCTCGAGCATTTACCATTTCCTCCCAACACAGACAAAACTCCAGCGACAAACCTCGAATACCCGAAACCCACTACGACTTCTTCCCAGAAACATTCCCTCAAGGCCCACCACCCAGCGCCTCCTTCTCGCCCGATCTCCGCCAATTGCGCAAGGAATTCCTACAACTGCAATCAAAAGCACATCCGGATCTCGCTCCTCCAGATCAGAAAAGACATGCTGAAGCACTGAGCATGCGTATCAATGAGGCGTATAAAACTTTACAGGACCCTCTGCGGCGGGCACAGTATCTTCTGGCGCAGAGGGGAATAGATGTGGAAGATGAATCGGCAAAGCTTTCGGAAAGTGCCCTGTTGATGGAGGTCATGGAAGCCAGGGAGGCTGTGGATGAGGTGGAGAACGAGGAGGATCTTGTTGCTTTGCGAGCGGAGAATAATGCTCGGATAGAGAATAGTGTGGCCGTGCTTGAGGATGCCTTCGCCAGGGAAGATTTGGAAGCCGCGGCGCAGGAGGCGATCAAGTTACGGTATTGGTGTAATATTGCAGAGAGTATACAAGGATGGGAGAAGGGAGTCGGTGGTGGGGCAATACATCATTGAGCCTTTCACACAACACGATAGATTTGTACAAACGTGGCTTTTCATTCACGAGTCTCAGGTTCGCCTCGCGCTGTGAGCTGTAGATTCTGACTCTGGTTATTATAAGCATCAATTAAAGGCGATATTCATGCCWCCGTTGGTCGTATCGTGCCCAAATACTTCATCCAGTCAAAACATGTTTTGCGCCATTCCTAAACTATCATCACTTTTACAACTGCTTCTCATCATGACCCTTCTCCTCTTGAATGGGAGATCCATTAAGGTCGCTGGCATTCCCGTTCGCTCCCGGCTTGAAGGGCGAATTCGCACCCTTCTGACCTCGTGTGCGTTCGAAGAACGTACTTATCTCGGAGCTCCAGTCGTCATCTTCGGGAGCCTCGTGACCCTCCTTCTCGGTGGCATTGCGTGCCATGGCGGCTTCCCAGTCAGCTCTCATCTCTTCTACACGCTGTTGATAGTCCAGCTCGGCGTTGTACGGCTTGTGAACCCCACGCATTATCTCCCACCAGGACAGATGCTGTTTATGAATGGCGACACCGTGGTACTCATTTTCCCGTCCAGCGCGAATGTAAGCCCAACGACGCTCCTGCTCCTTGAGATCAAGCCCTGTGGTATCGGGAAGGAAAATCCAGGTGAGAAGAGCTCCGGCGAGACCGAACCAAGGGACGACCAGGAAGCGAGTGGGCACGTCAATGTAGTTGTACAAGACGGCCGCTGTCAATGCACCGAGCTTGCCGCAAGCAGCGGAGAAACCGTGAGCAGAAGCACGTACGGGAGTCGGGAAGACTTCCGCGGCGACCAGGAAAGTAACGGAGTTTGGACCAAATTGGTTGAAGAAGGAGGAGAGGAAATACATCGCCATGAAGCTATGCACTCCGGCWCCTTTGGCGAAGTATTCGTAGTTGAATGCCGGAATGACGAAGCAGATGAAGTCGCCCAAGAAACCGATGATTTGCATCCATTTGCGGCCATAGTTCTTGTTGTCGATCAGGAAGGAGGCTAGGTAGTAGCCCACAAGCGACACACCAATGTTCAGGAGGTTCCACAACCAGTTGACCATGACAGAGCTAGTGTTACCCGTGATCGTCGCGATAAACTCGGCCTGGAAGAGCTTGTTACCATAGAAGAAGACATCGTTGGCATACCATGTACCCGCGGTTGCGAGAATACGTCCACCGAAGTAGGTGAAGGTCAAGCCCAAGGACTTCGTATCGTAGCCAGTGACAGATCCCTTCTTCTTGGCCTGCTGGAGAGTCTTGGATGCAGACCTCATCTTGTAGGTACGGTAGTAGCAAAGCCAGAGGGTTCCAACAGCGGGAATCGCAAACGAGACACGGTAGGTCCACTGCACCAGTACCTTGCCGTATGGCGCAGTTGAGCTGCCACCGTGGAAGATCAACAGTAGAAGGATGAGGATGACCTGGTTCAACCATTGACCCCATCCTTGCATGAGGAATGCAGAGGTAACTTTGCGGCCGCGGTGTAGACGATCGTCGCGAGTAGAAATCTTCCCAGAGCCAACAGCGTTTTCCATCCCGGAGGTAGCAGTCATGGGGTATTCACCGCCAACGCCAATTCCGTAGAAGAACAGAGACCAAACATAGCAAATGACCCAGCCGTCTATCACCTGTTAGCACGACTCGAGATCATTTTGTCTAGAAACTTACTAAGTGTGAGTCCCCACGAGGCTGTGAGCATGAGCAATCCGACAAACATGATGACGGCGTMCTGGATCAGCCCCCATCGTCGACCAAGCCAATCGCCCAGAACTCCTACAAGAATCTGGCCGACGATGATTCCACAAATTTCAAGGTAGTCAACAGATTGAATCCATGTCTTATTGCAGACGACATTCTCCTTTCCCCAACACAACGGGAATGCAGCTGCGAAGAGTGGCTTCAGGTTTCCAATTGAGAATAGCACGTATCTGAGGCCGAGTCAGCATGATTATGTTGGAAATCTGTGGAGAATGCTCACCCTTCGAGTAAAAGTCCCATTCCGGGAATGACCATGTTGCGAAAGTAGAAGCTTATGGGACTTAGCGGATCAGCCTTCATCATGCTGCCGATTTCCCGGAGTTCGTTTTTGGCCTCCTCCGAGTCGACCTTGTTAACAAAGGCAACACGCTTGCCAATGGGCATGTCGGCCCAGTATGTGCCGTTCTCGTCGTAGCTGTCGTTGGGTAGAAGAAGACCGCGAAAGACGGAGGCCTCGCCGTCTTTCATGTCAAGGTTCGCGGTTGCAACATGTTCGCCGCCCATGTTTGGGCCGTGAGGAGCAGCGAGACCGTAGTCTCGCATGGATGAGTCTGCCATTTCCGCAACCTCTCTCGTCCAGTGGATGTGAGATTACTGCTGAATCGCACAAGTTGTGGTGAGATGAGAGTGCTGGGGAACGCCGGGCTCTGTTATACCAATGCACGGAGTTCGGCCCAGAATACTGGAGATTTGCGGCGTGGAAGTAGCTAGCTTGATATAGGGCAGTCAAGGCGTGGGATCGGGCGCGCTGACGTCTTTCTTGCACGTTGCGAGCAAACCGCTCTTGAATGGCTGCTGCAATGGTAGGATCTGACGGGCTAACAATCGTCGCTTGCTAGACGCATCAGACGGACCGACCGGAATGTGTGGTTAGGTGTTCTGCCTGGTGGCACAGCACATGTGCACAGGTTTCCAGGAAAGAGCGAGGGATTGTAGGATGGAAAAGATGATGTGCGGTGAACAGTTGCTTTTCGACCTGATTMAGCGGATGACAATCAGTATTTTTAGCTTTCACGTTTCGACCAACGGATCACATCCCAGTAAGCAGGGTTCACCGTAGGCTCGCTCGAGCAGGCTCAACAGGAAGGAGAATCGTGGGTCTACCTACCAAAAGCTCCGCATGGTGGAGCCGGTAAAAAATCTCTATTAGTTTGTAATGTTTATCATCCGCTTGGGACTACTAGATGTGGCCGTCTGCTTCGATGCCGTCTTAAACTCTCCATACAGCAGCTGCCGATTTGGAAGGACCCGTTAAACCGTCGACAAGCTGGGATGTGACGTTATTCTCAAGCAACGGCGAAGCTGGCGAAGGCTGGTCAGTTCGCTCTTGCAAGTTGCAAGCATTCGCCAATTGCTTGGCCTTACGCACGTCGCCGTTTGTCGGCATTTTCGCATGCAAGCGAGCCACGCGGAAAAGGAAGTTTGAAGAGAAGTTTGGAATCCAATGCCGACTGCGTGAGAAAAGACCAATCAGAGGTGGGGGATGAGGCACGTTTTCGAAGTGTAGTCCAAACAGTCCAGACGCTAACAATGCAGCTCGCATCCTGCCGTGGTTCCGCTTCTCACCAGAACTTCCACCTCCGCACAGGTCAGCGAGTCGCCGCCCACGATTGTACATACTCCAAGTTGGTGTGAGATGTTACTGTTACATTTGCCACGCCGTGCGGTGGACACGCCTATATTTGATTGGGCTTCCTTGATGCATCCCCGTACAGAATGCCCAGCGGCGTCTCCGGTGGCATACTCAAAGCGTACGCCCCATTCGAAGAGGATCTTGTGTGTTGCACCGACGACAGGTGCCGTCATCAGATCGTGGCGCTTAATCATGKGCAAGAAGCTTTGCAGGCGCTCGCTTGTCGCGGTTGGCGCCAACGATCGTGCTGATACCTCGTGGTAATAAGGAGGGAGGAAGCTTCAAAAAGCTTCGATGATCGTCCTGTTTCATCTCGAGGCGTGGAAGAGTGACAGTGCCGGGAGAGTGATGCTGTTCGCACGTGGTTCCCCTCGAACTTGGTTGGTGAAGCTGCTGAGAATATCGTCAATTGATGTCGCCGTCGACTCCGATGCGTTTGAGAGGCAGCATCGTACGCTGGTATCGTCAGGGGTCGTCAGGTTGGATCGATGGCTTCTCTTCACGTCTCTCCGATCTTCTTCACACTCGCTAACAAGACTCCTCAAACACCATTCGACACTCCTACCGAGTGAATTGCAGACTTCGATAATGTCGTGGAGCACATTGTGATAGCCAGGTGGGAAAGGTGACAGCGTTGGTGAGCATTGTCAAGCAGTCTCATCATCAATTGACGAACATGTGTATTGTCACGCCGGCAGTCCACACACATTACTATCTCCAGCGCTTACAAGCCTGGAACACGAACGACCTCCTAGGGTTTGAGAGCTTTCGTGCACTCGTGTCAAGGACCATGTTTTGCGCCACACGCCGTGGCCAAGTACCAAGTACCCCACAGGTTCGAGGCATACTTTCGACTAGTGCGCCATATGCATGTTGTGTTCTGACCGCAGCAGGGAGGAGAGCCAGATATCCGGGATGGCCCTGAAAACATCATCTCATCGAGGCAATAAACAATGTTAAATTGAACTTTGGAGGCAAACTTTTCGATACCTTGCCAAAGCAGCATCTGTTGCTTTCGATTCTTGCCGTGCATCGTGTACCACGGGATACAAGCTCATCCCGGTGGTTGCACCACCAAGCTCATGTATGTAGCAGCCGAGCATGGCCGCATCGTGGCTCATGTTCACAACTTCCGCAATTGAAGTGCACAGCATTGGAAAAAACATGGAGGAAATAGATGGTACAATCGACCTCACTCCATTTCTTTTTGTTCTGGATTTATGAAACAGTAGACACAATCCACGCCGCATGTCGCATTCATGCATTAGTGGCGAGCGCGGTCCGACCCAACCCATATCCCAAGTTTCATCATGGTAATGTATTGGAATCCCCAAAGAAAGCTCCATTGTGGGCAGCGTGCATGCCAAGAGGCACAAGACATTTCGGCATCACAGCGGCATAATCTAGGCCAAGAAGACGGAGAGACCGGCGACCAAGGCGAAGCCAGCGGCAGCGATCTTGAGAGAGCTGGCGGCGCCACCAGCGGGGATAGGCTCGGATGGAGAGGCAGCACCAGTCTCGGAAGATTCGGCGGTGGTGGAAGTGAGTGTGGTCTTGGCAGAAGTGCTGTTTCCAGCGGTAGTGGGGTATGGGACGGTCGCGTTGGCAGTCACAGCGGTGGTGATGGGCACTGTTAGTTCATCGAATTAGCATTGAACATCACAGATTGAAAGAAGTTTTCAATCGTTGAAGCGAGGGAATTACGTACCGACTGGCGCGCTGGTGGCGTTTGAGTAGACCGAAGATGGGGTGGGGACAGGCACGATGGCGACCGAGGTGGTGGACTCCGCCGGGACATAGGCGGGTACAGTGGTAGCCTCGACTGGGTGGGTTTCCACGGCTGGAGTGGTCTCCACGGCGGGCGGAGCCTCGACTGGGTGGGTCTCCACGGCGGGGGGAGCCTCGACGGGAGTGGTCTCGACGGCTGGCGGAGCCTCGACGGGATGGGTCTCAACGGCAGGTGGAGCCTCCACCGCTGGGGTAGTCTCAACAACGGGCGCGGGCGGCGCGGGCGTTGCGTACGCTGGTGGGGCTGGGGGGGCCATTGGGCCAGAGTAGAACGCTGGGACCTGGATTTGTCCGTCGCTGTGCATTGTTAGCAAGTGGTTGTGCTGTGAAGGTGAAGCGAGTGAACATACGCAATCTGAGAGACGGGGCCGTCGGCGGAGACGTAGGCCGCCATTGCGACAACGCTGAAGATGGTGGAGCGCATGTTGCCGAGTTTGTTGGTTGTAATTAAAGAGTTGTAATTGAAAAGCTGCTTGATGGCTGCTGGTGATGGAGGCAAACGAATGTGCTTGTTTGATGTTGCAGAGTGAGGGTGAGAGGTGGAAAAAGAAGAGGCCGATGGAAGTGGAATGCAAGTTGATATCTCTCCACCGACAAACCTGCATTGAGCCTAGTGTGTTACAGGGTTGTAGCTCCTTACATGCCACCCATGTGCGTTTTCCCACTGTACCTGAAGATGAACCGGTCAAGTCCCAACAGGTGTCTGGGCTTCCCTGGCTGTCAGCTCTTCCTTGTTGCGGTCTCACGATCAGCAGTTCGCCTCTGGTCCTCACCGAATCTTCCCGCCAAAATGCTCAGCATCTGCAAAGTCTGCACAGCGTACAAAAGTACGCGTTGAGGTGCCACACAGCCATGAAGCCACTCTACAAGCTCAAACGCGCTAATGCGCCACTGCTTTACGCGCGGTCCTCCACAACTCTTTCAGATCAGACCTGAGTAACGCGACATGCAACCCCTGACGCTACCGCACCCGGGAGATGTTGTTTGCCAACGTTGCCACGACAATGCTGTCGCAAGGCGGTTGTGCTTTGACGGACAAACGCAGAGAACTGCCAGATTGGCGGAACTGAAGAGAGAGTCCTAGCGGGTGCACTGGTGCTACTCTGGACCACAGGCTGGGATGTACTATGAAGGACCGTGCCAGTTTAAGTAGGCATCAATATGGCCCGGTTTGGCTACCAAATGAAATGATCGTTTGCTGGCATTTCAGAAAGCATGCTGTGATGTATCATGTGTACAGCTCATCGCGATCCGCATCGGAGTAAAATGACCGGACTGGAAGAATACCGCTCAGCGGGGTTCTCGGCCTGTCCAGTCAGGAGTAACATGCGCAGGACGTCGGTCCGCTGTTCGTCAGGTTGTACAAATTTGGGATGGCACCACGGATCGTAAGCCAGATTGAAGGACTCGGCTCCTAGACCAGGAAGGTGGCTATTGTTTGTGTTCATGTGGCGTGTAATCACTTCAGACCGGTATGCCTCTCTCCCTCCAAGCCCTATCCAAAAGCACACTGGCTCCTCCAAAGGAAGGACGTTTCTTCACCCTTGTATTGACGTCTTCCAGCTCTTGCCACGTAAGTGAGATCGTGTTGAGGACCATCTAGGCATGGATCTGTTCTGTCGTACGCCTGAACTACCAGAACCATGGCATCTATGACACTCTCCCGACCTTATCGGCGCTCGCCCAGGAACGCGACTCATCCATAATCGCGGTGTGGACTGGCAATATATCTGCTGGATATCACTCCGTCGAATTTCTTGCTGAAAAGCATGCTCAATGAATGAGGCAATAGAAGGTCCGATTGTCATCCAAGCAAGGTCGCAACTGACGTGCTGGAGGTCCAAACGGCCAAACTAGCCTCGATTCGGCGGCCCAAGCCGATTCCTTCGCGCGATGGCTTTCCGACTGCAAGACACACTAAGGACCTGATGATGAATGCTCGTGGGATCGGAYGACGGTATCATCACTTGCGGACATGCCTCCTCGGTCTATGGAGACTGTGCATATATAAATGTTGTACAGACTGGAACTGGAGCTAAGAGGGACATTGCGACTGTCCTGGCTGTACATCTTGAAACACGGTGCCTGAGCGTCAATCTACAGGTTCAAGTAGAGGTTGGAACCACCCCTGAGCGCCTCGCTATGCCATCAGAAGATCCTGATCAAACACTCTATACCGCCTGGGCAGTTCCAGCTGCCTACAAGCTTGGGGCCGTACCATTTCAACGCCCTATGACCTCAGAGCATCCTGCGTGCGATCGTCCCAACTTCTGAGGAGTTTGAGTGCTCGCTCGTAGGCCCACATCGTTACGGCGCTCGATGGTGCAGCCTTGATCAAACTGACCGTCAACCCTCTGTAGAGTCCAATTGCTCCTTCTCTCGCTAGTATTGTTTTGATGGTGTTCAAGACGCCTCGTTCATATACGGGTATTCGAGCGCCTCCAATGTACTTGCTGCGACTGGGACCTTGAACCTGCAATCTCTTCCTCACGGTATCAAGGGGAAACACCACGCTCTTGCTGAGAATGCTGGCCGTAACTCCTGCAACGGCATCTCCCGATCCAAAAGGCAGATGGATGGTTGAAAGTCTGGGCTTGAGGCCTTCGTAGAGGGCAAAGAAAAGTCCCATATAGGGAACAATTTGACCAATACCGGCACTGATACCACGGAAGAAACCTGCCGCACCCTCTGTACGCGTAATGTCACGAACACTTCCCAGCAGCCCATCATAAACCCTCTCAGTGCCCTGTGCAGCGAATCTCGTCCGCAGAAGGTCGAGGGGATATGTCGTCGTTGTTGCTGCAGTTCCCGCAAGAGCACCACTGATGAAGCTCTTGGCTGCTCCTGGTATCCTCAAGTCACCCTCCTCGGAAAGTCTGTCCAATGCTTGAGAAGCGCTGCGGTAGGCGAGGAATTGCACAGCGCCATAACTGAGGTATAGCCCTTCCGCGGGTATATTCCCCTTCCAAAATCCCGTGATGCCCTCATGTCGTAGAATGTTCTTTGCGACAATGTAGATTCCGGTGGGTGTTTTGGATGGGATAGGTTTCGAAAGCGGGTCGGCGAGGGAATGATAGTGAAGCTGCAGACGTATCTTCACCACATCCAAAGGTGMAATACAGAAACGTGATATTAGGCCAGCAACTGCGCCAGCGACCACGACTTGACCACGGGTGCCCTGCATCGCAACTGGTGAGCCATTGGCCGATACCAACGAGGGTTATTGGAACCTACCTCATCGCGGAGATGCTCTGGGGCCGCAGACATCCATCAGCCTGCCAGCGGAACGATATGAGCAGGATTCAAGAAGGTGGGAGAAAATGCAAATGATGATGAAGATCGCAAGCGAATCTGGTCACGGAGATCTTCGTACAGGAGAGGAGCTGTCTTTTGGCGCCAAGCCCAGGAAGATGCTCCGAGGCTCTGCTCTCCAGTCGGGTACCTTATTCGTGTTCCCTCTGCACCCACATACCAAGTAGTCTCACTCCCACACAGGACCAAGAGAGACGAGTGTACATAGCGGAAACCAGAGATGTCGGTCAGGTCCTATACCCGGCTCTGCAAGCGGCACCTCGCATGCCTCGATAAATCATCGTTGAGCCGACATCGGGTGCCGCCCCAATGGAGGCTTGCGTCCAAAGTTCAGACTGCTGAGTTTGCATTGGCCACAGATGCTGTGCACGATAAGAGACGCTCTCTCAAGGGCGCTGTCAGTCTCACGATCGATGGCGAAGACTACAAGTTCCCCCCGGTTCTGYTGCGAGACCTTTGCTCATGTCCTCTTTGCATCGACCAGTCCACCCGACAGAAGCTGTTCGCGACTGCAGACATTCCATTTCACATTTCCGCCAATAACTGCACCGTAGGTCAGGAGACTGCTACCGTTTCCTGGGGGGACGATGTCCCCGGATATGGCCGGGAGCACAAGTCCGAGATACCGCTCAGCGCACTCCGGAATATCATTCAATTCGGCAAGCCGGTTGGCCACCGAATCATGGATCAGAATCTTCCGAGAAGAGTGTTCTGGGACGCGAAGCACTGGGACGCGAAGGGGTACTGGGACGAGAAGGGTTACATGTATCGCGACCTGGATTTTGATTACGATTCTTACATGCATGATGATAGTGTCTTACTCGCCGCCCTTCAAGCGCTTCACACGCATGGACTCCTTTTCATTAAATCCGTTCCGGGAGATGAGAAGTCTGTGGAGACTCTTGCTGAACGTATTGGTCCGTTGAAGAGCACGTTCTATGGCCGAACGTGGGATGTTCGATCTGTGCCTCAAGCAAAGAATGTGGCATACACCTCGCAGAATCTAGGCTTCCACATGGATCTACTTTACATGGAGCAGCCTCCTCATATTCAGCTGCTCCACTGCATTCGCTCATCCTCTGCGGGCGGCGCCAGCCTTTTCACGGACAGCTTTAAGGCAGTTGAAGACCTCTACAGATCTAATCCTGAGCATTTCGAGACCCTCAGCAAGACGAAAGCAGCGTTCCACTACGACCACCCAGGATCGCACTATTACCATCAGTTCCGTTCGGTTATCGAGCCGAAGCCCAGAAGCATAGGTCGACGAGAAGTCTCTTCATACCACGAACTCGAAAGCTTGTCCGCTCAAAAGATGTTCCAGCCAACCGACTTTGTGTCTGCTGTAGCCTGGTCGCCCCCATTTCAAGCACCATTCGCGTTGAACCAAGACGTGTGGCCCAGGCAACGTAGACCCAGCTCCGGCGCTCAACGTTTCAATGAAAGACTGGGCCGAAACGTACAACAGTGGCACGAAGCTGCGCACGAGTTCAACGGTCTTATTCATCGCGGTGAAAATATCTACGAACGGTTGATGAAACCTGGAGAGTGCGTCATATTTGACAATCGGAGGATTCTGCACGCTCGCAAGGCGTTTGAGGTCGGAGATTCCGGCAAGGAAAGGTGGCTACGGGGAGCCTACATTGACAAAGATCCGTATTTGAGCAAGCTTAGAGTCTTGATGGGACAAAACAGAGAGATGGAGAGTATAGTAGGCGGCATTGAAGATGACAGCGAGACCCCGATACCCGCTCGGAACAGGGCACCAAAAATACACAAGGTCATGCTAAAGGATTAGAGGAGACAATGGAGATGTTGGGGTCTTGACGTGATGCTTCAGATGTCGAGAACTAGGGAGTCCCAGTCACTCTTCCCAGAAAACAGCACCACACAGCGTCCCATTCCATCGGACGTTTCTCAGACCAACAGATTGCTCTCAAGCATCCTGACGCTCTGACATTGGCAGTGCGACTCTTCTCGCAACTAGTCATATCGAAAGCGGGCCTTTAGCCATCAACAATAACTTCCGAAGCAGAAGGGTCTATCCATGGGCTTGCTTCGTGTTGTGGATGCGCCCAACGTCAGCTTTTGATGATGCCAAAGCACTAACTAAGCCAATGGCAAGTACAACCAGCTGCGAGATGGATCCCCTGCTGGTCGGATCTCCGCAGAGGGTTTTGGCGTGATGGGCTGTCGCAAGGAAGCCGGAAGTACAAAACGTGATGTCGCTTGTCGATCATTCCACTAGCGTCCATCGTTGTTGCCGGGCCAAAAATAAGCTTCGATCTCACTTCCACTCCATTCTCGACCTACAGAGTCTCCCAAAATACATACCAACACCTCGGGGATCTTGACTGGCATGTCGCGCTTCTGGAGATTTTGAGACGCTACAGCGCACGCGATATAGTCCAGCATACTTAGGCGCCACGCAATGGGCAGCAGTAACACGACAGCAACAACAACGAAACCGACAATACCCAGGTAGCGATTGTGACGACACCGACGCTCTTTGACTCGGAGGAGCATCTTGGACCCGTGCACCATTGGCATAGCATCCCAACAGTATACCCCACCGCGGAGGAAGGCAAGCGTCGCGGTCACCCGCACCGTCCGCCGCATCATGGCCGCCGTGGCTCACCCGACGCGCCCGCAAATGCACCGCAACTCGCCCTTGTCGAATTTTGGAGCACCATACGGCTTCTCCGCCGACGCGCCCATGATCAAGCGCATCGATGTTGGCGATGACAGCGACTCCGATGACGAGCCCCCTCCGGCCCTCAAATTCTCCAAATTCACGCAGGAACTCCTCGCCGATGCCCATTCTTCGCCCAAACATGAAGTGTTGGGCGAGGCGCAGCGCTACAATCGGTCCATCAGCGTAGGAAAGGCGGGTTTGGACACTCCCAGCAGGGCACCAGGGCTCAAGATCATACGGCGCAGCTCCCCCTCAGCGCCTACCACCTCTGGGGCCCGGGAACGAGGACATACACCACCACGTATCGTACATCTAGGCGCGAAAGGGACTGGCTCCGAAAAGCGATCCATCAGTGTATCGGGACCCTATCAGCAGCGCTATGGGACGCGACGGGAGCCCACACCCGAAAGTAATGACATCAGATCTGAAATTGTAACGCCCGCGCAGGCTCCGCGAGCCACACGCGCAACTCGCATGCGAGCGAGCAGCAATGCCTCGCAGGACGACCCTGCGAATTTTGTATCATCCAACAGCAGGCCCGGCTCTCGTAATGCGTCTCGTGGACCCCCGGACACGAATGAGAGGAAAACTTACGCGATCGATCTCGGTCGTAATACAACTACACAACAGGCTCCAGAGACAATATCGAGATATGGCGCATCCACTGCAACACGTACACGCAACACTTCTGTAGAGGCAGCTTTGCCACCTGGATCTACGAGGATCAAACGGGCGCCTATTGGGACTGGGTCGTTTCTGAAAAGTGGACCTGTACGGCGCGGCTTCAGGCGAAGGGACAGCGAAGACAACATTTCGCCTATCGAGGACGGACCCGCCGGCTCGTCTTCCCAGCCAAGTGCCTCGAGCTATACGCCGCAAGATAGAAGTTACTCACAGATTGACAGCGCGAGGAGTCGAAGCGGGAGTGCCAACACCCGCGCGACATCTGTTGATCCCATATCAGTGCACGATTTCGCTCAGCAACACCATGGCAACGAATCTAGACCATCGTCACGTCAAGGAAACTCTTATTTCTCCAGAAGTCAAGCCAGTGTCGACTCCCGACCTGCGTCGCGACAAGCTAGTCATGAGCTTCCAAGGAGTCGTCAGCCGAGTCTTGAGCGCCCGCAGGTCAGAAGACAGGCAAGTGTACAGCAACTAGACATGGCGGCTGCGCCGGCAGTACAGCATCACAGACGGCCCAGCATGGATCCTAGCCATGCAAAGCCAGTCCTGGAGCAAAGAGCAGCGCATCGGGCGCCCAGTGCAAGTCGGCCGGCTTATCGCCACGCTGCGCCCAAGGTCACTACGGATGCCTCGGAGGATCAGGAAAACATGCCCCCTCCGACGTTTAAACGGAATAAGGACCAAGAGTTCAAGTACTTTGGGAAGCCTTCCATGACAGTCATGTCTGATGACGAAAAGCCCAAAGTCGCGTCCGTTCATGAAACTCCTGTGCCAGTTCCGCAGCAAGATCAAAGGAAGACCCTGGGAGCCATCAGTGGCAACACTCCCCATCGAGCGGCGCCTGCTCCACCACCAAAGATGAGTGTCTTGGACACCGCCACCACAACGGCTGGTGCATCAACTGCAAAGTCTCGGAAAAAGCGAAACCATATGGTTGTCAATGGCAAGATCTTCACTGCAATGGGCAAGATCGGCAAGGGCGGCTCCAGCGACGTCTATTGCGTAATGGCCGAGAACTACAAAACCTTTGCCCTGAAACGGGTGRAGCTAGATGATTGCGACGAGCATGCCGTGCGTGGCTACAAGGGCGAGATTGATCTTCTCAAGCAGCTCACCGAGGTGGAACGTGTGGTCAGGCTGTTTGATTGGGAGCTCAACGATGACAAGCAAGAGCTCCTTGTATTGATGGAGAAGGGGGACACTGACCTCAGCCGCATCCTGACACTTCGGCTAAACGGTGTCGATGCTCGCTTTGATAGCGCATTCACACGCTATCACTGGAAAGAAATGCTGGAGTGTGTCCAAGCGGTCCATGAACACGATATTGTGCACTCGGATCTGAAACCCGCGAATTTCCTGCTCATTCAAGGAAGGCTGAAACTCATTGATTTTGGCATTGCGAACGCTATCGACACGGACAACACTTGTAACGTGCACCGGGAGTCACACGTAGGAACGCCCAACTACATGTCTCCGGAGAGCATCACCGATACCAATGCTGGTGATGGCAGCAAGGACGAAGCTGGACGGCCATTGAAAAAGGACATGCGCATTGGCAAGGCTTCTGACGTCTGGAGTCTGGGGTGTATCTTGTATCAAATGGCGTACGGCCGGCCCCCTTTCGCGCACATTCCCAACCAGATCACACGAATCATGGCCATCACAAACCCCAAGCACATAATAGAATTCCCTGAGACTGGTGTTGGTGGAGCTACGATTCCACCTACTTTGATCGGCACGTTGAGGAGGTGTCTCAATCGGGATCCCGAGAAGAGGGCCACAATCAAACAGATGCTCGCAGAGACAGATCCATATCTCAATCCCGAGGGAACCGGAGCGGGATCCGTGTTAATAAGCGAGGATCTGCTGGGCCAGATCATAAACAAGGTCATCGATCGTTGTCGGGACAAGCGCGGCGTGCCGGGGCCGGAAGAGGCAGCTCAGTACCCCAAGAGTTTCTTGAATAGGATCAGAACCATGCAAGAAGCTCGATAACCTAGGCTGGAAAGAGGTGGTGTAGGAATATATTCAAAGCATTCATTGTTATCTGGAGCATCATGTTGGATGTGAAGATTGCATGTCAGTCTCGCACTGTTTACACCTCTTTCGTTTTACTGTCTCCGATTTGAATTGGGTCTGATTTGGATAGGCGAGGGAGATTGTTCCAATCCAGAATCTTGGACTCCTACACTCTCTACAGTGCACTGTCTCGTCTCGTCTCTCGTCTGATCTCGTCAACTCCATGCTGCCGTATAGTTATCTATGCCCACAACACCCAACTCATGCTTTCGCTCAACAAACACACAGCACTTCCCCTCAAACAGTAGGAGCAGACTTCTTCTTCTTGTCCTCCACGCACTCAATATTGTCCTCCGGAATTCCTTCATGATGCTCACCCAACCAATCCACCACATCATCACTGACATCTCCCTGCACCGTAATCTCCTCTCCACCACTCGCCGTCTTGGTCACACTACTACCCGTCGCAAACTTCTTTCCAAACGCCTTGGCCGTGGCTTTCAAATCCAGTCCAAAGGCCTCCAAACCCGAAATCTCCGTGACGTATTTACGTTTATTACGCTCCACGCGCTTGATGATGATTTTACTGGCGGCGCGCTTCTCGGACTCGCGAGCTTCGGCTGCTTCGGCTTTGGCTGCTTTTTTGATTGCATCTTTTTCGGCGCGCTTCTGGGCGTCTACGGAGAGGGTGCTGAGGTTTGCGGAGAGGGCGGCGTCGGAGTAGAGGGTGGAGTGAAGTTGTGGGTGGTTCTCTGACAGCCAGTCGGAGCATTTCTTGGTGGTTCCTGTGAATGGGGAAGGATGTTAGTTGGAGATGGCTCTTCAGTTGGAGGGCTGGGGGTGATTTACCGCCAAACTCGCAGTACTCTGGTGGTAGCGAGCAGACGCCGCAGTAGATTACATTCTTGGCCGGATGGGGCGCGGTGGAGGCGACTTCTGCCATTGTTGGAGGAGAGAAAGATGGTGTGGTTATTGTTTAGTTCATGTGAAGTGGGGTTGGTTTCAAGGGAAGGGAAGGCGCGGGGCAGAAGCGTCCCGCCAGGTCGTTGCCAATGTTTTTGGCGGGGGTGAATGTCAGGGTTAGGGTTGGGGTAGGCTGTTCTTCAGACATCTCCATGCATTCACCTCAACCCACCGCATCATGTATCGTGCTTGGGCTGATCTTGGTGCTGGGGCTCTGCATATGAGACATTGAGGGAGTTTGCCGTCCCATAGAGGTCCATTAGGTACTTGAGCCATAAGGTACGCAGGCGTTCCAACAAGCCAGCTTTTATTCAAGAAAAGCATGTGCATAAATCCCACCACTCGGAGAAAATCGAGCCTGCGAACAACCATCGTCCTTACATTCCAAGGTCCATTCGCGAGAAAGCCCAGTAGGAGATCTTTACTCCTGGCCCGTCGTAGCAGCATACAAAACCCGCATTACGTCAAGAGAGCACCCTACACTTCACCAACAGTGTGAGCCGAGTGTGGTTCTCTCAAGAACGCCCTCCCGCGAGTTGACTTTATTCTCGAGAGTACCGGCGGATGTCCTCATTTTTCCACTGTAATTTCAGCGGCTGCGTTAAAGTGATTTGATACATATTTCCCAAAATCTACTTCATGCTTTTGAAGACTATCATACAAAGCACTTCCCTCACACTCATTCAACTCTCAGGACTCTCGGTCCTCTCCTCTTCCCCGCCTTGACCTTCTTCTTGTTGCCCTTCTCGAACCCAACCGCATCTTGATGCGATCGGCCAAGGTTGTCAAGATCCTTGACCTTGTAAATTCTAATAATCCAGTTCTCACTGGTGAATGCCTCCTCAAGAGTGGAGAGCTCGGGTCCCTCGGCTGGGACTTTGCTTCCTCGTACGCGGTCCGTGGCCTGACCGGCTGGGAAGAGGGAGTTGTAGTTGTAGTAGCTCATCTTGTACATGAGCGAGTTGCGCATGGTTGGCGTTGCTTGGTCGTCAACACGGTATTCGCCACGTGGAGTGAAGTAGTCGCGCTCCTTGACCTCATCGGGCCAGATGCCTGTAAAGTTGTTAGCAATAAATTTCGTTGTTACATTGTCAAGATGGTGCTCACCCTCAGCGATTCGAACCATCCACAAGAACTTGTTGATGTCGTCACCGCTGTATCCTAGCAGTCCTCCAAACACAATAAGCACGTAGTCCACTTCGTGCTGTCTCATGATAGGGTAGGACACCTCCTCCCGGCTGGACATTGCCTTGCCGACGGTGGCGATATGTGTGTTGTTCCAGGTGTTGTTATCAACAAGCGTCGRTCGGTCAGCCATACCACCAATTTGGTAGCCGTAATCCCACCAGCTCATGACCTTGGCAGTCTGGTGAGTGTTTTGCCGCAGCCAGTAGTAGGCTTCACGGTAGTCGTCAATGATGTGCTGGCTGCCATCGGGTAGTTTAGACGCAAGCACGACGGACGGTGAGGAGTAGGCGTTCGAGGTCACCCATGTGCAATGCAACACAAAGAGGAGGAGATAAGCGGTGATGGCTCCAGTAATGACAGACTTGGAAAGGTAGCTGTAGATGCCGACCAGCGGCGCCTTGGTTGAGCGCAGAGACTCGGGAAGAGCAGCTTGAATCTTGTCGGTAATGTTGGCAGAACCATTCGTGCTGCCATTGGCCTTGGGCTCAGGCTGTGGCGCTGGGGTGCTGGATAGCATGAATGTGTCCAAGATCTGGCTGAGAGCAAGAGCTGCGGCTACACAGACCACAGGAGTGAGCGTCAACATCAGACGAACCATGACACCGGCGAAGTAGCTGGCAAGCACAGCGTAGATGACGATGAAGACCTGTTCGTCGCGGAGAGTGCGGAAGCACATGTAGACACCGGCCGGGAACAGCCAGATGAGCATGTTCAAGTCGAAGAAAAAGGCAGGCCATGCAGTAGGCTGATGCTCAGAAACGGATGCAATGATGGGAATGTGGATCTTGGCGTATCCAGTGTCCCAGAGGGAGTAGAAACGGCCACTCCATGGCGCAATGGTTCCCGAGACCGTCAGAAGTACCAGGCCACCGAATGCAACACCAAAGACGATCAAGACCATTGCACGAAGCAGGGTCTGGAACTGCTTGGATGGCAGCTGGTAGCGGACGTACTCGGCAGCGCCGACCAACTGGATGAGACCAAAGATACCCAAAGCAGCCATGTGGTCACTGCTGCGGATTGGAAGGAATCCAACGAAGGGAATCTGCATGCTGGCCAACGTTCCCAACGCATACCAGGTCGTGTAGCTGACATACAGTCTCGGGCTGAAGCGTCCCATGCAAATCAGCACAAAGGCGTGCAGAGGCAGCAGGTTGGTGATGAAGACGTATCCACCCCACGCGCTGACCATGTATCCGTAGAAAAGCGCTGTCAGGGCTCCCCACATGATGCTTCCCTCTTTCACAGCCTTGATCCACAGGTAAAAGGTGAAGACCAGCAGGAAGATGGCAATGGCCTCGTTATCGTACGAACCAGCCACACTTCTGCTGATGTATCCTGGGGCGATTCCCATGAAGATGGCAGCTAGGAGACCCGCGGAGGGGCTGTCGCTGATTTCGGAGGTGAGGAGGTATGTTGCAAAGGCCGTGAGACCAGAGCAAGCGGGTGCGAGAAGGACGCAAATGTTGCGAATGTCGACGGGCATCGCCAACGCGCGGAGGGCGTGGTAGATGGCACCCGAGGTGACCATCAGACCCGGGTAGAGCGTGCCACCGGTGACACGACCGAGAGGATGCCATGTTCGGTCGTCGAACCAGTCCCAGAAGTTGTAGAAGCCGTTGCTGACCAGGTATTTTGTTGCGCGGAAGTTGAACCAAGGATCGACTGAGTGAGGGATATGTGAGTAAGTGTATCTCCAGGGGATAGCGAGTGCAGGTTTCAATGCTTACATTCGTGGATGATGCTCTCGAAGCGGATGACGGAGAAGAGACGGGCGGAAATGGCAGCTGCGGCAATGGTGCAGAGGATGATCAGACGGAGCAGGCCTCGCGTGTTGCGTCCGCTCTCTCCCTTGAAGAAGAAATCGGACCCGGCGGTGTCGTGAGCCATGGCGGGTGGTTTGTTGGAGGCGTCAATGGCTCAAGATCGTCTCGTGAAGGTCAGTGAAGTAGCTTGACGTGTCCCTTGAGCTCCCCCGGAGTATGGCGCCAAGCCCGATCTCTACAAGCTTGCTTGCATGAGATGAGAGTCATGAGATGATGAGACAGATACCTTCGACTATGCCAACATACAAACATTGACTTGATTGACACGAAATAGCAATGCTCGGGGAGGATGAGGTAGTATACAAGGACACGTGTTATGCATACTGCAATGTCGCAACGGAAAATACATGGGCGAGGCGAAAAGGAGTCGCACTCCATCTCCATCATGCAGGCGACTCGTGAGATATGAGCGGAGTTGTAACATCTCCCACTCCATGCTAGTAGTACTCTCCCGCGATCCTCTCTCGATGCCTGACAAGGTTTCCATGCTTCTCCTTCAGCACATCCCCAAGCGGATTCTCCTCCCACCCAAGCTTCTCATCCAGCACCAACTGGGTATAGGCAAACACGCTTGCGTCGAACAGTTCAGGCTTTTGCTTCCCGAAAAACCACTCATCCCCACCCAGCAGAGTCGAGAGCGCCTCGAATGCATCCTCTGCATCGCGAATCAAATCCTTGGCCGAGACCACGGTCGTACCGGAGGATTTAACCAGCTCGGTTTCGGCTGCTGATCGTAGCTGCGATGAGATGGCATATTGAACCAGGAAGTTGGATGAACAAGGTGCGACGTAGAGGCGGTGCATCAAGGCGGTGTTTGCGCGGCAAAGATAGAGTTGGTACAGCTGGTGTGGAGGCCATTAGCAAGGAGAATCTTTTGAGAGCGGAGATTGTAATCATACCCATGCTTTGCGAACACGATTATCTAATAGTGAAGCATAGGCTTCGTATCGAATGTCTTCGTCTGCATCTGCTGCTTTCTGTCCAGGTCGTTGCGCTGCCAGCCACTTCTTGAGTCTGTTACTCGGGACTGGGTCCAGCAAATCTGTGCCTTTCACGGCAGGTTGTAGAAACGGTAGAGCTCCTGAAGGAGAGGCATGGTTGTTCGATTTCACAAGCCGAAATGACAGACCAGAGAATTGGAGAAAGGTCTGCCACTTCAAACAGCTGGGATTGTAGCTTGGCCTTCCATTCTTTGCATCCTCTTCAGTCGTGAAGATATGAAGGGTGTGCTCATCTCTTCGACGTGGAGAATCCAATGGCAGCTCGTTCGCATCGTATGTGAGCAATGGGTAGCGTGCAAAGAGTTGTCTCAACGGTGCGGGAACATCGAAGATGCTATATTTGGGTGGTGGCTTCGTGGGCGTGTCCTTTTTCAGGCCATCATGATCCTGCATTGTGTTGTGATAGGTTGTCACGTTCGAATGTTGCCTTGAGCTGCTCAGATGGAATTTGTGCGGCAGCCTAGAGCCGTCGACTTTCCGAACGCGTGCCTTGACGCGCCTGGCGCGAATGATCTCAATCACGACCACAGCTTGCCACCAACTTCACATCCTCCATCTTCCACCACCAAAACCATTCAAATCCGACTGATGCGCTGGAGCTGCCATCATGCCGACTGATATCCGCTCCTTTTTCGGTGGCAAACCTGCAGGCACCGTGGCCGAGAAACCCAAGCCCAAGGCCGAGGACAAGACGAAGAAGCGTGGGCGTGGCCGCAAAATTGTGGAAGACGACGATGATGATAATGAAGACGAGGAGCCTGCGACCAAGAAAGCTGCTGCGTCGAAGAAAACAACCGCGAAGAAGCCCGAGCCAGAACCTGAGCTGGAGGAAACAACGGCAGATGACTTCTTTGCCAAAGGCAAGCCCAAGCGGACCGCTGATGTAAGACCCAAGCCCATCAAGAAAGCGCCCGCAGAAGAGACGCCCAAGAAGAAGCCTGCTGCGAAGAGCAAGAGCGCCAAAAGCACACCCAATGGCCGTGCGTCGACTCGAACGAAGAAGGAAACACATTATGTCGATCTAGATGCAGATGACTTCCCCGATGACGATCTGGAGGGTGACGCGGATGATGTTGCAAAAGTGTCTGCTGCTACGGGACGGCGTCTTGGAGATGACTATCGAGAGGCCACGGATGACGAGGATGACCTGCCACTTGTGCCCAAGAAGAGGCAGAGCGGCAAGCAGAAGAAGATCAAGGATGATGACGAGGACGACTTCACCCCTGACGGCGATGTTGATATGAAGGATACCAATCCAGAGGATGATGTGGTCGTCCCTGACGAAGACGAGAGGATTGTCGAGAACAAGCCTGCGAAGAAGACACCCGCCAAAGCGTCAGCCAAGCGCAAATCAACTGCTCTGGATGAGGACGATGACGATTTGGAAATAGAGCAAGCAAAGCCAGCCAAGAAGCGTGCGGCTCCCACCAAGAAAGCGACACCTGCCAAAAAGAACGCCCCCAAAGACAGCGCAGAGCTCAAGGCCATTTTCGACAGCATTCCTACCATCGAACCTCCGCCGCCTCCACCCAAAGCAGACGATGATGGTGAGAAGAAGAAAACGTTCCAATTTGGAGCGCATGCCAATTCTGCGGTTCCAGCTGGAGCACTCTCTTCTGCCGACATCCCAACTGGAAATGATAACTGTCTGGCTGGGCTTAAATTTGTCTTCACTGGTCAGCTTCAGCAGCTTGGTCGAGAGCAGGGCCAGGCTCTGGTCAAGCAGTATGGTGGTCACGTCATGACAGCACCCTCGAAGAACACCAGTTTTGTGGTACTCGGCGAGGATGCTGGACCAAAGAAGCTGGAGACTATCGAGAAACTCGGCCTCAAGGTCATCAACGAGGAGGGATTGTTCGCGCTGATCAGCAAGCTTCCTGCCAACGGTGGTGACGGTGCAGCTGCTGAGAAGCAGGCCGAGAAGCAGGCTAAGGAAGAGGAGAAGATTCGTGCGGCTGCAGCGGAGATCGATGCACAGGAAAAGGCAAAAGCGGCCGCTGCTGCTAAATCGAAATCTACCACGACAGCGAAAACATCGTCAGCTCCTCAACAAGCCAAGGCAAAGGCGGCTGCAGATGCGCCAGACTCTCGATTGTGGACTGTTCGCTATGCACCGCAATCTTTGAGCCAGATTTGCGGAAATCAGGCTCAAGTCATAAAGCTGCAAACGTGGTTGCGCATGTTCCCCAAGAATCAGCGAACTGGCTTCAAGATGCCTGGCAAGGATGGCAGCGGTACGCATCGAGCAATCATGATACACGGTCCGCCCGGTATTGGCAAGACCACTGCTGCTCATCTGGTTGCCAAAATGGAAGGCTATGATATTGTTGAGTCCAACGCATCCGACACCCGCTCGAAGAAGCTTGTTGAGAATGGACTGAAAGGTGTCATGTCCACAACATCGCTCATGGGCTACTTTGCGAGTGGAAGTGACGACATTGAGGTTGGTAAGAAGAAGCTAGTGCTGATCATGGATGAGGTTGATGGCATGAGTGCTGGAGATCGTGGCGGTGTCGGTGCGTTGGCTGCCGTCTGCAAAAAGACGCAAGTTCCCATGATCCTCATTTGCAACGATCGAAAATTGCCAAAGATGAAGCCATTCGACTTTGTCACCTTCGACCTTCCATTCCGTCGTCCCACGACCGACATGATTCGCAGTCGGATATCCACAATCGCCTTCCGCGAAGGACTCAAGATGCCACCCAACGTTATCAACGCATTGATTGAGGGTTCCGGCGCGGACATTCGACAGGTTGTCAACATGATCAGTACGGCGAAGCTGGATTCGCAAAACCTCTCCTTCGAGGACAGCAAGGACATGAGCAAAGCATGGCAGAAGCACATCGTTCTCAAACCCTGGGACATGGTTGGAAAGATCCTTGGCGGTGGGTTGTTCAACCCATCCGCGAATTCTAGCTTGAACGACAAGACTGAGTTGTACTTCAACGACCACGAATTTGCGCCGCTGATGCTCCAGGAAAATTACCTGGGCACAAATCCTCAGCGAAGCAACCAACACAACGGCAACCCCAAAAGGAAGCGCCTCTCTGAACTGGACCTGGTCAGCAAAGCCGCGGACTCCATTAGCGATGGAGATTTGGTCGACAGGATGATCCACGGGTCTCAGCAGCAGTGGTCGCTGATGCCCGCGCATGCCATCTTCTCCTTTGTCCGCCCCGCTTCTTTCGTATATGGAAGCATGGCGGGCCACAAGACCCAATTCACCTCCTGGCTGGGCAAGAACTCAAACCAAGGCAAGTTGATGCGATTCATCAAGGAGATTCAGGGACACATGCGGTTACGTGTTTCGGCAGATCGACATGAGATTCGACAGACGTATCTCCCGATGCTGTTCGAAAAGCTGATTGTGAAGTTGCGTGACGAGGGCAAAGAGGCTGTTCCTGAGATCATTGAACTGATGGATTCCTACTACTTGACCAAGGACGATTGGGATGCGATATTGGAACTCGGCGTCGGCCAAGCAGATATGGAGAACATCAAGATTGAGACGCAGGCCAAGTCTACTTTTACACGATTGTAAGTTGCGCCCACGCGGCCCTCCAACAACAAGGATTCACTAATAAACCCCAACAGATACAATCTCCAATCCCACCCGTTGCCGTTTATGAAAGCCAGCGAGGTCGTAGCGCCAAAGAAAGCCCCTCCGAAAGAAAAACCTGATTTGGAAGAAGCTTTCGATGAGAGTGAAGACGAGGCTCCTCTTGATGATGTCAAGGAAGAGGACAATGTTGAAGCGGATTTGAGTAAGGACAAGTACGTTGCTAAGCCGAAGAAGAAGAGAGCCAGCACTGCTGGTGGTAGCAAGGCTTCCAGTAAAGCGAGTGGGAGTAAAGCTGCGGGGAGCAAGAGGAACAAGGCTGCGGTTGACGATGACGAGGAGGATGAGGAGGAAGATGTTAAGCCGAAGAAGGGGAAGGGTAGGGCGAAGAAGTGAGGGTGGCGATGTGGGAAGGTTGTTGAAGGAATGTGGGACAGCAGGATGCATGTTTGAAGGCATGTGAGATAAGCGAGTGCATGTTTGACGAGCTGAAGATGTTGATGAGCGAGCAGATGTTGATCGGGTAGTGCAAAGTACTAGAAGAAGTCGTACAGTAGGTATGAGGTAGCCGTACGGCCCATGGCTTCACTCAAGCATCTTAGACAAWCTCGTCAAAAGCTAGCTCATGTCTTCGGTATCCCAGTAGGCGAGATCCTGTCCTTTCAAGATCTTGTGCACGCGGCAGTGACTATTATTACACGAGCAGATGGGCATCGACCTGCTGTGGGAGGGCACGAGAAGCCCGACTCCCTCAATCTGTGCAATGGCCTTTCAAGAAATCGTAGCAAACATGAGTGCGCTGCAATAGATTTGTCCCAAGTGTCATACCTTAGTCGAGGAGAAACCCCCCCTTTTCTACCTATCTCTCGAGCTATCTCAACCACCCAATCCTCCCAGATCACCCGCTCAGCACGAGGGCACGCTAACAGGAATATTCAGCGCCACACTAGTCGCCAAACCACTCAAACTCGTCTCTTTAAACTCATTCCGCATTCCCTTGGCCGTCAACCGCATAGCATGAATGGCATCATCGAGTCGAACTTTTTGCGTGCCTGGATCGGAACTCAGAGYGAGATTCGCACTGCTTATAGCTTTAATCGCCCCCAGGGCATTCCYCTCGATACAAGGGGCTTGCACCAGACCACCGATGGGATCGCATGTGAGGCCGAGATTATGTTMGATGCCGATTTCGGCTGCTTGTTCGATGGTTTCGGGACTGGCGCCCATGCAAGCTGCGAAGGCGCCCGCGGCCATGGAGCAAGCGACGCCTACTTCTGCCATGCAGCCTCCTTCCGCCGCGGAAATGGTTGCGCCGCGTTTGTAGAGCATTCCAATTGCGGCTGCTGTTAGGAGGAATTGAGGGATGTCGCGGTCGGGGTCGTCGGAGATGAATTCGATTATGTACTTTAGGACTGCGGGAATTATGCCTGCTGCACCGTTTGTGGGGGCTGTTACGATTCTGCCGCCGGCCGCGTTGGTTTCGTTTACGGCGATGGCGTAGACGGTCAGATAGTCCATGGTTTGGAATGTGGTCCGGCGGGTTGGTGAGGGCAGGATGGGATGCTCTAGAGAGCCGTGTGTCCGGACTGGAGATCGTCTACGAAGGCCTATGCCGTGGATTTGATTTCCTGCTTGGGTCAATGCTTTGCTGGTGGTGGTGGTGGTGGTTGAGCTTGCTGCATTGTCCGTGGATGTGGTGGGCTTCTGGGAACCCATCACCACATGCTCCTTGGAGACGGATGGGTACATGCCACGAGTCAGTCGCTGATAGAGAGCTGGTGCCCGGCGCTTCAACTTCAAGGAGCCCGGTAGGACTGCATCTGGCTGAGCTTGAACGCTCTCCAGGATGCTGGCATCCATGACCTGCCATATCCGCGAAAGTTTAGAGTAAATTTGTTCGTCAGTATATCCATGGCTTTTCTCATTCTCGTAGACCAGCTGAGCAATCGTCAAGTTATGCTTTCGACACATGGCAAGTAAGCTGGCGGCATCCCGGAAGGCGTATTGATATGTTGGCTGCGGGGACTTGGTCTCTTCTGAAGCAGCCTCGACACTGTTCGCTGACTGCTGAGTGGTTGCAAGCCCTCCAACCACATCGTCTTGATTTCCAGGCTCGAGTAACGCAGCGTGACCTTCGTCGACGTTGGGGAGATGCTTAATCTCAGGTCCCGTCCTTCGATCGCCCTTGACTTGGGATCGACGGATTTTCTTGTAGTACATGTTTTCAGCCAGATCCACTGGATGCCTTGTACCTGCGACTTCGGTCTCTGGAGCTGCGGCGTTGACAGAAAGAGCGCCGTTGACTACGAAGCCACCCCCAACGCTGAACATGTCGTTCGTGGCCAGCACATCTCCATACTTGTCAAAGACGGTGAATCGCATCCCGTTGCTGTGCAATGGCAGCTTTCGCCCCCATTCCCAGACAAAGTCACGAGAATAGTCGARATCGATCTCCTTCCCCTTGGTAGGATCCTCTGTCAAGTGCTGGCCCAGAAATAGCTTCTTAGACGACTTGATCTCACTGAACCTTGCCGGGACATGAGCAGTGTCAACAGTCTCGACGTTGGCGCCTTCGAGGCCTAGTAGGATGGCCGATGGAGTCATATGGCCTTCTCCGGTCAACGCGAGGCTTCCATAGATACCAACCCTGATACGGTGAACCTTTTGCAACACATCGGCTTCGACTAGATCGGCTACAAAAATCTTGCCTGCTCGCATGGGTCCGACGGTATGTGAGGAGGAAGGACCGATGCCGACCGAGAACAGATCGAATGTTGAGATGACGGCATGTTCGTTGTTGGCTTCGCTGTACGTTCCTTCATCCTCGCCGTCGAATTGCTGAGAGGGACTTGTACTCAATGAACGGAATTGTGGTCTTGTTGGTCCATTTGGAAGCCCATTTCTGCAAACCGCGGGGCGTACTGTGTTGGAGGAGAGCCTCGTCCATGAATGGGCCAAAGGAGTATTACTCCGTACCGCCGCCGAGGGCAGTAGAGCCAAACGTTGCAAGCCAATTCGACTCATATTTGATGTGTTGCCAATGCCAATGGCGAATCACTGGCACTCATGGCAGAATCCTCGGGTTGGATGTGACGAAAGTCATCATCGGGGAGTTGCAGATTTTTACCTTCTCATCGCAAAGGATTGATTGCGGATTGCGGCAGGAGAGCACAGAGCAAAAGGTCAGGAATATATCGCGCTAGACTCAATGTGGGCGAGCTGTCCCCGGAAATGCCAAGGTGTGGATGCTCGACCCGCTTGCCGGATAAGTTGGTGAGATAAGCTTCTTGCAAATCATCCATTCACAGTTGAAGCTATGTCATGCTCTTTGCTAGAAAATACACGGTACTAGGAGTAACTGTACTGTAGGTACATCCAGGACTGCTGGTGTTGTAAGGTCTACGATACCAGGCATCTTCTCCGAACGATCAGCCGCAGTATCTCTCCTGGAACTCACCCCAGCAGCACTTGACTTGCAATGCTCCGGTGGAGAACCATGACACGGCTTACGTACGACGCCCGCTTACAATCGGAAGACGCTCCGACTGCCCTTGAACTTCCTCGAGACTCGCTTCTTCACGGAGCATGACTCTGCCTCTCTTCCTCGGTTGCCCGAATCTGCAGATATGAGTCCTGTCCACCTGTAGCATTCGTAAGCCCCTTTCGAGGATCTAGGATTATTCGTTGGAGACTGACTGGGCCGCGCTCACTTGAGAAGACAATCATCGTTCGACTCACACAGGACATTGCTCTTAGATAAGTTACAGGATCTGATTCTCGCAAGGCGATCTCCATCTGGACAATATCTTGATTTCTGGTAATCCAGGCCCGCGATCAGCAGCAGCTATAGTAGACTGAGGCATGAGTGGGTGGTATTCAACGCTGGGAATACTGCAAGATACTGCTTGGGACCGGCCATCTTCCTCTATGAGGAATCATAGCTCCCAGTACGTTTCGAGGCGTACGACTTGAGATATGACGCTCTTGTGAACTACTGGCAATGCCTTGTTCCATGATCATTTCAATGATTCTTTGGAGGCAATCGATATGACAAGCAATAGGAAGGACGTTGCATGCTAACCCAAGATGACTGTGAGGAGCCAGATCAACCCGAGCTAATAATGTATCAGTGACCGGCTGAACACTCTGATGGCCACCAAAATTGACGTGAGGATGGTTTCTGGAGAAGTACAAGCTGAGAGTATGTTTCTGACACGTTGAGAAGATATCAGGTGCATGCAGATCTAGAAAGCCACCATAGACTGTCAATCTTCAGTCTACGCAGCGGTGAGCTCAAAGTACATGGTATACAAATCACGAACAATGTAATTACTCTCGTCGCCTTCTCATCAAGATACTCGCCCTATCTCAAACCGATCCCTTGACCTATCGCCCCCGCACCCCGTACATCAAGCTTCAAGGAAGAGCTCCCAGAACACTCTGATGATTGATTGCCCCCCCCCAGCCAACTCAAATCGTTCCCAAATCCTTTGATCCGCAATGGCAGCACCTCTCCGCTTCGATGGCAAAGTCGCCCTCATCACCGGCGCAGCGAGTGGCATCGGACGAGCCACGGCGATTAAACTTGCTTCTCAAGGCGCCAGYCTTTCTCTCTCGGATATCAACGAAACGGGATTGGAGGAGACAAAGTCCCTTTGTGCCGACAACTCCAAGCAACATTTTCTCTCCACTTTGGACGTTTGTTCGTCTGCAGGCTGCAATGAGTTTGTTAAGAAGACGGTCCGCAACTTTGGAGCGCTGGATTTTGTTTTCAATTGCGCGGGCGTAAACCCTACCGCATACMAGCTGACCAGCACAACGGACGAATACTTTGACAAGCTGATGAATACAAATTTGAAAGGGACTTATAATGTTACTAGGGCTTGTAGGTTATTTCCCGAAGATCGTGATATTCTTCAATGAGTTGGGCTTGTTAGAAGGTAGGCTGATCGGCTCTGGTATCTTAGGCATTCCGCATATGAAACCTGGGAGTAGCATTGTGAATGTAAGCTCCACGATGGGTATTACAGCCGCGCCTGAGTATGCGATTTGTAAGTCTCCGTGCTGATAGCCTGGCTAGTAAAGACTTTGCTAATAACCGAGCGACAGATTGTGCGACGAAATGGGTATGAGAGCCAACAAAACAGTCCATTCTGTTGATTGGTGCTGACCCGTCTTAAATGTAGGGAATCGTGGGTTTCACAAAGGCCATGGCTCTCGAACTCGGACCTAAACAAATTCGCGTGAATGCCGTTGCGCCGGGATACATTAATACGCCTTCGAATGCAGGCGTCGTGGCGGGTCCCGAGGCAATCAAAAGGCAAGAACAATCGGTTGCTCTGGGGCGGATGGGTACCGCCGATGAGGTGGCGGATGTGGTCGCGTTTCTGTTCAGGTGAGCTCTTCTTCTTTTCTGCATGACGCTGTGCTGATCGTGATGGACAACAGTGAGGAATCCAGATATATGACAGGGAGTGTAGTTGAGATAACAGGTGGGAGAGCGTGAGTAGGAAGAGATCGAACTAGAACCTCACATTTGTGATTGGAGAATAAGATGATGAAGCAAATGCATAACTGCCCACGGAAGCGTCATCGTGTAGTTTGGACATGTCAGCGATGCGGCTGTCCTCTCGTGCTAATCAAGAAGACGAGAATTGATGTTTGATGTTGGTGTTGAGGTTGTAACGTGCTCCCAAATTCCCAATGCTKTATCCATAGCTCGTATAGGTATCATCGTACCGCCCTTGCGCCTCGGATCATATCTCGAATCTCGGATAGATCCGCCACCGGCCGGATAGATCCGACTTCAACTTCACGCCTCCCGCGAGCATCAATAGCCAGGCTCTCCGATTAAAGAGAGCACCACGAGCGGTGAACATGGCCACAATGCAGCTCCGCCCGTCGCTATTAGCGACGCGAGCATCAAGTACATACCCCTTCCCTCCAATCTCCACACCAAACTGACTCCATCCCTAGCCCTCCACTCCGCAATGCAATCCCTCTGCATCCAAGCACAATCCCACACCCGCGCGTTCAGCACAACCCCTCGCTCCCTCAACTGGCTGGCACCCAAAGCCGGCGAATCGACCAAATCGCGCAAAGGACGCTGCAAAGTACCCACGGGCGGTAGCACCAAAGGAACCACGCTTGTGTGGGGTGATTATGGTATCCGTCTCAAAGACCACGACCGACGCATCTCAGCCTCAGCACTTAAAATTGCAGACGAAACCATCAAGAAGCGTCTGAGAGGTATGAAGTACCGTCTCTACCACCGCGTGTCTGCCAATATCGGGGTGTACACTTCAGGAAATGACCAGAGAATGGGAAAGGGAAAGGGTAGTTTCGACTATTGGGCGGTTAGGATGCCGGTGAGCAGGATTTTGTTTGAATTGAAGGGTGATGTGCACGAGCAGGTCGTCAAGGATGCGATGAGATTGGCTGGGAACAAGCTACCTGGTCTGTATGAGTTTGTCAAGAAGGGAGATCCGCCCGTCATGGGCATCACGAAGTTGACTGCGGGCGTTACGGAGGCGCAATTGAGGCGGCCGAGGATGGRGGTTAAGGTGCCGGCGCCGAGTCTTGATTCGACTGCTGATAGGATGCGGTCTACGACTCCTTGAGGCATGTATTACACGAATGTAACAAAATCTGTACAGCGCCCATCCTTTCTTTTGGGGATTTGTGGATCCGATTGTTCGAAAGAGCACATCGTGTCCATTTTCATTGCACGGTCTCGAAGAAGGCGGGTAATATTCCGCTGATGACAAAAGGCACGTCTCTGGTATTTGGCAATCGAACCCGGATCGCTGGTATCGGCGGCGAATGTACGCATCCGCCTAGAAAACGACGACACCAAACTGCTCGACTCGGCTGAGAAGTAAACCAAGGCTCGACCAGACCCCATTCAAGGTAAATGAATAGCTGTTCCTATGGCGCTTCATTAACGCGGTCGTCGACTCAATATTTTCCTAAATTTCTTCCCCATATGTACGAACGAACAAGATTGTGACACTGATTGAAATCAACACCACAGGAACCTCACTGCATTGTTGTGTTGACCCCCACAACATCATCTTCCGCGCTGCAACTCGGCAGACCTCCCATTATTCAAAACGTGCATCCACCCTCGAGAGTGCTTTCGAAGTGGGGTGACCACCAATGTTTTGCATGCTTCACTTCATCAGCTGAAGACAAACCAAAACGTCAACACCGAAACATCAACACCAAAACATCACCACCCAAAACATCACCCACACCACCACCACGGAAAAAATGGGTGGCCTACGCGCGAAACTGCGCGGCGTCCTCAAGAAAACAGTAAATCCATCCATCCACACATCTCCTCATCAGCGCTCGCACTCGACATCAGCAGAAAAGACACACACACTCGAGTAAGATCACTTCATTCCAACTGACCAAAAACCCAGACCCATCCAACCCCTCCTACCACAACCAACTCCCCCTCCTCAACCGAACCCCTCCGTCCCGCGCACCTCGATGGCTTCTACACATCCCCCAAAATCCACCGTCCAGAGCACATGAACGGTCTCTTCGGCACCACCAAGAACAAGACCAACCCCTACCCCAACAACCCCAAGAACTCCACCAACAGCACCGGCAATGCCATCCGCAACACCCCACTAGCCCACGACTCCCTAATCGCCGCACACATCTTAATGTATCATCATCCGCGCGAAGTAGCAGCCGCCGCCGACGACGACGACGACGACGTGGAGAACGAAGAAGAAGAAGAAGAAGAAGTGATTATTAAACCTCACTACAACAACACGCGTCGTCTCTGCGATTCCAATCGTAATGTTTTGCGCGCGCTGCGTCATGATGAGGAGGGGGGGTTTCCGGGTAGTTCGTGGATGGGGGAGAATCGTGTGGGGATTATTAAGGCGTTTGAAGAGGTAAGTGGTTTTTCTATTTCTATCGAATGGCGTCAAGATATGGTTGGCTAATTTTTTGTTTTTTTCATTTTCCCAGGAACAAATCGCGCTACTAAAAGAAAAGGATTCCCAGGATGAATATCTCGCCTGTCTGGAATTGTGCGGCGGCGGCGGTGGTGGTGGTGGTGGTGGTGGTGGTGGTGGTGGTGGGGGAAATGGAAAGGGAGACATCAAACCTGCGGATCAGGCGCATTTGGATGAGTTGTTGGGTATTATGAAGAAGGCGGAGGCGGAGACTTTGAAGTGTATGGTGCGGATCAAGGAGTTGACTGGTGGTTTGCTCTTGCTCTCTCCTCCCGGGGACTTTGATGTCTAGAGGAGCGGGCAAGAAAGAAAGAAAGAATATGGCGGGGTGTATGTGTGTGCATGCATGGAATTCTTCACTCATGAAGTACCTACCGCGGTGTTGGGTGGGCGGGGGATCTTGACTTTCGGGAAGAAGGAGAGTCTGTGATTATCGGCGTTTTCTCTTTTTTTTCTTTTGGGGGGCATTAACGTTACTGGATATGGAAGCGAGCATGAGCATCCACAGCGAAACCCGGCAGAGATAATCCACAAACCCCACAGCGATGCAAAAGATTCTCCTCTCCATCTCCATCATCCCAACCAATCTCCTCCTCATCCTCATCCTCCGCGTCTGCCATGTCATTTCCTACAGTCGCGGAGGAGGACGCTATGTGATTGTCCAGTAATGTCTCCTCCTCCTTCTCGATCAGCTCCTTCTCGATCAGCGGCTCCTTGATCAGCGGCTCCACAACCCGAAAGTCCCTAAGCACGTCTTCCTGCCGATTAAACATGCCTTTAATATCCCTCCCACTAGCACTCTTACTATCCCCCGCCGTCTCCGCCATATTCATAACAGCGAGATTAACAAGACTGAGATTCCAGCCGGATTTCCCCGGGTGGAGTTTGCGGAACATGGTCAAAAGCGACTCTTTCACGAGTTTATCCGCCAAAACATCCACTCGTTCTGTGAGATTGAAGATGAAACTTGGTAAAGGAGCTGAATGAGAGATGCGTTTGAATGAGCGGACGCGAGAGCCGTTTGGTTGGAGAGGTTGGCGGGGTCTGGTTGTTAAGCGGAGGGTTTTGGGATGTGCGAGCCATTTTTTACTACCGCTGAGTGTGATGGGGGTTGGAAGTGGCTTTTCTTCCTTGTTGTCCGAGTCTGAGAAATCATCGTCTTCCGAACCGAGAAGATCGAGTCGCATGCGCGTTATGAGACTCTGTGCTAGCGTTGTGAGCTGTTTGATGACTTCGGGCATTGTATCGAGTCGGATGTACGAGTCCTCGATGCTGATCTGTCGAGGAACAGCTCTTGCCTCGCTGACTTCAGTATAGTCCACACCGTGTAGCAAACGCCAAATCTTTTCCCCAATACCATGCGGGGAGCCAGGACCAGCGAGTAAACGTTCGAGCATTTCTGCATTGACATCTGGGTKGTTTCGAATGTCTGCTACTGTGACTTTGTCTTTTGTTCCGCCATATACCAAGCCCTTGTCGAATTCTGCTGGACGCTTGAGATGGAATTCGCGAAGCTTCAAGGCGAGTTTGAAACCTATTCCAGGAATCTTGCCGATGTCGTGGCTGTCTATGAAAGTCGTCACGTTACTCTGGCGACCTTTTTGAAAAGTCGTCAAAGGCGGCATGACAGTAGTCTGGCCTTTTGGTTTGTTGAGATTGCCTGCAAGTTTGGACAAGAGCTTATCCGTGGCAATTCCAACCGTACATGTGTATCCTTTCTGCTCCTCTAGCTGGTGTCTGATGTGTAGTGCCAGATGGCTACCAAGACGGAGGCGTAGCGTGAGGTCGTCGAGATCTTCTTCTTCTGCAGCTGCATCGTAGACATAATCTTTGGGGTACGTATGGCCTGCGATGACATTCGCATCGAATTCGAATCCAGCCGTGGGATCTTCTCGGGATGTGTGAAAGAAAGAATGGGAAAGATGGTGTCGATTCAAGAGGTCTTGATTGTATTCCACAATATCGCTGACATCCATGAATACCTATCCAAGAAAAAATCATCAGCTAACCTTCTCCAATACACCCCAAAACAAAAATATATCTATACCTCATCAAACCCCAACCGCTCCACCTTCCCACTCCAAGAGAACCTTCTAATAAACCCCCACAACTCCTTACTCGCATCCCGAAACCGACCAATATCCTCCCCCAATTCAATCACCACTTCAGGACAAATCCTCCTCGCATCAGTAACAAGTTGCAATTTATGCAAACCTCGTCGTCGGGCTTCATAATTGCACGTGACGAGGATTTGTTTCTGTTGGATTCCCAGGGGAAGACTCTTCAATTCGGGGCGGGCAACTTCAAAGACTGAGGCGTAGAAACAGTCGTAGTCGAAGTGGATTATGATTCGTGAGTCTTGCCTCGGAGGAGCTTCGAGGTGGGATTCCATCGGGTTTGCATGGTGTTGTGGTCATTGGGTCAAGTCCTCGGCAGGCACATATAGGTTGACGCGTTACGCGTGAAGCCCGCGTCGAACGCCAAGACACTTTAACTCGTCTAGACTGCTCTGGGGTTACACTCGCAGAGGTTCAGATCCAGATTCTTGCTCGATGCAAGATATCATCGTCCCACGAACTTGAAAGCGAGGCGCAGTAGTATATACATACACATGAATAATGTTCGTTTCACTTCATCTATTCAACTAGGGTATTCGCTTCGCTGGCCATCACAGGCATGAGTATATCTTATCTCCCACTCTTCGATTCCTTTTCAATCTTCCTCAGCTCCATCTCCACCAACTTGACGCAAACGTCCGCAACATCGACTCCCTTCCGCCAAGTCCGAAGCGTCACTCCGTTTCTCTCCAGTAAACTTCTGGCTCTCTCCCACCGCTGTTTCCACAGATACTCCTTTTTGCTCATGCCTTCTCCAGGACTGCTTGCCCCAGATTCGATATCGTCCCAGCCACTGCCGGAGAATCGCTGCGAAGCCGGTAGTATGGAAGTGGAGGTCATGTTTCTTCGAGGTGGAGGTGGCGGCGGAGCTGCTGATCTCCCAGAGGATGCTTCCGGGAGTCGCAAATCCTCAACAGATCGGAAAGATGACATGGGGCGGGAATGCGGGGRGCTAGGCTGGCTGTTGCCTGCGCGCATTTCAGATTGCCATGCTCCACCGCCAGGGCGAGCCTTTGCAAGTGTGTCCTTTGCCATTTCGCGATATGTTCTTGGCGGTCTGGCTGGCAAAGGAGGGGCGGGTTTTCGTGCCGAGTCTTGTCTGGTGACTTGTGATAGCGGTGATGGGTTGTGACTTTGCCCCTGAGAGGGTTGTTGCAGGGATGGTTGTACTGCACTTGATGGCTTTCTTGGTATAGGAGGTGGGGCTTTGCTAGTACCATCAGGAGGCGGGCTTCGTAAACCTGCGGGCTTAGGTGGAGGAGGTGGAGAAGGTGCAGGTTTATGAGCCGCGGGGCCATTTTTCTGTACTGGAGATGGCTTGCGATTGGGACCGTCCGTCCAAGGCTTTGAGGAGGCAGGTTCGGAAAAGTCGATCAAATCCTCTTCCGTTGAAGCTGTTGTTGACTGACCAGGAGGCACTCGCGATCTGCGTGGCATCTCAGGCGAAAGGGCATCTGGGTTGATCGATCTACGTGCTCGCCTGGCATCCTCTTCCCAACTCACCATAGATGCGGCCATGGCAGCTTTCATTTCTGCTTCATCATCGCGAATATCGTTGGGTCTCGAAAGCCTTTTGGACTGGGTTAGAGCATCTGGGTTCGGATTACGAGACCCGTTCCGAGAGTGGCGTTTGCTACCACCGCCAGGACTGTCGTTGGAATCGAAGTAGCCCGTTTTGGGCGTGGTCGTTACATCGCGGATGAAGATGCCGAGCACTCGTCCGGGATTTTCGAGCGCAGTCTCAGTATAAACTTCAAGATCAGCTTCTCCACTGTCGCCGACCAGAATGAATTTTCGTTCGGGGAAGTCGTAGAAGAGCTTATCCAAGGAGGACTTTTTTCGCTCGGCGACCGGCTCGAAGATGCCCTGTAGCATGCCGCTGTATTGCTTCAAGTGAAAGGACCCCTTTGGAAGGCAAGCCAGCTTGAAGTAGCTGGTCAGGACAGGGTACATCTGCCATGGCGCGTTGGAGACGTAATGCATCTTGACACCCATATCGTGAAGAGTTGTGTACCACTCTTTAACCCCCTCGATCGTCAACTGGCCAAGGTCTTTGATAAAGGCGTGCCGAAAGATCTCCCGAGCTCCGAGACTGATAGCAGAGTGTTTGACGGTATCGTCAATGTCACTGATCAGACTGACGCCTTTGGGGGTTGTGACYACGACCTCTTCCGTGGCAGAAAGCCTCTCTCCCGCCAACACTCGGACGTGCGTAGGTATGAAGTCTAAGGCAGCGCGGACCGTGAAGTGGCCGGAGGCGTCTGTGTACACCGTCAATTGTCTTGAAACCTCGGAGTTGTAGAAGAAAGCACTGATCGGAGTCCTGGCCATGGGATTTGCCATGAACGGTTTCAGGCGGTTCAAGAGGTGCTTGTTCGCCGTGGCTAGTTCGGCAGAGGTCATTCTGCCCGGCTGTTGCCATGATGATCTCCTGACGGGTGTTACGGTGCCAGAGTCCGAGCCTTGTGAGGATGTGGCACTCCCGTACGAAGCTCGCTGTCGACCTCGCTCTGTAGTATCATCACCATATATGCTCCCCGCGTCTGTTTCCCGACTCGGCCGTTCCGAGAATGCCCCACGTTCTGCGTAGCGTCCCTCTTGGTCTCCTTTACGCCTGATGCTCTCGGCCTCGAAGGAGATGAGATCCTGCTCCTCGGGCGACACACGGAAGCTGCCAGATGGACTGGACGTCCTGCTGGAGGAGCTCATCTCCGCTGGCCTATTAGATGATGGTGCAGGAATACCCGAAAGTTGCCTCGCAAGTCCTATGACTATCCGCTGTTTGCGTGTACTCGGGCCTTGATGTGGAGTGTATATCCAACCACGAACGTCCACGTCCACCACCGCATTCACATCCTCATTCTTGTCCCACTCTCGTTTCCAGAGCTCTTCCTCGGTCATCTCGCGGCCAGGAGTGGTGGCCTTGTGGGACCTCCCTTGGACGTGCCTCCTGGCGTAGCTTGGAAAGAGTATCATCTCCTCATTCCCGCTCCGCACCACGGCAGCATCTGGGAACGCCCCTGGGCCGTCTTGCTGGTCTCCGTGGTGCTCGCCATTGCCGTCTGTCCCAAAGTAGCTCTGCACGTAGCTCTGCCGTATGTCGTTTGCTGCCCTCAAGTAACCCGCCAGCTTCTTCCTCCGAGCGCCAGGCTCTACGCCTCCCTGTCCCGAATAGGCCATGTTGCGCGTCTCTGAGCCAGACGCATTGTTCGTCGGTAAGAAGCGCGCCCGAGTTCGCCTTGCGCCTCCCGGTCCGGCTAGGAATTGGGTACGAGGATACGACTGTTTCTTGCTTTGTTTGCGAGACTGTCGAGCAACGAGATAACGATAGATCTGGCTCTGAGCACGCTGTCGGAGAGATGGGACAAAGGTGTTTCGGAAGCTTCCTATGCCAGCTCTAATCTGATTTCTGGTGGAGGGGAGCAGGCGACGATGAGACTTGTGGCCATTGCCGATCAGCTTCAGGAAGGTTTTCCAGAACGGCGCCAGGTTGATGATGGAGTGGACGATGCGTGCGTCGTCAGCACGTGGATGGGTGGTCGTGCTTCCAGGTTTGTTGTCGACGTCCGGGCAGTCATCTTACTTTCCGGTACCTTGCCCGCCTGTGATCGATCATTCCGCGTCACTGCGTGCTTCCATCACACATCTCCGCTTAACTCCGGGGGAGTTTACCTCGATGATTTCCACCGCACTGTATCGTCCATCTCCCTCGTTATGTATGCTTCACGATATCCCACCACGCGCTTGTCATTGAAATACCCTGAGAATGGCCATATTTCCCAGCATCACACACTTCTGGATGCCTCAGGCGGGAACTTCATAACTTTTACCCAGAACGCCACCGACGGATGCACCAAAAGCATCTTTCAGCACGCAAGAAAGAGGACTCCACGGCGAGTCCACGCCATCCCTCTCGGTGCTCTCATCAAGACGTCGCATAACAACAAACCCAGACTCATTTACCTGATGTGTCAACAGTCGGCGTTGGTCTCAGGACAACACGCCTTGGTAATAGAGAGCTGCCGTCTGGTCTTCCGGAAAGCTCATGATGAGTGATTATCACTTGGAAGAACAGGTTCTCATCATTTTGTCGCAGATACTATCTCAGTCGAAGGAAGGGCACTCGTCTGGAAATATGATAGACGCGATGCCGGGCGATTACTTGCTGCCAACGTCGCGTGTGCAACGATGTCAGCGGCGGCGGGTGGTTGAACACGTTGCTGTGGCCATAGATACGAAACTGATGTGGTTGCAATGCCCATCTTTGTCAATCGCAAGCGATGCATCGTTTGCCATTGGTCGGAATCATGATATATTGTTCACAGTTCGGTTCGGGCTTTGCTATTCTGCTGACATACTTTCTACCTAGGCATTAAGCAATGCTTGATCATAAGGCTGTGAATGATAGATATTACGATGATCGGACACAGCGCCGACTCTTTCGCTCTCCTGCTTGTACACAGAAAGGGTGTTGGGAGAGTCTCAACCGTTTTAAGAAAGAGCGTTCTTATACCAGTCCTACCTGACAACAGGGATGCTGCGCCCAACCGTACCTATGGAAAACGTCCAAGGGCACGATTGCATGTTCGATCCTGTTTGCACGCGACGAATCGACGCGCCAGCAGTGTTCAGTCCAACTATCGAGGCTCATAGGTCTTCAACTCGCGGATCAGCGGGAGCAATACCGCCCACGGCATCCCGCTGTGACCTAAGCTGGCGGCATTAATTCTACGCGAGCTGCAGCTTGAGAACTACCTATCTTTCTGAGCCCCCGTCCGACTTTGTGCACGATTACAAGCGCAGGCATGGCAAGTGATCCCAAACGCTGCATATGTTTTTGAACTCGACGACCATCTTCGGAGCCGGACCAAGGCCTCGAGTGCGGCAGTTGTACCTCTGTAGCCTTCTGGATCGGTTGCGGGGGACTTTGCATTAAACACACCGAACGCACGGGTTTCTCCACCTACTGCACATCTTCAAGGATCGTGCAGAGTCCGACATCTGCTACGCTCAAAGCCTCTGCAAAATAACGGCTACGACTGATGATCTCATGACGCGGCTTGGGGCCAAGCAGACCGTTTGAGCTGAGCCAACTCCTGGCAAAACGTTCGTAGGGGTGGTGTTCACTGGCCAACATCTTTGTAGCTGTCAACAGCACTCAAGCCATTGGAACTATAAGGGAACTACTTCTCAGAATTTCTTTCTCTGCCGTTTTCAACTCATCTCAAACACCTTCGGGAGTATCATTCTTTTTCAATTATTAGCACATTCGCCATCCCCCTTCTGCAACAACAAGAAGCGCAGACACTCTCGACCTGACAAAACTGCTTCAAACAAGTTGAGAAAGCAACCCAGGACAAGAGACATATCGACGGGTCAAACTAGCTGAGTACATTTCAATCTTCCCTACCCGCTTCCTTGCTCATCATCCATATCACCCCCCCTGGATACGTGTAGCGCAGAGAGGCACAAACTTGCTGGCAGTTGGCCTTCCATCTTCTGCTCCAGTGTACCGACGGGAGGAACAAAGTGCTGTTAATTCGGGTTATCAATCCAACGCAGGGGGCCCTTTGTTCTGGCCATCGGCCTGCGAATCCTACGCTGGGCGACCCCAAAGAACCACCATTGCGCTGCCGACCGGGCTTAATCTCGCACAAATCCTCATCACTCCTCACCTCTTCCCCCTCATTGTTTCATATGCCCCAGTCGTCAAATCGCACTCGGAAAATGCATAAACACCATGTAAGTCAAATGAGCGTACTACTTACACGGGAACCTTCTGACCTTCAATTAGCTAATACCCCTCGCACTGTTGGCTGGTCAAGCTAATGCACGCCCTTCCCCCCTCAGTACCCAAAATGACAATAATTCAATACCTRGGATTGCTCAAACTTCTACAGATCTTGCGAACTCTACCACAAATACAAACACAAGTGCTATCCCGGATTGCACTGCGGATTACTTCCTACCGAGCAGTAAGTCTGGACCACGTAGTTCACAGTCTACACAACAGATCACTGACTCCACGCAGGCAGAGATTGCGGCGAAATTGCACTCGGCCACGGGATCCAGCTCGGCATCTCCGAATCATACTATCCAGCTATTACAGAAAAATGTCAAATGATTCTTCGAAACTATGGACTATGTTCTGTAAAGGGCGAACCGGCACCTTCGCCACCTGCGTTTTCAACTGGAGCTCCGTTCAATTCTGGCTTTAACTCCACTAGGTCATCGAATGGAACTGTGGGCTCGGCCTCGAATGGAACGATGGCCAGTAATGCGACGCTCGCGAGGAATGGTACCACCCTCGGAAGCAATCGCAATGGCACCAACCTTGCAAGGAATGGCACCCTCGCGAGCAATGGCACCCTCGCGWGCAATGGCACCCTCGCGAGCAATGGCACCAACCTTGCGAGGAATGGCACGAGCAACTCCTTGAACTTCACTAGCTTCGGCGCCAGCGTGCTCGCCACAAAGGTGGTCACTTCTCATGACACAAAGACTCTAACATATACGGTTGGCAAAAGTGGAGGGGGCGATTTACGAACCATCATCGTCACCAACACCTTGTCGAGCATCGTCACATTCACAACTATGGCTACAGTTGTCGGAATGCCAACAGTGTCGAACGCGAAATCAAAAACAAAGCCAAAGTCGGAAGCGAAAGCGAAAGCGCAATCCACACCGTCTCCCTCTGCTTCCCCTACTCTGGTCCCAGCGCGAGTAGTGTTAGAAATTCGACCGGAAGGAACATCGACCCTCACGACCGAGTACCAGGAGCACGGCACTTATACCGCATTGACAAATGTAGCGTCCAAAATCACCGCAGCTCGATCTCATGTCAAACGAGAGACCATGCCTTCCGATTGTCTTGGAAGCATGGTTGTCCCCTTACAACCGAGTCCAGCTGCGGTGTATGAAAAGCGACAAGTTCCGACATGTGCCAACGCGGTCCCTGCTCCAGCACCGACTGCTACAGGCGCTGTTCTCGGATGCTCAGCATGGCACGTCGTTGATCACGGCGAGGACTGCGCAACAATTGCGACCTTGTATGGCATCACGTCGGATACTTTCAAGACCTGGAACCCCGCCCTCGACGCAACCTGTTACAATCTCCTCACAGGTATCGCATATTGCGTCTCCAGATGTGGGTTGACTTCGGAGCCGTTCTCACCACATGTAGTAGCAGCAGCTAGTGCAAAGACTTCGGCCGCCATTCCACCTTTCCTCAGTGCGTTCCAGAATGGCATGTGGACCCCTGACGCCATTTTCAAGACGACCATGGCCGCGGCTGCCACTCTGACTACGGTATCATCCTTCCAGACGAGCGATTACTCCCCTGAAAGCCACTCTCCTGTGGCTTCATTCTTTCCGTGGAACCCACTCGCCAAACCCTCCGAATCCTCGCAGAGTGGAATGTTCACACTACCGAACCCCACGCAAAGTATGGTGGCCCAAGCAACATCCGAGTCGATACAGGGTGGCATGGATGCTTMTATCCCTTACTCATTCCACAGTGCTGCTTTCAATATGTTTTACGGTGGAAAGTCGCTCCCGACAACCACCATGGGCGGAATGAATGAGCTTGCACTTCCATCCGAGTATCCATTGTCTGTGGAGAAGCCTGCAGTTCCATTCTCGACTCCCGTGTCATCATTGGATTCCTTCGCCGAGTTGGAAGTGCCATTCACACCCATGTCATCATTGGATTTCTCCACCACCTTGGAAGTGCCATCTGCACCGTCCCCAACGTCGGAAGCGCTGATGGTACCTTCCAAGAAGCCGGAAGTACCTCTGAGCCATCCGTCGAGTCCCATCAGCTACAAAACATACAGCGGTGACGGCTCCGTGGCCGCTGGATGGCCTTCGATGGAATCATGGCTGGWTTTTGAAACCTTGGTAAGAAATCCGTGCTCATCAACATTCAACACCGTCTAAGTCTAACCATTCACTTTAGTTCGAAATCAACAAGCCAGACATGCTATCCGGATGTGCAACCTGGAATCTCCCCAACAACTCCGAAGAAGAAATCGCCAGCATAAAAACGGCCATCAAATCCGTATCCGCCTCCTCAGACGAAGAAATAGACGAACGCTTCATCCTGGCAATCATAATGCAAGAATCCAAAGGTTGCGTCCGAGTCATCACCACCTCCTGGGGTCACCAAAACCCCGGCCTAATGCAAACCCACCAAGGAACCGGTTCTTGCAATACCCCCACGGTACAAACCCCGTGTCCGGACTCGGAAATTCTGCAGATGATTCAGGATGGCACTTTGGGAACTCCTACCGGCGATGGTCTGCAACAATGTAAAGAAAAACAATCTCGAGGACAACCTGATGAGGCTAGTGCTTGGTATAGGACTGCGAGACAGTATAATGGTGGGGGGATCGCTGCTAGTGGGAACCTTGAGGAGGGTTGCTGCACGTTGACCTACGCGAGTGATGTTGCGAATCGACTTGTTGGTTGGGTGGATTCTGCATAGAAATGGAAGATGCAGAGGTGTGTTGTGGTGTTATATTCTTTTGGAGGAAATGTTGGATCTCATCGGCCTTGCTTCCCAGAAGACTTTGGGAGGCGGGCCTATTCTTTTTTCTCTTTTGTTGCGAACTGGAGATGTTTCAGATCCGCTTATGATTGACGGACGACCTTTTTCATCCAACGCGCTCTCTCTCTCTGATGAGGCGGATTTGATTGTACGATATATTATTATCGTGACTACTTCACATGGCCTGGTGGATTTTTTTACGCCTGATGGCTTTTTACATTTCTATTATATTACCCACTTACTCGCTCGCTGGTGGTAATAGTTCAAACTACTTTACTTCTTTTCTGCTACCTGGAGTAGTAATTACGATACTTTTTCACTTCTATATACGGCTTTACCTTCCATTTCTCTATAAGATTGATATTTCTTGGACGATTGTTCTCCAGTCGTGGCTTGTCTGCCTATATCTCCATAAGATTGAATTTGTTAGATGATTATTGTTCTCCATTATTCCATACACGTAGATTGTCCAACAGATGCAGTCCGTTACGAGTAAGGTAGTTGATGCGAAATGCCAAGGATGATGAATAGAGTTTGAACCATTCCGGCTCCATGGTCGGCAGATCTYTTRCAGTTTCACAGCTTTGGCCTGTTTAGACAAGGACGCACGACCATGATGTGTTTCAAGAAGCACGTCTCCAAGCTGCTGGAGTATCCCGTGCAAGAAGACRTCCAGCCGCGAAGAGAAGTCGGCGAATGTGCGAGGAAAAAAGCAACGATATCATCATCATCATCAGGCCGCTCGCTCGCTCGTAACGGGTTCTCGGCCAACCGCCATTCCCGTCTCCAGAAATAGACGCCGATGATCTTCTGTGCATCGCAGTTTGTCATGACCGCCACGGCGGAGCCACGAACCAGAAAAGAGTCGCCTTCTAGAAACATTGCCCTTCTCAGAGTTCGTTCCATCGCGGTGACTTTGGTGGCGAGTTACATCTAGATACATGTCATGACCGAAGTTCAAAAGACTCTAAGCGAGGATTGCATGGTTCATATACGGTCGATGGCGTCTGAGTACGAGGTCTCGCCCGACGCTAGAACTACCTTTCTTTACCCTCCACGACTCGTGCTCATTAGCCGCCTGTGCGCTGTCCAGGCCTGGTCTAAGGTAAACTCTGCGGTGGTATTGAATCTCGTCTGTGCTCTCGCGCGACTGTTGTCGACTCTCTTCTTTTTGTACACCCCGAGCATTGGAAGACGTGGACGCGCGACAATATAATGCGCTCGATGACGTGAGAGTTGTACCACGCCGCCATTCCCCGGTTACGAACCCCCCCCCCCCCCCCCCCCCCCCCCCCCCCCCCCCCCCCCCCCCCCCCCCCCCCCCCCCCCCCCCCCCCCCCCCCCCCCCCCCCCCCCCCCCCCGAGATTTCCTCGCCGAAAATGTCCTCGAGTCCGGTGGAACGGAGGAGGTCTGCACTCGCGCTCGTCAGCACGCTGTTGCTCCTTGCCTCTCACGCCTCTGCTTTCTCGCTCTCCTCGCTCACCTCCTATGCCTCGTCGCGCACCTTTCAACCCCTATTACGAAGAGCGGACGAGAATGCGACCGTCATACCCGCCGCCATAAACATTGCGCCCAGCCAATATTGGGATGGAGTTGGTGAGTAAATGGAAGGAGGAGAAAAGAGGAGATAGATGTATGTGACTGACGTTGCATCCATTGTTCAAGACGGCAAATGGTCCAGTTTTCCCCTTCAGGTCGGCACGGCTGCCCAGAATGTGCGGGCTTTCATAGGCACGTCGGCCTTCTCCACCATCACCGTGGGAGCTGGAGGGTGTGAGCCGGTGGAAGCGTTTGGAGAGTCTTGCTCCAATGATCGGGGATTCTTGTTCCTCCCCAATGAATCCCTCACATGGGTGCCCAACAGTATCTTCCAGCTTGGGATTGAGATCAATCTTGGTTTGGACACATCTGCACGGTCGGGATTCGATACCATCACGCTCGGATGGCAGGGCTCTGGCGGTCCAACGGTCCAACATTCTACTGTTTTCAGCCTCGAGGCTCAGAATTTCTGGATTGGTATCTTTGGTTTGAATCCGGCTCCTTCCAACTTCACCACCTTCGTGGATCCTCAGCCGTCTTTCATGCAACAATTGGTGAATAACAACACGATTCCATCCTTGACGTATGGCTATACTGCTGGAAATCAATACAGACTGAACGGAGTATATGGATCCCTAGTCCTGGGAGGTTATGACCAAAACCGTTTCGACGCCACAAAGAACATTTCTATTCCATTTAATGACGACGTTGGTCGTGAACAACTTGTCAACCTGAAAGCCATCACCACCGATGTGGGATCGCCTTCCAACCTTCTCCCGGACGGAGATATTAGTCTATTAATCGACTCGACGGTCGCACAGATATGGCTTCCAGAGTCAGCCTGCAAAGCATTCGAGTCAGCCTTTGGCATCACCTACGATGCATACAGAGAATACTACATCATCAGCGATAGCCTACGATCCAAGCTACAAGAATCGAATCCCAACGTGACCTTCACGCTTGGATCGCAAGCCAATGACGCCACGGTGGACATTGTGCTACCCTACAGCGCATTCGACTTGGAGCTGCGATTTCCTCCCGATACMAACTCCTCGGCCTACTTCCCCCTCAAAAGAGCCGCGAACACCACACAATACACCCTAGGCCGCACATTCCTTCAAGAAGCCTATCTCATCTCAGACTACGACAACCGAAACTTCACAGTCGCACCTTGTATCTGGAATTCCAGCAAAATCTCAACCAGCAGTCTCAAATCCATCCTAAGATCCAACGAGACAATGAACAGCGCTAGTAATTCCGACTCCAGCTCAAACACAGGAGCCATCGCAGGCGGTGTAGTCGGCGGAGTCCTCGCAATAGCTCTAATAGCCGGCGCTCTAATCTGGTTCAAGCGCCGCAAAAACCAAGGCGAAAAGAAACGTCTCGCAGAACTCGAAGCCACCAACTCCGCCAGCAGTAGTTCCCACCACAACAACTCCCAAACAGACCCCAACAACGGCGAATCAAAACCCATCATTTCCTCCCCCATGGGCGGCGAATTAGCCGGCGACGGACAAATCCACGAAGCTTACGCCCCGCATAAACAAGCCCCTCAAGAAATGGATAGTAGTGCCTACGCTGCGGTCGATCCGAATAAACATGGTTACTCGGAAATGGGTGGGGGTGTTGGGGAATTTTTTCAACCTGCGAAGGGCGTTCCGGCGGAAATTCGTGGTGGTACGCCGATTTATGAAATGCATGGGTCGGATGTGCAGGAGTTGCCTGCTTCTACTCATCGGCCTTCTATGGAGAAGAGGTGATCACCACCATTTTATCTTTGGATATGTGTGAGACATTTTGGTACTGGATGACAGCACGGCGTTGTTTTTTTTATTTAACGACACGGAAGATACCAGAGGATGGGCGGAGATTTGTTCGTATGTATCCTTCTTTCATTTTTTTTTTGGACTGTGAGAATATCACGAAAGCGATTGTTATATTGTATTGTGCAAACGAGCGTTCTCCACATACATATCAAAGAGTGATACCCATTCATCTCATACAGATCATATTGATGGTTCAGCAACTATATAAACTTGATCCTATGTCGACTGTGCGAACCAACAAGCAATCAATCAATCAATCAATCAATCATCACTACCCATCGACAAATCAATATATACTCTTCGGCGGAGCCAATGTCTTCGTTTTCATCAGCACGCGTGGGGGGAGAACGCGAGGGACAGGTGCATATCTCGTTCTCTTTCTGATCCCATAATCTCGTCTCGGCATGCCATGTGCTTGTGAATTCGCAGCATGAATATTACCTGTCTTTCGCCTGTTCTGTAGCTTAGATTCAGACTCCTCCTCCTCATTGCCCTCCCTCTCGGGATTGATCGTTGTGGTGGCATGGCCTATCAGCGATGTATTTGTTCGATTTTRAGACGAGATGTCATCTTGAGAATCTGTCGGTGCATACGCATATGTAGATCCCCCACCGGTAGTCATTCTGTCTGATCGGAGTTGTTCGTCTGTAGACGCCGCCGCCGCCGCTGAGGAGAGTTGAGCAGGGAGTATCTCAATGGAATCGTTGGTCCATGCTTTGTATCTGCCGCTTGGGGATGGCTGACTTTGGCTACTTTGGCTACCTAGTACGAATTGTCTCCAGAGTTGGTCTTGGTCGTCATCTTCTTGTGTGACTTCTGCGACTGGTTCCTCGGGGAGTAAGTGTCGCGTGTGATGATGAGCTGGTGAAGGGGAGATGGTTGGGATGGCTGCGTCGTTTCCTTTCACATTGTCCGACTGCTGAAGCGTGTAGGTGTCTGCTTGGGGGTGGTAGTCATGTGGGTATTCCTGWTCATCGAGCATTTCATCGTCAAAATTGGCTTCGGCAGTGGTAAGCCTTGGCCAAACACTGGTTGTTGATTGTGTCAAATGCTGGCTTGATGATCGCAGAGCAGCCACAGAGGCTCCACTGGATACCGCTTGTCTTACGTGCATGAAGCCTTTCCAGACCTGCTCATCATGTTCTTCATCGGCAACGTCCGATGTGGACATTTCGGCCTCTCCAGCAAACTTGGTGCCTGGCAGCCCGCTGCGAGGTCTATATGGCGAGTCCTTTGATGAAGCTCCTTGGGAAGACAATGTCACTCTTCCCGTGACCAGGTTTTGGGCCCGATGCATTCGTTCATATTTCACATGGAAATCGTTGACGGTGGAACGACCTTGCTCTCCGCGATCCAGCGATGTGAGCACGTGTTGGCCCATGCGCGGGCTAACATTGCGCGCGGATGAGGACTCGACGGCAGGGCGATCCGCGGCAATTGTAGGTGAATTCGCATTGCTGTCAATTGCGGCGGATGGCGAATACGGTTGGAAATCTCCGTACAGAGATAAGTTCTTCCACGGACGGTCCGCTGCATGATCTTGATGGCCGTTTATGTAGTCAGCCTTTTCGGCAACTATTTGCCTGTTGTACTCGTGGACTTCAGCAGGCTCCACAACTTCAATAGCCTTGTGAACATCTTGGCAATCTTCATCTAGTGCCTCGAACCCATCACTGTCGGCTTTCATCAGCATGGATTCCTCAGATATGGGACCAAAGTCAGTTGAAACAGGACGAATGCTAGTGTTGGGCGAATCACGAGACCGTCGAGATGGTTGCGTTTGGCTCAAAAAGGCGTCCGTCCCGACTTTGATCTGTATGTCATCGTTGGTGATGGCACCGCTCATCATAGCTTCAAACCGTGCTTCGCTCGGACGTGCAACAGTGCGATGTTCCGCTGGCTGGCCCATGCGAATTCTGGGCTTGTCAACCTTGCGGCGCTTTCCAATGCGCTGTCTATCGCGATCAGATGGAAATGTAAGACGCACGGGTCGAGTAGCTGCAAGACCAAGCCAGTCGTCTTGAGCCAGTAGTCGCTTACGGTTGGCGATGAGCGCCCTGTCTTCTTCAGTCGCTGCCGCGTCTGGCCTTTCGCATGCGTTGTGCATTTGACGCGTAGTTTTGCGTGCTGCGCGGTCAGTGTTATGATGTTGACTCTGCCCGTGGCTACGCATGGGGTCGCTGCGGCCATGTGAGGTCTCATGCGAGCGTGGGTCTAAAGTATCAAGCCCAAAGGGAGATGCGATCATTCGCGGGAGATGTCCTCTTGACGAGGCTGCCGCTTGAACATATGTCTCTGGTATGACTTGATAGCCTGTGGTAGCGCGGGCTTTGGCAAAATGGGCTTTCTGCTTCTGCAAGACAGCATTTCCTTTGCCTTTGCCGGCATAGCGACGACGCGTGCCGCCAGTCCAGTCCATGATCTTGTTGAAAGACCAGGGATTCTCAATGGACCAAAGGCTCGGCGATGTGCGATAGGCGGAGGAGAATGATGATAATGTGACGCGAGATCAAGTTGATGTGATGCGAAATGAAGTCGATGTGATGCGAGATGAGACGAACTCGTCGGATTTGGTCAGTGCACGCCGCTCCTTCCTTGCTTGCTTCCATTCACTGCTTTTCCATGACTAGGTCTCCTTTCTTCCTTAAGTACCTCGATGTGTTGGCTGAACTTTTATCAAATCGTAATACTACAGTGTCTCTTTCCATCAAAAGTTATTCCTGATGGCCAAACATCCGCTTTCGCTGCCGGTTTGCGAGGATCGATTCGCTGCTAACGCACTACTATAGAGCTAGGATGCTCGAGAGGACTCTGTGCCATGTGGATCTGAACAACCTTCGATGCAAAGAGATACTATCAGACCTTTTGACAACTAGCATCAAATCATCGCACGACCCAAAATTACCAGACGGGAAGGGCCAGACGCTGGAAACACCTAGCACGGACGTGACCAGCCGTGCTGCTACTTCACAAGCCACAGTTGTAGTGTGTTGCAGCTCCCGGCGTGCTTTGGGAGGTCAGATGTGGGATGTCATTATCAGCATCTACTTCCAGCTCGAAGGATCATGCCGGGCTGCATAGCCTACCGTAAGTTAGGAGGTACTGTACTGACGCCGTCGACGCAGAGTTGTCATGACATGCATGAAGCATCGGACATCGAAGCTGACCAGGCATGGAACCTCAGCTCCATGTTGGTTGCAATTCCTTTGATCCGGTCAATGAATGTTCAATGGCCTCACGTCATGGTTCATTTATGCTTCGTCGCCCTCATCGACGTTCTGCCGCCAGCGAGAGAGAGATCAGAGGTGCGCGACTTTCTGTTACGGAGTTGAGATGCTCGGCTCAAAGCAACTCCTACGGTGCAAGGCAAAGCTGCGCGAGGAACTCCATCACCGGCCCGATATTGCTCTAAGGACTGCAGAGTGAGGTCAGCGCTACATAGCGCTGTTATCTGCTGCAGCTGTGCATCCTACCTTAGATCCTCCCCACGATGCCCACAATGGCCATCGCGCTGCGACCACGCGGGGAAGCCTTTCGATGCATGTGAAAGAACGCATGTGGCTACCTGCATGCACTCGATGCTGAACTCACACACTCTTTATGGATGCCATGCACGAGTCAGCAATCAAGAGCAAATGTCCAGGACACTTTTCTTTCCATCCTTCGAGGTGGACTTCAGGATTTGCTTCTTCCCGTCCTATTTGCTGTGCCCGCGGCGGCTCGGTTCCGGTATCCACCTTGAACAGACAGCTGCGTCGAAAATCATTGCAGCTCGCTGCTCTAATGTCCCGGGGGTGAAGCCAAAAAACGCTGTGGCTAGCGCGGCGGCCTGATTGGCCGCGGGAGCGGCCGAAAAAGCGACCTGATGTCATTCAGAAGTTGAGGATCCTATGTGGAGAAGTGGGGGAAATTTCAGGGTCCATAGGTACATAAGACGAAAATTTTTATGCTGGACATCTGTGGATTGACGGCTCCGTGGCGTAGTGGTTTAACTTACATCCAACCACTCGAATCGGGTTCAATTAAGGGGCTGGACTTTAAACATCCAGCGACAGGGTTGTCCGGCTTCGGTCGTAATGCTCCGTCCACAACACAATTTCCTTAGAGGGCAAACTTTAGCATAAACTTTGGCATAGGCATAAATATAGGGAATCAATTTTTTTGTTTCTTTTTGCGTAGTATACATAATATATACTAAACTTCGTAGAATCCTATTACGACTTTCCTCGGGTATCTTTTTGCTTTAATACGATATTAGTTATAACGTTCCCCTATTTTAACGTCCTTCTATATATCCTAAACGCGAATCTCTATATCCTTTTACTTAGAATACGTGTCTCTCTCCTCTAATATTCTATCTATTAATCGGCGAAGCCGACTACCGCTTGCGGTAAGAGTTACGTCTTCTACTAATTTAGAATAACCGGCTAATAGAAAAGCTATATATATATTGCTACCTAATAGAAGGCAAAAAAAAACTGTTTGAGCTGTTGCCGCTTCTAGCCTTACGCTATACTAGGGCAATCCCTTCTTTTTGCCTTATACGCCTTTACGATATAGAATCCCCCGTGTTAAATATTAGTCGGAGGTTCGCGGAATTTTAGAGGTGGAGTACAAGAGTGACTTAATCTTTAACTRGCTTACTGTCTCCGACAGGCAGTACTTAAAAGTAGGAACTAATGTGTTAATTAAGTTAATTATCTAGAGATGTGTCTCTATCTCCTAAGAAGAGATTTTACCCYAYATAGAGTTATGTGACCTTGTRGCYACTTAGCTCTCTGTTATGTTAGATGTACAGCTATTCTATAACTGCACTTTCTAACACTCCTACTTAGGATAGAATGGACTATATACATTTCCCTAGATCTTTTAAGATTCTATTAAGTGTAGAAAGGTAGTTCTATAGCCTAGTGGTATAATTCTATCTTAGCTACTATCTTAGTGCAATTCCTTAACTTAGTATTATATAATCGAAAATGTCCGTTCGGACATATTCGATTATATGCTTTTGCYAAATTTTGGAATGCTTATTGTATGCTAAGATAATTTATATATGTCTGGAAGTTTAGACTAGTAAGAGGTTTGGTTAGGCTATTTACAACTATTTCTTTTGTTAGAAGGTATTCTACATAGATCTTCTTTTGCTACTAAAGTCTTCTTACAAAGTTGTATGCAATGTTAATGTGCTTTAACCTTTTATAAATATGTGCATCCTTTATAAGGGTAAGGCAGGCTTAGTTGTCCCTAAAGAGTTAAACTAGCCTAAGCTGTTTAGCTATGTCCTTTCCTGCTTTAATTATTAGTTAAAAAGCAGATAATCTAACAAGCTTAGTTTGACCTATTTCTCTAAGCAATGCTAAAAGGAACTATAATTGTTTTGCATATGCATTTATTGCTATAAACTTAGCTTCTATTATGGAAGTTGCTATAGATTTCTGCTTCTTGCTTATCTATAAAATTGGGGCATTGCACAACTTAAACATATTTCCTAGGATGGAGATCCTATCTAACTTGTCTATTACAAAGTCTAAGTCTAAGTACCTAATTAAGCATCTAGATCTAGATCTTATAAAGGTTAATCTAAGGTTAGGAAATAATCTTAGGTACCTTAAGACTTTCTTTAAAGCTTTTAGGTGGGCTTTAGATAGATTACTCGAAAATGCACTTAGCTTTCTAATTGCAAAGGCAATGTCTGGTCTTGTTATAATTATTAGCTATATCTATGTTCTAATTGTTATCTAGTATTCCTCCTTGCTACATCTCTTATTATTTAGGCCTAACTTAATAAGTCCCTTATAATTGTCTATTAGTAAGAGAGTTGGCTTTAAGGATTTTGACTTAATGCCCAGTTTCTAAAGACTTTCCTAAATATAATAGCTTTAATCTAGTTTTAGGGTTCTAAGCTTCCTGTTTCTTATAATGTTTATTCCTAGGATTCTGGATGGTTCTCTAAGATCCTTAATCTTAAAGATCTTTCTAAATTCCTTCTTAAACTAGTTTATAGAGTTTATTAATAGGGCAGCAATTAGAATATTATTAACATGTGTTATAACTATAAGATTCTTTCTATAATAGAACATTAGACATGGATTAACCTCTGACTGAACAAATCCCAAATCTTTAAGCTTTAAAACATAAAGCTAATTCCAGTCTCTAGCAGCTTGCTTTAATCTATACAGACTTCTTAGGATTTTTAGGACTTAGCTAGGGGGAAGATCCACTCCTTTAAGTGGGGCTATAAAAATGTCTTCTTAGAGGTAACTGTTTGTAAAAGCNCTTCTTAGGATTTTTAGGACTTAGCTAGGGGGAAGATCCACTCCTTTAAGTGGGGCTATAAAAATGTCTTCTTAGAGGTAACTGTTTGTAAAAGCACTGTTAATATCTATAAGATAGAGTTCCTAGTCTTCCTTGTAGACTACAGCTATAAATGTTCTTAAGGTTTTATGTCTAACAGTTAGTGCAAAAGTCTCCTTAAAGTTAATCCTATATTTCTATAAAAAACCCCTTGCTACAAGTCTTGCTTTTAACTTGTTAAGGGCACTACTTGCTAATCTTTTTATAGCAAAGACCTATTTTAAGGTTATAAGGTTTAATCCTTTTAGAGCAACAGTTAGTTCCTAGGTCTAGTTACTTACAAGTGAATCCAGTTCCTTCTAGATTACTTCTATCTATATTGCTCCCTATTCTTTATCTCCTACTGCTTCCTTATAGGTAGCTAGAACTAGGATATTCTGCTAGTATATAGTCTAGGTAGCTGTTGTAGAGAAAGCAAGTTTATAGAAGATATCTTGCATTTCTAGGTCCTAGCCTAGTTTAGAGATTATAGCTAATAGGGCCTATATAATCTCTATTACTTCTCTATTAGGATTCTGGTCCTTTAGCCTCTTTTAGCTTGTCTCCTAAAAGACTTTTAATCCTTTGGATTTGGATTTAAATCCTTTTATATTACTTATAGCTTTTCTCTTTCTTTGCTCTACCTAAGGTAGAGAATTAACTTAGTCCTTAATTTTCTGGAATTCCCCTACATTTGCTAGGGGAGGAGGAATCTGAACAAATGCTATAGGGGCTGACTTTTTAGTTATAGGTTCCTGGATTAGAATGGGTTTAGGTCTTAGTACATTAGCTGGCCTTCTAAGTGGTTTTCTCTGTAGTGCATTTAAGGAAAGATACTTAGATTAAAACTTYAAATCTAAATTACCCCCCCTCTTTTCCTTAAAGAATACTACATTTAAGTGCTGTTTTACAGCTCTTATATCTGGATCCTAGAAAAGCTAGGATTTTAATATTCCTTTAACATATCCTACAAATACTGCATCCTTTCCCCTGTTTATAAGTTTGTTACTCCTTACCTATCTAGGTTGGGATTTTAGGTCTATATATATAATAGCTTAGCACCCTTAAACTCTTAGATAATGCACA